GATGACTGTTTACTCGTTGAAAAACTCTTAATTAATGACCAACGCTTTGAAATCAGTGCCAAAGGCGCTATAATTGCAGATAATACTGAAATACCGAAATTGAAATATTTTTTAATATCCCAAACAGTATCGAGTTTGCAAACTTGACTCAATATTTGAACAGCTTACAGTGGAATATTAATTAAATTTTTTTAATGCAATTTCTCTTTGAGACCGAAGTTACAATGGTTTGAAATATTTTTGTGTTGACAAATACATTTTTGTTCTATTTGATGATATGTCTGGACTTCAATTCCCAGGTTTCAGAGTCAAATAAAATACTCAAACATGTCGTATTTTCAAACATTGAATGGTGTTTGAAGGGAGACTGTTGTTTGTGTTGTATACCAAAAGGGGATAAAAGACACAAGAAAAATATCGCCGACAGCAGAGTAAAAAAAAAGTCAAATACTCTATATTAATTAAATCTCAGTCTCTGGTTTTATCACTTTTAAAATTCTGCAACACTAGTGAGAATGAGAAATACATCAAACACAGTACAACAAGTGACTGACTATGAGTTAGTTTGAAAGCTTACGAGCTTTGCAAAGCACTCATCTTCACTCCAACAATGTATCTCAACGGCATTAATGAGAAGTTCATTGTAAATACATTCCCCAAACAATCCCAAATTTATAATCAGTAACGAGCCCAGATTTACCCCAGGGAAATGAATAGTGGAATTGAACAATAGAGGCGAAGCAACAAGAGGAAAGAGCTGAGCTTACAAGCTTCTAAAAATTATACTTCATGGATTTTTGATATGTTTTTCACTTCATGCCACGAAAAGTGGGTGAGAAGACATCTTAAACTAACAGCGTCTTTGAGACATCAATCCGATTTGCCCTTCACTATGAAAGAAGATTTCAGCCATGTTGAATGGAAGTGGCACAACTCAGATGAAATTTCACAAAAGCATTTTCATATCTCTTCAATTTAGAGAAGAAGAAACGGACGTTGGAGGATTTTCCCGTATGAAATATTCACGTTCTTTCCGCACTTATGCGCAGAGATACACTCTTCTCGAATTAACGTTTTTCTCAACCTTGGAGGTAAATTAAAGAGGATTACGTATTAATTTGCAGTAGGAAAATATTCGGGCACTCTTTTTTCACGCTCTCTGGCTTGGGAAAGTTCACGAGCGTAAATAGTGCTTTGGTGGAGAATGGCGAGTTTGGGAGTTTTGCATTTCAAGTTAATTTTGTGCAAATCTTGAGCGAAAGGTGACACAAAGCAAAACAGAAATGAATATTTCATCATGCAATCACCATTCCTGTTTCTCTCTCGATTAACTTTGATATATATTCTTTGAATGTTTGCCTTGGCAGGACAGCGTGTGGTGAAGATGGTAAACTTTTGGCGTTGCTGCACAAAGGGATTTACGTAATGAAAGGCAAATCTTGCAGCAGAAGGCTTTAGCCTGAATATATTTACTGTATGTAGGAAAAAATTCTGGTTCTCACACATCACTTGATTGACTTTCTAATCATTTCAATTTAATTACAAACTCTAAGTCGCCGCAATGTATTTCCAGGGTTTAAAGATTATCTTTCTACTCAGAGCAATTTCACATTCATGACTTCACACAAGAAGATTCGTTGTAGAAATTTAATTAAAACAGAATTGCAATGTAGCACTTACAATTTGTGTGCAATATAATCACATTACAAGTATCTGTAGGATTTGAAGCGTAAAATATCTAATTTATCTTGGGACTGAGGCTTTGCAAACAAGCTGATGACGTCAAGAAAGCATCGCAGGATGTTTTTAAAAGAATAAGATAATGTGGCCTCAGGCTCTTCCTCCTTGAATAATTCCTTCTCAAATCAGACAAGTTTTGACCTAAGTTTAATTTTATGCATGAAAGTGAACGAAAGGAGGTGTAAAATTTGACTTGGAGTGTCTTTGACGAGAAAACGAGATCCTGAGCACCGGAGTTCAGTGTAGTGACAGGAGTGAATTTAATTAAAGCGGATTGAGTGCTCCAAAGACAGCACAGCTCGAATTTAGCCAGCAGACGAGAATGCTCAAGCAAGAGAGGAGCCTGGAAACGTCGGACGTCTCACGGAACAGCGTTTTTACTATAAGTGGAATGCCGAGGCAGTACTGATCCACGCCTACGGATCTTTCGCATTCCTTCATTATCACCGACATGAATCGCAGTGAGCAGGAGACTCTCTTTCGCCAGGCGCACGACATTCGCCTGCAACAGGAGGAGCGGGCGCGTCGGCAGCAGCGACCAAGGCACTATTCGCACGGCAACATCCGCCACCTGAGCGCCTCGGCGGTCGAGGGTCGCTCCGGGAGTGCCCAGGTGCGCGACGATTTGATGCTGTCCGTGCTGAAGAGTCCCATCGTCAGGGAGCGCCGCCACTCGCCCGCCAAGGCGCCCGTCATTTCCACCACGCGCTGCGCCTACGCCGCCCTCCAAGGCTCCGAGGACGAACTCGTGGCGGATACGGAGATGCAGGACAACAACCCAGGACCCACCTTTCACTTCTTGAAGCGCTTCCGTCCCAACGCCTCTCCACGCCATGAGGCACGCTCTCGACACGCGTCCACGTCCAGAAGCAGAAGTCGACAGCGATCGCAGGCACCCCCCGATGACCTCATCGAGCCCGCGCCTCTGGAGAACGGTAATCACTCAATCGGCCTTGGGATTCCTTGCTTTTCTCCCTGATAAAGTGTCTCTTGAACTTGGAGACACATGATTAATCCATTTAACACCCCTTTTTGATTAGCGCGTCGTTATTGATTTATTTCATTACATCTGCAAAAGCTTGTAGGGCAAACACACATTCAAGACGATTTTTGTCGAGTTCAAAAATCAATTCAGATTCACATTGTACAATATAAATTTTAAACATGAATTTAATTCTGACCACATCTCAGTAAGAATAGAAAGTAAATATGTTATCGAAACTCTGGCATTTGTAGTAACTCAGTTCCATAGACTTTTTGCAGGGACGGCACTATAAAGCAAGAGATTTAAAGGGTATTTCATACTCAGTTTTTGGGCGAGCTTTTGCTCATATTTCTTAGAAAATATCCTCCCCATATTCGAAACTTTATAAGGGTGTATTATCCCTTTAGCCCGTATAAATTACAACCCTCATCATGTGAAAGGGGAATTCTCACTTCCGACAATAATTCCATCATGTGTAAAATCATTCCATTTCACACTAATCGATTAAAGTTTCATTTCATAATACCTTCGCAATTTATGGAATATAGCCACGAATTCTGCACAAACTCTGAACCGCGAAGAATGAAATGCCTTGAGTGGGAATCAGAATAAAGTTTTATTGCCATTGTGCAGATGACTGTTGTGAAAGTCAAGAAGTATTTAATTTTGCTTCACAAACTTCCATCTCGAATTCTCGTTCCACTGGAAAATTCTCCTTTCCTCGTCTGACGTCATTGGTTGTGGATTTTTTTTGTCCGACGAAAATACGCAACATTTTACGACATAAAGGTTGTTACTAGTGTCAATTCAAATAGAAATTTGTATCAAGGACCAAATGTTGTTGAATATGTTGAGCTCTGTCAAATTTATAGAGTCCAATTATTCCCAAAAATACTGCATGGATTCCAAAATCACTCACAAATGGAAATTGTCTTGTCATTTGAAATCACAATAAACGATTGTGGAATATTTGATGAATCGCTGATTGATTTTAATACATCAGACAGAGAAAAATACATGTCTTATTGAGTAATCAACCGCAGACTATCGGAAACATCCATCAATCATTTTTTGCCTTCTGTGCATGTTGAAGATGGAAGAGGGTAGAAAAATTCAAATCTCTCAACCGTGTTTTTTCAGCGCAAATATGCACAATTTTTGAGCAAACATTGCGAAGAAACTTTGCAACTTGTTGTAAAAGTTGCTGAAGAATGTGTACTTGTCAAAGGGAGACGCTTTGTTCCCATGCAAATTCATACCATCACGTAAAGTGATGCGGACTTTAAGACTCTCTTCTTCATATTTACAACAACTATATATATTTGCTTACAACAGGAATTCAAATAGCGCAGAACATGCTTCACCCTTTGCACAAACTGAATGGCGCACAACTTCTTTGAGTCGGAGAAGTTTCAATTGATTTTCTTATGCTGAACATTTAAGATTCTGCCATTTCAGGCATTGTGCTGCAAAACTGAGATTTCAAACACTAATTGAATAGACTTTCAGAAAATTGGCACATGTTGCGCTGAAAGCATTGTTTAATACTAGGTCATGATAGGGAATCAGAGCACGTAAGTTTCTTAGATGAGGAATTTCAAGATTGGGTACATTGCTGGGTCGTGTATTTGGAAATTGTGAAATGATGATGTGTTTTCAAACTCTTACCGTCTTGCTATTGAATTAATGTTTGCCTCAGCGAACTTATGAGCCAGCACATAATGTTCCGGTCCCCTTTGCGCGTCCCTGTAAAATGTCAGCAAGAGAAGCGCAGTAAATTGAAATGAGTTCAAGAGACAGTGTAACAGGGAGCGAAAGGACTCAGAAATTGATATTTGCTGAGGTAATTGCTACTTAATGTTCCATTCAATAAATTCTGCAGATGAAATTGCGCCCGATGGCGAGCAGGAGGCTGTCAATGAGAATGCACCGGATTCAGGTGTTCAAGATCCCTACTATCCCATCGCTCTTCCGATCGATCAAGCATACAAAGCGAAATACGCATTTCATAGACGCCATGGAAAGACTTTCCAGGAGCGTCTTTATGTGTTCCTCGAGCATCCCTCCGGATGGTGGTGCTTGATTTACCACTGTATTGTGTAAGTCTCTGTCGTGCGATACGCATTCCATTTACTCAATATTACATTAGTAAACAGATATTGATTGCCCAAAATAATTTGTGTGGTGTCTTCATCAGCAAATACAAACTATAACCGCCGAATTATACATTGCCTACATGTCAATAATTCATGTGACATTACTATTCTCCTCGCAGGTTTATGCTCGTGCTCGTATGCCTAATTTTTAGTGTTTTGTCGACAATCGAGGAGTACACGGATTTCACAAACGAAACGCTCTTCTGGATGGAAATATGGCTGGTGGTGTTCTTCGGCTTGGAGTACATCGTTCGGCTCTGGTCTGCAGGATGTCGATCAAAATACATGGGCTTTTGGGGACGACTGCGCTTCATACGGAAACCCATTTGCATTATAGGTAAATTAGTTAAGAACAGCACATTTGAATCATGTGAAATGCTCCGCTCTAATAGCAGCAAATGTAAACGTTATATATATACCAAAATTGCCATTAATTTAATACTTTAATTCCTTGCCTTGTCCATCATAATTATTCCATTTGGCTTGAGAGATTCAAAATGGTATTAATGTATTATTTGCTAAATGTTATTTCCATTTGAAAATACGATTGGTGTTTTAAAAGTCTTAATGGAAGCGGAAGCATTATTTCATGAAATCAATTGAATTTAAAATGCTTTTCATAATTAGTGAATTCAAGGAAACTTTTACGATTATAACATATTTCCTGTGAGTTTGCAAAAGTTTTTACAAAGCTTTGTGGCTCTCAAAGCATCAGAAATCAATAACATGATGCAATAATTTCTATACACACAACTCTAATATTGTATTCTTTATCATTGCATCGTCCTATTACGATGCAATTGAATTTCATACGTGAATGTGACGTTTAAAAGCTCTTCAATAGGAATGAACGGAAGCCACAAGCATGATGGAATAATGAGATTTGTGCAATAAATTGGCAATTTATAAATTACAGTCATGCTTCCGATGTGAAATGAGAAGGATAAGTCGCGAGGAAAATGCCAATATCCGCTTTGAACTTATTGCGGGAGATACGTAAGTTGCGCTTCGAGATGAGAAAAAAAACTGTTGAATCACCATCATTCAATATTGGATGGTTGAAAAATTAAATCAAAATTCCATTCTCTCTGCCAAGAACAATTCCATGTGATGGAATTGATGTTGTATTAATGTTTATGCCATTCGCTGGTGCTCCATTGTTTGCTCATGCAATACAAGTTCTCTGGGCATCGCATAGATTGATTTGAAAAATATAAGTTCTTTTTGTATATACCACTGTGTGTCCTAGCGTGGATGAATTTCGAATGAGGTTTAATTATTGATTTTTCTCCACATGACAAATAAACTTTCCCCGTGAATCTTGATTAATGTGTAATTTCCTCGCCACTAGAGGGAGAACTGTCCCACTCTCCCGCCAATTGGACACGCTATTTGAATTACTACTGTCGCACACAAAAGCCCCTCAATTAGATTTTATTCGCAATGTGCACGGATAACGACCATGCCCTCCATATCCAGATTTGATCGTCGTGGTGGCGTCCATGGTGGTGCTGTCCGTGGGATCAAATGGTCAGGTGTTCGCGACGAGTGCCATTCGCGGAATCCGCTTCCTGCAGATCCTACGAATGTTACACGTCGACCGACAGGGCGGAACGTGGCGACTCCTCGGCTCTGTTGTCTACATTCACCGACAGGTATGAACTTGTGGAGCCTCAATTTAAAATTCCGTATTGATTTTCCAACCTGACAATGGACTTCTCCTCACACCAAACCTTTCAGGAATTGATTACAACGCTGTACATTGGATTCCTGGGTCTCATCTTCAGCTCGTACTTCGTGTACTTGGCGGAGAAGGACGTCGTGGGCCCAGATGGCAAGAAGCACTTCGCCAGCTACGCAGACGCCCTTTGGTGGGGTGTAATTACCGTCACAACAATAGGATATGGCGATGCCGTGCCCCAAACGTGGATGGGAAAAATTGTGGCGTCGTGCTTCAGTGTCTTTGCCATATCATTCTTTGCACTCCCAGCCGTAAGTTTTCTCAATACATAGCAGGAGGATTTTCCACCGCAGTGGAATGCGAATGGATCCCACGGCATGTCAATTGAACTGTTGAACAATGTTTAAATCGCCAAAAGTCCCCCTTTTGTGTGGCTTTTGCACAGTTTCAACTCAAACTTTGCAGGTCGACAAGCACACTCTGTAGACGGAGTGAGATTATATGTTTTTGCAAAGCCCGAGGGTGGAGTGTAATAACAAAAGGCGAAGAGAGCGTAATGAAGTGAAACCTTATTGACGTATTATGTTACATTTTTCAGGGTATTCTTGGTTCTGGCTTCGCCCTAAAAGTGCAACAGAAGCAGCGTCAGAAGCATTTCAATCGTCAAATTCCCGCCGCTGCAATGCTCATACAATGCTTATGGCGCTGCTATGCTGCCGACAAGAAATTCCACAGCGTGGCTACATGGGATATTCATGTGCAGAACAAAGATGACGCCCATCCGCCGTCGGGATCCACGGTACTTCCAACACAATTGGGGAAGGTAAGTGCGCCATGTTTTGTACACCAACTAACGTTAATTAAAATTAACTAAGCTTCTTGTACACTAAATTACGTTCGCTTCTTTCTCTTTTTTCTCTTCTCACTCTCTTTTTTTTTAAATCACCTTTAGCAGCTTTTTCCTTTATTTCTCTCGTACTTTCTCTCGCCATTTCTCGTCACCTTAGAATTCATGCCATTCACACCATGCTATGCTAATGGAGTGAAATAATCACGATACTAAGCAATAATAATTGGCATCAACATGTAATTAGTCTAATATATGAAATTCAAACCCAAGAGTCAATAGACTTTGCTCACATCATCGCTAAACTAGTCGATATGAATAAACTTGGAATAATTTCATCACTTAGACCTCAAATACTCCTGTTCAATCTCATATTTAATTATTCATTTAATATGCACACTAGAAAGTCATGCCATATTGAAGAGCTTCTCCTTGAGCTTCTTCTCTTTGCCACCTTCGTCACAATGTCATGCTCAGAAGATGGTATTCTTGTATATTACTTTTTCCCTTGGCAATCACGTGAAATACTGGCAGAAATAGGAAATCGATCTGCTAAATTTTTCAAATGCCCCACAAACCAATTAGTGGCAAATCCACAATTTACACGTGAACAGAACTAATCCATTAATTGCAATCAAAAGTGGCGTGTTGATATGTGGACAGAGTAAATAGTTCCACTGGTAAATGCAATAGACACACTCCGGGGTATTTGCAATCTAAGGGTGTTGAGAAGGACATTTGAATTAACAAATAGAACGTGTTTTGTATATTTAATGGTGATGACCAAGGAATTTGCAACGTTTTCTCCATTCTTGGCTAAGAATTGCTCACCTTGCTCTAAATTCTCCGGTTTTTCCAATGCTCTTCAATAATTCTTCTTCTATCCCAAAATATCCTGTGAATTTAAATAATCAATTTGCCAATATGAACTAAAATATCCCCACAATATTTGTCAAATCATTCAATCCAAAGGTGAATTAGTCAGTTCTCTGGGGTCCCAACAGCACATCCTTACTACAATGTTGTCCTAAAAATTATTAATTACCACGAAAACCTCGATGGTGGTTAGAAAAAGAATACTTCATAAAACAAAGGTTTTGGTTGAAATCTGTCTCTTCATCAAATGGCAAATTATTTCCGGGGTACGTAATAAGGATGATTTGATCACCAAACTGTTGCTTGTTAAATGGATACGAGCTCTCTCGTAATCGTTCAATTGGTCCAATTGCTGTTCATATTGTCGTGCATTGGAAATAGGTTATAACACACAATGTTTTCGGCTTCTCTACACGCGTATTGATTATGGCCAACATGATAAAATATTTCGACTCACCATTTGTCATAAATCATCGCATTTCATGGTTTAAATTTGACTAATTTCGCCTCGCTACCCCTTATGTTTGTAACGCTCGATGTTCAATGTTGTTCTATTGAAACATTCGGGTCAGACCCTAATGGTGCAGGTGGCGAAACGCGGAGCGAGTGTTCTCAAGCGTCGCAAGAGTCGCAATCGCATGGAGCAGTCCTCGGCGGCGTGTAACACCCCAACGGCGGCTGGCGAGCACCCGACGCCGCGCAGCGAGTCCACGGACGGCGATGGAGGCTTCTACAACGACGAGCGCGTTGGTGAGTCAATAAATTTCCTCTAATATCTCTTATAAATAACAGAGCATCACGGCGCATAATTCTCTCTTTGCAAGTGTGCGTAATTATTAATATTTCCCTTTAAAAAAGAAATCAGCCAAAAACACAAGCATTTTTGGGGGATCCCATCATTTGTTTTATGTCTTGTTGTTGTATATCATTTCACGAGAAATAATTGCAACCACGGAGGTACAAGAAAATAAAGTGGCAAACGAAAATCCGTGTATATTTACTGCTCCATGTTGGCACGTAACATTTACGATGTTCCGTCTGCAATACGGTCGAGGGTGTGTTGATGGTTCTTTTTATTTTGTTCTTCCTCTCCATGTACATAACCACGTGAAATCAGTTTATGTCCAAGAGCTGGTGGAATATTTATATGTTTTGTCACGACATCCAATACACACATCGACCATGTGTGGATTGCACTTTGGGTGGAAACATCCCACTTAATTCGGGCCACAATCAATGGGAATGTTCACCGCGCATTTCCAGGCCATCTCAAAGGCGAAACCCCACAATGTTTACCTTTGCTAATCTACTTACTGATCCTTTGAGAACTCCTAGAGCATTTCAAAGTAAACATTAATTGATTGTGCGGCAAAGGTGAAGAAGCAGACTCAATGCAAAGATCAATTTACGGCAATTAAATTGACTCTAATTTAGGGCCTTTCTGAGAAATAGTATATTTATATAGCAGAATTACATATTAGACTTCATATTAAATGTCAACGGATTTCCCTTGTAATTTTCCAATTTCAAGCAGTAGAAAAGGGGTGTTTAATCCAGGGTCACCTTGGTCACAAAACATATTCAAAGTATTGCAGTGAAAAAGTGACCTAGCAACTTCCTGCATCAAATTAAACTATCTCTAAAGTATTTTGCATTTTTACCAGGCACGCCAAATCGACATAGACGCGAAAGGGAAACTGGCAGAGGAATTTTCACCAGTCAAGCGAGCTCAGTCACGGAAGCGGCTAGCGACGATGTGGAGCAGTTGGAGCCAATGGATCAGGACCAGGAAGGAGACGATGATGAGCCGGCTCCAGTGAGAGAGTAAGTGCCACGAAAGCTCTCACGCCTCTGCAGTTTCTCATGCGGGAAATCCTTTCAGATTGACGGAAACTCATAAGAATGCAATTCGTGCTATTCGGAAAATTAAGTACTTCGTGGCGAGGCGCAAGTTCCAGCAGGCACGGAAGCCCTATGACGTTCGCGACGTGATTGAGCAGTATTCGCAGGGCCACTTGAACATGATGGTGAGGATCAAGGAGTTGCAGCGACGCCTCGACCAGACGCTGGGCAAGCCGGGAAGCTACTTGGTGGGCAGCGAAAGGGGCGCGATGAAGCCCATGACGGTGGGTGCGCGGCTATACAGCGTGGAGCAGAAGATGGGCGGGATGGAGAAGCATTTGACTGATGTGGTCACTAGTATTGGAACGATTCAACAACAGCTGAACAGTGTCACTTTCCTCCTCACCACGTATTTCAATCATCAAGGGCCACTTGAGCCGTCCAACAGCACACTCATGGCATCGTCATCGGCTCAATTCAAGTACATAGAAGACGACATGTAAGCTAGAGTGTTTATTTTTTCAAATTTTAATTAATTTGAATGCTATGTTATAAGAATTTTTTTTTATTTCAAAAAGAAAATTTTGTTTGGTATTTGATATCTCATATTAAGCTTCCAAATTTTTCTTGATACAAAATTTGCATTTCTTACAAATTTTCCGAATGTTTTACAATATCAAAAGCACTCATAAATGAAATTTACGAACTTTTCTGTTTAACCCTTAATCTTTAAGTTGAACTAATTAGTTTGAACGTGACCGGCTGCTGTGGCTCAGTGGTCAAACGCGTTTGACCCTCGATGCTACACAAAAAGTCGTGTTGTGTTCGAATCACGGACGTTAGAACCACTTATGGTTGGTCAGGTCAGTAAACTGACAATATGCCATCTTACGTACTTACTTATGTGGTTTTAACGTCTCGGTTGAGGAACATAGCCCTTCTCCATTGGAGGAGATATTCGAGACAAGTTTTTTGTTTTAAGGTAGCAGATTGCCAGTTTGCCGACCAACCATATGTGGTTCTAACGTCCACTTTCATATATAGAAAAAGAGTGAAAAACAATTCCAGTGAAGCGTATGTTTCAGCTGGAATATTCAATAGCAACCGCTTGGGCTGCTCTGATTTGCCACTCAATGGCTTTTATTGCACTCTGGCTGTGTTCGGATATTTACAATCGGTGGAATTCGAACACACGACAAACTGCCAGCGAAAAAAACAATAAAAAAATTTGTCTCGAATTTCTCCTCTAATGGAGAAGATAATGTTCTTAAACTGGACGTTTAAGCCACATAAGTAAATAATTCATTCTTATACATTTCAATACTTTATCTATTACTTGCGAAATAGAAGCCTGATTTGCATTATTTACTGACGACAAATATTACTAAAAACGAAAAAATTGACAATGAATATGTTCACACACTTAACGAATTTAATATATATTTTTATCGATTTAAATTATGTTTTATGATAAATTTATTTTAGATGAAATGAACAAGAAACCGACGTAAAGAATTGCTTGTTCTCTTTTCTTGAAAGTAATAGATATAATCGATGTAATAGATTTCGCAGACATGCAAAATATGATTTATGGTTTAATAAAATTGTATTCAAAGATAAAAAAAAATATCCTGGGATAACCATTGTGAATTTATTAAATTAAATTGAATTAGGTCAAAATTGAATGGATTCCGAAAAATTTCCATTTAATTACACGTGTTTAAAACCCGAAAAAATCTTGGGACAAAATTTTCGTCTACACTATGAGGTCACCCTAGGAGTAAATCTCACCATTAGAGATATTGTTATTTGAATTCCAAATGAATTTTTCAGTATATCACGCGTGATCTGCGAAATCATCATATAAGAAATAAAACATATGTAGCGTCAAGGAATGAAAAAAAACTATGCTAATAGAATAGAAAGTATAACTTAATGGTACGAAGATGAAAAATGTATGTCTATCGATATTTTCAAAGTATGGAATTAATACGGAATCAATGTCTTTAGGAGCAGATTTATATTTAATTTGCAACATCATTTTACATATCTACACTTAATTACTATGTATTGTATATAATTTACGTAAAACGAAAAAAAGAAAGAATGAACAATCACGAGATATTGGAAATGAGAAAAAAAGCTAACTTTAAAAGTATAAAACTCCTATTTTTCTTAATTTATTCCCCAATATTTGTGATCACAAATGAATAAATTCATTTGTCATAATTAGATATGCAACTTTTGGCCTTCGAAATTCAAAATTTTTAGATGACAAATCAACATTTTGCCATTCTATCATTTGTACACCTCTCTTAGACTTTAAAAGTCCATTGTGGTATGAGTTTGTGCCTAATTTATACAAACTTTTTAGAGAATCTTTCAATGCATGAAACATCCTTGCATGAAAATCCAGTGACTAAATAATTATAATTCCATATAATATTGCTGTAACCCTGTGTTTAAATACAACCAATTCGGAAGTAATACTCGATGTGAAAAGACAAGAAGTAATTATCTATCACGTATAAATGTATACATCAGAATGTCACTTGATTTCCTGAGAATTTCTTCTGTATATTTTGTCAATTATCATCATTGAATTGATAACAGCAAAGTGTCAAAATTCCTTGTCTCCTACTTTAGAATGTCTAACAATACTGCTAAAAGTAAAAGTTTTACTATAAATATTGCGCAGAAATAGTACCGTATTGTAATAGACTTGGTAATAGATTGAATTCTTTTAGAAACTCGATAATTACTATATTTAAAATATTCATTTCATTGCATATGTATATTTATCATGAGTAATTTTATATCATTTCACAATTACGCGCCTAATTTAGAAGCCTTCTACATTTATTGGTTCTTGTAGCACATGTTAAAAAGAGAACATTGTAGTCAGTGATATTCTGAATCGTTAGAATAAATAAGCTGTCAGTAAATCTTACTATATTGTAGTCTGATATATGAGAATAAAGGTAACTTAAGTATTGACGTAAGTGTTGACGTAAGAATAAATTAATTGCAAAAGTAGATGAGAGGAGCATTTAAAATCTGAAATTTTCTGTGATTTTAAGCTGTTTTTTCAGTGTGAGTTTTATAATAGAATTTTTCTAATTACTTGTATTAATCATACCTATATTAACCTACATAAGTCACCCTTATTAATTTTCTAGGTGTCCGCGCTAGTATAAAACACTTAGTTCATTTAAGATTTCTCTTTCTTGACATAATTTACCTTGCCATTCATTGAAACTGCCAAAAGAAATATGTTTTCACTCACTTAAGATTATAAGAAAAAAATCTAATATTACATTCAAAAAGTTGCATAGAGTTAAATTTAGGAATTGACAAATTAATTTGTAGATTAAAAGAATTCGTTTTTTGTACGGTTTATGAGTCTCTGTCAATTTATGATTCGTTCGAATTTTAGTTAGATGAAAATTCTCAATTTCAGAATAAACAGAAATACTCAAATATACAGTAATCTCTATAGGTGTACATGTGTTCGTGTACGTATGGAAAAATGTGTAACCGGTGTAACGTAAAATTAAATGGGCAGTAATAGAACATCCGTCTATTATGTACTTATTTTTAAAATTATATCATTTGGAGAAAACATTTATAAATCATTGTAAGAAATTATTTACGTCACGACATACCATTTTGTAAACCTGTAAACAATAATTTCATGGACAGTTTAGTGATAAGTGTTAAATCAGTTTGTCAGTAAACAGTCTCTTTTCTTAATACCTTAAATGAGGTTAAAAAAAAGAGCTATTTTGAAGTATATTTGTGATTCAAATGATTCACAAAATACACAATCGAAAAGACACGTCGAGACATTTACTGACAAATTTTTAATAATCTGTTTCTTTTAAATTCAAAAGCCGTACTATGAATTCTTCTTCTTTCTATTTAGACGCACGTTCGAAGTATAATTTCTATATGACGATGAACTAGAAAAACATATGCATACAACACATAATGGAATATGAATAAAGCATACTAATCTTAAAAAAAATTGTGTATTTTCCTACCTTCAAAAACCTTCTAAAGAAGGAACAAACTCTGCAAATAAACACATTCTCTAAATTCGGATTACATTACTTGCTTTATTGTACACCTTATTTATACCAACATAAGTTCTCTAATTATGGGCCTCGAGCTACAGATCCAATATTTAAAATAACAAGTCATGTTATTACTTTTACAATTACGACTAGAATTTTGCATTCACAAGACTCCCTTTATGAATGTCACATTTATTCAAGGACAATACAATCTTTGGTATGATATGTTAAGCAAAAGTATTTTTTTTTTATCAACCTATAAATTACAAACTGGGTGTAAAGTAACATCGTTTGGTATTACTACAGATTACTTCTTGGACTCCAGCAAAGAACAATCCTCCAAGAAATGCCGTCTGGTATTGCGAAGAAAATCAATTGGGAATCACCCAATGATCAAGCAATTTCCTCAATACAACGTTGCCAGCACATGTATACACTAACAAAGTGTAGTAGGTGTTACACAACAATTTGCAGAAGTCTTCTTTAATTTAGATTATAAGATTATAATTAGTAGCATTCCGAAGTGCTCCCCGGAAACTTTTCCATATATAGCATTCAGGAGTACACGCAAAATTGCGTGTTTTGATAAATTACTCACACAGTTGCTTAATGAAATGCAATTAATTTTCAGCGAACCGGAAAATGGGAGAAACTTTTTCAGTTAACACTCTTCTGCAACTTTTTTTCCAATCGCGCACGGATGTCTTATAGATTACGGGTCTCAGGAGGCAATTTTGCCACTTAACACTGCGGCTTCTCCATCACTTGCCGACTTCTGTGAATGGGACTGAGTGCGGCGCGATGGCCTGAGACTCACTGGGCGGCATCGTGAAGCCATCGCTGCCCTGTTGCTGTTGCTGCTGCAGATCTCCAGGCAGGTAATCCTTCCAACTGCGGAAGAGATACCGCGTGAACTTCTTCAGCTGCCTGAATTTGCAGTAAGTCGCGCCCTCGGCGGACTCTGTCTGCTGTGTCTGGATGAGAAAGCCCCGCTCCTTGAATGTTTTCTCCAACTTCTCCCTCTGAAGCGATCTGCGCGACTTTCTCTTTCTGTGGTCACTGCGCTGAGTCGGAGTGGGACTGCTAGACGACTTTCCGGGCGTTGCCAAGGATCTCTGGTGCACTTCGCTGGGTGTCATGCACTCCACGCTGATTTTCTCGCTGGGCGGTGTGTTGAGGAAGGCTCCAGCACTGGATCCAGACATCAGGCCCGATTGCTGAAGGCTCTCGCGTGGGAAGAACTCATAGCCTCGCATAGACTTATCACCGGTGCCGCTGTAGTAGCGGAAGTTCCCTCCTGAATCCACAGAAAGCATCTTCTTCTCCTGAAGACTTGGCTTGGCACCGCCTGCAAAACGATATTTTGTCTATAAGTTATCAAGGCTATTTTCAAATACTATTAGCCACACCCTATTGTTTGCCCCGCCCACTAGATCTTTTATATTCTGCCCAAATTAATTCACATACCTGTGAATTTGAACTTGCATATGCTAACTTCCGTTGCGGGATTGGTGGCATTCTCCGCGGGTATGGGAGGAATGAAGATGGCAGATCTCTTCCTCTTGTGCGGCCCTGACCCTGTCGCTTTTGACGAGCTGCCCGATGATGATGAGGCGGGACTCGGTCGAGTGGTTGAGGTGGTGGGCTTCTTCTCACTCCCCTTCGATTGATTTGCGCTCGTGCTTTTGTGCTTATCGCCCTCCTTTTTCTCGCCAGCGCTGTCAATCATCTTCTGATAGTACAGTGACATGGGGTGAATAAAGACATTCGCATTCGGCCAATAGACATATCCACCCGAGGCGGAATCACCTGTCGACGGTGTTTCAGGCATAAATGTCTTGTCCATGAGCGCAGCCTTAAAGTTTGGCAATGTCATCTTCAGGTTGGGCTCCAGCAGCGCCTCGCCGCTCAGCTCAGGCACTCCGATAAGGGGTGTCGTCCGACTTGACTCCGCCATGCTGGAGGACTCCTCGTCCGACAAGATCACAGAATCCATGTCGCGGACGCACAAGTTAAGAGGCTCCTCGAAGGATTGCTTCGCTTCCTTCTGTGTCAGTCGCTTTTCCAGCAGCGAATTCACAATTTTCGATTGCAGCTCTGACTTCTTCGGCTCCTCCTGCAGAGCTTCACCCTCTATCGCCTCTTTGGGTGTTCCAGGGAAGATTGTCCCATAATTCTTGTAGATCAAGTGGCAAATGTCAGCCTTCTTGGGCTTTCGCCCTCGCCTCGGTTTGCTGTTCTCCAGCGTGATTTCCCCCATGTACGGCAAGTCGCTGTACTTGATGGTCTTGCTGGATGACGATGTCTTTCGCTCGACTTCCATTTCTGTGTCTGGCGTGGGCGGAACAGCTTCGCTCTGCAGCTCACTGATCTTCTGCAGCCAATTGCGAATGCTCTCATTCGTGCGATCCTGCGGTGACTCTGGTGTATCCATAGCGGACGACACTGTCATCTTGTGACCATCTTCCAGTCGCTGATTGTTCTTCGAGGCCTCAAAGTGCTCCAAATACTCCTGCGGAAGGGCCTGATGATGGAAGCGCAGCTTAAACTGCCCTTTGCGGCGCGATCGCGTGCTCTTCCGACGCTCCGCGCAGGTTGCTGTTCCGCCACTCGCTGGCGCATGGCCGGTGGGTGGGAAGGACGAGGATATAGTGGTCTTGATGCTGGCCAACTCATTCTGCTGGTGATCATCGGAGGCTCTGGACAAGAGTGGATCTTCGGAGTGTCGCCTGGAGTGATATTTGGAAAAGAATTAGTGTAAGTAAGCTGAATTCTCAGCCAAATGGAGACTTACAGCAGGTTCGACTCGAGGTCTGTGGTGAGCCAAGGATAGGCATCTGCTGGCTCCTCCAACTTGATGGTGACACTGGGCTCAAGATCCGGAGTCCTGACTAACTTCAGCTGGCTCAATGTCGAATCGTTGCTCGCCGACGCAGTGTCTCGATCCACAATTGTGCCACCGTTGAGAAAACTGTACTCTTCCCTTGACATTTCTTGTATGCTGCTGCCCACTGTCGAGGAGAAAAAAGCGAGCACAAAATTAGCCGAAATTTCCCAGCGATTTCCATATATGGTGAAAAGCGTGCGATCCAACACGCGGAAGCTCACGCAAACGTGCGTGAAATATGAGCCACTCTTCGTCACGAGTAAAATTCACTGCCACTTTTTCTTTGGTCTCACACACGAGCACAACCTCTCGTGATGGAGACCTCTTCTTTCACCTCCACTCCGTTGGAGAAGAAGCGCATATTAATGGAAACGCCCAAAAAGATTCTGCTGCTGTTCATTTTTCGGGCAGCCGAAATTATTTCTATTTCTATTCAAAGCTGAAGATGAAGGAAAAATTTACCCGAAAATAAAAGTTCCGGCAACATATTCACAATTTTCTATAAATATTTATGTATTTCTTCGTGTCCTCCTCCACTATGTCATTCAAATAGATAGATAATTGTCTCATGAGGATGTTGACGGGGAAATTCGATACTATTTTCATGTGAATCGCACTGAATTTTCTCTCAAAATGTCCATTTCACTCTCTATCTCACTCAAAACACCCCTCAACTTTATGTTGAATTAATCAGGACACAAATTATCCATGAGCCTCAGGGGAAAATTATCACAATATCACTGCGCGAGGGACGCACTTTTTCGCGAATGATCCCATCGCGACGATCTAAATCCAACTGTGAAAACTGTGACGATCCTAAGCCGTAGAAGGCGTCCGAGACATGTCTATTAAGAACCAAAAGGAAAATCTAATTTTATATCGAGTCTCTCTCTTTGATGCACGCAGAGCGATTGAGAAAGTCGATCTACAGCAAAAAACGGCCCATGATAAGCCACAAATGTCTCACAAAGTCTAGGATTCTGTCGAGAGCCAGCTTCGAGATTGCATTGTAAATTTGAAGGATGTCTAAAGTAGAAGCAATATTTTACAAGAAATAAACATTTATTTGTAAAGTTTGCAAGACAATTCCATTGACAAATTTGAAGAAAATCAATACATTTCTAAAGAAATTCCTATTGTTAAGGGAATTTTATGGAGAATCGTTGTTTGCCTTAATCTGTTGCTTAGTTTAATGCTGACTGAAAGACTTCAAAAGAAATCTCACTTGCAATATCTGTGAAGCTTGTGTGAAAAACTGAAGCGAATAGAACGGAAAAATCATCCGAAATATCCTATGTATACACATAACTTATTCTCAGTCTTCAGTTTTTCACACAAAAAACTTTCAAACACACTAACAAATCGTCGTGATTTCGAGTTTTCCTGCCACATTCTGCGAATGTGCGTGAATTTCCACCGAAAAACAGACCCATTTTGAGAAGTTGCTCAACATTTCACCCGAGAAATCCTCCATTCACAGCGATGCGCATGCAGAAATGGCTGAATTTGGAACTCACATGCGTGTCGAGAAAACTCGAAATTTGAGATACATTCAACTGCACCATTTTTGGTACACGCCACATACAAAGTTCTAGTCCACATCTTCGACTTCGACTATATTTAGCTTAAAGGCATTAGTTCAGGGAAAAGAAGCGCGCGCGATGATCGCGGGGCCGCGGAAAGGCGGCGAGAATTGTGGATTTATAGTTGGATATCATATTTATTACAAAATTGGAAAAAGTCATTATTCAGAAGTCTTTTTTTCTCTCTATTTCACCTCCACTTCTCGGGTGAGCGAGAGAGAATGACTGAGTGTTGTGTCGTGAAATCACCTCCCATGTTGATTCTGTCTTGGGAATCGCGCGCATTCACGAAAATATGAAATGAAGCAAGTGCCGACACACGAATTGGATATTTTTAGCAATAGAGAAGAAGAACATCTTGTTAGGCCATACTTTGAAATTATAACCATATAAGTATTGAGATCTTCAATATTGACTCTCCGGACTCTTTTTGTGCACAAACATTGCACATCGCGCGTGAAAGACTTTCAAGCTCTGCGCTTTGCCGCGGTGATGCGGAGAGAGGTTTCGCGAGAGGAAAAAAGATTGGTTCACGCATTGAATCGTCATCAGAGATGTCTTCCGTGCTTCCCAAAATAAACCACCAAAAAAGAGCGAACCATCGTATAATATTTTTACATAAATACACACCATTTGCACACTCATATTTTTCATGGTTCAGCAAATGGGAGTGTGCAGTCCGTTCGATCACTCACGATCTCCATAAACGCCACTCGCGAGTGATCAACTTTCTTCTAGTTCAAGAACATCTGTAGGATGTGTCACCAATCGACGCAGAATGCTCTCATCGCGAGTCTTCTATTTCCACTGATTTGTGAGAGCAAAAACCAGCTTCAATTCAAATTAAGAAAACAGTGTCAAAAGTGTGGTTGCAAATTTTCTGAGCGATTGTTTCATGAAATTTGAGACCAAATAAAAAATATTTCAGTTGAAGATATGAAACCGTGGGAAAATTGTTAAATTTCTTCAAGATTCACATCTTAGTGATTGAAACCCTTAAACAATATGTAAAATAGGTGGACGCAAATTCTCAGGAATCTTTTCTTTCCTTAAGTTTAATTTGAAAGATATTGAGAGAAAGCAAAAAATCGAAATCACATTTCATAGCCATTTAATTTTTCGTGATTATTTTATTGCTTTTCACGTGGGATAATATTTGATTGCATAATAACTGCCCTCTTGTATTTTCTTTGCAAGAATGCGAAATATTCATTGCAATAATTTATCTTGTTTACTTCCTCAAACTTACAGAAAAATCTCAATTCATTGTCATACATTTTTCCTCAATGTTTCTGCGTGTGGTTCACCGTGAGCGAGTTAAGTTTAAATGACTGGAAAAAAAGAGAAACAGCAAAGTGTCTTACCGCGACAGAGGAAAATAGTCCATCTTTTCACACTTCCATAGCATTTTTAAGCACAACACAGTATGTCGAAGAATTGTAATTAAAGTAAAGCCAATATTCGCCTCAATTGTGCGTACTTTGTATGCGAATTCACTGGAGAGTTGCGACTGTGAGACTCACGTGGGTGTCACTGAGGTCATTTTCGAGTGTAATTCTCTTCTGGAATAGAGAAAAACGACAACATCAACACGACTCTTCTCTACACTTTTTCACTCGCGCGCGAAGAGGAAATCTTTCATTACTTCTTATAATAAATTTAAAATAATCTGTGAAGATGGATCACTTGCGGCACTTGCAGTTTGTCTTCTGGTTCTGCGTAATCAAAAGTAATGAAAGTTTTGATTTGATTGTGCGGCAGTTCAATTGATTGCGCACTGAAGTCCGTTCGGAGTCTTTCGCGATGTTCTTCCAACGCGGTACTGAGACAAGCGTCACTGTCTCTTGTCCATGAGGCCACAGAAGAGACAATCTCGTGGTGTCTATCTCATCAGGCTGTCGCTATGGAGTGTGTGCAACTGGCGCGTGGGTGTTCATCTTCCACTTCTTAGTGTGCCTGCCTTTTGTCGCGAATCAAGCAGAGTCACTCGAGTTAAATATTCTTCAGCACACTCGCGATGCCATGCCGTCCGGTCTTCCTCAACACTCAGCCCGCGAGGCGCTCTCAAATGCACCATTTTACGCCCCTTTGTAGCAAATTACCAACCATAAACTCGCGCTTCTCAGCATTTCTTTGTCACATCAATTTCGCGCTAGAAAGCAAACTGATCAGCGAATGATTTTCGCAAATATCAATCATCTAGAGAAAATGAGTCAATTGCAAGAATGACGCCTAATAAGATGACAACTTGACATTACTGATGAAATTTGATATTATTCTGTAAACTTATTGATAGATCTGGTGTTATTATTTTCCACCTGTTGTATCTCACGAAAGTCAATAAAATTCTTCGAATTACTCAATAAAATCGATTTATTTGTTTTGGATTTCACATAAAATATTTATCAAAGATGGGTAAAGATTCAAACCTAAATTCTGCCACCTCCTAAACCACACCCATTTTATTGCCCCGCCCATATACATATGGTTTCTACGAATTTCTCTATTGTTCTGAAGGCTTTGGCTACTGATTTACAGTGCGCCAATTCATGTTCTTTATAAGTGCATTTTTTCGTAGAGCAAACATGAAGAATAATCAGCTAAATGTCTCTCCCACTAGAATGCTCCGCCCACTGCCAATTTTGAAAGACTTGCACGAGCGATTCCACTGTTAAACCTCCTCAAAGCACGAAAGAAAGCTAAGAGGAATGTTTTCTTTGGCCCGCACAAACATTGTGTGTCTTGTAACATGTGACATTGCGCCTCTGAAGCGCTGATCGCGATGCGCTCGATAGCGCCAATGATGAGATATTAGCGGTCTGGATTCGAGAAAACGCGATCGCCGATAGTCCGCTCACACCGTGTGAGGCAAGATCGAGTCTGCGAGCGGTGCATTCCTCGATCACGTCTCTGCAGCTGCTGCCACACGCCATGATCGCGGATTGAAGACCACGTGGGCGTCCGCATTGGATTGTGTTCTCTCTAATGTGCTGAGAGCAGAGTGACGCCCCAAGGCTCGCACACAAGCGATCGCGCGAGGACAAAGAGGATCTCACGGCAATTGATATGGCATCAAAATCTGGATGGAAGTGAGGCACGCAGACACTCTCCTCGCCGGCCAGCGATTATGCCATTTATAGAATGGCAATCACACAAAATATGGGAGATTCATCTCCCACACTCAAAAACTGCCTTTTATATGGGCGATCTCATACCATTTATACTCTTTAGTGCTCAATATACACACGGCAATCATTAAAATTTAAATATTGTAGAAACTTCCATATCGGGCGAATGCCTGAAAAAGTGACGTTTTTATCTTGTAAAATTTGCCTTTGCACAGAATAAATAAAACTTGTTATGAGCAATTTCCGCCCGCGCGAAATTCTCTCTCTCTCTCCCTCTCTGCTGTATTGAAAATACGCCTTCGGACAAAGTATAAATGAATTACAAATAATATAGATATTTTACATTGAACCAGACTCTAGAAATTGTGCAAAGGCCCAAAATGGACAGCTTCTTGCACTGTTAATTCAGTGTATTTGTTACAGGGATTTTTATGTCTCGCGGTATTTGTTTTTCAAACCCTGTCAAATATAGTGATAGAGAAAACTTTGTGAAATATTTATTGAATTAAATAAACATTACAGACCAATTTGCGCCTAGGAATGCTAATCGAAAGCAATAAATTGTCACAAATAACCAAAAATCATTAAAATCAAAATTTATCTATTTCATCTAAAAGCCAGAGTGACTAAAGTAGACTAATATGAGTCGTATCGCAGTAGAAATTGAATGAGGAATCGTAATAATTTATCTAATTTGTTGATTGATAACAACGTGAAATTATCCGTTAAGCGTGTGATGATTTCAAAATTCCCACGCAAACAAACTGAGCAACTGCGCTGATCTGGCAACCCTAATTGTTTATGTCACATTTTCCGGAAAGTCAGCGTGTTTTTATGTGCACGAGAAGCTTATAATATTCGCTAAAATGCTGCTAAATAGACTGTTTAGTTCACAAATCAGAGGCGGAATACTCGGATTAGCAAGTAAGCCGCATAATTCACAGCAATAGTTTGTGAATCAGTGTGTATTTAATCGTTTTTTTTTGCAGACTCCTTCAAGTCGCTGAGTTTCGCTCCGACTGCTCAGTTTTCCTCCAAGATCTCTCCTGATTCTGTTGCTGTGGCGAAGGATCTCTCCGTGGACAGCACCTCGGGTCTGGAGACCATCCAGAAGGTGAATCAGCAGCTGCTGGCTAAGGAAGAGGGTCGTCTCTTTGCGGTGGTTCACTTGTGCGGGAAGCAGTTCAAAGTCACTTCCGGGGACATCATTGTGGTCGAGGGCGGTTGGCCACCTCAGCCGGGGGACAAGATTCGGCTGGACAAGGTGAGAAGCAGTCAGATAGTCGCTGGGAGTGTGTTAACATGTTTTACTGCTTTCCTGCGCAGGTTCTGCTCGTTGGCGGGAAGGATTTTTCCCTGATCGGGCGTCCAATTGTGCAGAAGGGCCTCGTGGACATCCAGGCGACCATCATCGAGAAGACTCTGAGCCACACACGTACATATTTCCGCATGAAACGGAGGAAACAGTTCCGAAGGACGCACTTCCATAGGAACTCCAACACGATGATCCGGATCAACTCTATCGACATCACTGGAGAAGTCAATGCGAACCTGCAGCCAGAGCCAGCGATACCCAGAATATTCTAATCATCAGTTCAAATTTGTTTAGTGTCTTTCTTAACTGAGATAAACCGCATAGAAATTGACCAAATTCCTGATTTGTCTGTGTTGTGAATCAATCGCAATCGTCTTATCTTCCAGCGGATCAAAGTGGGATTTAGCAGACCTGGGAAATCGGCAGTGAACTTAGCAGTTGTGTGAAAAATTCCCTGCTGAGAAGACATTCCTCTGGTGTTTTTGCGCTACGATGGGCAATTGGAGAGATGAATTCGCCACTCCGGCCGAGAAAGTGGCCTCGTTGCGCGGGAAATCCACTCTGGCGGACATGGTCTTCATCGTGGGCAGCGATCAGGTCAGGATCCCGGGCCATCGCTTCGTCTTGAGTCTCGTGAGTGAGTCTTTCGAGTCATGTGACAGCGAGATCCACATCGCTGACTTCGAAGCGGACGTCTTCATGGAGTTCCTGGGCTTCATCTACACGGGCGAAGTCACTCTCGGCGACGACACGGCCCTGGAGATCCTCAAGTTGGCGCACAGGTACAAGATTGACCTCCTTGTGCGCGACTGCATGGATTTCCTGCGCAGGAACATCAGCGTAGCGAATGTGTTGCAGTGCCTGAACTTGGGCATCAATCTGGGCATGACGGATCTCAAGGCGCAGTGTCTGGACGTCATTTCGGATTTCACCCTCGCGGTCGTACAGCAGGAAGCGTTTCTCGAGATTAGCCGTGAGACTCTGAGTCACATTTTAGAGCTTGAGGTGAGATTATCATAGTTAACACTTCGGCTCCCTTCCACTATACTTTCGAATTAAACGAAAAAGCACTTCTTCATAAGATAAGAATTTACACTCGAGAGGATTCTTGGAAAAAACTACAGACTAAAATTATCCTTTAATTTGAATTAATTTTGATGTCATCGGAAACACTGTGTCTTTCAGATAATCATCTGCACAGAGCACGAACTCTTCCAGGCGGTCATGCGCTGGGCAGACGCGGAATGCCAGCGCCAAGAAATCGAGGGCAACTGCGAGAATTGCAGCCAAGTCCTGGGCGACGTCGCCGAGCTCATCCGCTACGCCGCGATGGAGCCTGAGTTCACCGAGGAGTTTCGCAGCCTGGCCAAGAAGCCCGCCAAGTCACGCTCGCTCTCGTCCGCTCTGCCCACATTCTTCGACTACGGCCACGCGAAGCTGACCATCCTGTCGCCGCTGGATCGCATCCACCTGTCGCCGGACGCCGTGCGTGAGTGCGCGCTGGAGTTTAGCTGCAACCAGTTGGTAAGCGTGTTCGGCTTCGGTGTGATCGTGGAGATGGGCGCCGAGCTAGAGGGCTGGGCCGAGATGTGCTACAAGTACGACGGCGCGTGGGTGGAGCTGAAGAAGAACGTGACGGTGAGCGTCGGCTGTCGCTGGAAGTTTGGTGCAAAGCACGAGATCGTCTTCCTGCTACTCAAGGAGAAGCTCACACTCGCGCTCAGCAATTACATTTACCGCATCGTGCTGCACAATCAGGCCGCGACGCTGACGCACGTCTTCGGGGACGTGTTCAACGAGACCGCGAAGATCCCCGCGAGCGATGATGGCGAGGCGACGACGGTGAGCTTCAGTCGCCAGGAGGACAACTACATTCCCATGATCCTCGTGCAGAGTGAGAAGTTTGCCTAATCAGAGCTCGTGAAACTTTCCAGACATGTTCTGTTCTGCTTAAGTCGTTGAACTCTTCACCTTTTTATCAATTAATTCGCTACGCGCGCATCCGGAAATATATTCATCTATATGAGTTAATAAATATTCGGTTTGACACTCATCCTGTTGTTAATATTAATGAGAATTGCCACGAAGATTTTCCAGATAAACACCAAATTCGCGCCACTGACGGTTCATTTCAGTGTCAGGAGTTGCGTTGCAAAGTGTGCCGAAATGGAATATGTGCGCAAAGGATGGGATTTGATGAATTATTTGGACAGTTTATCAGGCAAGGATTCTTCTTGAAGTGCAAATTAGTAATTAGTAACAGTTGCAATGTAAGAAATGGTTTGTGATCATTCAACTTCGTGGAGTGATGAAAATATTCATTGAGTGATTGAAATTTGCGTAAGAAAAATACGATGCAATTGTTGAACGAGGAGTTTTATATCAGAAATTTAAAATTTTATGATATTAAATTTCAGCTTTTTGTTGCGTAATTTTGATGAAAATACATTTTAATTTCATACGAAATTTAATCTTAAAAAGTATTTAATTAAATAGCAAATTTTTACTTTCAATCCACGCCCTTTTAGAATCTCCGCCCATTTTTATATAACCAAGTACAATAATGACAATGATAATTCCAATACTTTCTTTTAAGAAATTATTAGTTAATATATTTTCTACTTTAATATTTATCGGTCACAAACTATTTCCGACCTTTGTGTGTTATTTCCTTGGTCGAGTGTAGAAAAATGGGGCACAAATTGAATTGCAAATTGATCAAAAACCGAAAAATGATTTCCAATATTTAGATAGTAGAACACGAGGATGGTTCATGGTGGATTCCTTGCTCACCATTGGCGTAATCATGACTATCTACCTTGCTGTGATCTTCTTCGGACCTAAACTAATGGAAAAGTAGTGCATTCTCTAGCATGTACATTGACGATGGACTAACTCTCAATCCTTCTCCAGACGATCCGCCTTTCAACTGAAGAACGTCATTCTGATCTACAACATCTCCATCGCCATCGCCAATGCTTATATTTCGTATGAGCTTTATCTGCGATCAAATCTCCTCAATTACACGTTGTTCTGCACTCCCAAGACAACCTCTAACGATCCCAATGAAATACGTCTCGCCACTGCAATTTGGCTCTACTACCTCACCAAATTCATCGAACTGCTCGACTCTGTGTTCTTCGTGCTGCGCAAGAAGCCCAACCAACTCTCGTTCCTGCACGTTTACCATCACGCGATGATGGTGGGATATGCCCTGCTATGCATCAAGTGGTTCCCGGTCGGATTATGTACGTATTCGCCTTTGCAGATCGCTTAGAATCGGTCAAATAAAATTCTCTCAACTTCCAGCTTACTGTCCTCTGATGTTCAACTCAGGCAAGAGCGCATTTGAAGGCATGAAAAATGGCAAGTTGTTATGAATATTCATATCTTTAAAGGTGTCCACGTGCTAATGTACCTCTACTATGGACTATCCACTCTTGGACCGACGGTGGCTAAGTATCTCTGGTGGAAGAAGTACTTGACAATGATTCAAATGGTAGATCCGAAATCGGTGGCACACTTGTTGCAATTTTACACTTAAATTCATCTCTTTCAGATACAATTCATCATAGGCATGCTAATCGCATTGGTCTCATACTACACCGGCTGTGGATTCATCCCAGAATGGATGATGATAATCAATTTCTTCTTCATAGGCATATTCTTCTTCCTCTTCGGTCAATTCTACATTGCGTCGTACAGGAAATCACCCAAGACAGCTCAAGAAGATACGAAATTGAAGGAGAAGTAAAGAAATTAGCGCTGTAAATTGAAGAATGAGGAAAAAATATACAAGAACACGTGCAACTAAACTAGATATTCATTTATTAATTAATTAGTCTCTCTATAGAAACACTTTACATAATTTACACATTTGATTCTCTCTCTTTCTTCTCAAATTTGGTGCCTAATTATTAAATTAACTTTGTGTTGTTCATGACTCTTGATTGTAAATCGATGAATATATTCTCTCTAAAAATTCTATGGTACATTTAATAAAAGTCTCTTTTCCTTACCGTAAACATAAAAAAAAAACAGTTTTGTAACAACTCCGCATTGTGTGACCCATCAATCCATCTTCCCCGCCGTCAAGGGGAACCGAATGATCCTCAATTCATTCCCATAATCACAAATAACGCAGTCTGACGACGCCAACACCAGCCTGGGGCACAATTGGGAGTTTGCACTGTCCAGCTTCACCTCTCGCGTCGGTTCGCCCGTTCGCACGTCCCAGACAATCAAAGAACCTGCAAAAGGATCAGAAGGCATTGATAAGTATTCGATTTGTTCTAGCTTTTAGAATTCGAAACGGAGTGGATTAAAGTTTGCACATTCCTCAGTAGAGAAACAAGAAGCTTACCTGGCTTGGTTGTTATGAGCAACGACGGCGTCAGCATCAAGAGGATTGAGTAAGCGTACAAGACGTTAATGGAATTCAGAAGATGCCCCTGGAATCTCTCCCAGATGCACAATCTCTCGTCCGCGCCCAGCGATATCACGTAACTCGGCGAGCAGACTAGTGACACGATGGCGCCGTCGTGCGCCTGGATTCCATACACGCACGCGCCTGCAAGAGAAAAACTCAGTCATGCTGCCTAAGGTGCCATTTTCGCGCCAATTCTCACCCGACGTGAGATCCCAGACACATAGCAGTCCCTCCTGAGAGCCCGATCCGCCAGTTCCGTAGTGATTCTGGTCAATGAAGAGACACGTGATGGGCCCATAGTGACCGTGAAGCGTGTACTGCAGACTCCTGTTGTCCAGCCTGAACACCTTCAGCGTGTTGTCCTGACTGCCCGTGAACACCGTGCCGTGCATCACTTCCAGACACGTGATGGATTGCTGATGGGCTTTGTGCTGAATCTCCACAATACACCGCAATTCCTCACCCGTGGCGGTGCTGTGATGTATCATTGCCAAACTTCCTGTGGATCCAGTGCGAATGTGAGCTGAAAAGACGACGCGACAGATAGAGAAAAATTGCCATTTTCACAGCGTGTTGAGAAGAACAAATATTACTTCTTCTGTACGCAGATGTGAAGCCCCAGTCAATCTGCTTGCCTTGACTGTAGGTTTCCAAACGCAGAAAATCCACTCGCCCACAGAGTCTGGCCACAATGACTCTATCGCCAGACAATTTGATGTGAGTCACGCCATTGCGAACCTTCTTCTCATCGTCCAAAACACACTGCAAAGAGAAAAGAGAGCGAGAGTAATTAGAGCCGCTTAATCTCAGAATCAAACACTGATAACACTCATCAACACACCTTAAGATTCCCCGTGCTGCCCTCCCAGAACTCTACACGACCATCTGAGCATCCCACGGCGATGAGATTGTCCACGAAGTCAAGGCACCAGATGGGCGAAGACTCCCTCTGGTTCGGCACCTCCCGGAACAGCACACGCCGATTGATCTCCGCAATCAGCTCGCCCCCATTCACATCCCAGATCCTTATGTTACCCTCCAGACACGAGCTGGCCACCATCAGGCCGTCCATCGCCAGACACTCCACGCGGTGCCGATGGCCCGTGACGGCGATTGGCGTGCTGCTCTGGATCACGTGCTCCACGCGCGGCCGCGCCGTGGGATCGGCGTCCGTCCAGCTGGCGCGCCACTCGGCGTAGTTGCGCGTGCAGATGCAGCGGTACAACACGACCAGTGTGTACGTGAGGACAAAAATACTAATGGCACAGAGGATGCTGGCCAGGAAGATCTCCATGGGACTCTTTGGGTAGAACGGCATGCTGCCGGTGCTGGGCGACGGCGACTCCTGGTGCTCGGCGTCGGAGAAGTCAATGGGATCCAGCGCCACGGCGAGCGCCTTCCACTGGAACTGCTGTGGACTCTTCTCGTCCGGATTGCGCAGCGTCACCGCCACATCTGGCGCGATGGCGTGCGACAGTCTTATCGTCGGCAAGATCGTCACGTACTTCCCACTCACAGAGATGTTGTACTGCCTCAGAATGGCGGACCAGTGGAAATTGGACAGATAGTGATTCGAGTCGTATTCCGGATGGCGCAGCTTGTTCAGCTGCTCACTGATGTTGGCGAACGTGTCATCTTCCACCACGTGCGCCTCATAGATCGGAGATCGCGTGCTGGCCATGTTGAACACCATCTCATCCCGCTCCACCCTCTGCTGCTGGCTCTCCTGCGCCACTGGCTCATTCGGCAGGCTGTTGATCTCTGTGCTCGTGTCGATCACAAACAGACTCTCCAGGATGTTCGAATTGTAGATGATTGAGAAGATCCACACGATCATCCAGATCATAAATGCACGCTGAAAGAAGCGCGTTCTCGCCCAGAAGTTCACAATCTTCACCCTCTTTGGTATCTTCCTGTCCGTCACCGATGGCGTTGGAATGACATCCGTCGAGATGTGATTCACCGAGTCCAGCATCAAGCCACTCAACTTCGGGTGACTCTGCGATCGAGACATTGTCGTCGCGTGCGCCGATGACGAGTACCTGCAGAAGAAACATGCAACAAATTAGAAAATGCATGCCGCGGCGAGGAGTTCTTGGAAAAGCCAAGCATGAGCCAACTAATCGCTTTCGTAATGCTCGATTGCGTCTCAACTCTGTTTCCCAACGCTTTTCTTCCATTCGCCATTGAACTAAACAATATTCCGAATTCAACTCCTGCTTTCAAAAGACTTTTTTGTGAATATATTGAAAGAATGTTTTGTGATTGATCACAAGCTCGCTTCTGGCGTAATGAGAAGGTGACCAATATAGTAATCGATTGATTTCAACTAAATTTACTGACTGATAACTCAATGCGTGGAACATTGAGAATGGAATTACAATGGACCGAATAGATTTCATGCATTATAATATATTGTCAAAGAAAACATCTGAAGCTCCGCCCATTCGTAAATCCCGCCCACTTATCTTTATTATGTGATAAGAAAACACATATTTCTTCATAACGACTCAAATATGATCATTTGCTCTTTTATACACTTCATGAATCGCTGGAAAGTAAAAGTTTACACATCAAAACATAAATATAAATATAGCACATTAAAACATAGAAATAAGAAGGCAGACAAGATGTGTGAAAGCCGAGGATTACCGATATATGTATTAAACAACAATAAAGAGCATTATGCGTGTAATTAGAAAGACCAAAAGGTCAAGAGAGTACGATATTTACGAATAACGATAAGCGAAGATCGTTAGCAGAGTGTCAATTCCGATCTAATGACGAAAGTGATGATGAGTCTTGCTTCTGAGTTATATTGAGTAAATAAAATCTAGCGTCACTGTCGGAAAACACAGGATTCCCTTATTCGCAGCAAAACAACTCGGACAATACAAATGCGTAAACAATGTGATAAGCACACTCTTACTTTCAGTGCTTGTTATTGCGAGCACCCTGCAGAGACTCTTGGCTACGCTCACGCGTGGCACTTTTGGCGCCATAAAACTGTCGAAAGGTGCAAATTGGCGCCAAAATAAACACTCCGCTAAGCCCTGGATTGCGCGAGATAAGTCATCTCTTATCTCTTAACTCACCTGAGACGCGTCTGCGGCGAGCCGGAAGCGGCGCCGGTGTCCTTCTTCGCCTGCTTGAGCTGCACGCCATGCTCACAGGGGCGGATATTGAGCGCCAGGACGGTGGAGAAGAGCATCATTTGCAGGAAGTAGTCGGAGATGAGGCCGACGATGGCGAAGATGCAGAACTCCTGGATGACGGGCACAAAGGTGGCCAGGCCCACGGTGAGAATGGTGATCTCGGTGAGCAGGGTCTTGGAGATCGACCAGCCCTCGTTGGACAAACCCTTGGCCACACGGATCTTCACGTCCAGCTTCTCGTCCGTGGATGTGATGCATTTTGTGATCACGAGCACATTCTCCAGGCCAACCAGCACCACCAGATAGGGGAAGATACCCTTGGATTGGATGCTGATGGTGAGGCCGAAGAAGAAGCACAATCCCAACGACATGATCAGGCTGCCCAGCACCGTGAAGACCGCCGTGAAGGCGAGCAGCAGGCGCGACCGGATGAGGTCCATTTTGCGCAGCGAGAAGTACACGTAGTAGAAGAGCAGTACGAAGGTGATGATGAGCGGCATAACCTCGAGCACGCGGAACTCGCCCGGATAGTAGATGTACGTGAGCGACTCGCGGTGCTGATCATTGTTGGCGGCGTGATGGAGCGCGTAGTGGCGCATCAGCTTCTCCTTGAGCGTGCTGAGGAACAGTTGATTCTTCTCGCGTAGGATCAGCGTCACGGCGAACTGAATGACGCGCGGGCGGGCGCGGATGGGATAGCGTTTCACGCCGGTGTCCCGGATTGAGATTCCGAAGAGCATCTCGGCGATGGACACCTTCGTCTTCTGCAAATTGTGAAACTGGAAGATGGTGTTGAGCAGCGACGCGTCCCGGTTGAACATCTGCGTGTTCTGCTGCCAGAAATTGGCCGGCGACAGGATCAGGCAGTTGTACTCGGGAAACACGGTGTCCTTCGCCCGGAAAGTCTTTACATTCTCCACGTGCAGACATAGATTGGCCAGCGTCACGTGCGACTCCTCCACCTCGTGATTCCGGATGAGCTCCAGCAACTTGAAAGTCTCCGCCAGCGGCGCTCTGTAGGCGTCCGTGAGGATGAGATTCCCGTTCCATGGCGCCACGCTGGAGCGCAACACGATCTGCTGCACGTAGATGAAGGGCTCGGCGTGCGCCCACGGGAACGGCGGCTCGAAGGTGCTGATGTTGCCGAGGCGGGACATGGAAGTGGCGTTGTCGGTGGCGTCGTCGGGATTGTAGGGCAGGACGACCTTGGTGGGAATGGTGCCCGGCAGGGGGATGTAGATGAGTGGGTAGCAGCAGAACAGGAGGACGACGATGGCACAGCTGGTGGCACATGTTGGGTAGCTGGAGAGGAAGAGGCCGTGCTTGTAGTACCAATTCGCCACGCGCAGCGGCAGGCCCACGCGCCGGCGGCTCTCGCCCGGCCGCGACATTTCTCGCATCAGCTCAGTTCTTCCAAGCTACCAGCGCGGCGTCCGGGGGCACCGCGCGCACACCATTTCCGCACTGCCCGCACAACTGCCCTAACCTCACTAGTGGCCAGTTGCTGTGGGAAACAAAACAGGGGCTCAACTGCGCAGGAGGAACTCGCACTCAAGTCTCACTGTATCCACTGTCCACCAGCTCAGCACGATGCACACACACGCGGGGAAAGCGCGAGCACTCGAATGCACTTCTGGCCTGTCGTACGCTTGGCCTTTTCATTTATTTTCCTCGCTAATTTGCACAACTCGACGGCAGGAGTGGAAAAATAGTCGTGCTTGTCAAACGCGCAGTAAAACATCCGGAACGGCGCCACTGGCGAGGCCGAAACTCAGCAACTTTTCAAACGCCAACAGTCAGCAGCGCCAGAAGGTATGCAAAACAAAGAGCACTAAATCGAGGGGTTAATTTCTTTCAAAAGCTTTCAATATTTGCACTCTGCATTGCAGTGAAAGTGTCTCAAGTCTAAATGCTTTAAGTGTAAATCAGAAGTCTAAACGATGTTATTTCAATGAGTGTTCACTATCTGTGGTCTCAAAATCTCTCCAAAAAGCGCAAAAGCTTCAACTCTGAGTCACTCAAAAACACTTTATTGCGATATCAAGGAATAGGAAGCAGGAAAATTTATACAATTCATTTATCCGATGCACTATTCCTCACTCGGAGACTCGCGAGTCTCTGTTGCGGCATCGTCGCCGAAGATTTGGATGCGCATGAAGCTGTAGAGGCGAATGGTGTCGGAGAGGAAGTTGTAGATATCCTCTCGGGGCAGGAAGCGTAGGCTGAAGAGCCACTGGTTGACGTCCTTGGCGCTGCGGATCTCAAAGCCCATGAAGCGCAGATATTCGCTGATATTCTGCGCTGTGGTGTAGTGAAAAACGTCCATTCGCACGGCAGCTGTCTGGCGGAAGTTCTCCAACTTCTTCATATCCTGGTACCACTTCTCAGAGAGCTTCTTCTTCACCTGCTCGTCCACGATCCTGTCGTAATCGTCGTAAATCTCGGGCCTGACGACGGTCAGCACGAAGTCCTCACAGATGAGGAGCAGAAGACGCGCCAAGGCGCTCTTGATCGCGAAGACGAACTTGTAGAAGAACTTGATGGCGAACATTTTTAAGAATCTTCTCGGCAATTTGGTCTCAAACACGTCAGAGGATCTCGAATGCAAAACTTCAACTAATGAAGTTTGTAGATCGAGGCTCTATTTATTCTGCGAAGGATGGAAAGTGACTCGAAGGAAGGGACTTGAGGCGGTGCATTTCTGCTAAGAGAAGCAAATCATGGCATTTCTTCTACGCCCTCGACGTCTTCTTCCATCTTAAGAAAGAGCGACGGTGAGTGCATCTCATGATCTTCAATTTCTTGTGTTCTTTCTCACACACTAAATGTTTATTTTCCCGATGATTGAATGATAAAAAAATCATGAATCGTTATTATAAAGCTGAATCACGAATACGCCTAAAAGGACACTTCAAATAGTAAATCTTTAGAGTGCTCGCAATTTTCTCTTTAATTTCACGCAGAAGAGTCTCAGAGCTTTAAAAAATCATGTGACTATATATGAGTTGAAGCAAAATGATTTATTGCGTGCTGTGAAAAATTGCCCACACTTTCTACATTTCTGAACAGCGTCCATGAATTTATTTAATACTTTTATTGGCGAGCACAAATTGCTAAATTGCATACAGAAGTTCATCTTCAAGCGCATTTGTCTGGGACTTTCCCTTCATTTCAGCCACGCGATCTTTTGAAACATTTTATGGCAGCCAAAGTGGCTACCCGAGAACCTCCTGCAATTGAATATGCAGGATTTGTGGCGCCGAAGGATGAATTCTGGCCACTAGAAAACCATCTGGTGGAATTTCCCACTTACCTGCCCCAGCACGATGCATTTTGAGGACGCAAATTGTGCGGCCCCTCAAGCAAATGTGCTTATCCATTGTCAGTTGATAATCCTCACTCAAGGTCCTCGAGTGCAGAAGAGGACGGACTTTCCATTTGCGTCATGCAAAAAGGATTCAGGGTTTTAAAACATCATCTGGATGGAATTTCCAACATTCGCCTGTGCAGAATTCTTCATTTTCCTATACCCAAATTTCAGGGGCATTAAGTTCGCAACATATTTAGGCTTGCATTTAGCAGATGCTGAATGAAATGTCCTCACAGTCTCACGGCGAAGTAAACAAGGAGTGTGGTAAACAACCCCTTCACTGTTCTTGTCACTTTGCTAACAATGAAGAAAAATTTGCATTGTGGCCAACAAAGCACGCCCCATTATTGGCATATATCAAAATATTCTCTCTCCCCCACAATTCGACCCCCAAGGCCTCGTCATGACGGTGAATGAAAAACATGCGAATCCTCGGCTCGTGTCCTGCTCCATGCGTGGGGACATCTGATGCTCGTGCCACGCAGATGGAAAAATCTCCTTTCATTCATTGCCCCGAACTGATAGCGCTCGGCTCTCGAGAGTCAACAGTCTCGCAAGTGCTCTGGATGCGAGAACATTGGCGCTCAGCAAGTACGCTAAGCCGCAAAAGTGCTCCCTATTTTCCCCCCTTGCCGCCTCCCAATTCACACAACATCCCTAATTGCCCGGCAAATTGTCATTTGTACGTCTTCCCAAGCCCTCTTGACCACTGCTGTGCACCCCTCAGTCTGTGTTTTGTGATGCTGGTGGAAAATCCGTGATTAATTGCCGAATCCTTCACTCTATTCCCAGATTTCCCTGTGGATTTCCACCCCGTGACCACACTCGTGAACAACTCCACTGCTTCAGCATCTCTGTGAGTATTACTTGGTTACAATTGTAAACATATTTCCACCATATGGCGTCTCCTTTTTGCTCAACAGTCGCCAAAAACACCCCCAAAACGACCCTAAATTGATCTCAAATCACGAGAAAAAGAATGTTTTTTTAATTAATTGCACCACAATCACCATAATTGCCCTCTGACAGAGAGTAATTACCACATTTTTCACCCTCAAACATACAAAAAATACATCCTCTTGATAGGAATTCGCATCTCTGATATAACGCAAAATAAAGCAATTTGTATTGATTTCCACAAGATGGGATTAAAGAGGCGATGCAGAGAACGGCAATTTGTCTTGCAAATAAATTGCATGACATCATTTCCCTGAATCGCTCTCTTGCTCCAGAAATTCTTCCCATCGCCAAAAGAGAGAGAAAAAAACATCCATAAACACGTCCATGAGAGACAGCCGATGAGTGACTGTGGTGGAGTTATCATTGCATTTTATCAGATTCGAAGGCGTCACCACTTTCGGATCGATAGATTAGATTAGGAGGGAAATTGTCACAACACGCAAAATACAGCACTTTTCTTGCTCAAGTGCGAAAAGTGAAGAGAGTGTGGGAGAAGAGCAAATGTATTCGCAAAGCAATTCATGGAATTTGAATTTGCATAAAATTAAAATTTCGTGGAAATTTCATGCTGAACTTTTGTAATAGCACAGGAAGCTTTTCCACCGAGTAAATCGCGCGCGAAGTCTTATAAATGTCATCCCATATGACAATGTTGGATGTTAACATCAAGGGACATGTTAAGATTAGAGAAGGAAAATGTACGGAGAATTTTAATGCGTATTTTCCCTCCGTCACAAAGCCGTGTTGCTGACCTCAAAGTCAAGGAACCTTTATTGGCCAGTAAGCGGGAAAAGTGAGTGGAAAAGCTATTAGAAAGTCCTCTTATTTTGCGGTTTTTACTTCTGCGGTCTCACCTTTAGCGGCCCACAATCGCTTTTATTTCTGCTCAGCTGCTGTAAATGAAATGTTTATGTGGGAATCCTTAAAGTTTTATGCTTTGACATTTCCTGTGAAACCGCACTTTTATTGACTTCTTTCGCTACACAACTATATTATTTTGATTGTGGAAATCATTAAGAAAACATTCATAAATATTTGAAAATAATGTTTATGCGTCAGTGTTTGCAATTTCGAAAGAATTTCTGTTCATTGTATTATATTGAAGTTAAAATTTTGAGTCTATTAAGTTGAATATGGTGCTGAAAATCAAAGATATTTCTATAATGAAGGAAATTCAATTAAGGGATATCAACTGATGTTTCCATGTTGAATTCAAAGGGAATATCGAACTTTCCTACGATTGACCAGTTGAATGAGGGCTAAACAAGTGAGAATAATTCTGATTTCACAATAATTAATCCAACGCACACTGTCGCATTGTTTAATTTGAGACGTCTCCTTGCCAATCAAAGTTCCTTGTTCCATTGCTCAATAGGCACTGAATATCTCTTTCAATTTGCACAGACGAAAAGTTCATTTGGAAATTATTGGGTGACATGAATGAAATGCGTGTTCAAAGTGGGTGTACACAATTTGTTTTGCGTATGAAGACACTTGAAATTTCGGGCTGAAATTGAATTGACAAAATTGCTTGAGCTTTAGAGAAGAAAGTTCAGAGCTTTCCACTTCTCACGAGACAAGTTGCTGTTGAAATTTACGGTCGCTTCTTCGCCCATTTGCCGTGCGGATTTAGAAGCTGTGAAAAACGATACCGCGCTGGGGTGGGAATATTCATACATTGTGGGGTGGCTTTCGACACCTCAACACGATATTGCTCAATTTTCTGCAACGACGCAGTCAAAAATGTTCCATCATAAAACGGCTGTTCTAAATTATAAAATTTCCACGTGCCTCTCCTAGACGTGTCATGATATTCTCAGGTAATTTAGTGGAGATTGCACTAAAATGATGTAGAAAGTCTGCTTTTGACAGCCCAATAATCTGGTCTTGTTTGTTATTTTCCCCACATTTCCAATGTCAATGTCAATTACATGAATTTCAAGTGAAGAGCGCATGAAAAAGGAACGAAGTAATATGAAATTACATAAATCACACAGCCCATTGAAGTCTAAATGTGATCCTGCACACTGTAAATATGAAATTTGTAATATATATTGTGCCTGGTTTTATGCTAAATTAATTAGTTTAGCATATCAAAGAATTTCCGGCATGAATAATTCGCTTTCAAGTAAAAGCTTTCATATTCAATATTGAAAGTTAGGACATAATCAAAAGGGAGCGGAAACTTTGTTGCACACAATCTCTATCTACTTATACTGAGAAATAAAAAGACCCTCAACAATTTTCCTCCCCATGCTATAGCTGAGAGCCTCCTTTGCATCCTCTTTGCAGAGTTTGAAGTCTCCACGGCCAGCGAAATGATTGTGAGCTCGGCTGTTCTGGGCGCTGCTGCTGGAACAGGACTCGCCCTGGTGGTAGCCGTGACCATCGTCGTCTATCGCTACTACCAAGTTCGTCGGCATGGCAAAGAGTGGGCAGAACTCGAATGCTGCAGTGCGAAAAACAAGTACATCCACCGAAAGCTCCTCCTCAAGGTAAGCTCTCCACACACGCCAGAAGCCCGTGAGATGGCTCTGAGCTTTCGCCTATGTAAATTTTCGCATGAAAGCTCGCGCGGAACAATGTGTTTCTAAAGCAAATTTAATTGCTTGTCTCTTCTCTCTTGGGGACATTTCTCGTTATCTTTTTTTTCGTCTGCAATTCCATGCGAATTGGCAACAGTGTGAGACAATGTGAATGGCTTTTTGTTCACCGCACAGACCATTTAGTAATATCAATTTGTATGAAAATGAGGGTGCAAAATGACGAAAAGAAGTCCTTTCTCTCTTTGGTAGAGTAAAATATCACCATCGAGTACATGTGTTGCGAAGAAAATAAAAACCAAATAAAATTCTAGCGCCATCAACAAGTCTCGTGGGAAAGAAAGTGTTTTCTATATAGTGCGACACAGGGTGTGGCTAAAGTGCGGTGAACTGAAATATGAAAATATCCAGAGACGCCGTCCAAAATCCTTTATGCCTGCCACAGCATATGATGATGAACTCCTGAAAAATACATTGCCCAACCTATTTCGCAGGCAACACACGAGCTCACGAGATATTTCAGCGCGTTTTAATACACTTTTTGAGCTGCGTACATACGATACACGGTATATGAATATACACGTGTACATAAACATAATCAATTAAATATTAAGACACGTCACAACTCCAACATTTATTCTTCGCCCTCTTCCATGGCCGGAGAGCTCTCTTTCACCGCTCCTCCCCGGTCGCCTGAGCACACAGCGAAAGAGAAACAACCCCATCGGCCGGAGCATCCGATGAAAATTTAATTAGGATGGCGCTGAGCTGCAATTTGTCCGATATTTGGACGCCGGAGATTCGGGGTGGGACAGTGGGTGGTCTCTATCAACAATTGATTCAAGCACGATGCTGCCACCAATTTGATGGAGCATCAGCACAAAAATGAGCTCGTTCCAGGGACCTGTTGCAATAACACGGGCTTGGGGCAGACACACAAGCAACTTGGCAGCCACTGAAAGCTCTCTCGCCCGCAATGCGCCTGCGTGGGCTTTATCCTGCTCTCATCCATGAGACTCTGCAACAGATATGCATCCACGACGTTTTCGAGTTATTTTCAGCCTCGGAAGTAAGCCTTAGGGCATTGACTGAAAGAGGAGTTGTGCAATTGATCAAACCTCTTCTTAGTAGGTTATGATCTTTGAAGACATTCTCAGGGATGAACTATGAACTATCTAGCAAACCTAATTTTCTGACCCTGAAGCATTTAGTTTCGTATAAACCTGAACCTCTTCTAGAGGGAAATCTTCAATTATCTTTTTTGTGGGCGTGGCTTTAAAGTGGGTGTGGTCAAGTAGTCAGCAATATCTTTCATGTCAACATCACCTTTCAGTGTGTTTTCGGTTAGAAAATGTTTCGCAACTACTATCTTAAGAAATATAAAAAAAAAGAATTACAGAATAATTATACTGAAAAATAGTTTGATGCGGAAGACTGGAAAACATAGAAATCTTCACATTGCGTGTGAAATGTGAGCACATGGCGAAACTCATTGCCTACGCCATAGCCTTTTCTCGTGCCCTCTCGGAACTCCTCCAACTCTTCGCTGGCCGTTGTTAGTGACTTGGGGTTGCTCCGCTTGAGCTTATGGTGGAAAATTCTCCATGCGAGAAAAATAGCGAAAGCTCAGGCGGAGATTCGACTCTGTTGGATTCCGACGCCGCTCCCTTTCGCAAGAGTCGTGCGTTTAGGGGAGACGCTCTCAGTGCTCCCCAACAATCGCGAGCAGACGAAGGGATCCTCCGGGAATTTGTGTTCAGTCTTCGCAGTGACGTCTTCTCGCATCCCATCCTCCTACCCCAAGACTCCACGGTCATCTCCAGAAGGACATGGTAGTGAGTGCAAAGCTCTCCGTGTGTGCTTTAGAGTCGCCAGTGAAGCACCCCGTGTAGGGTGAAGAGCTCTGTTGCGTGAAAATGTGGAAAGTGTAAGCAACAGTTTACCCAAAAGTACAAGGCATGAGACAGACGCAGCTAAAGTCACCCTGAAAATTCAATGTGGAGCGTTCAGTGAGCCCAAGAAGGGATCACGGCGAAAGTGCGAGCAACAGAATTGTGACCAATAATAAACCCTGAGAGCTGCCGTCTTTACTTTGTCAAAGGTCATGACAGTACCACTAAAATCGCCCACAATAAACGCATCGTGATTTACTTACAGCTGTTATTTCCACAACAATTTCACACACCTTCAATTACACATTAACCATCGACAGTATCACCCCAAAAGTCTTCAGGAACGTATACACACACCATTTGAATTGTACGCAAAAACGACATTGCGTAGCATATTGATTTTGTGCAGAAAATGTTCCATCGAAATATAACCATCCAATATTTTCCATCATTTAAGGCTCACATATTTCGCCATCGAAAACAAGATAAAACGAGGATGACGCAAATCATTCCCGGGTGTATTAAAATTGTTTACTCCGCGAGGAGGTAGATTTTCATTTTCCAACAACACGAGATGGAGTCAAAATGCCTGTAATTAACATTGTGTCGCGTGGAAAATCAATACTCATTACATTTGACACCTCGAAGCGATTTACATGATAGCATCTCTCTTTCACCAGGTGTTCTCATAAAAGCTCAAAGGCACAAGATTTTTTACCTCCTCCTCTCGCTCCCCAAGCAATGAATCTCTCTCACCAAGTGTTCCTTTCACGCGTGGAAAATTTTAAATTTCAATTTACTCCTGAGTCCTTACATATTAGCATAGAAATGGTTTATATTGTATAATTGGCACTGTGACGATGTTTTTCGAACGAAATACCTATATTTTGCAATTGTATTTGCGTTAGCGCCAATTACGATCTTGAATTGCATTCTTAATTAGTATTGCCATTTGGGTACAGAAAATAGATTGAAAATTTGGCAAAAGTTGTGTTTTTAGCATTACAATAGAATAGAATCTAAATAATTTGATGTAATTTTCAATTTTACTCGTGTACATTTCAAAGAAGTCTTCTTTGTTTTCTCATGAATATATATTCACATTTTAAAAAATTCTACATTTTCACAGCAAAAGCTTTTGTATTTTTTTCTTTCATTTTCAAAAATTATTTATAGAAACATCAATGCCTAAAATCTCAGAAAGTTTGTGAAACTGCAATTAATTTGCCCAGAATATGACTGCTATTAGACATATTGTGTCTCTTCTTGATATACGGAAACATTGTACGTGGCGAATTGTTCTCATTAAACAATATGTGCTGTGATGCTACAAGTGCAGTTCATACAAAAGAACACTTGTATGTAAATATGAAGTCATTTGACAAAAGTCGTGCAAAAGCATATTTGTCTGCGTAAATCTTTTACTACTTCTCTTGTTCAGATGATTATAGCAATTGCGAGAGTTGAATGGGAACTAAATATGCGTATTTATAACATAATCTCTTTTCCTTCTATAGATATTATGCAATTCATTCAGCACATCTTGAGATTTATTGTGTACTCGCTTTTCTCATGCAATAAAACTCCCTGTCATCATTGTGAAATAAATTCCTCACTAAGTCTCGGCCTGATTAATTTTACGCCATGCGAAAAGTGGATGAGGATTATCGCGGATTCAAGCGGAAAACCTCGAACAATCGTAAATCCAGACGGAGTATTAATTAAGCTAATAGAGATGTTTACGACAGGAGAATAGTGAAACTAATCGTCCATCTCTTCTCCAACACAATTTAGGGGAAATTGAGGGCCCCGTGCGTGGAAAAAAGGTAGCAATTCTTAAGTTTCATTAATGGATATCAATTTCATATACACGAGGAGTTCACTGAATTCACTTCCTCCCATTTTTCCACGAACAATGGAATCCATTCGTGGAACACTTTCAGGAAAATCATGGGGAGTAAATTGAATTTTGCCATCCAAGTTCAAATTCGCGTCCTGCAGTGCTTGCGCAAACGTTAACTCGTGTAGGGTAAGTTTCCCGTATTCAATTAGATCACGGCTGTTAGGCACGTGCTTTATTGAATTTCAGAGTAATTATTTAATTTGAGCTCCAATTAAATTCTTTCCCCGCAAGTCAGATAGACATCGAGAACACTTGGCAAAAATGTCCAATTGCCTCCCATCACAAAAGCACCCCGACGCACGTGTTGACGGAGTGAGAAACCCAAAGCCTTGACCCACTTTCCACCAACGATACTTGATGGAATAATTGTCTTATTTGCCTAATTTTCAATCTCGTCAGATTTCACATTAGCTCAATTTACCAGAAAATTACATCTTGTGTTCAATCGTGCGTGAATGGAGCATGATTTCAATGGAAAATAACCGCCATTCGCTCGCCGTGGGTTCAATATTTCACACAGCTATTCACCCTGTATATATTAACACTGTCTATCCAACAATCTCTACCACCGTTCATTCGGAATTTATAAATTTTTTAAAGTTATTTATGAGTTCAACACTCAGTTATGAATATTAATGACTTGTTCAGGTGCTCGTCTGCAAAACTTTCAACTTTTGCAAAACATCATCACAGTTAATTTACTTGCTATAATCATTCCGCCATCGAATGCATAATGGATTGAGTTTTGGGAAAAATGTCGAGCGAACTCGAAAGCACTGCTTTTCACCACAAAATCACTGATTTGCGTCATTCTCGTCAGCCAAAGCTCTGCGGGAAAAATCTCTTATAATCCCTTCTTAACCAGGAAGTGCAGTAAACAAATGGTGCTAGTGTGGTAATCAAAAGAAAGACAGAGTTCAGTGCAAGATGCATGAGTGAGGACTTGATTGTTTGCAGTTGGCCAAAGTGAGAGCCTAGAGTTCAACATGAGTGGCCTAGGACCAGCCGCGTGCTGGTTGGCGCACAAGAGACTGGAATCCTGGCGATCTCTCGTGAGATCGAAAGAGCGCGCCAATTCCGTGAGACAATCAGAGACCAGTGAGGAGGACCTCTCCCTGTCGTCACCCAACCCAGCCTCATCCTCGCAGAATAACTCAATCAGTGATTCGCAAAATGACTCAAATTCATCACTTGAGTTGCCAGAAAATGTACGTTAATGAACATTCAAACCATCTCAGGGCACAGGAGACTCCCCTTAAAGCACGATACTCAAAGAGATTTGACATTGAGCAGGAAAATTAATTCATATTTATTGCGTAGTTTCATGGCTTCTTTCCAATTCACGCGCATCACTGAACTTCTATGTATGCTCAGAGTCAGAAAAAAAACAACATTTGGCGAAATATTATCCCTGCCCACAAATCTCCATAAACTGGAGGATGGCAAAAAGGTCCCACATATATTATACTTTCAACACAAACATTGTAAGAAGAAAGATGGAAATTTTACAACAATCATCATTAGGAATTTCTCAACATTTTTCATCATGTCCATCTTCACTTATTCCATGCAAAATCCACCGAACTTTTCACGCGCCAAAAGTGAACCACCACCGGAAAGGTCATTAACATATCCACTGTGCAAATGTAACCTAATTTTAGAGCACCACCGAAATTTCCATGCTTTCCCAACACATCAAGTATCAAACCACGATACACGTGGACGCGGTCGCTCAATGATGAAGCCATAACGCGAAATATCAATTAATTTCACTGAAAATATTCCCCTAGTGGTGGAAAAAATGCCATGTGAGATCGCGTTGAATATTGTACAAATGTCCATAATGAGAAATTTATGTAAATACACACTTCCAACAAAGTGCCAGAGAGTGACGAAACGTGGTCGGGACACGCGAAAATTAACTCAGAAATTGCTCATTTGCGCCAGGAGTTGTCATTAAATCATAGGAAAATGAAATTAGAGGGGCCAAAATGTCCACGGATCGAAGTTTGAGCGACTGTCGACAGAAATTTGTGCGTCCCCTAATGAGATTACCACTGATTTCGCCCTAGGATTGCGCTGTGCCCAAGGAGTCGCACGCCGTACAGCCACCAATTGCCGTTCCTGGTCACACTGTTAACATGGATGTGATGCGGGGCTCGCTGGAGACCCAGAGTCCTGTCCATCTGCAGCACCAGAGCAAATCCTTCCCACCGCGCCTCACAAGGACTCCATCCGTGTCTAGCCAGAGTAGTTTAGATAGCGCTCCTTCGAGAAATTCCGTAAGTATATTAAACCAAAATGGCATTGAAAAATCTGACAGATTTTGTACAATTTTTCATAAAAAAAAAATTTTTTATGAAAAAAAAACATAAGTTAGGCAGAATTAATCAGATGCAGATTAAGACATTACCATTTCCTTGACAGATTTTGAAATATTTACATTAAGATCTGTATTATTTTTGATTTCTGCTGGTGATTTCTTTTGAAAATTACACGCTATTGTGCTGAAAACCTTGATAAATATATTTCACATTCACGTGCAATCAGATATGCATTATAGAATGCAATATTTATAAAATCAATCGAGAAAGCAATATTTTTCTTCACTTGAATGAACACATTTTCTGATTGTAAAATGTAACTCTCAGAAATCAATAAAAATAATGAGAATTGTGCAGAAAAGTCCTTGAAGATGCTGGATATTTTCTCTATTAATTTATATTTCTCTCGTAAAGTGCATGTTCTTAATAACTCCTTTTGAATATTAAACCAGACTTCACAATGAATGAACGAACACAGCTCAAGAATCACGTTTCTCTCAACAGTATTTTATAAAATCAATTAGATATATAATGGAAATTCAATTAAATTGAAAAGTATCTTCTTCCAATTTCTGCCAATGAGTTTGACATACTTTGCATGGATTTATACATAAATATTGCCAATCAAGCTATATACATACTAAATCTCGTTAGTCTTTCGCGTTTTGCTGCTATTCATAACGTCTCAATCCTCTCCTCGATTGAATAACCCGCTCTCTAGGTGCTCGGCATTAAAAATAGATCCTAAAGCTTCTATTCATGCAAACAAAAAGGAGAAAGTTATTCGCAAAGAAATGGAAATTGTATGTCGCAATTCATCTTAAGAGATTCAATGAAATTATTCAGATTGGAAAAGTTGTGATTTCTTGTGGACTTTTCATCTCAAATAGCATTTTTTATACTAATTAAATCACGAACTTTCTTGCAAATACGCCATCGATTTACTCATACGCAGTCTCACTTTTGCTCTCAGTGCATTGAACCTGTGAGACGAACTGATTAGAAAATTTATCCATTATGAGTTTCTCAATTGGTATTTTTTTTGCTCTTCCACCTCTTGCAGGGTCATCGTGGATCATCCCCTCAAATTCGAGCTTTCGCACCCGACGGACGTTCCACTTTGCCCAGCGAACATGCTCCGCTGCAGGTGAGCAATGGCAGACTATTTATAGATTTAGGAATTGTAGTGTAATTTTAGGATGAATGACCAGCGACTCTTTGAGCAGGGAAATGGCAGTGAAATGTTTTTGATGGCGAACATCGACCTTTTCAGAGAAACTCTGATGACATTCAGTGTAAACTATATGTGGTATTCATTATATTCGTGAATTTAGATTGCTGCGCTAAATCCTGCCGCAGAACAAAAGAACTCAACTAGTCAATATTGAATTGAGCAGCTAAAGAAGGTTGATTGCCTATTTTAAAAAGAACAATGCCTCAGTTCCGAGGAGGGTAAAAGCAAGCGATAGCAGTGAGAACAATGAAGCAAGACAATCAGTAGAAGTTTGAGTAGTTTGCGATGCAGCATGTAGTTATGGCATGTACAAATACGAAGCAAGTTCCACAAATCAGACAAAGGGATTCCAAGAAACTTGCACAAATTGTGTGAAGGAAAACGCAGTAGGAAATTCCACAAATAAACAGAATGGGATTATGGGGACAAGAAATCGTCAGTAGGATTCATTATTTCGTGAAATGGATTTTCTCCTTTCAGTACTCCCGCTCACCAAGCCCCATGAGAGCTATCAGCCTGGACGCTCGCTGCTCCTCTGCAATCGCTGCCGAGTCCACCGATATGCGCACCTCGAGTCCCTCGCAGTGCAGCCTGGCCTCCCTGGCCAGCGCCAGCACCAGCGGAAGCGCCGTTTGCCTCACGCCCAAGATCGGCCGCTGCTTGTCGCCGCTCATGATTCCGCCGCGAACACCAGTCGGCGTGGAGACAGGCTGCGGTCCGGCCAGTCCACTGGGCGCCCTCCAGCCTGACCTGTACACCCGCCAGGAGGGGCCCATCTATCTCACGGGATCCGACGCCACGCAGGCCTTGGGGCGTCTCCACTTGCGCCTCAAATACGACTCCAACGTCTTCGATCTGGCGGTCCATCTGATTGAGGCGCACAATCTCTGCCCCAGCGAGAGTGGCGGCTTCCGTGATCCGTACGTGAGGTTGTTCTTATTGCCTGAAGTAGACAATCGCAAGCGCCAGACGGCCATCTTCCGCGGGGACAGCAACCCGTACTTCGACCAGCACTTCAAGTTTCCCGTGTCGCGCGATCAGCTGCAGGGCAAGGAGCTGGTCCTGCAGGTCTTGGACTACGATCGCTACAGCCACAATGACGTGGTTGGCGAGGTGAAGATCACCATAGACGAGCTGGATCTATCCAAGAGCGTCGAAATCTGGGGTGATCTGCTCAAGGGCAAGAAGCCACCAGAGGAGCGCCCGGAACTTCTGGTGTCTCTCAACTACCTTCCCCAGGCCGAGAGGCTGACGGTGGTGGTGATGAAGGCAAAGAACCTGGACACGGTGCAGGAGCCCTATGTGAAGCTCTATCTGATTCACAATGGGAAGCGCGTAAAGAAGAAGAAGACCGGAACGGGGAAGTCCAGTGATCCGCAGAATCCCATCTGGAATGAAGCGTTCACATTCAATATTCCCCAAGCAAACATCCCAGGAGCGGCTGTTGAGGTCAGTTTTTCTCCGTTTTTCGCCTTGACAATATGGCTTTCACTCGCTTTCTTCACAAGTATTTCCTATCTTTTCGCTGCAGATGTACGTTGTGACAACGGGTGGCGAGGCGAATGCCATCGGCAGCTGCGGAATTGGTCCCCAGGAGAGCGGTCCAGGAAGACAGCACTGGCAGGACATGATAAGAAACGCACGGAAGCCCATCGCGATGTGGCACTTTATTAGATAAATCAAGAGGCTTCTTCGGCACGAGGTATGATCAAATTTGGTATGTTGCAGATGGTAAGAACCACCCAAAATTTCCGATGGCGCCTCTAAGGAAACAGAAATTTGCAAAAAAAATTGCTCAATCAATCTTTTCCAATTGAAATGATTTAGAAGCTGAACTTGTAGTGTCAATTTTCAGAGGAAATCATAAATGTGTGTTTTTTGAGCAATGGAGCATCAGAAATGTCAGGTGGTTTTTACTAGCGCTGCACATCAAAGTAAGTATTGAAGTCAGTACAAACGTGGACAAAAATTTGTTATGTATATGTAAAAGTTATTTGCAGGAAAATCCAAGTCCGTGTTAATGTATTCAGTGTCCAGAGGAAAAAAATATCTAAATAAATAACGAGTAAATAAAGCATATACTTAAAAGAAAGTTCAACTGTATAACAAAAGGATTAACAGAAAAATAGAGAATATATTTGGCGTAAACAATATCAAGATGATAACATATTGCAAATACAATGAGTAACATAAATCTTATGAAGTAACCCAAAACAAGTAAAAGAAGGAAAATATTATAGATGAAACAATATATTGTGTATGAGAAGAGTCATATTGAAAGATGTCTGTTATATTTTACTAATTGTCGAAAAATTGTCCCTGCAACAGGATAACAATGCCCCACCTTATCCATATAATCGTAGCTACAAACATTCAAACTGTTGAAATGACAAAAAGGTTTCCGTCGAATGCATTTCAAATTGATGCCACGTGGTTTTGAGTGATTGAACGTGTAGAGGAAACGCGTTTACAGTTCTAGGGAATTTCACATGCAAAGGGTGTGCAATTAAGGCTGACGTGAATGAATTTACTATTTTTGAGGAATCTATTATTACATTTACACTTTCTTCTAAGCTCGATATTCTTTACATAAGGAAAAAAAACACCCTCTTGCCCACTTGCACACCCTTTGTGCGCAAAGAAAATTAATCGAATTAAAAGAAACATGAATTTTTGAATCAATAAATATTATATACTTGTCAAAAAATAAATGTCCAGTAAAAATATTCAAATACAATCTATTTTATATGTGTGAAAATAAAATTTATCCTAAAAGAAATTAAGTGTTTCAGTGGGTTTTCAACTCGATTGTAAACACAATTTACTAAAAAAGAAGTATAGCTATAAATATACTGTAATGAAGATGAATCATACTAAACTTTATGATCCTAATTTCTATGTGGCCTATAATACTTTTAACTTATATAAATTGAGAAAGTGTATATTTGAATTCTTCCATGGAAAAAGAACCCAATACAATCTCTTTCATCTATGAGTATGAGTATATTATATAAGAATAAATTTTTTAAATGAGTGATGAAAGGGAGAAAATATTTATAAATATATAATCTATATTTCTGTACTATTTTTTGCTAAATTCTCTATAAGTATAAAATGAAAGAAGGTAAAATCCCAAATTTGTTGTGCAACTTAATGACTTTTTGCTGATGAAGGTAAAACATGAACCTAATCAAATTATTGACTGAATACTTAAAATATCTCTGTAGTAATTGTTATGTAACGTGAAAAAAAATATGAACCCTTGATGACTCTCAACTCTCCTTTTCTGTTGTACCCCAAGAACAATTTCTTTGATATTTCAATTGAAACACATAGAAAATCACAAAACTTATGCAAATAATGATAAGTGTATTTTAAAAAAGAGAAAACAAATTTTATCATACAGTATCTTGATTATGAAGAATGTTATGATCACGATGAATAATTTATTGGTAGAGAATAAATAAAATAATATACTTTTATTATGGCCCAACGTCACGAAATTAAATAAAAGACCTAAATATGTTTACATCAATTGTTTCTATGGTCCCATTTTGGATAAATTACTGATTTTATTCCTTTTCTAAATTGGTTTTTGGTTCACTTTGTGTGTCTCTCTGGCTTTTCAGCGGTTATTTCTGTTTGGATTCCAGAAAATAGTGATATTGCAGCCAAAATTGAATTAATATTATGAGAATATATGTGGAGAGGTAAAGTTTGTGTTTACTCTTTGATGGCTTAAAATGCATGTTACATGCCAAAGCACTCAATTATTTTCAAGTATATCTTGTTGTCAATATTCATACTGGCAAAATAATCCCTTTATCGAATGCATTTAAAAATTTTTCGTTTCGTACGAAGTTTTCCTTTCATATGATTATTTTTGAAGTATCGTGTAGCAAATCCTGTGAGGAAAAATGAACATTTTGCTATGCATAAAATACTTTTTGTGAAGCCTGCTTCAATTATATCAAAAAAGCACAGCGCACAGGACAGTGAATTAAAATAAACCTACAACAATAAGTTGAGCACAATACAAAAATTATATATTTAAATGTTGTTCAGATGAATTCAATTTAATGGGATTTATTCAACAAACTTTCGTCTTTTGTATCCCCTCAGGACAAACATATATGGGAAATTAATATACCAATGTTGAGAGCACAGAGTCCCAATCCTTTCAATGGCCATTGAAAAGTTTCCCCATGAAATCAACACTATGCACAATTTGGATAAATTGTGGGAAACTAGGTCGAGGGATGATTATATTACTGGGAGCAAATAATGAATGAATGTTGCCACATAAGTATCTGGCTTCCCCCATATCAAGTTGCTCAACAGTCTCAGATGGCATAGAGGGAAGCAGTTGGAAAATCTGGTGGGAAAACAAGAGGACATCGTGATGAGAAAGCGAAACTCTGCTGCACATCTCGATATGGATTATGCGGCCGTTGAGCATTTCCAGGCCTCAACGCTTGGCAACCAGACACATTCACGTAATTGGGCGGAGTAATAAACTTAAAGGATGACTCAACATATTCTCGGATATGTGGAAATCCACTATTTCCCAGTGACTTTTCCTGAGCTGCAGCGAATGCTTTTAAACCTAATTTTCAACCAGTGGCATAATCGATAACTGTGGAAGTGAAATTCAATTACTGAGGCTGTTCCACAAGTTGCGGAGTCACGGAGTGAAAATGAGATTTTCCTTTGATTGTGGTCAAATGGCACTGACGCCACTGACCTAATTTCTGGATACTCCCAAATCCCCACACTCAACTTCCCTTGTTATCGCCATTCTGCTCAGTTAGATTGTTTCTTCAGGCTTTCCCAATGTTGACCCTTCTTGCATAGTTCGCAGTCTCAGGTCTTTGATCTCTCTGAGGAATTGTGGCAGTGTGAGAAGATTTGCTGATGCTGTATGTTGGAGATAAATGGAAAAGACGACTTTCTTTCGCCAACTGAAAATGTTTGAAACATTGCTGCGCTCAACGCCACCTAATCATGAACACTCAGCGCCTTCGGTGTCTTGGATTTGCATTCAAAAACCATCCATTCTTAACTGATTAATAAATATGAATAATTTACTTGTTGTGCACTAAATATGCTTATTTCCTCTTAAACTGGAAACGTGATTGAATTTCTAGATGGAAAAGAAGAATTTTGCTCAACTATTCATCAATATGCCAATCATCGAAAGTTATCAGTACAAATAACAATTTTAATGATTATCACTTAATTTCGTCTTATAATACAACACTAATTGATCCTTACATTTTCTCTAAATTTTAATTATGCAGAAATTAGGAATGACTTCTAAATATATTTGACATACGGTTAAAATAGTGAAAATCTTCTATTCTATTCTCTAACATTAAAAATAAACTAAATAATTTTCAGAGAAAATGAAAAACCATGCAAAGAAGTTATCAAGATAATGATAATGCGCGGAAAAAATCGTTCCATGTCATGGTCGAAGTATATCTTCTACACGGATTATCTCCACTTTCCTACGCGTCATTATATCAGCGCTTTGGCCATAATATGCATATGTTCACTGATTTCTGGTGACTTCTCCTAATCTCACGGTTCTCCGCTGCGTTGATAAATGTGCCCACATCCACTGGACCCTCTTCTTCTGACTCGTCCAAATCACTTTCAGTCCGCGAGCTCGCGATCCGCCGCTCGCCAGATGATCGCTCAGTTGCTCAAAGACCGCGATCGAGGCGAGACGTTGACGGTCTTCCTCGGCGATTGGCTCAGCATGTGTGCCTCGTGGACCACTTAAGAGTGGAGCGTTGTAAAGTGAAGCTAATTTAAATCAATTGAGACAATTATTAATAATTCTTATTACCAATTTTTTGAATATTCAAAGCCCGCCAGATGATCTATTGGACGTCGCGTCGACTTCAGTGATAATTGTGAGTGCACTTGATGTGACTTAAGTTGTGAGTTCATTAAACCCTGCGACAAGGATTAATTGTGCAGATATGTTGAGGCTGAGCGTGATCCTCACAGTGACCATTCTCGTGGCCATTGATGCAATCAGTGGCCAAATTGTTGCCCAAAACGGTGAGTTTTTCCTCGGCACAAGCAAAAATTCCAACTCGGGCTATTTCTGTGCGCATCAGCGATGAAAAGTGGAAAAGATCACAACTGAAATAAATGGTATTTTATGTGTGAAAGATGGTGTACAGGATAAGAATCCACTTTGTGATTTATTTTTGGGCTGACGCGCACTGCGAAATTTATGCATATGCGCGCGTGGATTTCGCAAATCGTACGCGAACAAATGTTGGAGAAATAAGGAATCATGCGTGTCACTTTCCTCGGGATTCCTCGAGTGTCACCCATTAGAGTGTTATTTTCACTTGCCATCCATTTATTATACAATCACGCACGACACTCGCGATCCGCCATAAATGCAGAATGACATGCAAAATTCCTCACTGGGTGGCAAAAATTAAGTGCACTCTCAAATTGCATCTGCGAAGCGGAAATTTAATTAGTCACCCTCGCACCGCTCCACCATTAATTGGGGCTTCTCTAAAACTTGTCCAATTAGCTGGTTGCGGATTAAAAATGTGTGCTTTAAGGGATTACATTCGTATAATTGATTAACTTTCCTGATGCTACACAGCGCGCTGTCGCAGGGACATTTTGTTGTTCTGCGTGATTTAGCGCAGCGTGAGAATCTCTCTCGACCGTGTGTTGGACTTCAAAGTGACAACTTTAATGTTCTGTATACATCAAGTGGGAGTTTTACACGTTGGAGTGACTCAAAGAAACTCAAATTGCTTTCTAAAGACGCTCTTTGAAGAATATTCTGTGGCATCGAGAAATTGAGAGTGTTTCAAGAGTAAATGATTCATTTTCAATAATATTTTGGCTTATTTACAGAAATCCCTTTGAAGAAAAGTTGAGTAAAAAAGAACACTGCAATTACCATAATGATATCAGAATTGCAGTATTGTAATTTAAATTCCGAAAGTTGGTCAAAGTTTTCTGACTCACTATGCAAATTCTTATCAAATAACATAAGACAGCACAGTATATTTTCAGTAACTCTATCGCTCATTCCGCACAACAGCGAAACTTGCAGCATATCATAAAGTTCAGTTGGAATATAATCTGTGCTGTAAATTAAATTGTACTTCACTATGCAACAACAATTCTCCCTCTCCGAATCCTCACGGCGTGGAAGGGACAAAAGCAAAAGAAATGCAATGCCACGACAAGACAGAAAATCTTTACCTGTTTTGCTTAAATGCGCTTTGTTGTATTATTTGCTGCATTAATTCAAAACACCATCTAAATTTATGTTTTCATCTCTCTCTCCTCCCGCCAGAAACCCATTCGTGCTGCACAGAAGTCTATGGATCCTGTCGAACATCTTGCGAGAATGTAAGTCAGAGGCTCGCATTGGGGGTATTTAGAGACATGAAATGATCGTGATTTCCACCATCACGACGCCAATGCATTGTGCTGGTCCCTGATATACGGACTCCCAGAAGAATTTTAATTTAACAGCCACAGCATAATCGGAGGGAGATATTTCGGTATTGATATTTTGGCTGAGGAGCATTGTCCCCGATGTCTTTCGCCACGCTCTCGTGCTCCTAATGTACTCTGGCAGCGAGAGAGCTGTGGATGTTCTGATAAGAGAACTGTGTTGGCCAAGGGGAGGATAATTTGACTGCATTTGTACACTACTCACTCAAGTTTTATACACGAAACAAAACCCTTGAACTAAACACTAAACATCAAATAATTCTCTAATTTATATAATCATTCCACACTTTCTTCCCACTTCTTCCGCCCACAATATCTCCCCTCTTTTTTTAGCGAAGGCGAAAAAATCTGCCAAATGTGCATATGGCACATTATGTCTAGGATCTCATGTTGTACACTTCAGACGAACTCACAATCAAATCCAATACGAATGACAGCTCATTTGTACTGCACTTTCCGCCAAGACGAATGGCACAATTCGCTTCTCGTGAGTTTTATTAAGTCTGAAAGGATGTTTAAATGAAATCTCAAGAAATCAATTCATATTTGCGTCAAGTATTAAATTACCATCTCACGCACCCTCAATTTCCTCCTGTTGCCTTCCTCCAACTATTCACGCTCTCACGTGTCTCCATCGTTCGCCTGACAATGGGAAGCGTTTTGTATTACAGAGCGATCAAAATTGAAAAGGACAAATCACACAATGCGCTAAACTCGAGGCGATTTTCGTGTCTTTGAAGTGGCATGAAAAATAAATAGGTGACACAGAAGAGAGCGACAGGAGATGTTGGCAAAAAAGCACTTCAAATGACTCACAGTGGCTGCATAAATATCGAATGCTCGACGATGTGCCTGAAATATCGCACAGAAGTGTATTTCGGTGAGTCTCGATGATGTCGTGTAGATATTTGACAAGAGAAGCACGTCTCCTTCTTGGAAGGGATGTGAAAGTCTCGGAAAACACTGCTGAACATCGATATTAGAATACTTTGACCGCGTGTGACCTTTCGCCGAGCGACAAGAGAGATAAATTAGCAGCTTCATCGGGTGCTTTGTATTAAACATCAAGAAGCAATTTCATTTATTTGTCTCTCCCTCGAAATGAGTGATTATGGCATAATACTTCACTTGTCTCGCCACTCACATGAAAGTCAACAACAATATTCTAATACTCGCGCGCGCGCCGATCATTTCCCCAAGTTAAGAGAGATTTTTTCTCATCTTATAATATAAATAAATATTTATCTTTCAAGTCTACTAATTGCCATTATTTCCTCATACAACAAAATCACGAAGTATGTGTCAGAATATTTTAATATGATCGGCCAGCATAAGGCAACAATAAAAAGCTCATTAAATATTCACTGTCAATATTTTATACATATCCATGCGTAACAGTGAATGAATAATAAATGTCCGAAGAATATTCCTACCACTTGACACACACACAAAAAATCCTACTATCTTTATTACTTATCTGATGCGCATCCTGTTCTTCTTGCCTCACATTCCTACCACTCAGACCACCTACATTCCCTCCGTGTCACTTTAATCACGCAGAAATGATTTCTTTCATAATTTCTCAGCATTTCCACAATGGGGAGAAGAAAAAACTGTCCGCACAGCGCGACTTCTCGTGTTTCCTCTTCACGGACAACTCAAGTGCTCGAGGGCACTGGAAAAAAAGGTGTCACGAAAATTCCATTCACGTCTATGAGATTTCATTTAAATTTCATATATGGCGACACTCCCTCGCTGAATTGTATATTCATTTGGCAGATATTGACATAAAAAACACTCTCTTTCGCTTTGGGAAGACGCGCACCGATTTGGGCGAATCAGCCTAATCGGCTGCTTTAGAATCGGTGTCAAGAATGATAATTGAATTTGCAGAACTGTTTTTGTGAGCCTTTCAAACATACTAAGCTTCAATTGTCTGCAATTTCCGGGATTTCACTAACCTACTAAAAGTTTGATAAACAAATAAGATTTTCTTGTCCTAATCAATCCGTCAATTTGATTAAGGCTAAAAAATACCCAAGGAATGAATTAAACATACCTTCAAAGTTTTCATGATTTTTTCAAAATATCCCGATCGAATTTTCCGTTCAAGTTTTATTTTGTAATATCTCTCCAAAGGACAATAAATACTACGCCACTGATTGCTTAACATTGCTATTCAACATTTTTGGAGCCGCCAAAAATGAATAATTTTTTTTCTGTAATATGCAAAACAAATGATTGGCAGAACAAGTTCAATAATTGAATTGTAAATTGAAATATTATTTGCGCAAGATTTCTCATTATTCCCAAGTCATTGGATGCGCAATTGCTGCGCACATGGTTGAACGCAGAGGAAAGCTTCCGCGAAGTGAGCATTTCTGTCATTTTGGGGCACTTGTGCCATCATCTGGCTCCGCGATGGGTGAAAATAAGCAATAAGAGGAGTTTGTTTGATGACTGAATGTACTTAGAGGTTGTGATCCCAGAAATAGTCGCGATCGCACGGTGAGAGTTGAGGAAGAAAAATTCGTCTGTCAACGGAAGTCTCGTATTAGTGGATTTAGTGGGAAATGCCTTCAATTTCATCTAGACGCAGTGGAAATGGTTTTATTTTTGGGTCGCGGCATAAAGCATTCCGAGCGATGCTTCAAAGGAGATCAAAGGACTTCACGCTTTCCCGTAGTAAGATCAGCATTCTCATGGAAAAATAAATAAAGCTGCATTTTATAACACAAAATCCGCACGTGTGAAAAACTCTCTCGATAAACTGTCTGAAGCACTGCGACTCTCCAGTCTGCAGAAATTAATCATTCGTGGTCAAATGAGAGGATCTCAACTTGACAAGAGAGACAATGACAGGCAATATTTCATTTAATACCTTGTTACGGATTGTGTGCATAAATTCTGACTGCTCTTTGAGCTCTCCTCACTTTGCCTTGAGTCACACACAGCTAATCCCGTCTTAAAGTTTAAAACACACCTCGAGAAAGAATGCTCTTTGCGTTCAATATACTTTTTACCAATTCTTTTGCAATGCATTCAAAATTTTTAATTTCGGCTGGCGAGAAAGTGAAAAAGTAACAGATTTCATTACATTGTGGGCAGAGCATTTGAATGGGCGGGGAATAATAAGAATATTTTTACTGCATAAGTTCTGTATTTAATTCACAAAGTTACATTGTTCCAAGATCAATCACCAACCACCACACTTGTTCTCTCTGAGAAGAATATATCGATCTTTTGAATACTTTTCTGCCAATTTATTTAGACAGCAAACGTTCGGTTGATCATCCTCGTATTCCGGAAGGTCGAGTTCTACCTCAAACATGTGCACGCTTCTTCCTTTCGAGTTCTCTAGTTCGAAACTAAAAGTTCCTGCACAATAGTTTGCAACTGGTATAGTTAAGGTGTAAATTAAAACATCTTCAATCTCTTTGTCAATCTGGAATTGTTCCTTAACGTCGACAGATGAGCAAGTTTGTGGAAAAGTCCAAGATTTGCTGACAACAGGAAAGCAACTTCCGACGCACTTGCAGACGATTGTAATAAAATCCGAACACATCAACAAATCTCGCTTCACTGAGATTATTGAGTGATTTTCCTCATTATTATCAATAAAGGCATTCAGAAGAACATCTTTTTCGAGTGATGCCGATAATATGGGCGCACCTTCAGGTTCAACTAGTATAATTTCTTCTGATATTTGCTTCAGTCCGAATTCATTTATGTAAGAACATTGATAGAGTCCGCTACTGTTGAAATCTCCACTAATAGTCAAGTTGGGTGTTGTTACTGCAATTGGCTTAGAATTGTGAGTCCAAGAATTGTCTGTATTTCTGGAATTGCCACAAAATATAGTCAAATATTCTCCTTCTGTGAGAAATGTTTTTGGCACTGTTGCTTCTTCTTCTTTCAAAGTGAACACTTGTAAATCCAGCAGCATGATATTATTTTGTATGCTACAAGAATAGAGTTTTGAATCTCTCTTCGAAACTGGGAATATTCTATACGTGCCAAAGGAAGTAGTAGAATGTCTGTGATCCTGAAAGTAATGATCATTCCAAAATGCCAAAGGCTTTTTCGTCATATCTATATTTTCTCCAAAGCATCCCAGTTCAATTTTGTAACCTTCAAAAGCCACAGCTTTCGTCAAATCGACTGGAAAATCGTCTAATTTCAAAGAGATTTCTTTAATATCACTGCCCAAGACATTTTCCAAATAGCAAATATAAGTTCCTTCGTTCTCTTTCCTTATTCCTGTTATGATTATATCCAGCGTGAATTCGTTCGCTTTCATGTTATAATCAGTTGTGTATTCCATAACATCTTTCCTCAGGTGGAAATTGTTAGGCAATCCATCCGATTCATGTGAAAAATTACCATACGGTGTTATCCAGACGTAAGACGTTAAAGGCCAGCAATTTTTACAAGAACAACCTAAATAGTATCTTCCGCCTTCCTTCGGATTGTCAGTTTGATCATCTACCAATCTCTTAATAACTGATGATGTATTTGGAGCATTTTGAGGTATGCTTGTTCCATGAAAACCTAGTTCATCGACAACTGTTAAACTATATAAATTCCTCAAGAAGTTTCCATTTTCTGTGTTCGCACGGCAAGAATAAAGCCCAGAATCACTCACTTCTAAGTTTTTAATAATTAACTGATTGCTTATGAAAAACACTTTCCGATCTGGATTTCTTCGTCGTGATATCATTAATCCGTCCTTAAACCAAACCTTATTGGTTGAATAATCTGGATCGCAGTTCAAAGTTGCTCTCTCTCCAGAGCTTAATTTCAAATTCACAGGAATTGTCATGTTAAGACTAAAGATCTTATGTGTCATGTAATTAGCACTCCTGCTCATTATGCAAGAATAAATTCCACTGTGAACTGATGAGAACTCCTTAATGCTCAGTGACAATTCAAAGTGATCCTCTTTCGTTAGTAGTTGCACGTGGATTCCATCGGAAGCCTTATCCATGGTATTTGAGAAGATTCCTCGAGGCGTGAACCAAGTGAAGTTCGTCAATTTGTCCAATGTATGTTTGCACGATAATTTAATGCTAGATTGGCTTTCCAAGAAGATAGGCTCAGGATTTAAACCGGAATGATAAATCACTTCTGGAGGAATTTCAATGTTTTCATCACAAACTTCTTGTCCTTTTGCCACTGATAAGAGCAAAATTACTAAGTAAATAAAACCCAAGAGAATATTGAGAAATCGTTCCATCTTGAGCTCCAAAAACACGCAATCTAGTCAAATGGCGAATGATAACTGAGCAAATTTGGAGGAAAAATGGTCCAAACATCCTAAGTCTTGTTCTCACAATTTATTATTTTGAAATAAAATGAAGCTTATAAGAAATTATCAACTTATTTCTTTGCTCCGAGTTCAAAATGTAATCACGTTTGGCTTTTGGAGTGTGATAAAGACAAGTCACAATTCAAAGAAATACATAAACAATGATGAATAACCAAAAGTATCAAATAAACCAAAGTAATCAAGCTAAACTTTCACATTTACTTACAGTTTTTTTTCTATGAACTCTTACTCATGTTTCAAAATTTTCTGTCTAATCTCTTCACCTCAATTTATTCAAGCCCATAAAGTCACAAGAACCCTAAATTGATCTCGTTAAACAATGCCGCCCACCATTGAGTTCACTTTCAATGGAGATTTCTTCGCAACAATTCGATCGCATTCAGTGCGACAGACTTTTAGCCACTTCCTCCCAATCAAAATGCCACCTTCTGCTGCAAAGGCGAAGGCGTACTGAAAGTGTGACACTCTCCGAATGCAGAATGATGGCAGGTCATCTGAAATCCGTGGAAGATCAGAGAGTCTGGATCGCAGGTGGATCTTCACGTGCTGAGGTGAATTCATAATGCTGAGCACCCGAAAACGTGATCGTTTATCACTGGGGCATGATTTATTGAGACATTTCCATCCACCGTGTAAATGTTCTTTCTTCGTCATGACTAAAAGAATTGAAAAGAAGCCGAGAATCCCTGTATTTATTTTCACTTCACAGACTTTGATTTATAATCTCTGGCTCTCGGGCCTCTCGTGCCCCTCTTTTCCTTTTCATCATTCTCACCGTGTGCCAAAATTGTCGTACCCACATAAAATCCGCATGTCTTAAGTGTTGTTTAAATGACTTTAAACTTCTTTTTTCCGAATAGCGCGAAAGTCGCGTGAAAACAGATGGAATTTCACGAGGAGGCGTGGTTAATTTCAATAATGTTTACAACGCATCGTCTTGTGATGCTCACCGCTTAATCATTGAGACATTTCAGGCACTAACTTTTCACGTAATTCCAAAGTGCGTAATTATATCTATTGTGAGCCTCTGGAATCACCTTTTCCACACATAAATCAGCACCATTGGCAGGCATTTAATGCCAATCGCCAATTATGCGATGCACTTTGTATACATCTTAAAAGACTGGCGAAGAAAATCGATCGTCACAAATTCCATGCGTTCCCAAATTGTATATATTCATCTCTAAATCTAATTAACACGCGAGATATTTATTCAAATTCATATATTAACGACCCATAAAATTGGCATCTCCCAATGAAAAAGTTCTCCCATTTAAAGTTGATCATTTGAATAAATATGAGAACATGACACAAGAACAGATTTATGTCCCGAACTCACTTCAGCCTCTCCAAATATTTTGATCGCGCGCTTGATGGTTATTAATTGGAAAATATATCCAGAGAGACTTTATCCGAAGACCTGTTTCCGACGCTCACATCTCTCAATTCTCCCCGAAATGTCCATCACCATTAATTCAAGTGATTGTGTCATTAGTCATTCTCATGAAAATATGAAGTATAGACCAACTATTAGTGAATATCGAAATAGTTTCTCTCCTCTGATTAATGCTAATCCTTTTGTCATATTCTATCAATTACACCGCGCACTATTGCCCTGTGACGCTGGACCTGATCGATTGGTTCACGTAATAATATTTGCAATAATTAATTGATACAAATTACTCCTCATCAGCTGTCGCTCGTGCACTTGGCGGTGGACATAAATGTGAAGGATTCCAAGTTGTCTGACATCAAGCGGTACTGCTCACCATCACTCACGGAGTTTTGGACGTGCATGAACCACACTCTGCAAGGTAGGTTCGAATGAATATAAGTTCAACTTGTGATACAATTGCACGAAACTTCTCTTTCTTAATTATCAGCCATTTCAAGGGGCTCTCAGTGGTCAGGAAGGCCTTGTTGCTCTCTAGGTTTGTCTGAACGCTGCCAAATCTCTTGCGCCACGGCTTCTTCACTGCAGGATCTCATGATAGGTTGTCGCCAGAGTGACGAGCAGAGCCTCTTCAGCTGCCTGGATCGCCAGGAAGCAGGGGACTCTTGCTGCAATCAGTCCCACACAGCTGAGTGCATGCAGGCCTGTAGGGACACTTTCAGGACGCGCTTCACGCCCACTAAAGAGCAGAGGCAGAAAGTGAAGAAGACCTGCGAAGCAGGAGATCAAAGGGTCTTGCAGTGCCTTCGGAACCTGATCGATTACACGCCGACGACGAATTTGAAGAGTTGTGAGTTGTCTTTTGAGCTATATTAAAATTCTTGCCGTGTATTTTCGGTGAAGACTTTCGTAGAAACATGATAATCCAACATTGGGCGGAGAAGTTTAATAAATTTGTTTAAATACCTAATCGAATGGGCTTGGCTAAGAATCATGCTCGATGTCGGTGTCTTTTTGTTCTTCGGGGCAAATTAGTGAGATGTCACACTCCAATTGATATTTAAGAGATGATGTAGGAGGTCTCATAAGTGTTTATTTCTTCCAGATATGCCTTGTTGCGATCTGACTCAGAGCTCAAAGTGCCGAACCACTTGTCAGAACGCTTTGGCCACAAGTGAAACCACACAAGAGGCCATCGATGCTCTGGAGAGCGGTGGTTGCGGTCCTCCTTTGCCCTACGATCCGATGTGGCAGTGCTTCCTGTCTAGCGGACGTCAAGGAGCTCCTGCGAGTTCCACTAATGACGTGTCTAGGATCAATCAAATAGGAATGGACTCGGCGAAATTGCACTGCTGCCAGAAAGCCGTTGCGCCCAAGTGTCGCCGTCTGTGCCAACTGACTTTCTCCAGCGACTGGTCTGTGACGCGAGATGATTTCGAGCAGGACTGCCTCACCCAAATCAATGAACTCCAACTCCGACAATGCCTGGACGATGTGGATGAGCCGTGCGAGCTGGGTTGCGACGCTCTCTCGTTTTGCAGCAACTTCAATGGCCGACCTACTGAGCTATTCCGCAGTTGCACTACACAAGCAGACGTGGCGGCTCGATCGGATTTGCTGATGTGGCAGGAGAAGGGTTTTATTCCACTTCCTGGCTTCAATCTCCCCATAAGAAACTTATCGCGTTGCTCTCCAGAAGTTTGGCATGCGGTTGCTTGTACGCTTCAGATCAAGCCTTGCTCATCGACGACTCATGGCAATCAGATTTGTAAGGAGGATTGCTACGAATTGCTGACGCAGTGTATGGATTGGACAAAGCTACAGTCGAGCAGTCATTCAGCCGGATCGCTTTGTTCGAAGCTCTCTGTTAACGACTTGACGACTCCTTGTATCTCGCTGAAGCCCTTCCTGGAACCCAGCGATTTTCCCTACAGAGACACTCATCAAGTCACAGCTCCATGCAAAGGAAATCCCTGCAATAGTTCTCAAGTTTGCTTAGTGGACAGAACCATCAACAACCACTACTCTTGCATTACTGCTTGTCCTTTGGGCGAGACCTCTTCCTACATGGTTCCCGTGGACACATACGTCAGAATTCCCGTGTCATCCACACAGAAAGGATGCTTGAAGATCTGCTACTGTGGATCTTCAGGACGCATAGAAAACTGCCAGCCACTGCCTTGCGTCTCCTATGACTCCTGCAACCTCGCTGGCAGACAGATTGAGCACTCTTCCTGGTTCTACGTTGAATGCAACATCTGCAGTTGCTTTGCTGGCGAAATCACGTGCACGAAGAAGCAATGCAGAATTCCTGGCATCTCGGATGATTCCTATACTAGTCTTCCATGCAATTGTCCTCCGCATTTTGTACCAGTTTGCGGCAGGAACGGGAAAGTGTATCCTTCAGCCTGTGTGGCAAAGTGTGCAGGACTTCAGGACACCGACATTGAGTACGGTGCCTGCTCAAGCAGAAACTTCTGTGACGCTTCCTCATGTCCTCCCGGGACAGTTTGTGTGCAGAATCACCAAGTGTGCTTATCAACCATGCACAAACCATGTCCTATGTTTCAATGCGGTAAGGTTTAGAAATTATACCTAGACTTCCTTAGTTTAAAACTGTCTTCTTAATTTTTTCAGTTAACATAACACAACCTTGTCAACCTGGAAATCCGGTGTGTGACAAGATTGGTAGAACCCATCCTTCATTCTGCCATTTGCTAGAAGCTGACGCTGATCTAGCCTACGTTGGACCTTGCTTAGACAACTGCCGAGACTCTTCATTTGGACAAGTTTGTGGGATCAACGGCCAAACTTATCAAAGTGAATGCGAAGCATGGAGTGGTAATACACAAAACATCTTTAACAAACCTAGCATCTAACATATACTTCGCTTTACAGACTTCTCTTTAGTGGATTACTTCGGTTCCTGTCGGGAAATCGGTCTCTTAACCTCCGTTCTCGGCCCTCGATGTTCCTCAGCCAAATGTGCGTCACTTCCTTCCGACCACTGCCAGCCGATCTATCCGCCGGGAGCTTGTTGTCCCGTCTGTTCGGGATCGTTGAGAATCGTGTACTCCAGGAAACAGATTGACCGTGCTTTGTACGCTCTCAAGGGTCGCAATACTCAATTCCTGACCTTGAAGTCTATCCTCGAAGCGCTACAACGTCTCATCAAGACTTCGCAGTGTCGTCTAAGTGGCTTCTTGACGATCGAAACTGATCTCTTCGTGACAGTTCAATATGCTTCGCGGAAGCCAACGCAAGTGCAAATAGAGGCTTGCCACCATGAAGCTGAGAAGATCACCACCTTAATAGCGGCGCAGAGTCACAAAGTGACCTCTGATCTGGGATTGAGCGCCCTTACAGTGGCCAACATGGCGCAGCCGGACACTTCAGGAAGCTCTCACAGTGGCTCAGCGCGATCCTGTGTGTACTTGTTACAGTTCACCGCGATTCTTGTGATTTATCGCAACTTCGCTTGAAGTGCTATAGTTGATCCTAATTCTCCAACAAGAAAAACGTGAATTCACAGTGCCAAATACTTTGAGTTGAAGACAAATGAGTTAAATATACATGATCTGATCTGTGATAAGTCGATGTAAGTTTGGTTTAGTGACCAAAGAATAAATTATTACTGCTAAGGATAACAAAATAAAATAATTAAGACATTTCTCTATTTATTTTCAATCTTGAACAAGATAAGAGAGTTTACAGAAGTCGACTGATTTAGAGGATTTAGAAGTCTCTCTACATTGTGACGTAGGTTGGAGATGTCATGACTCCGCAATTGTTATCTCGAGCTGACATGAGGATATAGCCATCGTTGCCCCAGTAGTTGGACCAGGAGTTCTTCACCAACCAGTACTGCTCTCCGTTGATGACGCCATAGCCAACAGCCAAGACCGCGTGATCCAGGCCATCAACGTCGTTCTTGCACTCCTTGTCGTAGTAAATGCCGTGCGAGTAGAAACTGAATGTCTTCCTAGAAGCATCAATGGCCACCGAGAGTGGGCCGTGCTTGAACAGAGCAACCTTAAAGGCGTTAACGTTGTTCGTAGTGACGTTGACGAAGCCAGTAATGGGAGCGACGAGTGTCACATTATCAATATGGCAGTAGCCATCTTGACCCAAATATCCGCCGTACTCTTCTTCTGTCGGCACTCCGCCATGCTTCATCATCCATTGATAGACCCTGAAGTCCTCGCCTCCGTCACACCCGTTGTTTCCATATCCCCAAGAGCAGTCAATGAGAGCCTGTTGCGACAGCCTCACCAAGTTCCCGCCATTCTTCAAGAAAAACGCTCCCTCGATGGCACCAATAGTTCCAAATGACCAGCACGAGCCGCACACAGATTGATCCTTGACTGGAGTAACTGCTCCGTAGAGTCTCCAGTCATACTGCTCAGGAATAGACTCAACCACCTTCTCGTAGTCATAAGGAAAAGCCTTGCCGCCATTTCCGCCTTCAACCTTGGAGGGTTTGAAGCCTCTCAGGGCTTTCAACTCGTCCGCTGTGCGATCAGCCAAGTGATTAACACCCAGAGTATAGCCTAGCTTGGCTCTATTCATAGAATGGATATATCTGAAATACAACGTTACTTTAGACCTGCATTCAATTGCCTTATCAATGTCCTTTTCTAACCTTAGATTGTGCCTGAACACGTTGGTTCTGTACTCGTGCTCAACATCAGTGTCGAACTTCTTGCCATGCTTCCCCGCGAACCGCCTAAACTCATCCTCAACGTGCTCCGTTGCTCTGGGATGAACGAACTCCTTCATAGGATTGAATGTGGCATAGTGACCTGAACCTGGTCCTGGGAATCCCGTGCATGGCTCATCGAAGTCCACTTCGAAGATCTCGTCCGGAATGTCCTCGTGGCTGTAGTAATCGTAATCCAGATAGTAGTGATCGTAGTGAGAGCCCAGCAAAGTGTTGAAGCCTCGCATCTCGTATCTCACCGGAATAGGCATTCTGGCCGCTGGATACTTGGGAGACTTCTTGTACCTCACCCACAACGTGTAGGTGTTCTTCTTCTGGCCCACAACCTCTTCCAAATAGAACTTATCGCAGCGCAGTCCTACAATCTCCTCAGTGCCCACGAGACTGAAGTCCTTGGCGTTGGGCAGCACGCTCTGCACCTCAATCTTGTTGTCCTCCGTGCCATTCACTTGCAGACAAGTGACATGATTCAGTGTGTCATCTGTCGTCACAGGCGCGACCTTCAAGGACTCCCCGAAATCCCCACTTCGAGTCAACTGGTATGTCTTCACCATTCCTCCGTAGTAGTCGATTCGGGATCGGCCGCTGTTCTCATCGTACCAGGCGTAGAAGGGTTCGCTGATCTCGGCGTAGGGGATGTACAATGTGCCCTTCACCGTGTGCACCTTCTCCCATTTCGGAGGCTTTGTCCCGTGAGCTGCAAGAGAAAGCGAATAATGTTGTGAGTTTCCAGCTCTATCTGCTCTAGCCTAGAGTGCTTGACTAGAGACGACTGAAATTTAATGCAAAATATATTTGTAATGTTTGGAACTAAGATAAATCATCAAGTTCTTTACTTGTATGATAATTGCCAATAGAGGATCGTATGTGAATGTCAAATTTTTAGCCATTTCTAACATATTTCATTGTCAGAATATCTTTATTAGTGTCTTTGTTTGATTCCCATAAATTATAAGACTATAAAATCTATAGAAAGCTTCACTTTCGCTAGATTTTTAACCCAGTTTTGGATATAATCCGAACACTGAGACTCATACTAAGCACTTGAGTTTGTTTCTCAACACGTGAATTAGCAAATAAACGATATGAAAATTGAATTTACATACGATTAAATTTATGTGAAAATTGGTTTAAATAACAGCATCAGTTGTAATACAACAACTCCTTGTCACAAACGCTCTTATTCCATTAGCAAGCAATTGAGATTTCAAGCACAAAGCACTCAGAACACTTTGTTTCTGTTCACAACCGCCCTGCTTCTCCCTAATGCCAATTATCGCATTAATTACCTACTCTGATTTTCAGTAATTCGAAATACATATGGAATTTGAACTAATGATTCGTGTTCGTTACTTTTCCTTCAATATTTACCTCCATCGAGCATCACTATCACTAAAGCAAGCAGAAGTATTTTGAACATCACAGCACGAGCAACGCAACCAGATTAAAGATGTTTTCCCGCTGAAGCGTCCGCTGATACTGAATGGACTCACGATTTGAGAGATGAACAAAGAATCTCCAGCTTTCGTCGATGTTTTGTCTGCGAGTAAAGTACGGGAGAGCAGGACAAGGAGACAACGAGATTTCGCTGCAATCGCATTTATTTGGAGCTGATCAGCTGATAAAGTACAATATCTGTGTCTAATTGGTTGATTTGGCTATTTTATAGGAAATGTGTGATAATATGCTCATGCCCATCTTCTATTGTCCTCTGTTAAATGCTTAGCAACTTTTGCTGGTAACGAAGAATCATTTTATAAATACCCTAAACCAAGTTTTCTGTATAAGAATTGAATAGTTGGACATTTCATTACAATTATATGTATACGAAATTACTTTTATAAATTACTAATGATAAGAAAATATCGCTAGGATAGTAGAAGCAATGCTCTAACGAATAACCCTGTACTCACTAATCATTAAAACTCTCTGCAGGGCCTCTTGTGTCCCTCGCGCACATCTTCGTCTCAAGTGGATAATAATCTCTCGGGAGAGGAGCTGAAAAGAGGCCCTAAATCTCTACCTGACCCAAGCATGCAATTTAAACAGCGCAGAAAGGCCCAGAGAAAAACTTCAAGTGAGAGGCGAAGAACTATGTAGAATTGAAAGGAGAACAAAAAATACTGATAACCTTTGACTTCCACACACATTTCTTTAAACTGTTTATCGAGAAATTGTTTTGCAAGTCAAGTTGACGAGGTCAGCGTTCTGTTGATTGATTCCCCACTTAGGGATTTATGGTCATCTTCGTGCTATTTTTTTTTTGAGTTGCGCTGTGTGTAAATTGTATGAAGAAATGGTGCATAACACAATTCGTAACAACCTAAAGAGGTATTTAAACTCTCACAGATGAGCTGTTTTACATGAGCTTCAGCGTCTCAATCGCCGCCACAATTCGCTTAATTTCAATTTCCGACTGCGTCAACTTCTCCGCATTGCTGGCTCGCACTTCCTCAGGCACTTTCGTCTGGTAGTCAGCCGAAGAGATCAATTGACTCAATTTGCTGACAGTTGACATCAGTTGCTCGCGCTTCTTCTCCATTTTCGCAATCTCCTTCTCCACCTCGATCAGTCCCTTGAGCAGCAAATGCACTTCACACTGAGCCGTGATCGTGAGAATAGCACAGCCCGCAGGTGGATCCTCTCCGAACACAGCCTTGGCGCAGTACGCCAGCGTGCAGAGATCGTCAGAGAACTTCCGCAGCACCTCCTGCACGCCCTCCTCCGAGCACACCACGAAAATCTCCGTCTTGGTCTTGTTCGGCAAGTTGTAGTCACTGCGCGCCGATCTGATGATCTTCGCCGCCTTGTTGACCAAGTCAAACTCTCTCTCGATCGTGTCACTCTTCCATGGACACTCCCGCACCTCCGGATACGGCGACACGCAGATGCTGGGCACTGTCGTGTCGGCGCGCGGCAGACGCTGGAACAGCTCCTCAGAGATGAACGGCATGAACGGCGAGATCAGCTTCAAGCCGTACTCCAGACACGTGTACAGCGTCCTGCGCGCGCTGTCCTTCGCCTTCTCGCTGCCCGACGCGAACACGGGCTTCACACTCTCCAGATAGATGTCACAGAGTTCGTAGAGCCAAAAGCTGTAGCAGGAATTCGTGGCAGCGGCGAATTCGTACGACTCAAAGCTGTTGTTGCACGCCTCAATTGTTGTGGCCAGTCGCGAGAGAATCCACAAATCCATATTGCCTTCCTCGCCAGTCTGTGCAATGAAGAACACAAGAAGTATCAATCAGTCAAAAAATACTTCAAAGCGTTCAAAAATGCCCCATTCCTCCCTATATTTCCTCACTGAGTCAATGAAAACTGCATGAATTCCACTTACCAGTTGCTCAATGGGCGAGAAAACGCCCTGATTGAGGTAAGTGAGGGCGAATCTCGCGGCGTTCCACAGCTTGTTGCAGAAGAATCTGTATCCCTGCACGCGCAAGATGTCCAGATTGATGTCCCTGCCCTGAGTCATGTACGAGCACAGCGCGAATCTCATTGCATCCGTGCCGCACTCGGGAATGCCATTCGGATAGTCCCTCTTCTGGCCCGCGATGGCTCTCTCGATCTCCTTCGGGTCGAGATTCGAGTCGTACAGTTGCTTGTGCAGATCCTCCAGAGCGATGCCTGTGATCACGTCCATGGGATCGATGACATTGCCGAGGGATTTGGACATCTTGCGCCCGTGCGCGTCCCTCACGATGGGATGCAGGAAGACTTCGCGGAAGGGCAGCTTGCCCAGGAGCGTCTGTCCGAAGAACACCATCCTGGCGACCCAGAAGAACAGGATATCATGTCCAGTCTCCAGCAGAGATGTTGGATAGAAGACCTCCAAATCGGCGTTCTCGTTGGGCCAGCCAAACACTGAGAAGGGGAAGAGTCCTGAGCTGAACCACGTGTCCAGGACATCCTCGTCCTGATGCAGCGTGAAGTCCGACTGTGGAATGCTGTACTTGTCTTGGACGCGTTGCCTTGCCTCCGCCTCTGTTCGGCCCACAATCCAAATCTCCTCCTCGGGCAGATTCGCGGGACGCTTGATGAAGTCCACACGATAAGCGGGGATCCTGTGGCCCCACCACAGCTGCCTGGAGATGCACCAATCCCTGATGCCGTCCATCCAGTGGAACCAGGTCTTCGTGTGCGCCTCAGGGATGATCTTAAGCTCACCCGAGCGCACGGCCTCCTTCGCCTTCTCCGCCATCTCGTCGCACTTCACGTACCACTGAGGCTTGATCATGGGCTCCACGATGTCCTTGGAGCGACTGCACATGGGCACGACCATCGGGTGATTCTCCGTGTCGCGATAGAGACCCAATTCCTTGAGCTTCGCCAGAATCTTCACGCGGCACTCGAACCTCTTCATGCCCGTGAATTCGCCGCAGTCGCCAATAACAATTCCATCATCGTTGAAGATGGTCACGAAGGGCAGATTGTGCCTCTTGCCCACTTCATAATCATTGGGATCGTGCGCAGGAGTGATCTTCACGGCGCCTGTGCCGAATTCCATGTCTACGAAGTCATCGCAGACGATCGGCAGGAGTTTTCCGCTGACAGGATGCTTCACGAACTTCCCGTGCAAGTCCTGGTATCTGGGATCTTTGGGATGAATCGCAACGGCCGTGTCGCCGAGCATGGTTTCAATTCTCGTCGTCGCCACGATGATCTCCTTGTCCTCGCCATCGACTTTGTAGGCAAACTTCACGAGAACACCAAACTCCACGGGCTTCTCGTAGCCGGGAATGGACAGGAAAGTCCTTCCGGGCAGCTCAATCTTGTCCACTTCGATGTCCGAGATGGCCGATCGCAGGGTGCACGACCAGTTCACCAATCTGCTGCTTCTGTAGATGTATCCGCTGTCGTACAGGCGCACGAACGCCTCCACGACCGCCGTGCACAGCTTCGGGTCCATCGTGAAGGCCACGCGGCTCCAGTCCGGCGAGGAGCCTAGGCGCCGCAGCTGATCGTAGATCCGGTCGCCCTTCTCGTTCCTCCACTCCCAGATCTTCTCGATAAACGCCTCACGGCCCACGTCGTGGCGCGTCTGCTTCTGCTCGCGCCACATCTTCTTCTCCACCACGACCTGCGTCGCGATGCCGGCGTGATCGCAGCCGGGAACCCAGAGCGTCGTGCGCCCCTTCATCCGGTGCCATCGCGTGATCGCATCCTCGATAGCGTTGGTCAAAGCGTGACCCAAATGCAACGAGCCGGTGACATTCGGCGGTGGGATGACAATGGAGAACATACCCTTCGGATTGGGCTCCAGCACGGAAGATCTCTGCAAGAAAGCCACAGAAATAATCCCAGGAATCTCTCCACTTGCCACAGTATCAACTCACTCCATACTCCGGCTTGAAGAAACCCTCCTTCTCCCACCAGCTGTACCAGGCAGCTTCCACGTACTTCGGACTGTAGGCGTCCGGAAAGCTGCCGGACAAGTCCTTCTTCTCCCCTGGCGCTGTGTTTCCCTCGTACACAGCCGCCTCCTTCGTCTCCTTTGCCTTTTTCTGCAACAACATGAACGGCACACAGTCAATATGCAATAATTCCCGGCTATGATGCAATTGCAAATCTCTTGTCAACATAACCTCACAGGTTTTTACTATAGCACTCACCTCGGGCTTCTCCTTGGCCGGTGCCGGAGCGGTGCTCTTCTTGTCCATCTTCTGCTGCAGCTTCTGCAGCTTGGCCGCCTTCTTGGCCTCCTTCTCCAGCTGCTTGGCCGACTTCACCTGGGGCTCCTCGCCCTCCTGGCACGCGGCATTCTCCGCCTGGGCACTCATGTTCGACTCACAATGGGGCTCCTGGACGGCTCTCAAGCACACTCACAAAGTACTTGCGCGACTAGCAAAACTGCCACGAGTATTTTCTTGAAAACCTCCACGGAGGCTGAGTGATTGTTCACACGAGGCGTGAAAGAGAAAGTACGACAATTGCTGGCCTTTAGGACTGCGCGAGTTCACGAAATTAAACAGATACATTGAAATCTATGAAAGATTGTGGATGAGTGAAACTTTCGGGTTTAGTTATTGCAAAAAATTGAGATTTTATCGATTTTATCAGATTTAATGATGATTTGAGTAGTGTTAACTTTGTAATCCCTTTTTTGTGCTAATAATTGATTGCAATATTGCAATGAGAAGGCAGCAATTCAATTATAGCAATCAATATTCAGTGTCTGACTATAATTTCGCATTATCTTTTCTTAATACACATATAATTACCGATAAATTTGATATTAATTCTCATAACTAAAAATGCACATGTGAAATTTATGAAATTTTCAATCACACGCGCGCGCTTTGTGTGTCAGTTTCGCGCGCCAAAAGAGCATGAAAACCATCGAAAAGCGCAGTGTTCGAAAAGAGAGGGAAAATTTGAAAGGCACAACGGCCGACGAGCACGTGATAGCGGCGCCAATGGACGCATGTGTGGCTCCCAATCAAGCGGCCCAACTCCGCCTCTCGCACAACATCATCAATACAGGATCATAAATTTGCGCGCGCAGCAGACATGAATAAAAATACAAGGAAAATCACACTCTTGCCGTCAGGCGAATTCAGAATCCAACACGCGCGTTTCAAATATCAGTTGCAAGATTAGTTTACATGAGGCGCTCGCTCGGTGTGGACGCGCTCGATGGTGCTGTGAGTGTCTCTAGGTCCTTCTGCGTGCCTCCTCGACGGTGAATCTGCCGCACAGGTGCAAGCGCGCCTCCGCGGCCCACCCTTGCCAGCCTCTTGGCGGCACTCCAATGCACTCGGCATCGCCAAAAATATGATAAGAGCAGCGCGAGTGTTGTGTTGTCGATACGCGAGTGCTGGCAAAGAGAGGAGTAAATTGAGCGTGAAAAGCCCTTCCCCGCACTCTGTGAATATATATGGCAAATTAATAAGGCAGCTCGTGTGTCAGCAGCCCAATTAATTAGCCACCATAGATTAATTCCTGCCCCGCCGAGGCCTTCGCGCGCGGGATGATTTAGTGTGGTGGAGAACATACATAGGAAAGTGCATTCGCAGGAACTGCGATCTTGTGGTGAAAATGCTCTCGTGAAATTTGAAGTGCGAAGTCACGCTAAATATAACCCTCCCCTCTCGACAAGTTTTGTGAACGATTGAAAATTTTACATGTTAATAAAGAATTTTCAGAGATGTTGAACTTGCTATAAGGCGACGCTGTACTTGTGGTGGTGTTTACATCTATAAATAAAAGCCGTGAAATTTTCTGAAAATCATCCAGCCACTTTCAACCCCCCGCGCGCGCGTGAGGTCTGCTTCGCATGGGACAAAGACAGGCTTATTGACAAAACCAAATTTCTAGCCAAATTCCCATCGAAGCTGAGCCGCACTCACTCGTGTTTCCGCTCGTCTTTCACATGAGGAATGGCAGCGAAAATATCACCACCGTCAGCTGTTGAAGTGAAGAAGGAGATTCCCAACGATGAAATTAAGGTAATGACTTTTCACTTGTGCGATGTAATTAACGAGATTTTTACTGACATCATCTGAGAACAGAATCACTAAGCAATTCTCTCTCTCTCTCTTTGGCTCTTCGTATTAATAAGCAGAAAACGCGTCACTTTAATTTTAATGTGTTCGAAAAGCTTTTAATATGTATCAGCCATAAATTTAACAATTTCAGTGTTAAAAGGTCAGAGGTGGAAAAATGCAGTGTCAATTACGCGTTTTTAACCACTACAAACATTTAGTCATAACTGCAATATAATTTGATGTGTTTTCATTTCCCTGAAACAGTAATGAAATATGAGAATTTAACGAATATTCCCACAAAATATCAAATATAAAACACATAATTATTGTGAGATATCCTCCGAAAAAAACATAATAAATTTTAAAATCATATACAGGATCAAATGAGTTTTAATTAATTTACTACCTAAAAAATTAAAGTCACACAATTGAACTTTTGTGAATCTCTGAAATAAATGAGATTTAAAAACGCATAATGCAAGAGCAAATTTTAAGTATAAATTCTTGATAATCTCACAATTTACAAACTCAAATAAAATTTAATTCTTCTTACTTTGTTCTTACAATTATTGCACCTCAAGAGTTCTATTACAAAATGAAGTAAAATCGATCAAGGGTTAAAAATGAGAAAGAGTTTCAGGAAAGAAGATTAATAATCACATAAGTTTCCAATTTTGCATTATACATAAATTTAACGAAACTTTGTTTCAGGCGTTCTTGAAATAAAGACAACCTCTTCAGAGGATTTGGCTAGAATTTATACATATTTTCACGTGAATGAATCCATTTTTATATTCAGCATAATTCCGTAATTTGGACAGCTGTCAAAATGACTCATTTGAAATTCAAAATGAGCCTCATTATCTAACATCTCTTCGTATTCGCTTTCTGGGCATCGCAGCATTTTGTTGTTACGACAAATATTACTCAGGGTATCTGGCGAGCGCGATATTGCAATGGAAATAGTTGAAATGTTGACTGTGAATCGCGTCTATTTTGGAATGAGGAGATTAATATCGAAATAATTCAGTGTTGTGTATACACCTAGCGATGAAAAGGTCACATAATTAGCCATAGAGTTTTCGGTGACACTTCTCGCCTTGCTCTCATGTGTCCTTGTTTCCAACTCTGCCCTCCTTGGCAGTTTGCACTTAATTTATGATATGTGTCATAATGAGAAATTTTAATTGTGTGTCCCGCGATATTGAGGTATATTTTGTGAAATGAAAGAATCGCACAGTGTATTTCATTTCACGTCACACTTCGCAAGATGATGTTATTTTTATGAAGAGCGCCCGGTGTTTATTATGATTGTGTGATAACAATGATAACAAAGTGGATGCCCGCAGGAGAAATGAAGTAAAGCCACTTTGTCCACATGTTGACGGAGAAAGCGAGGAAAAGTCCTCTTCTTCAGTGTATTATAGAAAATATTCATGTAACAAGAAGATCTGCTCGAGTGTGTGAAATCCCACCATCGTCATAATTCGAAAATAGAACCACGCATCCGTAATTGAAACTTCTTTTCTTCATTTCTTCTTGTGATCTGCTCTCTGCTTGATGAATTTTACAAATTTCCAACATTGCTCTTTGGATTCCCTCCCCTTCGCGCGCACACAATCTCTCGCCGATGTAAACTGACACCATCTGAAATCCAGATCACTCGCCTCACTCCTCGCATGCCATCCAACACTTGAGGATTACAATCCACGCGCATACAATTTGTGTGTGTTTCCACTCGTAGTCTTTTTCCACGGAAATTTTGTAATTAAAATTCTCGAGCACAGCCATGCCAAAAGCCCGGTGTCAGATTTATAAGTGCGTCTTCACTCACATTCCCTGTATTTACGCTCGTTCATGCTCAACTATACGTGTGTCTACGTACATATTTTCCTCGTCGACGTCACTCGGAGTCCCTTTCTGCAACATCCAGCTTCTCCCCTTCCCATCTCACCTCTCAATTCTCAATCGAAGAAGTATTTTTCCCACTCACGTGCTCAGCGAAATGATACCTCAAGAGCATCTCTTGTTCCTGAAGATGTTCTATTGTACTCGGAGTTCCAATTTTAAATTTAGTACTTATTGCATTTTACGAAAAGCAGGAAAAGTTATAAAATCCAAACAAAGTGTCAACATTAAGAGTAAAACCGAGGAAAATTCTATGAGTCGATCTGAAATCTTGAATTAAAATTATAACGTCAATGCAGTTTTGATTTAACAAAATACCATAACATGTATTGCATACGTAATATGTAGTGCATAAATTCTATAAGAAGTCTATAGATAAATTTGGTGGTGAAAATACTTGATTTCTACTTAACTATTACACTCCAGCACCACAAGATATAGATTGAATTTATTTTAATATCAATCCTCACATGTAAGCCGTACGAAAGCCTTACCAGAAAGAATTCCAAATCTTGTCAGTTGAAATAAAAGTTCAATTAAACATAATTGTTAATTCTGATTTATCTAACTTTGATCTATCTACAAACACATCGAGCATCTTTATATAGAATTGATTAATTTCCAACATGTATTTTCGACTTATATCAATTTCAATTTACTATCATCAAAAGACACTCATTTCCTTTTAGTGTCAGTTACGAAATCTTTCATCACTCTTGTGACTAATTTGCGACTGTCGAAATCCATATGGTTGGTGAATGTGAATTTTTCTTAACCCAGTAGAGAAAGACGGCATATTGCAAGTGTTGAAGGAATCAAAGGGTTAGGAGAATGTCTCTAAGGTGTAGGTAGTGCAATTCAATGGTGAGATATTTAATTCAAATACAGTAAATAACATGATTATTACGTAAAGATGCGAAAGAGGCCCTGAAAATGCCATGAAAATGAGAGAGATTTGAGTTGATGCCAATCCTCATTAATGTGTTCTTCACCCTTTCCCGCCTTCAAGTGTACTCTTGCGTTGGGCTTCAGAGATATTGTGAATGATAAAGGTAACCCAATCCATCGCAGCTTATGCAGCGATACTGTAACAAGGGACACCCGATGCCTCTCCAGACTCGAACAGTCGAAGCCACTCCGCATTTTCGCATTCTAGAATTTATTTAAATGAGGCGGCGTACCGAGAAAATTGAATTACCTCAGGTTTCAGCCTGTCCAACATTTAAATAATTAATGTCTGATATCACTGCACAGTATTGCGAGTGAGCGAGAGGGAGATGGTCTTCCCGAAATAAGTCACACTCCTCGCTTGTCTCCAGTTCTCGCGCTGCGCAGCGAAAATATTGATAGAAATTTTCGAAACTCCACAAATATCAGATTTCAGGCTTGAATTTGATATTTTATTCAACAACGAGATCGGATTACTGGCAAGATATCAAAGCACAGCATACAAATGGACTTGCGTGCTCTCATGAAAATATATACATTTTCCCTCCCAATCGTCCCCTGAATCCTCTCCTGTTTATAATTACTTGACATTATTCTCCATTTCCACGCGAGATAGAGTAACATTGCATCCAGCACAACATTTTCCAGACATTTTTCTCCTTTGGTAAACACGAACGTATTGAATTACACTGTCTCAATATTAAGTTACAATTTAATTATGTCTGTCGCACACAGAAAAGCAGAATTCAATACACACATCCACTCTATCCCAACTGATGTTCTGCACAAAAATATTTACATTCCCATTTGCAAATTCATGCGACTGTCAATCATGTGAAAATGCAGTAAGAATTGTGCACAGCAAAGAGCCTCTTGATTTTCTGATTTCTTCTATGCACGGAAAATGGGCAAATTAATTTTGTACCCCTTGATAGAAGCCAAGGAGAGGAGCCTTGAATGTGTGTTCTTTCCACCACAGACAAACTCTCAAAAGAAGGTCAGCTGAAATTCGTAAACAGAAAACAAAATATTTACATACCTAACTATAGAAATACGAGAAGTTCTAATGATTTATGAATTCGAACGCCCCAAAATTGTGTCAAATCATATTTTCGGCATCTTTCATTAAACACGGCAAAGATTGAGGTCTAAATAATACAATAAAATGATTGTGATTATTCAACATGCATATAAAAAAAATACAAACTCAGCTTATGGGAAAATTGGATTTATAAGGACAACTTGGAATGTGGTGAATTCAATTTGAAGCTGAACTCAAGTGAACATCAGCAGTTAACATGATTATTGATTGAGATCAAGATCATTGGAAATTTAAATTATTGGCAAGGAATGTGAACTTGAATGTAAATAAAAAAAACTAAATAAGGCCACTATCCACTAAACTGGCGCAAAAACATGCGTCTCCTATATTTCTTTGGATTTGACGAGCAATATTTCTCTGCAGGACTTTGCTGAGACTGCGATGAATGAATTACTGGGTTGGTATGGTTATGAGAACAGCAGCGGAGATCGCGCAAAGGTTATCAATTTGAGACAAGTCAGAAGTCAGAGTTCAACGCCAGAACACGACAGTGCCAGGGAGGATTCCAGAAGTCCAATGACTGCATCAGAAAAAGAAGGTAAGCGCTCGCTTTTCTGTAGCCACAAATTGCAATGGCAGAAATGTGAGAAAATTTTCCGCATTATTATGAGCAAGAAAAAAGTCCTTGTTATCCGTAATACGTATGCAATTATGTATTTCTGCAAATGTAATTATTGGGAAATGCAATTGCATCAATACGCCAATAGTTTCCCCGGGAAAATGGCATGGAAATAAGAGTCACCGAGGAGGCTAGCATCAGTGTGCAATCTGATGGATTTCAGATACCGCAGAACAGCCCATAATGAGACCAGCAATTCCGCCTCTCCAGGATAATTATTTCACTCTCGGGCTGGTAAATCGAGATGCTCGTCTCACGGTACACGCCATTGATGATGTGGTCGGCCAAATTAATATACATACTCAATGCTAACAGTCTGCTCATAGTCGCGAAATCAATCCCTCGTGCAACATCATCCGCCCATCAAAATGATGAACTGTGACTCCGAAAATCGCGCATATTTGTTACCCAAGAACGCTTCCCGCTCATTTTGCCTCTCACACGAAATAATGACATGAAGTATTTGTTATTAATTCCACGCATGAATTCGCTCGTGGCAGGATTTTCGATCCGATGTATTTTAAATAATTATGCTCGTGAAATTACAAATTTTCATGTCCAATTCGGAGGCATTTGTGACTTATGAAGTGCATTGTATGTTTTAATTAATTCATTTACATCTAAAACTATAGAGAAATGTATTTGACCCATCAAAGGCAATATTGGGAAAGTTAATTTTGCATATCCGGTGTCTGTGAATTGATTTTTGATTATACTTCCTGCAAAGGATATCCAATTAATCCTTCCCAAATTCATTTTCAAGCGTGTTGTGAAGAACTTTGTTACGTAGCCTTAAATGTACACTTCATAATACATAGCCTTAAATGTGCAAATTGAAAGGAGTTTTCCACAATGAAATGTGTGCAACTTTAGTTTATGTTTTCTGGAGAATATTGACTTTCCTAGGATCGAATATCATTGAACCACAAGAAGACGCTTTATGGCGTCAAACGTAAAATTTTGCATGCCTGAATATAGTGTTGGGTTCTTCGAAATTTTCCCCACCACATGAAAAGCAAAGGGGGTGTGCTCGGTGCACAAAAGACTTCTTTCTCGTTAGTATTACACCAGGCATATTTGATGAACAAAAGTGAAATTGGAGAACATTCATAGTTTATGGGGTTGGGTGGATATTTTGGTAGTTTTGTAAAAGGGATGCTGCAGATCGAATTTCACACTCCAGTTCGAAGAACTTTTACCGTCTCGCTGTTCCGTCCAACCCTCATGCAAGTAATTTCCCATCGTATCTCAGGTCACAGAGTGAGGGACAGAGACGAAAGCTCACCCCTTTTTCCCTTTGCCAAGTTGAAAAGCATATGCACAGAGTCACATTTCGGCATTCAAATCTTCCATTTCACTCCTCTCCGCAGTGATGGACTGTGGCTGGTGCCGGAGACCAATGGCCCACCACTCGCCTGGATCCCTGGGCACCCCCGAGGGTCCGCGCTACTGTTCCGAGTCGTGCTTCTCGCAGAGCCGTCGCGCCTCCTTCAAGCGCGCCAAAACCTGTGATTGGTGTCGTCACGTGCGACACGCCGTGAGCTATGTGGACTTCCAGGACGGCGCGTCACAGCTGCAGTTCTGCAGTGACAAATGTCTCAACCAGTACAAGATGCAAATCTTCTGCAAGGAAACGCAAGCCCACCTCGACATGAACCCGCACCTCAAAGACAAGGGCGCCGGCGGCAGTGGCAATCTCATCACGCCAGATCTCTGGCTCAGGAACTGCCGCAGCCGTTCCGCCTCGCCCGCTAGCAAACGCAGCCGCTCTGGATCACCAATCAGCGTAGGAACGCCCAGCCTCTCGAATGTGGTTCCAGCGCCGCGGCCGGTCATCACTCTGGCGCCCCCTTCGAAGCTCCTGAGCAACCCAATCGGCATGCCAAGCAGCGTCAGGACGTCCATGAAGGGACTGAAGAAGAGGCGTTCAGCGCGAGTGCAGAGGTACAAATGCGAAACTACTGAACATTTCTACATTTCAGAAGTGGAATTAATCTGTTTTTCTCTCTTCCAGCATGAACTCCAGCAACAATAATCTCCAGATTATAGACAGCAACTCGGCGCCTAGTCAAAAGCCCTGCACACTAACAACTGGTGCTCAAGACCTACGACTGCATCAAATGTCTCCCATCGTCCATCATGCCGTGCCGCCAGAGCAGACACGCACTGTTCTGCCACCGCAGCCACCCAGTGTTCTGCAACACCATCCTTTCCTACCTCCGCCGCCCAACCTCTATCCTCTGAGATCCCCTCACTTGCCGCCTCCCTTTCCACATCTTGCGCACCTTCCTACCGACGATAGACCCCTTCCATTCGGCCCTCCGCCGCCGCCAGTCACTATCCTGGTGCCGTACCCCATAGTCCTGCCCTTGCCCATACCTATTCCCATCCCCATCCCGCTCTCCCACTTTGCGAAGCTGAGTCAACCCGCCGAGAGCTCCGCAGGAGCGTCCAGCACGGCTGACAAAGAACAGAGAAGCCCGGAAGCCAGGGACGTCGACAGTGATGAATGTCCTGATCAGCCACTGGACTTTACAACGGCCAGAACCGAGGTGAAAGACCCCGAACCGGAAGCAGAACTGCCCGAGGAGCAGAAGCTGCCAAGACTGAAGATCACGCGATTGCAGACGAAACGAAACGTTGCCAGGGAGCTCGAGAACAACCGGCCATTGCGGAAGCGAAAGCAAGTCATCGACGCTTCCAATCACTAGAGAGTAGAGGTTGAGGGCATCTCACATTAAGAGTTATTTATTTAATTGACTATATAGTTTCTGTTCTGGTTTCCCAGCCTTGAGTATCTCTCTATAGGTATATTTTGCCTTCAGTTAGGTTTTTTGTTAGATCAACTGTAAGCTAAAGGAAGATGAGAGAAAATTGTAGAGAAGAGATAAGATAGCGCAGTTCAGAGAGACCAATTGGCCCAGGAACAGAATGACGGAACGACAGAGCGCGCGCTGTGATGTTCGAAACTAAGGTAGAAACTTGCTTTAGTGAACCCATTATGGGGCTTAGCGATTTATGTGCAAAGAAAAAAACACGTAGAATTTTCCGCAAGGAAACTTAACTTCTATCCACAACCAAATGCAATGTAATCTTGATTTTGCAATATCTTCCCATGTCAATGTTTCAATCTAGTAGAGCAAATAGCAGTTTATTTCTGTAGGTCACTTGAGGGATTCACTCCTAGCAAGAATTTTCTATTTTCGACTATGTTCTCCGTGTAATAATCTTCTGAATAAAAGAATTACACAGGAGAATCTTTATGTTTTCATTGCTTCATGGTTATAAGAAAAATCTACGTATAAAACGACGTAATTGGTTTTCTAAGCAAATATTCGCAATGTCTAACGCTGATGGTATCAACAATATATATTTAATTATATGCCAAGTGAGAGACGCGTGTGAAGTACAAGACATTTGACCAACAATTGGTATTATTCGTCATCAAAGTGAAATTATTTTATAATTTCATTTGAACAGAAAAATTACAGAATTGCTCTCAAAAATATACTTGGATGATTTCCCTTCTCCCTCATCAGGCTTTAAGGATTTGCAATGTCGGTGCTCTCTTATCCATCGATTGCCATCAATATCGAGCTATTTACATCGAATTACAATAAATAAACCCCCATCAAGAGGAATTCCACTCTCTGCAGCACGCTATCAACTCCCAAACGGAGCTTCACTTCAGTCGCGAGCACTTCCTCGTTCCGTGCTGCACACAAAACTTGGCCGGAATTCGCGCGGAAAGTTCAGCACAAGTGCCGTGAAAATGGGTGATAATCTCTTCCTCATAAGTCGAGCGGACATTTTTTCCATCTACCCCAAAATATTCAATGAACTCATTGCCCAGGACGAGGCTGAGCGCCAGAAGAGTGGCGGACGTGTTGCGAAGGAAATCAATTTGCCTAGTGATTATGAGTTCAAGCTCAAAGTGTATTTTCGCCTGCTCGACCAGCAGCGGAAGTTGAATGAGGCCGAGGAAAAGGGACAGTAAGGAGACGCAGAGTCCTGATGAGTTTCCTCATTGTCTAAACCTGGATTTTGTGTGGATTTCAGTGCACCAGAAAAACTAGACACGCTGCGCGTCGTTGAATTGTGGGATCCTCTTCATGATTTTGAATTGATTGCGACACCATCGATTATAATCAGGAAAAAGTGCTTCATCGACGACCCAATTAAATATCTTGACACGGAATTGGGCATTTGGTCACTCGAAGACATCTCAAAGGCTGGAATGTTGCTCAGAAAGCCACCATTTCCCTGCACTTTTCACAATGAACACGAAATGAGGAGAGTTTATTCTCTCATCTATGATGTATTCCGATGTGAGTGTGTGACGAGGATATTCGATAGGTTTTCTTTGACGAATGGATTCATCAGAAATTGAATTATTTCCGCAAAACATGACTAGAACAAGCCAAATGTACTAAACTTATCAATTGAAAAAATTCTCATATCTTCAATTTTGCACTCGATAAATTTAGTAAAATTTTACCTTACATTAAAAAAAAAACCATGCGTTCTGCAAAGAATTTTTCTTTAAAAACTTCTTAGTCATGATAAAAGACATGATTTTAAGTATGCAAATGCATCACTATTTGCCTCGTGTGCCAAGTCAACATAAAGAACTTAACACAGTGTACAAAGACGATTTTCAAAGCGCAGATAAGACACGAAAACCCTTCCGCAAAAGCCGATGGCAGCACACTATTGAATGCAGTGTATTCAATCACATTTTGCGCAAAAGGAAAAGTTAATCGATTCACCCCATCCGCGAAATTGAAATTCATCAAGGGGGGAAAGTGGAAAAGGAGCACAAAAATGCCGTCAGTATGCAACGGGGACAGTGAAATCCAGGACAATATTTTATTGGTTTGTATCGTGACGCCAAATCGATTGGAAATTGTCATTCCCCTTTTTTCAAATCATCACGAAAGTGTATGTTCTACTAAAGCGAATTCGCCAGCCTTATTGGCAAAGCGTCTCATTATTTGTAGGTCACGAATGATAAGGGGTGAATATTTTAAATTAAATCCAAAACTCTAAATCACATCCAACAACCAGACATTTGGCAGACTATAATATTATAAATGTGTAAGGCAAAGTTCTTGCATTGCTGCTCACTTTATTGACCAAAGCGGTGTGTTTTTGGGAGGAAAAGTTGTTGCTTCTTCGCCAGCTCATTGAACTTGTGTGAGAATCCTCGGGCCCTCCTGCCGTCACTCTATTGCACTCAACACGCAAAGGGGAGCGTGTGAAGCAATCAACAGCTGAAGGAACGTGGCAAACATTGAGGAAGGCCGGGGTTGAGCTTTGAGGAAGGACTAGATTGAATAATTACACCCCCTTTTCTCTGTTTTCCAAATTACAACAAGGAAATGATTAACATGCTTTTTGGCGAGGGGCGGGAAGTAATTTCACTCATAATATGCCTGTTCCAGACAAAACCGTGTTGCACCAAGCGCTCATCAACTCGAAATTCTTCATAGTTTATCCTCATGTAAGCCCAGTTTCTCATCCAATCTCACCTCGAGCTCTTTCACGTCTGGCAATTCCCTTTCAGTTGGAACCGGACATTAATCGAGTGTGGCTCATCCTCTTCGATTTGCACATGCGACACTTCCTCATGCGTGATCCGGAGGAGACCAAGAAGAAGAACATCCTCTTTAAGGAGTCTGATCTCACGGACATTGACAATCGCCTGTGGGAGTACAGAATAAAGCTTGCAGCTGCTCTATCGAGACTGAGAATAGAGAACGGAGCTCTAACTCTCTCTCACTTGCTCCCCGTGCATTTACAGGTAGGAAAATTAAAACTTCCTTTGAAAAATATGAACAAAAAGCTCAGCATTGATTGAAATTTTCCTTAAGAGAAAAGAAACGTGAAAATGTTGACAATTGATCCTCACTTTTCAGGACGAAAAAGTGGCTGTGGCTGCGGCCAATCCCATCGTGTCCGGATGGATCAATCCCTTCAAGTTCCCCAAGAAGGAGAACGCCGTGGCGTATTTGGCCGAGAGAACGTTCAGCGAGACTCCAACACTCGCCAATGGAAAGTATGAATCTCTGGCGCTAAATCAGTTCAAGTGGGATCGCGTGTGTCCTTTCTACATGCAATGCCTGCCCGCCAACCGGGGCCTTCTGGCTCAAACGCCCTTCATCAAGGACTTCATGTTCATCCTGCAGGATCGCGCCTTCTCCATCGGCCCAGCTTACTTCTCTCGCCTGCTGGACCACTTCACCATCAATGGCGACGTTGTGCAGACACACGTCTCGTCCCCGAGATCCACGGCCTACTTGGCATCGCTGTTTCTCACCAACGCCCGCGTCCGCAACTTCCTAGCCTTCGGCGCTGGTCCTCGGGTCGAGGAGTACCGAGACTTTATGGCCACTCTGGGTGTGAACAATGTGCGCATCTTCTCGGAGAACTTCACCAACATCTCCCTCAAGTCGCAGCTGTTCGAGAGGGCTGTGGGGATCTTCGCCACGCCTCCGAACAGCTACAGCGGCGTCACGGATCCCATCGATCTCATCTGCAGCCGAGGAGGCGACCTGACCATGCTCGAGGTCCTCACAGAGTCTGAAGTGAGCGACAGCGGAAAGAAACGCGTGGCCGAAGTCTTGATGGAGCAAAAGGAAACCCTGAGACTCTCCTTGTCGCGTCCTCAGATCCAGTTCATCCTCTACGAGACGCACTCCGTCGTGAGCTCGGAGAACGAGGACATGCTGTCACGTGCTGTGCAGGACATCAACAAGGCCGCGCAGCAGAAACACTTCCAAGTGATGCGAGATCTCGCCCGACAAGATGCTCTGGCGGCGGCTCAGGAGGGATTCGCTATGTCGCCATCGACGCCAACGTCCGCCCGCAGGAAAACCCGGCGACTGTCCACCGAAGTGCCGCCCATCAAGCTTAAGTCGTCAGACAGCGAAGAGCCAGGCTCTTCCGATTCCGAAGCCGACGGCAGAGAAACGGCCAAGTCACGCGTCTCATCGAAGAAGTCCATTTGCACAGCGTCCGAGGAGGAATTCCTCTGCACCTATGATGTCCCGCCAACGGACATCTTCGAAATTGTGGACTTGCCAGACATCTGTCTCAACAGAGATCAGTGCCTGAGCCTAGAAGAGCACGGATCCTATTTGGCTCTGGCGAAGAGGAAGGAAATTACGCGATTCGATTCCAAGTATCTGATAAAGATGGCAGAAACGAGAGGTCTCTTCGGAGATACAAAGCCCAAGACGGCACGCGCGAAGCCACAGAAGAAGATCGAGAAGAAAGAAGTGGAAATTTTAGAGAAACTATCCGGGAAAAAACTGAAGAGGAAAAAGAGCGATCTTTCCGTTCTGGTAAGTTTTGCAAAAGAACTTTTGCCTCGCTTTTATCGAAGAAATTTCTTCGAGAATTGAACGCAACTTTACCTCAGTTAGAAATTGGTTAGAAATTAGTCAGTTCGTGGAATAAATTTAGGTTTTGCAGATCAGTTAATTTTGCATGATCTTCAAGATGTCCCCAAAAAGTTGGAATGTGCCAAGTTGTCAATGAAATTTTGTTTTAAATTCCTCTTTGTCGTAAATTTAAAAAAAAATACCATGTTCAGCCTACGCCCATGCTTTTCCAGGTTTTCCAGTCTGCATTTCAAAGTGTAACGACTACTTACTATCTTCCAGATTAATCGCTTGACCACACCAACGCTGTCCTTCCTCAATCACTCTTACCTTCAGCGCTGCTCCTCAGCTGAGAAAAAGTTCCTGTTGTATGACCCCATCCGCTGCCGCTGCCTCAGGCATCTGACTCATCACCAGGACGTTGATGGAGCCGCCGAACTGCAGTCGCAAGCGCAGGAACGGGCGCGTGCCTGGTGGCAACAGAGCGCGAGGTTCGTGATCAAGCTACGTCGGATTCAGAAAGACGTGCGTGCGTTGCGCAAGAGGAAGCCCAGTCTGTACAAGCCGCTGAAGGAGAAGCGGCTGAACCCTCTGCGACTGCCGCGCGTGATCAAGCCCAACGAGCCGCCCCAGAAACCCATGCGAGAGCTCCTGTTCAACCGCGAATTGTTCCCGGTGTCCGTGAATCAGCTGGAGATGGAGCTGCGGCGGTGCTCTGCCGTGAGCCACCTCCGCAGCGAGTACGAGGAGGCCTCGAGTGGCGTGCGAATCCCTCACATGACGCAGTACATCAAATACAATCCCATTTACTACTACTCGCATTCCTATTGACTAATAAAAGCGCTTCTCATCACCCTTTATTGCTTCCTCTTCACTTTGGCCACATCATCCGGCTGGCCGTCGTCCTCGTTGATGTAGTTGAACAGGTCAAAGCGGCCGGCATCCGGGAACTTCTCCAGCTGGCACTCGAAGGTGTCCTTAAAGGAGTCCAGGAAGGGCGGAATCACCTCGCCGATCTCCACATTTCTGCCCAGCTGCTCGCTGATCGACGTCACGCCCTTGCCCACGAGGCCACACGGCACGATGTGCCGAAACCAGGACAGATCTGTGTTGCAGTTGAGCGCCATGCCGTGCGATGTGATCTGACGGCTCACATGCAGCCCCAGAGCGCAAATCTTCTTGTCTTTCACCCACACGCCCATGTCGCGCGTCCTCTCGCCGCGAATGTTGAACTTCTTGCACAACTCCACGATTGTCTGCTCGATCTTGCCCACGTACCACCGCACGCTGGGCTGGAAGTGACGCAAGTTGAGTATCGGATATGCAATAAGTTGTCCGGGCCCATGGAAGGTAATCAGTCCGCCACGATTGGTTTTGTAGAAGTCCGCGCCGATGTCCTGGAGCTTCTCCACCTCCTGCGCCGTGTAGGCATTCGACCGGATGCCCACAGTGAAGACGGGAGCGTGTTCCGTGAGAATCAAAACATTGCGGAACTCTTTGGTCGCCTCTTCGGCGGGCTTTCGCGCGAAGAACTGCTGCAGCCGCAGTGCCTTCTGGTAGTCTAGGCGCCCCGTCTCCAGATACTGCACCAAGCGGGACATTTGGTCAGGATTGAGGCACTGAACCGAGATTTTGTCTGCTTTTCCAGCCTCCTGCACACTGATAAAATCGGCGGTGACTTTTCGCCTGTCCCACTGAGCGACGCCGGAGCCATCTGGAAACGAGTGTGGCAAATGCGAGACATTAAGAGTCCTAGACAGAAAAAAACTACTGATTTCATGAACTTCCGCATCCCATGCGGACACCTTTATTCCAGCCATCTCTCGCCATCCCGAGGACGCCCGCTTACATGAAGTACGTCTTGGGCTTGCGGTAGGAGAACAGCGGCCGGGAGTTCTTGTGGTGAACGCGCTTCACCAGCGGGAACTTGATCTTGGAGTCGTGGAATTGTTTGATGTGCTGCCTTCTGCAGTTGCTGGACTTCACGGACTCCACCTTGATGATCTGAATGGAGTGCGCACGGGCGCGGTGGCGGGCCCCCATGTCCCTGTAGCACTGCGTCACGGCGCCGCCCACGGACAGGTCGCGGTACTCACGGTACATGTTGTGCGTGCCGGAGCGCGAGTCGTACCGCAGCCAAATGCCGAAGTTCTTGATCTTCAGCGGTGTCTTCTCTGAGATCTCCTTCAGCGACACGATCTCACCGGTGGTCTTCTTGAACTTCTTCAGCTGGCGCAAGAAGTACCAGAAGCGCGACTTGGCCATGATGTAGTCCGTCGCGAAGATGCGCATCTTGTACAGCGGAGTGTTGGGCTCCTGCTCTGAGGGCAGTTTGCGCCCGATGATTTCGAATTCCTGCAGCTGCAAATGACAAAGTGAGGTTAGGACACGCCGTGCAATCGAAAATACCAAGGCAAATTGATGAAACCACTAAAACAGCCAGAAAATCACCCACAAACGGCAAGAATACCCTAATATCCCCGACTAATTAGCGAGCAATGCGCAAAATGCGATGCACTTTGTTGACTTTTGAGCCATGTTGGCCACAAGCAGATTTTCTCAACACGAATCTCGCCCTTTTTCACGGCTTTCTGATCTGCATTTCATATTTTGTGCATTCCGCAGGATGTCTTCTGGCTATTTTAGAAGTATTTCACCAATTTTTAGTGGTATTTCTGGGCAAAAATCCACAATACCTGTCCTTTCGCCTTCATTGTGGCTGTTTTCCTCAAAACGGAACCGGAAAAAGAGAGAGACGCCCTCTCTGAGCAGCTGTCAAACAGAATTTCGTCACCCGACTGACTCGCTCTCAAGTTTGTTACCTTAAAAATATGCTGTTCAGTAAGACGAGCGACAGGCTTATTTTTCATCATTCAGTTTAATTTGTTAAATCCAAACTCATCACAGTTTTATTGCAGCCAAAAGCACAAGAAATTGCGGTATAATGTGGTTAATAAGGAAAATATCTTTATTGGTTGAACAATTGCTTATTGTGAAATGTATGCTGGAATTATTCTCATTATTAAGGTGATGACGAGTAGTGGTATTTTGGCTGGCGACTTGTCAGCTGGGATTTGACAGGTAGCCTTTCAATTGTTGCTGATATTTGAACAGTTTCCCATCGCCACCATTGTCAGGAAACATTTTCGACTTTGCGTCGGGGGCGTCGGGCAGGAAATCGAGTAGATTCAGCTCAGAGCAGAAATGCTACTCAAGGAGCAGATAAAGTTTGACATTGTGAGTCCTGGCGTGGCGTGAGAGTGATAATTCCCACGCGCCGGTGGTAAGATCAGTGGAAAGAGGGTGTGAAAATGTGTGCTTGTTTTGCAGGAATGGGGCCACGAGAGGCTCGTGAGGGCTCAACAGGCCGTCGAGCTGCGTCCCTACGACGTGGAGTCGTGGTCGGTGCTCATCCGGGAGGGCCAGAGTCGTCATGTGCATGAGGTCAGATCGCTGTACGAGTCGCTGGTGTCGGTTTTTCCCACCACGGCGCGCTACTGGAAGATCTACATTGAGCAGGAGATGCGCGCCCGGAACTACGAGAGAGTGGAGAAGTTGTTCCAGCGCTGCCTCGTGAAGATCCTGAACATCGATCTGTGGAAGTTGTACTTGACATACGTGAAGGAGACCAAATCCGGGCTCAGCACTCACAAGTTTGTTTACATCTCTTGGCGATTTAGTGGTGGATTTGCTAAAGATTCTCTTTTCTCCTAATTCCAACAGGGAGAAGCTGGCGCAGGCGTATGATTTCGCACTGGAGAAAATCGGCATGGATCTCCACTCATTCTCCATCTGGTCGGACTACATTCAGTTCTTGAAGAGCGTCGAGGCGGTGGGAAGCTACGCGGAGAACCAGAAGATCACCGCCGTACGCAAGGTGTACCAGAAGGCCGTGGTGACACCCATCATCGGCATCGAGATCCTCTGGAAGGAGTACATCTCCTTCGAGCAGAACATCAATCCGATCATCTCTGAGAAGATGAGCCTCGAGCGCTCGCGCGACTACATGAACGCTCGCCGCGTGGCCAAAGAACTGGAGATCGTGACGCGCGGATTGAATAGGAATCTGCCCGCGCTGCCACCGAGTCTCAGCAAGGACGAGGTGAAGCAGGTGGATCTGTGGAAGAAGTACATTGGCTTCGAGAAGTCAAATCCGCTGCGCAGCGAAGACACGGCGCTTGTGACGCGGCGCGTGATGTTTGCCACGGAGCAGTGTTTGCTCGTGCTCACGCACCATCCGGCCGTGTGGCACCAGGCGGCGCAATTCCTGGACCAGAGCTCCAAACTGCTCACGGAGAAGGGTGATGTGAACGCCGCGCGTGCGTTCAGCGACGAGGCGGCCAATGTTTTGGAGCGTGCGACAAACGGCGTGCTGAGCCGCAACATGCTGCTGTACTTCGCGTATGCGGACTTCGAGGAGGGACGCATGAAGTACGAGAAGGTGCATCAGATGTACAACAAATTCCTCACGATTGCCGATATCGATCCCACACTGGCGTACGTGCAGTACATGAAGTTCGCGCGGCGCGCGGAGGGCATCAAGTCGGCGCGGGCGGTGTTCAAGAATGCCCGCGAGGACATCAGATCGCGCTATCATGTGTTCGTGGCGGCGGCCCTCATGGAGTACTACTGCAGCAAGGACAAGGACATCGCCTTCCGCATCTTCGAGCTGGGCCTGAAGCGCTTCGGCGGCAGTCCGGAGTACGTCATGTGCTACATTGACTACTTGTCGCACCTCAACGAGGACAACAACACGAGAGTACTGTTCGAGCGGGTGCTCTCGTCCGGCGGACTGACGCCCCACTTGTCCGTGGAGGTGTGGAACAGGTGAGACGCCCTTTCGCTGCTGTTCTTAAACCCTACAACGAACTAATGCATCTCAATTTTCCACTGCAGATTCCTCGAATTCGAGTCCAACATTGGGGATCTGTCGAGTATTGTGAAGGTGGAGCGCCGTCGAAGTGCTGTTCTTGAGAATCTCAAGGAGTTCGAAGGCAAGGAGACTGCCCAACTTGTGGATCGCTACAAATTCCTGGATCTCTATCCGTGCTCCGCCGTGGAGTTGCGATCAATTGGCTATTCAGACACAAAGGGCATCCTCACGACGAAATCCACCAGTGCGGACACGCCAGAGAGTATCAATCAATTGCCGCGCCTGGATCTGTCGCAGATGATTCCCTACAAGCCAAAACCCAACGCATTTCCGGGTGAACATCCGCTCGCCGGCGGCACCTTTCCGCAGCCACCGGCACTGGCGGCTCTGTGCGCCCAGCTGCCGCCGCCGATCTCCTTCCAAGGCCCCTTCGTGTCCGTGGAGCACCTCATCGACATCTTCAATCGCATCCAATTGCCAGAGCCGCCCGTGCCGTCGGGCGAGAACGGCTTCAGCACGAAACTCTTCGACCTGGCCAAGTCCGTGCACTGGATTGTGGATGACAGCACCTTCTCCGGCGAGGGTGGGCTCAAGAGGAGGCGCATTGTGCCCGGTGGTGATGACAGTGATGACGATGCAGCTGCCCCGGCGCCGCCCAGCAACGATATCTACCGCCTGCGGCAACAGAAGAGGTTCAACAAGTGAAAAATAAAATGCTAATAAATGTAATCTGGACACAATGTGATGCCCGTTTATTATCGCCGCGACGCTCGCTGGATCCCATGTGGTCTAGTGGCTAGGATATCTGGCTTTCACCCAGAAGGCCCGGGTTCGATTCCCGGCATGGGAAGTTTTTGTTGGTATCGCTCACGAAAACTATCAACTTCATTTTATTCCTCGGCAGAATCAGCGTTGCAATTTCGATTTTTTATCCTCTACAAGCCCTCTAGCCAACACTCAAAAGCTTGGATTCAGATAAAATAGACAATTTCGAAATCCATTTACGTGTTGAAAGAGGCAAAAATCATTAAAGAGAGATGGAAAAAAAGTTTCCCATGCCGGGAATCGAACCCGGGCCTTCTGGGTGAAAGCCAGATATCCTAGCCACTAGACCACATGGGACTGATGTGAAATGAAGCAAGTTTCTTTACAACTCACCGCATGACTCACAAACATCATTGTTTACACCATTGTTGACTTTCTTGGCATAAATACACTGAATCTCTTATTTTAAAAAACTTGAAGTCTGTCACTGATGAATTACGAGAAGGAAAAGCTCATGATTTGATCAAATGCTACTTTACTCATTCCTTCGAGGGATTATAACACTATTACATAGTCTTTGGTACAAAAAGAGAGTCAGTGATTCAGTGCTTGCCACAATAGCAGTAGAGCTTCAGTTGTGGATCGCTCACGCACGCACTCTGCCGTCCGTACAGATTCGTGCGGCTGATGGGTCCCGTCAGCTCCATGTCCTCGTCCGATCTCACGCGCACCGTCGCCTCGAATTCCGCCATGCCGGGCTTCGTGCGCAGCCTCACCGTCAGATCGAACATCAGCCCCGTGGCCGGCACGCGCTGCGCGGCGTCGGGAGTCAGGCTCGCCCGCGTGGCCTCCAGAATGGAGTTGAGGTGCAGCCGCGCGCACTGAGGCGAGTCCACGAGGCAATCGTTCAGCTCACGCAGCACGAAGCGCGCCACTCGCAGCACGCCCTGGTCAATCGTGGGTACGGACTGCTTCTCGTGACACGTGCACCAGTGCGGCGAGATGCCGGCCGCGTCACACGTGCGCGTGGCCGGGATGGGCAAGAAGAGGCTGACGCCGCGTGGCAGTGGATCCGCCGCGGCCAGTTCTGTCGCTCGCACATCCACGGCCACGTCCTCAAGCTGCTCCAGGCGGCTGAGATCGCGCAGCATCTCGTGCAGGTCGAAGTGTGACGTGAGGCGCCGCGAGTTGCGTCGGAAGTGACGCATCGCGCGCGGGAACTCCGCGTGAAACCACTTGGGGAAGATGGAGTACATAAAAGGCTGGCGCTCCTCCATCATGCCCTGCAAATAAGACGCGATTCATTGATTAAGCTTTTTGCTAGCATATAACATGCATGTTGACAGATTATTCTTCTTGACGAACTTCCGGAACGCAATGAAATAAAATTAAAATGAGAACAAAATTTGCAAGAGTAAAAATTCAATTGAATTTCCAAACAAAGCAGGAAAAAGAGAGGAAAATCCCTGGAAATCCAGAAATTTAACACACACGTAACAACATTGTATCCTACTCTAGTTCTCCTCTTCTTTTCACTCTGAAACGCCTTGCGCGCATTTCCTTTGCACACACTTGAGTGTGATCAAGTTAAAAGCTATTAAGTCATAAATATTTATCATATCAAACGTGATGCATATTCAATCGATATCAAATATGCAATACAATTCATCTGGTTTCATCCAGTGTAATTGATTATTTATATTGTTTCCACTCAACAATGCGTGCAAATTGAGGGGAAATTTCTTTATCTTAAGGAAAAAAATATGCGACTAAAATTTGTACACCACTTCTTAACACTTTCAGCATTTCATAGACTACAGAAATAATTTGTACACTTTCAGAATAGGTCAATTTTTTTTATAGAATGCTTAATGACGCCATGTAAACTGAATCAAATCTGTGCAATTAAATCCCAGTTTCAGCCCTTTTTCCATGAGTTCAAGTCATTTATTTTCTTATTTATTTTATTTTATATAAGTTTTTGTCCGATTGCAATAAGTGACACAAAATTATCAAAGCTGCTTTATTTTAAGATAAATTATCTAAAATAATAGCGCCTTGAGAAGAGCTAAAGATAGTCTGAATTCCTCCCTCACCTGATACGTGCTGCGAAAGCTGCCCCAGCGCAACCCATGGTCACTCATGACGATCAGCACGGTGTCATTGGACAGCGCACCATCGCTGAAGCGCCTGAAGAAGTCCACTAGCTCATCATCAATGAGCCGCGGCATGTTGAGGTAGTCGTGTGTAAAGGAAGACGTCCAGAAGAAGCCGAAGAAGCGCTTTCGCTGCAGACTCTGCACAAACTTGCCGATGTAGTCGAAGAGGATCTCGAAAGGTGTCTTGCTGCCGAGACAGAAGAATACATTGCCCATCTTGTGGTACGCAATCTGGCGCTCCATGGCCGTGATGATGGGGCGCGTGTAGTAGTCGGTGGGCTGATTGCGAAAGCCCTTCTTGAAGTAGTTGAACAATCCCAGGTAGCCGATGTCCTCCGCGAAGGCCGTCAAGTAGCCCCTCTTCGCGAAATCGCGCCAGATAAAGTGGCAGTTGTCGTACGTGCTGTTCTTTTCCGGCATGCAGATTGACTCCAGCTCAGACGCCTCCAGGCCGGACAGCACGGGCATCAGGTTGGGATACGTGTTGTCGCCCACCTGCAAAGATAAAGTGACTGTGTTAAACCATAAAAGCTTCAAATTCAGGACTCTTCTAAATAGTTTAAAGTAATTTTTCAGGCATCGCACAATGGTTGAAGAGGAACTACAATTATCTCAGGATTATACAAAATTTCTAATACATTCTGAACACGAACTCTCATCCTCACGCGGCAATGGAAAAAAACACACCATATAAATTTGATTTAAATCCACATTCTCTCAGCCTTTTCTGTACCTTCCCTTATCCATACTTAATGATGATACAGAAACACAGAGAAACGCTCTTCTTGCGTCCACACAAGGATGTGGAAAATTCGTTCAGAGGAGAAAATGCTGCAAATGTGGTTGATTTTTATGGCGCAATTGTGGAGACACCATTCCAATTTGATGGGGTCGAAGGTATGTTCCCCTCTTGCACACACCTGTCGCAAATTTTTATCGCACACGACCTTTTGTCGTTCAATTTAGATCCAATATCTCCACGTCTTCATTACGAGGCAGTGCGTAAAGTGACTCATTCCTGCGAATATCCAAAATGCCTCTCGATATTAAAGATGCGATGGGATGTTTTATGCATGAGAAAAGAGCGTCTCAATGTGGAGATATTATAGTTGCAAGTGCTGTAAAGCTTCGACCGTGAACAATATTCATTTCTTGGGTGTACTTCTGTTATTATTGCAATTTTTGTGAATATGTATTCCATTTTGATGGTGTCTTGCCATCAAGAAATCATCCTTTTTACCAATTTAGATCTTTCATCGTAAAATTGCGTTAAATTACTGCTAGAAATCACTTAGATCTTCTCTAAATCTTTGGTAAGTAAGCTTCATACGGATTTCTTGTGCGGCATTATTGGAAAGACACTCAAAGTGCTCATGCAGCATCAGCAAAGCCTTCATCGCGAATGATAGCGGTGGAATACTCACCTTGGTGTATCCCTCCATCTCGATGGCGTCCAATTCCTCGAGCAACACTTGCGTAGTTTTCCTGAGTTGGCGGCGAAAATTGAGCCTCGACACGCTGTCGATGCCAATAACGATGACATTCACTTTCCGCCTACTCGCGGCCGGCACGGCGTCCGCGCTGGCCGTCCTCTCGGGCACGAAAAAGTGGAAGTCCTGGTAGATTTCGCCCAGGCCGAAGTTGTCGCACGTCACTTTGATGAATTCCTCCCCAGGCGCCACGCGATGACGCTCCCCGAACATGATTGGCGTCACTTTGTTGTGAAATCTGATCCACATGTCGCTCTTCCGCACGAATGACTGGTAAGAGCAGGACAGCAGACTGGGATCCGTGACGTTGAACAGTGCGTGCAGCTCCGTGGCGTTCAACTTGATCCACACGTGTGTGGCATCGGACGCCGTAATGCCGGCGGAACAGTGAATTTGCGTCGGGTCGGCAATGAAGCGCTGAATGTGGGCATCAAAGATGGGAAACTTGGGCATCTTGCAGCCCACCGTGTTCACGAAGTAAGCCTCACTCGCCGGATCCATCTCATCCAGCGGATCAGCCGTGAAGCGAAGGAGTCTCGTGTACGAGGACTTGAGTGTCTCCACGTTGAACAAGTAGAAGAGTAGTGCCACAGTGAGGGAGAAGATGAGGAAGAACTTCATGAAACTCTGCCGAGTTTCCAGCATTTTCACAACCGTCATTATTATGATTCTGCAATGCAAAAAAGTGATTATATTTCAATGGGAAACAACAAGTATTTGCTATCTGTTATTTCACTTGCTGCCAGTGGACTAGAATAAGTCGAGTAAAATAAGCTCCAAAGTTCTTAACTGATGAAAAATATTCTGATTTCTACCATTTAACTAGACTAAAAGGCCAATGTCACATTTTCTTTAATTCCTTTACCGCACTCTACAATTTACAGTGCAATTTTGAATATTGTCTTGTTCACAGAGTGTGAACAAGTTGTATTTTTTAAACAAAATGAACAATAATTTGCATATATATGACTAGCTTGTCACACCGAACGCCTTTAAATACTCCGATTTTAGAATGTATTTCCTGCATTAATTATTGTTTCATCGTCAGTAAGACTTCTTGAGATAGCAATGTTCTCTGACATCCATAAAAGATTGCATTTAACTATGAAAATTCACTGAAACCAACTGGTTGACGTATTCATAAACATTTTCTCTTTCCCCACAATCATTTTCAATTGTGTTAGTTGACAATAAATTCAATATATAATCATTCTACATTGTTATGTGTATCCAATATCGCTACGCCACTGGATGAAATATTCCCTCTGTAAAAATGAACCCTAAATCCACTCACAATTTAGCTTTCGTTGCAATATTTTCCCCCTTCCTCGATTCCACGCTCGACGTCGAGAATCACAGAGAAATATCTCTGCCGCCCATATTTTCGACTGAGGAATCTCCACGTAATTCTTCACCAGATTTCCAAGCAGCAGCTGCTGTCCGGGTGTAATTGACGAAGGCGCGAATGGGAAAGAGGCATTTTCACCCCCTTCCGTCCGTCCGTTCACACTTAATTGGGCGAAGCATTCGCAGGAAATTCGGCGAAATGAATTTGCGGTGGAGCAGGTGCTCCGGACGCTCCTTTTCGACGCTAGCAAACACTCTGCTTCACCGCAGAAAGGCTGAGAAGGATGAGGGATTTTCCTGTCTTCACAAACACTCCACACACAGTGACAATGTGAACCCTATGCGAGAACTCTGACCACTCGACCCGGGGAGAGTGCAAATGTGACTGAAAGTGCGATGCTGGGGATGCTGGGTGGATGAACACTCCTCTCGAGCATGCGCTGCCACGCAACCCACACCCTCTCCACCCTCACGACCACACACAGAGTCTCTCTCTCAATCCTTGTTATTGTGCCATATGATAGACAATTATAATTCACCTTCTCGCGGAATCCTTACAAAAACCACCGAAGTTGCACTATTTTCATCGATTGCAATGCAAATTAGCACTACTCGGCGGATTTCTTCGTGAATACTGAGACTGTCAAGCTCATTGCTTTATCGTACAAATTAACCGTTTGTTAATTTACGAGGCAATAAAAGAACACTTTCCACGACGCAGCAATGTACACAGAAATTGACTGATAACAATCTAATTAGAAAATTGCCCATTAGAAAATAAAAAGTAACTTCATATGAAATATTAAGATTTGAGCAAAATCACACAGAATAGCTCAAGACAGAGCGAAAATAAGAACAAAGTGACTTCTTGAGTACAACAATGTTCACCAAATTAGTAAGTACATTTACTCAAGGGTGAGATTTTGGGAGGTTTTTATTCAATTGGTGTTCCTTAAGAATTATTTTCGATTACTTTAATAGCGTATTTGACTACTTTTACGCAACATCCACAAAATTAGCATTATAAGTTATCATTTTTCCGCCTGAAAGGAAATCATTTTCTTTTCACTAGAAAACTTAACATCAAAAATATTTCATTACATGTCAAGAATATCTTTTGAATTGATTTTTTCTCAATTTACTGAGAATTATCATCTATTCGATTACGATAAGTTATTCATGATTTCTCCCCTGATTTAGAAGTGTTCCCAGAATTATTGACACGCATTTGTCCGCCCCTCGCGCCCAGAGAAAGAGTGTTGGTGAACTTGTTCCTCATTATTTTCCGACATTGTGCATAATCACACAGCGCCTGCCGGTAGTAATAGAGATGCACCTATTCAGATGGCAAAGCAATCCCCTCTGGTTGAAGATGCTCTCTCGTGTGTAATTTTTCTCGCTGCACACACTCATCATTTCCGTTTCAAATGAACGAATTACGCGAGTGAAATTGGCCGCGAGGACGCATCTCTGCGCTTATCCTCACATGTGATAATGTGGCGATAGAACACACCCTCGGGGAGCCCTTCTCCCTTTTCCCACACACACTCTCGCTGTGAAAATCATAAGACTCTGCCACCACTAATCAGACGCTCACCCATTGCGAATGGTAATTATACACACTGGCATGCTGTCTGTCTTCGCCATTTCATATCTGCCACAGGCCCAGATCAGTCAGAATCTGTCGCACTCGCCCTGATCGCGCGCCAGAGCTTTTTCTGCGCGCGCGCGCGAGAGCCGACGTGGCCACCGCGTGTTGAAGGACTCAGCCGAATCTCTGGCGCTTTTCTCACGCCGATATTTATATCAAATATGACTAATTGGGCTTCAATGAGACCTTCCTTTTCCAAAGCCACACACAAAACAGCATTTGATTAATTGGGAAGTAACCTTGAATTGTTCAATTTCAAGACATACATATAAACTCTGAACTCCACCGTCAATTCACCTTTAAGACCTCTCATATTCAATTATATTGTGACGTCTATCAAATATTTGTACAACTCCCATCTCTCTAAAGAAACCCCCTTTCTGCTTATCATCATGCTGATTGATACCCTCCTTCTCGTCTGTGCAATTGGCAAATTAGCCCCTCAGCCATAGAGGACAATCTCAAGATCAGCCAGTCAGGATTAAAGACACAGATTGAACTTGAAGCCTCTCTGCATTCAAGATCGCTCTACAATTTATTATATTACGACCCGGTGGAATAAATTGCAATTGACTCCATGTGTAATTTGTCATTTCAAATTAAAGGTGTACGAACTTCTTCTCATCTCCCACCAAAGATTGTTATTTAGCATGGCTGGGATTGAATGAAGAGTGAGAGATCATGACACATGAAATCAAGTTACTTCTTCAAAAACCTGTTGGTACCATTCTCTTTTACTCTCCTTTTATTTCCCATCTGAATTGGTGGCCAGAGACTGTCTTTCAATTCAATTAACCACGATCCCCTCGTTCATCTTTTCAAAACCAACAAAGCGCTGCACTTGAGATACGCACAAGAAGAGGATAATTTGCGGGGCAACTTTTGCAGCCCTTTCAGTGTCTGTTCACTTAACAATATCACGAACTAAAGACATATCGTCTCATTAGAAGTGTGATGCAAAATAATGGCAACGCCAGATTTCATTCTTCGCTTCTATACTAGCCATTCAGAATTATATCGAAATAAGGCTTTAGTATGTCATAGTAAACTTCCATAATCTTTTCTATAAGCGCTAGATGCTTTCTGAGCTAAACTTCCTGGCAAAGGGGAAATAATTTATTTTCGGACAGGTTTAGAATCCCCTTCGCTTTATTCATTTATAAATCCATCAGACTTTCGACGGAATAAAGAAGTCTTATTCTTTAATCCTGCTCGTTTTCTGTTTCATTTTATAGTCAAATATCAACGTTAGCGTTTAGCTAGACTTTGCGAGTTGCCTTGCGTCCGATCGAGTGAACGCTAAAAATGTGGCACTGAATACTTGGCAGTGATAATTGAATTATTTATTATTCCGCGCCGTGTTGGTTGAAGAGTGTGTAAAGAAAGACGCGGGCAATATTTGAGACTGTTAATCAGCCGAAGGGATGTTTTATGTCTTCCATCAGTGTGATATGTGGAAAAGGAGGCGCTCATAAGACGCTTTGTCCCATTTCAGTCCGAGAGACAAACAGACAGACAGATGATAGCATTTACCTTGCGAAACACCATCCTTAATCCTGCCATGTCCACTTCGACACCAGATCACTGTTCCTGATACCCCATACTCTCTGTCACACAGAAATCTTGCTCTGGCGCTGCTCAAGGTGATGAAAAGTGCCTGCAAATTAGCAAGAAATCCCAGGAATTTCTTAAAGTCAATTTGCTGCCATCTTTGCAGACAAATAGAAATGCGAAATCAATTAATCTAGGCGTCAAATTGGCGCTGAATTTTAAACACATCGCGCAAAAAGAATGACCAATTAGGCTTGATGATGTTTGACATTCTTGGGTGGTTTACTTTTCCCAACAGAATTACTTCACTCTAAATCATGCGAAAATCTCTGTATTTTTGGGGAAAATTCTCCAACACACATGCGCAAATAGACGCTTAAACCTTATCACCGATGACAATTAACACACTTAAATGTACCAAAAAATTGGCATCATTCTCTCGAGGTGTGGACTGATGCGTAAGAAGTCAAATATTGGCGTAGATGCTAAATAGAAACACGGAAGCTCTTCTCTTGCAGGAATAATTTTCTGCACATCGCGCGCGTCTCTTTGTTCTGGCGACAAACATCGTTTTTTTCCTCCTCTTCTTCTGCCCTGCCGGACAGAATCACTCAGCAGTCAATAATTGACTCCTTCGGTGAGTAATTTTCTTGTCTCATTAGTGTGTGGAGGAAAAAGTTTCCGAGAATATGACCACAATCTCACCGTGTGATCGTCTATAAATGGCGAAAAATGCATTCAGGAAACGCCAAAGGAGGTCTCATCACTCTATAATGATAATCTCTCCTTATCTTCACCCCATCGCAGACGATGAAGAATTCTCCTAATCAATATTCAACGAGTTTTTCCTCTCAATTAAGCCTCTTTCAGCCTCCACTGACTGCTTTTCCGGCGTGTGAATGTCTCTCACCGTGACGTTGGGGGCTTTTTTCCACGCTTGCAAAAAGTATCCTTGTGCGCGTGTGTGACGCTTCTCATTGACATCTTCTTGGTGAATTTTTCCTGTGAAAAGACGCACTAGAAAAGCGGATGAGAAAAGCCGAGAGCCGGATTCATTCACATTTAGCGAGAAAAGCTGATTAGGATCAATCTTTCGTCTATCTGTATTGAGTCCCATTGTTTGTCTACAGATACGATTTCGTGTGCTTCTCGTGCTTGCCAGGAAATTACATACACATTTGGAGTAATTTAGCCAAAAGAAGATAAAATACATACTTCATTTACTGAATAAACAATTTTTAATACAATGTGTTAAATACTTCGAATAGTCTGGTAAGATTATTTTGGATTTCGGTTGGTTTGCTGCAATAAAAACAAAGTTTCCATCTATGCCGAACCAAGTATGCAAACAAGTTAAATCATTTACAATAGCCGGGAATTCTAACTTTTGCGTCTTCTCAGCTGAAAACCTTAGACGTGCTGAGGAAAACTGCGGCAAATATCTCGACGCTTTTCAATGTTAAATGTAATTAGAGATCGTTTTCCTCTCTCTCTCACTCTCAGTGGCTCATCACAAACTCACACACGCCAATTAAATTCTCGGCACTTCGGGGAAAATGGGGAGGAAAAAATCAATTCATCAATCTATTTGCCTTTTTCCTCTGCTTTTTACAATTCTAAAAGCCATTCTAAAGAAGCACAAAATGCAAAAACCAGAGTTCCGACATTGTTAACACGTGAGAAAAAGTCGGATGCATTGCAGGCACATCTATTAAATGCCTTTATTGATTACTCCATATCAATTTCTATCGCATGAGAAAACTTGAGAGCTTTTCACATTTCAACTCTAAGGCGTGCACATTGAAATTCAATATCAGGTTCGTCGCTTGATTCATCGCAAAAATCTTTCACTGTCATTTTGGCAATAATTTATACAAAAAACTTTGAAATTCATCTGCCAGGGTCAGTGTTATAAAAAATGTCACACAAACTCTAATGGAAACATCAAATAACATTCTATCCTATCGCGCAATGAATTTTCTATTTATCTTTCGCCTTCGCGCATTGTTGAATTGCAGACTTTTCCTAAACAATCACAGAAAATATGCACAGGTATTTCTTTGCGCCTCTGCTGCGATAGTATCGGAGTTATTATGTTAATAAGTGCCATCATCATTGCACAATGCTGCTGAAGAGAGGAAAATCACTTGTCAGTGTATTTTTAACAACATCTCTCTCTCTCACACCTTTGACTTTCTCACATCGATTTCGATGGACTTTCTTGTGCCACTGCTGCGCCATACATTTTTCTACCCGTCATTATATTGACACCAATAAATTACCATCACGTGACGAAAATTGCATCAATTGTTCTAGTGGCTATTGAATTCTTAATTGCATTTGTAAGAAATTATAGCCTTTGGTCAGCAATTAAGACATTGAATTTGCATTTCACTTCATTTTTGCAAACACCACAAGACACAGAATTGTGACGGTGCTGAACCAGAAGCTGAGTATCTTCATTCTATTTCTGTATCACACAATTTGTATGCGAGGGAAAGTTACAGAGTTGAATGAAAAATCAGTGGAAAATTCCTCTGGTTATTTCTAGATTTATTGCCACACATGAGAATAAATAAGTTACGGTTATTCTGATTGATAATAATTGACGCAAATTTAATAACAGCTTTAGATTACAGTCTTATCACACTGCACATTGAAAGGTGCTTCAGTGTTCTGACGGTGCTATAATTATTGAAACCTATTCTGATAGATAAATTAGCGCTCTACACAAAATTAATCATTGCCTTTCGATTAAATTATTTATTAATTCAAAGTAGTGCTTAAAATTTCCAATTTCCACAGTATGATAAAACCATTAGATCAATATGAGATGCTTAGTGAATTGCTCATTTAATGAAAAGCATGCCAAATCTTTCTCAAGTCTTTCACATTCACATTATTATTGCTCTCAATAAATGCAATTCAATGAGTAAAAATCGAGAGTGAAGAGTTACTTTGCACACTCCGAATAATTCATCTCAGTGAGAGCCTAATTTTATTTGGACTTTTAAAACACTTTTCGATGCTTTTCCCTGTAAATCATCAAATGCAGAGTCGTGAAATAAACATTGTGAAGTAATCGAGGTGTGACACTATTATCATTTAATTACCTGCATGAGAAATTTTATTAGGCGTACGCGTAATTTATCTCCACAATCTCCGCGCGACGCACACCAGCCGAAAATGCGCCGCCTGGCGATTGCTCATATGCGATTTCTATTGTAATAATCTCGCACGTTAATGCCGCACATGTAAAAATTCAATTCAAGTAGTTGACGCGAAGAGCGAAAACAGTTTTGGACTATGGAGGCGAGATGAGAAAAAAAGGCAGCGAGAGTGGAATTTAAAAGTAAACATGAGCAGAAAGAGATGATCGATAATTTGTAAAGTTGATTAACATATTGAAATGTATGATGATGTTTGGTCTATAATAGCTAAAAAAAAAAGTCTCTGCTCTTCTCTTCCCTTTGCGGATGGTGCATTGCATATGAGAAAGATCTGTCTCTGTGACACACGCACAAAAGCTGCCCCGCGGTGAGACGCGATCTCGCAAAGAGCGAGAGAGAGACTCATCATCATCATCTCATGCGAGGCGCTTAATCATCATCTCTCACTGTGCTGATGCCGCGCGCTCAAGTTGATCTTCGCACGGGCGCCGAGTTTAAAATGGGGCTCCCACTGCAAATTTAGTGTCAGTTGCTACAGGACTGCGAAACTCACCTCATCTCGCTCTCTCGTCCTCCAGCGCGCACTTCCGCGATTTACATGTGATATTCTCGTGTGATCCATTCTCCCATCCCTCGAAGGTCCTGCACAGAGAGAAGGATCTTAGTGATAAATTGAGATTAAGCATCGCACAACAAACGCACTTTTCTGTGAAGGCAGTGTCAATGGTGAAGAGTATATAGTGCCAAAAAAACAAGAGTTTGCAAGGCGAGAGAGAACTCAAAAAAGGAGAGGACAAATATTTTCCCCTTAAAAATATGTTACTCAAATAACAGTGAAGAGAACATCTTTTTTTAGCAATCACAAAGACACAAAACCTCGTCCCAAGTATGGACAATTTTAGGACATTGAGTGCAATTGTAAGTATAAAATGCTATAGTGGGATTAGCCTCTGTTTTCCCACCTTCAGCAGTCTAATCTTCTCATTCATCATCCCGAAAAGTGGGTGAATTGAGTGGCAAAAAGTGTATATTTCAAGAATGCGAAAGACCCCGAATTTTGGCGCTTCAATTCATCATCAACAATCGCGATCTAAGAGGTGGAAAAGTAATGGGAAAAGAACACAAGTTTCAGACATAAAATTGATGAAATTATTTTTTTATCAAATCAAAGTCCAATAACTCACTATTAAAAACATTTTCTCCTTCTCAAACATATCATTCAAGACTTTATTGCTATATATCTGAAAATTATAGGTGGAAATTTACATACAAATTCTTTAAAATAAACTAAAAGAATAAACTGTAAAGAATTTTTACAATTTTCCGGATACGAACAATGTATCTAATTGGTTTTCTTGGAAGAAATTTGAGCTTATAATTGAACCCATATCATTTAATTAATATGAATATCTCTATTCTCTGTCATTACTTCATCCACAATCCGTACAAACTGATAGATTATTTTGTCACTTTAAGCAATCTTGGAGGAAATTGAAGAAAATAAATTTTTAAGCTCGAGAAAAAAGTAAGAAAACGATTAACCTTTACGATTTTGGAGCTTCGCGAGATAAGAATAGACATTTAAATTGATTCTAACTTAATGGGATAATTTATTTTCACTCAAATGACAACTTATTTAGCATTTCAATAACATTGTGAAAGAATGAGTTTCGCACCTCCTTTTCGCTAAATACGCTGCCGTGCTTACAGTTTTATTATCTGTTTGGTCAAAAGACGCGATTAATTCTTGCTGGCTCAATAATGTTGAAATTCACACCTCTTTCATGTGAGAATCATATCTATGCGCGCAGTGGCTTAATGCCTCCAAAGCACGATGTCTTATTTCAACCGCGCGATCCAGAGAGGTTGTTGAGCATGCGGAAAAAGGTCGGCATTTTCGTGTGTGTGACATAATGTGTGCGACTCTGGAATATGATCTAATCGCCGAGATCGTCACATTGAACTTTAAAATACAGATCGCACGAATCACTCTCACCGCCAGTGACAAGGGAAGAGCATAATCTATCGTGCTTGTGATTGTTTGTAGGCATTATAGTATATATTTGTTGTGTTTAGGCGAGAATAATGGCAGTGACAGATAAAATCTATCATCAATCGACACAATTTCCTAATAAGCGCAGTCACACTGCCACGAATCATTCAACCCATTGTCGCATTGTTGTTCCATCATCTCCTCCATCTTCCCCTTCCAAATTCGCGCGCATACCATTTAATAAATGGTGGCGAAAATAATTTGATTTCGCATCTTTTTTTTCTTCAAGATCTCTCTGTGCTGAAGATTTGTTGTGCATATTTGTAGAATGAAGAGATGAAGTATTGTATGTTATTTAACACAACAAAACCCAAATATTGAATGGATTGAGGCAAAAAAAAGGTGATTTGTGTATTTTTTTTCCCGCGCGCCACTCTTGTACAGATTCTATTTAACAAAATCTCCATCGCGCCCAACAGAGTCGCATTTGCGGTGGCAGTCTTTGCGAAGCCTTTGCGCCGCGCGGCCTTGGTGATGGCCCAAAAACAGCGCGCGCGTAACATCCTAATGAGTCCATTGATGGGCAATCTCTCCCATCACTCCGTGACGTGTGGGCGATGCAAAAAAAAGCCACACAGCAAAACATTTGACACGCACGATGGGAAAATGCACTCCTGTCGATATGGAAAGTAAAAGTTTCTCGTGACTATGTTTGAAGAACACACTCAAAGCTGTGATTTATCCCACCGCGCGATGCCCATGCGTTAATTAGAGAACTCTGTGGTCTTTTTTCCAACGCTGCCACAGACTGGCCAAGAGTGGAGGTGAAAAAATCAAGATAGGCAGTAGCCTCTTATTGTAGTCAAGAGGTCTGTTTTTTCCTCCTCACCGTCATCTGCCAACATTTTATGCTATGGAGTTCTGGTCAATTTTAAATTCAATTTCTGCATGACATTCAACGATGATGCAAAGGGGCGAGCAATTGGGCGAAAATACCGTCGATTTTGCCCGTTTCTAGTTCAGGAAGCTCCCCGTAATTAAGCAGTGAAGCTGATGGGAAAACAATAAAAAACGCACAGCTAGAATAATTGCATTGCAATGAGTATTTCGTGCTACATTGCAAAAGTATTTCCATATTAATATTCACAATAAGGTTTCGTCTAGACTTCGATAAGGATCAAGATTTGCCATCACTTAACATACCTATCAAATCATCTTGAAGACTCACAGAAAACTATTAGGGGAGAGCGGGGCGGTTAATATGACGAGAGGGAGATATTAATATTGGTAGTAAATGGTAAAATTTCAAACATTTTCGCGAAAATAAGAATCGAAATCCATTTAAAAAGCTCTGAAAATCAATCATAATAAATAATTATAATTATAATCTCATTGAATTTCTCTAAAAATTTTATTTGCTTATGTTCGAAATTGTGATCAGCATCAACTTCCTGATCTTTTTCATTGGATACTGAGAAATTGCTTGCTTCTTCTCACAACGTGAGACGTCAGTCACATTGAAATCACTTTGCAGGGTTGCCATCACAAATACGCAGGTTACAAGAGTTCGCAAAACAATGTATTCAAATCAAATAATTCTAATAAAAGTGAAATAGTAAAAATACTCCATAAATAGCTAGAGTAAACCTTTGCCACAAAGAGTGAAGAGGTGCTAAGATCTAATTTGAAAGAATGTTTAAAATAAATAACCGTGATTTTTCATAAATCAATATTATCACATAGTCAATAGTCAATTTGTAAAAATACAAAGCTTCGTGACTTATCCAGAGATGAGAATTTTACCATTAGCGATAATGAGAACAGTGAGAAATCACTAATAAGTATGTTAATTTCAAAAACAAATCATTTAGCATGCCAATTTCATACTATACTGTTCATTATGTTTAATTACAATCAACTATGTTTAGTTGACATTTGCTAAAAATCACAGATCATAAATGCTAGCCTTGTCCCTAAAATTCAAAATATCACTCAATTAGAGGCAATTTGTTCCTCTCAGAGACTCTTTAAATGCGCAATGCAAACTGCCAAAAGTATTTGCGCCACTAATGAAATGTGCAAATAAGGAAGCATTTTCCACCATCGAGTTTGATGACTGACCATTTAGGCATTCTTGTCGCGACAATTGCTCGAGAATGCGCACAAAAACCCGAGTAATTGTCCATCCTTGGTGATTCTTAAGACACCTTTTCCTCCTCTTCCAAATTCTCCAACGAGAATGAAATAGCATGAGATTTTGCTTCATCTCAGCGAAACGGAAGTGTGCGATGGACCATCAGCAGCGCAACCCATTACAATTTACTGCTGATTGTGTGTGTGTGTGTTTGCCTGAGAAAAAGTTCTCAGCATTATGGCCTTTCAAGTTCAACTGTGAAGTGCTTGCGATTGTGTATCACAATATAAATTTTTAATGAGCAAAGACCAGAAAGAAATGTCAAAATATTTAATGAACTTGTATCAGCCAAAATACCGTTGATTACACGCAAATCACTTTGTAATTCACGCGTCTCTTCTCCCTCCCTCGTTACACAATAATGAGACTGCATGAGATAATGAATCGAGAAGTGATGAGGTCAGGTGAAAAGTAAATAGAATTGGAAGGCGAGAGGAGAAAAAAAACACGAGATAAAACTAATAAACGATTGATAATTGATTCTATTCTGAGAACGATTCCGGGTGTATCATTAGCAAATATGGAATTGAACTCTCGTGATTTTTTCCACTACCTCGTGATTTTTTTTATTGTGTATTTACAAGCTCACTTTTCTGCCTCTTTCCCCTCCCCCCGACATTCTGTACAACTGGCAATGATTGCCAACTTACTAATGCATCGGATTAAGCGTAAGGAGAATCCTTCTTGCCAGCCAATGAAGTGGTTGAGGTGAAGAAGTTCAATGTTGAAGAAGATATTTTCGGCAAATTATATCCACAAATTAGACATTAAGACAAATAGCCCATTTCGTTCCACTAAATCACAATTAATTGAGACTGAATCCCGTTTTTCTGCAGTGCGAATTTCATATACTGCGTATGTAAAGTAACGTCAAATAAACTGTGGTGGGAAATAATCTGAGGTCTCTCGACTCAGTGCAACATTGAAGGGTGTAAATAAAACGCCATTGATTCAAATAAATTGCTCTAACTTCATTTGAATTCATCTTTATGCTTATCAAATCTGAAATTTGATCTTCACTTCAGAATTCATTTGATCTATTCAACAAGGAAGTCTTACAATGGGAAACTAGACAAACTTGTTATAGATTTTCAACTGATTTTACTTGAAATTTTTTTTTCCCTAATATAATGAGGACACAATAAATATTCAAGTGTTATCAGAAAGAGAAGGAAATGAAGAAATATCCATAAATTCATAAATGATTCGTTACGTAACAGGAAAAGAAGAAAATATGGAAAGATAAAACTGCTTCCTATCCTCTTTTTCAGGTGATCCTCCTAGCTGTCTTCCGATTTGGACAGACTAAGGATAACAAGAATGAAGTCATCGTGAAGATAGACAACGCCGATAAGACGCAATATCACAATGCCAACTTCGAGGCGAGTTCCTACAACTACGGCTACGAAGTGGGTCCCAACGGCCAATTCCATCATGAAATCCGAGGTCCTGATGGCGTCACGTACGGCTGTTACGGTTATATCGATCCTGCGAGTCAACTGCGCGCCACGCATTATGTAGCCGATGAGAATGGCTATCGCGTGATCGAGCCTGAGGATCCTGTAGAGATTTTTCCGCCCAATAGCGGGAAGAAAGGCATCGTGGTGCCATGGAAGGATCTCTACCTGCCCAAAGGATGCGGAATGCACGAAGGTGGCTTCGCCATCGGCGCTGTCCTAAAAGCTGTCGACGGCGGTGGTTTCACTGTGGTGCAACCAGGTGAACCTCATCCTGGCGCCACAGTGGATCGTCCCGGAGTAAAGGGATCAGCCATTAATCGACCGCTAGTGCTCATGGAGGATGGAACGATAATGGTCGCAGGACCTGGATTTAAGGGCATCGGCTATGGTCGTCCAGGCCGGCCCGGAACTCCCGGATCACCGGGAACTCCTGGCAAACCCGGATCCCCAGGATCTGACGGAGGAGTTATTTATGGAGGCCTCGGCGGTGATGGAGGCTTCGGAGGCACTGGCGGAACAGGAGGACATGGCGGAGGAGGTGGACATGGAACAGGTGAAGTTTGCTCTCCAGTCGATATAGAATCAAATGCTTCGTTTCCATTTCAACTGAATGACAAGAATTTTTATTTTATTTCCAGGCGGACATGGCGGTCACGGAGGGGCACCAGGCACTCCTGGCAAACCAGGATCGCCCGGTCGTCCAGGAAGTCCTGGATCCGGTGGTTATTGGCACAACGGACAATGGTATCACGACAACTCTGGAATGTATCATCACCAGGCGGGCCCCAACGGCCCTAATAGCCCAGGATATGTTCACCACACCGGGCCGCAGGGAGGATATGGCGGCAGTGGTGGATCTGGCGGGACGGGTGGCACTGGGGGTATCGGAGGAATGGGTCCCAATGGCCCTAACGGCCCCAATGGCCCCAATGGACCAACTGGTCCCACCGGCCCCATCGGGCCTTCAGGACCCAACGGACCCCCAGGACCGCCCGGAACAGGCGGCACGGGCGGAACAGGAGGGACGGGGGGATACGGCGGCGGCGGCGGCGGCAGCGGTGGCGGTGGAGGTAAGGATAAGAAGATTGAACTTTGTTTGGCACAATTTTTGCACACCACTTAACTTTGTAGAAGAACCTCTCACTTCACCAGACACCACAGCACCCACTGGCCCTGAGCACATCAATGGCCCTCACGGAGGTGATTTCAGTCAAGGTAATTCACCATCAAGAGTCATCTGCAACTCACTCTCACTCATTTCGTTTCATGCGCGCATTCACCCGCATTTATCACATCTAAAACACGCACACATCAGAGGAATATACCGAGTGCTATTATCCAGGTCATCGGCCAGGTCATGGCCCAACAGGACATGGAACCCCAGGACGACCAGGTACACCGGGGAGTCCCGGCACACCGGGACACCCAGGACATCCAGGAAAGCCCGGCCCCAGTGGCCATCATAAGCCACACCCACCACCGAAACCTCATCCTGTGCCACCGCACAATGGATTGCCAGGCAAGCCAGGTAAATATTCACTGATGCTTTACAGTCACATGCAGAATTTTTAATTGCACATTTATTTTGTTTCGCGACACAGGAACACCTGGTACTCCTGGAACGCCAGGATCACCGGGGTATGTCCAATTCATCCCTGGCCAAGATGGATCCCCAGGATCACCGGGCACTCCCGGAACTCCTGGAACTCCTGGTTCCCCAGGATTTGAGGGTGGATTAATCTATGGAGGCACTGCCGGCGAAGGCGGAGCGGGAGGTGCTGGAGGCTTTGGAGGCAGTGGCGGAGCTGCAGGATATGGCGGTGGAGGTATTCTACTATATTCAATTAAATTGCCAATTTAATGTCTTAAGTCTTCCTCTGGAACTTCAATTCTGTTTTTAAACCCTCCAGGAGGCTATGTGCAATATATTCCTGGTGAGGATGGAAGTCCGGGTACCCCGGGAACTCCAGGACGACCAGGTTCTCCCGGTTCTCCAGGTAATTATATATTGATTCTTGTATAAACTTTATCTAGACTGGACCAAGTAAGCATAATTCAATTTCCTTTCTATAACCTCTCCAGGAGGCTATGTTCAGTACGTTCCTGGTGAAGACGGAACTCCAGGAACCCCGGGAACTCCAGGACGACCAGGTTCTCCCGGTTCTCCAGGTAATTACATATTGATTCCAGTATAGTCTTTATCTGAGTCGAGTAAAATAAACACAACTCAATTTCCTTTCTTTAAATTCTCCAGGAGGCTATGTTCAGTACGTTCCTGGTGAAGACGGAACTCCAGGAACCCCGGGAACTCCAGGACGACCAGGTTCTCCCGGTTCTCCAGGTAATTACATATTGATTCCAGTATAGTCTTTATCTGAGTCGAGTAAAATAAACACAACTCAATTTCCTTTCTTTAAATTCTCCAGGAGGCTATGTTCAGTACGTACCTGGTGAAGATGGAACTCCAGGAACCCCGGGAACTCCAGGAAGGCCAGGCACGCCCGGTTCCCCAGGCGGTTATGTGCAATATGTTCCTGGTGGGGACGGCACTCCAGGTACACCAGGAACTCCAGGCAGACCAGGTGAGACTTGCCGAATCTTCGTGTTTAAAGGAGTTTAAACAACACCTTAAACATTTACATTATTCATCTAAAGGCACTGCTGGCACTCCAGGCTATATCCAATACATCCCCGGACAGGACGGCTCACCGGGAACCCCAGGAACACCCGGAACACCAGGATCACCCGGTCTTCCTGGCTACTATCAGCAAGACTTTTATGCTGATGGTGCCATGGGCGTGCAGCCGCCACGCCCCATCCAGCAGAATCCTGGGAATCTTAATGTAGCCGTGTCACAGGTTCCCATCTTCATTGTGCCATTCCCTCTGGCCATGGGCAGCATCAATGCTGGCATGTGCCCGTGCTACCTGATGAACGGCACCGCTGGCGGTCAATCCTACTTCAACACCGAACTCCAGGGGCAGCAATCGTACGGCTACGTTGGCCTCCTGCCGGTGCTCTTTGTGCCCTCGTGCGGCGGCGGCAACAACACCGGCAACTTCTCCGGACTCTTCTCCCAGGCCTTCACCGTACCCTACCAATGCAACCAGTGCAATCAGCCGCGCCAGAAGCGATCAGCGGAACTTACGGATGACATCACCAGCCTCGATAGTTTCAAGCAAGTCCTCGAATTGGCTAACCTCGATCCGCGAACCAGTAATATCATCGTCAAATCGCCCCATCGGCGGTCTCTGCAGCGACTTGTGCCAGCCACGGAGAACTCCTAAATCCGCGCAAAAAGTTCAATTTGCGCTACTCCTCGGCGCCTTCAATGTTCGTTCATCCGAGGAGGATCGCGAACACACGAAAAATTGCCATCATTGCAGTTTTGCACCCTTTTTTTCTATCATAAACGCTTAGTTATGTAAACCTTAAGTTATTACGAAAAATAGAAAAAAAACCTTCTTAAGTGGGTAACGTGAACGGCAGAGGATCGTTCTTTCTGGGTATATATTCAACTCTCTATCCTCTTAGCTAGACATTTTAAAATAGTTTCTCTTCCCCCCGCAAAAGTGAAATGAAATAATTCCTCCCAATTTATCATCTCAGTTTTACCCAAAACTTAGGCAGTATAAATCTATTAAGCAATTAAGAAATAAAACTATTTCGATGATCAAACATACCCGAAATGTTACTCTAACTCCAGGTCTGCACAGTCAAAGTCCTTGAACTGGTCAGCGAGGAAACCCTTGACGGTGGAAGTCCCTTCATTGTCCTTTTCTGTGTCCAGACATTCACGCAGTTCAGCAATATTCAGCTGAAATGATGACGAAGGCGCCGTGGATGTGCTTTCGCCATTGGATTCCTGAAATTCAACAATAGTAAAGTAGTAAAAACAAAGTTTTTTTCACGGTCAATTTTTTAAATTAAATTACGATCAGTAATTTAAATTAAATCAAAAATGGATCCAATATTAAATATAAATTTTCTTCATATTTGACTCGGTGATATAACTTTCTGGGAAATATCAAATATGCAGTGTAATTCAGAGTCTTTGAACTAATTTTTTTCAATGTAAATTATCACGAAATTTTCGATATATTTCAACTAGGTCTTCAATAGATCACAGTACCTGCCTCTCCGGAAGGGGATCAACGTCGTCCAGTTCCAGATTCAGAGACTCTCCTTGATGACTGAGAAGGTTCATAAAAGCAGACTTGTATCCTGAGCTTGTTTCTGCCGTTTCTGCTATTTCTTGACGAAGAAAATCCTGCGTGGCATGCAATGTTGCGGAAGATTGAGTTGATCTCTTCTCAGGTCGTTGTACTGGTGATACATCTTCAGGTTGACTCCTCTTTCTCGTCTCACTGGGCGGTTCAGAATCGCCACCAGAGAGATCTTCTCTGGTCAGCGACAGTGCAAAGAGCACTTGATCAATCATCTCATCAGTTGGATAAGGAAGCTCTTCGTTTATCACATTGATTGGGGGCAGAATTCCACCGTAGCCCCAGGAAGACTCCATCAGGAAGATCACCGCCACGGCATCCACAAGAGTGACTCTCGTGTGAGCCATGAGTTTGGCGTGTGCCTTCGCGAGACGCTCCAAACTATTCCATAGTCGCATCGTTGTCCTGCCTCTGGCCACATTTTGGTACGTCTGTCGACAGAGTGTATAGTATTCCTTAAGGATTCTCTCGGCGTTCACTTGCATGGTCGGATGAATGTCTCTGATCATGACAAAGTGAGCCTGCAATTTGGTCTTGTCCCACAGCCCATCTTCTTCTTCCTCTTCGACGAAGTCGCGCACCACCCATTTCATGAAGTGTGACGAAATCATGCCATCCCAGTGCGAATCGTACTGATCCTGCATCCGGAAAATAAGATCGAAGCGCGAGAGCAGCGGACTGCTCAGTCCTATTGCCGCCACTTCCAGTTCCTCCAGTGTGTCTCCCTTGGGATTTACCTTCGGATTCATGCCCGCAATTACTGAACAGCGCGTCCGGCGTGTGCAAATCAATCCCGCCTTGGCCAAACTCAGTGTCTGCTGCTCCAGACACTCGTGAATGCTCGCCTTGTCGTTGTTCGACAGCAAATGGAACTCATCAATGCAACACACGCCACCGTCCGCCAGCACCAGAGCGCCCGCCTCGAGATGCCACTTATTGTTCTCCCTAACCGCCGCCGCAGTGAGGCCGGCCTGCGTCGAGCCCACGCCAGTCGTGTAGATCGCTCGCGGTGCCACATCCTTGGCGAATGTGATGAGCTTAGACTTGCCCATGGCCGGATCCCCAACGAGAAGGATGTGCGAATTCTGGCGCACGTGACCAACATTGCCCAGCGGCAGAGTGTCATCGCCGCTGCACAACACCAGACAAATGGCCAGCTTTATGCACTGCAGCCCAAGTGTCTTCGGCGAGAAGGACGACACGATTTTCTCACGCGCCCTCGCCTCACCATCACTCTCCACAATCTCTTGCCACATCAGCTGAGCATACAGCGCCTCGTCCGCAAATTTCCTGCAAATCAAGTGTACTTTCAGACACGTGAGAAAAGCATGCGGTAAAATATAAATAACATGGTAAAGAGGAGATATTAAGTTTTGAAGTGATGCAAAAGCTACGTTAAGAAATTTAAAGAAATGTTAATCTAATTTTAAATCTCCCCATTTCATTAAGTTTTAATATTTGCCTGCTGGAACGCTTCTGATCACTGTACACGCTAATCGCGCGCAGAACCAGCCGCACAATCGGTCTCACGTGCTCCTTCGTGCACAGGAATTGCAGCTGCAGCGCGCCACACACCACCACGCAATCCCCGGGCTCGCAAGACTCCACCATGTCGTCCTCCAGCGTGACGAAGAGTGTCCTCGGCATGCGCGACTCCCCAGAAAGCTCCTGCATCCGGAACTCCTGGTAATCCATGCAGTTCATCTCGTTCGGCTGCGTGAGCTTTGGCTGCATCGTTCCTCGACACCTGTTGGGCCCAAAAGCGTCCGGACAGCGCGTGGGCGCACTGAAGAAGAACGTCCTTGCATACAAGGCATGACACAGAACACTCTTTTTGCACTTTGAGCAGATATATTCTCGCTTGGACTCAATATAAGTCCTGCTCGATAGTCTAATAACATTTCCTGCGAAGAGAGAAAGAGATTCAAGAGAATAATTGGAAAAGATTTATAGGCGCAAATTTCGATTTAGATAATATGCTAATGAGTGTTATTTTGGTTAACCAAGTGAGTTCAAAGGCAGGTGAACTTTACTAAAATGCTTTCAACCAGTCGGCAAACTCAATGTTGTGAAATTGAAAAACTGAATTGAGAAGCAGGACTTTTAGAATAAGGATTTTCTTATATTTCTTTTCCTGTGCAAACCAATGAAGAATCTTTAGAATACATAACATTAAATGTAATTTGTGTATAAGTTTCCTTGCTTAATTCTCGATGGCATATGCATAGAAAGATATTTAAAGATTACTTTCGGAAAATTCGAACTTCACCAAATAGCATGAGCTGATCATGCTTAATGAAAACATTATGTATACATATATCCATTCCTACCGATGAAATTGGAATCGGAGCGGTCATTATTCTGATAACTCGTTTTGGGAACTGTTTTGCCTTCTCTCGCGAATTCCCACAATAAAATTGCCACGAAGTTCCAGAGTTCAGTCTTGCGTAAAAATCCCGTCAGTGAAGATGTTCGTTCTCTTATTCTTGACCTTTTTTGGTTTTCCTTTGGTTTTCGGTGCAATCGTTAAGAATGGCGTCGAGGAAATGTATTACTGGAAAGAAGTGATCTTCGAAGATCTTCCACTGCCTGGTAAAATCAATTATTTCTCCGTCTTTCTCATCGTCTAACATATTTTTTGTCTCTTGCAGAGGACGCTTATATTGGGAAATATCCCTACTATATCCCAAGCAACAACGATCTTATTGAAGTGGAGCATCATGCCGCAAGCGGACTTGTAATTACAATAGTCGGACGTTTTCGTCCTGGAGTTCCATCAGCATTGAATGCGTTCTGCATAGCAGATTATAACAAAGGAACGAGTCCTCATATTTGGGGATTTCCGGACTACGGAAAGAATACACTCAAAGCTTCCTTCTTCAGCGGAAATAATTTAGGCCGAAAGGGAGATAAATATGTATCCGGTTTCTCTTCATTCAATCGGTATGACTATTCGATTCTATCTACTTATCGTGCAACAGTTGATAATCGCTGCAATCGTCTGTTCACCGTCGACACGGGAATTCTTTACTATAGTTCAGGTGTAAGATACTATGTCCAAAATCCAACTCTGCTCGTGTATGAATTGCCATTGAATGGTTGTAAAAGTCGACAATTTCCACTCATTCGACGAGTGGAAATTCCGAATCACGTGTGGAAAGACGCTGCGGGATTTTTCTACATTACACTCGACTATCAATCTAAAGGATCATGCGATGATCTCTTCCTTTACATTTCAAATTTCCAAGATAACAGCATTGTCGTGTATGATTATAAACGTGAAAATTTTTGGACAATCACAGATATTTCAATGAATCCCATAATTGCCGAAGGCAGTATGACGTTAAACAGAACCTTCGACTACACCTTAATTGTTGGCATCATGAATGTAGTCCTCGGCTGGCCAGACAAGGATGGTAATCGTAATGCATATTACACTGTTGGAAGCGGGACGTCAGAATACGTGACCTCTACCAGTTTATTGAAGAAACCTACATCGAAATACACTCCTGACGACTTCAAACTCGTCGGTAACCGAGGATGTAAATCGCAGGCTCTTCACCACATAATAGACTTATCAACTGGAGTAATGTTCTTTGCTGAACAACAGTCTATGCAATTGCGCTGTTGGAACATTCAACATCCGTTAAATCCGGACACAATTGGAGTTGTTTTCGAATCCGAGACTCTTGAGTATATTTCGCATTTATCCATAGACACTGATGGATATCTTTGGTTTCAGTCAGCACAAATCCCCATTGCTTATCTCACGGAAATCCCTCTTGACACCACTAAGATCAACGACAGAGTGTTTCGCGTGAAGGCATCAGAGGTAATCAAAGGAACAGTCTGCGACTCTTCAGGTTATTTCAAGAACGATTAGTTTGTTTCTGTATCAATTTTAGTAAATCACCAATAAAGGAAATTGTACTCTGAAAACTGTTACTATTTTTACTTATTTGAAAATTTTATCATCTATCAGTCTTCGTGGTGACAAGCTTTTGTGCAATTGATAAATATTTTCTACTAAGGAAATGCTATGCAAATAAGATCGTAAAGTTCGAGCTTCTCTGGAAAAAAAATCACCATCAATAATTCCGAAATTATTTACAACGTCTGAAAGTTGGAATTCTCCATTTTCTACATTCCAATAAGAAGAAATCTTGAGAATTCTTTATTTCTTTTCTGACAAACGCACATCAACCATCGTGTCATAATAGATTTTTTTTACATACTATTACATTTCTTTTTTTGGTTTATCTCGAAGCACAAATTATAAATAAAAGAATGATTCCTGCAACCGAACCTCGAGACTCTGACTTTATCTTTTAATTCATTATATAACTATGTATATATAATTTTATCTAAAGTCTGTTCTTCCAATCTTCCTGCCAATCTCGTTGGGAAAGGATCGAGCTCATAAATTTAGATACCTCGCTCCGATATTTCTTTTGCTTTTTTTCGCTTAACAACCCAATAAAAAGAAGTGCCACGGAGTCGAATTCTTCAGTCTCTTCTCAACCATGAAGATGTTCATACGTCTTTTCTGGACAGTGCTCAGTTTTCCTCTAGTTTTCAGTGCAATCGCTAAGAATGGTGTCGAGGAAATGTATTACTGGAAAGAAGTGATCTTCGAAGATCTTCCACTGCCTGGTAAAATCAATTATTTTTCCGTTTTTCTCGTCACCTAACATATTTTTTGTCTCTTGCAGAGGATGCTTATATTGGGAAATATCCCTACTATATCCCAAGCAACAATGTCATACTTCAAGTGGAACATCACGCCGCAAGTGGACTTGTAATTACAGTTGATGGTCGCTTTCGACCTGGAGTTCCATCAGCATTGAATGCTTTTTGCATGGCGGATTATAACAAAGGAACGAGTCCTCATATCTGGGGGTTTCCCGACTATGAAAAGAACACACTCAAAGCTTCCTTCTTCAGCGCCGACAGTTTCGGCCGAAAGGGAGATAAATATTACATTGATTCAAATCCTAATGATTACTCAATTCTGACAATTCATCGTGCAACTGTCGATGATCGCTGTAATCGTCTGTTCACCGTCGACACGGGAATTCTTCGTTACAGCTCAGGTGTAAGATACTATGTCCAAAATCCAACTCTACTTGTGTATGAATTGCCATTGAATGGCTGTAAAAGCAGACAATTTCCACTTATTCGCCGAGTAGAAATTCCTAATCATGTGTGGAAAGATGCATATTCATTTTGGTACATGACACTCGACTATCAATCTAAAGGATCATGCGATGACCTTTTCCTTTACATTGCTAATTACCTCGACAACAGCATTGTTGTGCATGATTACAAACGCGGAAACTTCTGGACAATCACTGATATTTCAATGAATCCCATAATTGCTGAAGCAAGTATGACGTTAAACAGAACCTTCGACTACACCTTAATTCTTGGAATCACAAATGTGGCTCTCGGATGGCCGGATAAAGTTGGAAATCGCAACGCATACTATTCTGTCGGTAGTGGAACCTCAGAATACATGATTTCAACGAATCTTCTAAAGAAACCTACATCGAAATACACTCCTGACGACTTCAAACTCGTCGGTAACCGAGGATGTAAATCGCAGGCTCTTCACCACATAATAGACTTATCAACTGGAGTAATGTTCTTTGCTGAACAACAGTCTATGCAATTGCGCTGTTGGAATATTCAACACCCTTTAAGTCCGGACACAATTGGAGTTGTTTTCGAATCCGAGTCACTTGAGTTCGCTTCACATTTATTCATAGACACTGATGGATATCTTTGGTTTCAGTCAGCACAAATCCCCATTGCTTATCTTACGGAAATCCCTCTTGACACCACTAAGATCAACGACAGAGTGTTTCGCGTGAAGACATCAGAGGCAATCAAAGGAACAGTCTGCGATTCCTCAAGTTATTTCAAGGATGATTATTTAAAATGATGATGATTTGTTAAATTAACTGTAAAATGACTATTTCTTCGTAAAGAATTCGTGACTCTCATTAATTTCCTATCTGGTTATTTCTATCTATATTGCTTCTACTGTAGGCATTGTGAAAAAGTTCAGGTCGTAAATTTAGTCAACTCGTTTAGAAAAATCTTCAGCTTTTATTCATGTGACAACGCAATAAAAAGATATGTCGCTGAGACGAATCCTATAGTCTGGTGTATACAAGAGTGTCAAAAATGCAATACTAATAATAGATACTAAAATTATATGATAATAAAAAGTCTAGAACAAATAATTCTAAAATTACTAAAATCTGAAAACAATGCTTCATTCTTAATTGAACTTATGGTTATTATAAGTTCAATACTATGTTGTAATTTTAACTCTATTGAGCATACAATAATAAAAATTTAATGCAGATTTCATTGCGAAATTAATGGTCAGCCTATTGATCAGAATTTTATACTTTTCTCCAATTGTTATTGACCGCATTTCCCGCTGTATTTTCTCCTTGGCCAAAATGAAAGCATTTTGTGCAACAACAACAACAACAAAAAAATCGATGAGCCTGCGCAAAGACGCTCTTCTGCACAATATTCCTCACCACGAAATCAAACCAAACACATAATAGTAATTGTGCCACGAGGGGGGACACACATTTCACTTGGGGCTTTGTCTATTGATTTTTCGCCCCACGGAAGCTCTATTACGCAATTTTCAACTGGCGATGTTTGGATCACTTTTGTAAGAACAGCTGCCGACTGAGTGACACGGATTTAGAGGAGATTTTTCTATATACCTGGAACGTGGCATTACTGTGCGAGAGGCAGTGAGATTTTGTGCTTTTGATAGAGACATTTTCCTCCCCTTGTGAAATTATGGGCGAGCAAAGAGTGTTTTTCGTGTGTTTTGCCGTGCTCACGATTCTCGTGAAGCACTCCACACCAGCGACAATATGGAAGGAGGGAATCACGCCAAAGCCCGCGGAGGATGTGAATGAAGATGTTCTGGAATTGGCACATCTCAAGAGTTTGACATCTCACGGTGAGGCGAGAGACTTCCCGAGTCTGGAGCAGCAACTCAACGCCTTGGAGGACACCAATGACCATCGAGGACAGCCCGAGGAGGCTACAGGCAACGACATCCCCAATGATGTGACACCACCCGACGAGGACAAGGGCCTGGAGTACGAGAGTGACATAAAACCCTTGCTGAAGAACAGCCATGGCCAATACTCGGCCTTCGATATGGCGCAATATGTCTTCTGGACGGGAGACGAGGCCGGAGTGGCCAGAGCCATTGAGGAGCTCATCCACGAGAATCTCATCAGTCGCGAGAAAGCCATCAAGTTGCTCAGTGAGATCAAGATGGAGATCGAGTACCTGCAGAAGGCCTACGGGTCACGAGGACTCACGCACGCCCCCACTCCCACCACCACATCCACGCCCATCCCACCCACCGCCGGCAGTGAGTCCAAGTCTGAGTTTCTCAGCCGGCTGCGCGGCATGGCCACGAGTGGACAGTACGGGAACATCCTGGAGAGCAACGCCGTGGATTACGACGAGGCCGCGGGCAGACTGCGTCTGGCGGACTTCCTCTACGCCGAGTATTCACTGGAGGAGATCATCTACCAGTTGGCCAAGGTGATGTTCTCGCAATCCCTGACCAAGGGCTCCGAGCACGCCCACATAGCTCTGCAGCGTCTCACGGAATTCCTCGAGTCCGAGGGCAATTACGGTCGCATATCGCCGAGTCTGCAGAAGAAGGTGCTCGACGTGCTCCTGGCCGCGCTCTCAGACACCCTGGCGGACGTGCAGAATGGTCAGCAGCATGCTGTCCACAAGGAGCAGCCACACAAGTAAATGAACCAAAGTTCCTTCACAGATAGAAGACCTTTTTTCGTCACCTCTGTCAGCAATTGTTGACGCGGTAAAATTGATGTTCCACATTTTGGTCTGAATATAGAGAAGATCTACAACGATTTTTCATTCAAATTCTAATGCGCAAAAGGCCTAGCATAACTATAAATCCAGCGATGCTACTTTACATTGGGTACACTGCAATAACACCTATTATTAAGCTTAATTATTAATAGTCATCCAACTTTCTTTGAAATCTACCACAAGAAAGAGAAGACAGAAAGAATACGCTTTTATTCGTATTATAAAGAACTTAAAGAAGTTGAAATCGATTTTAGACACTTGTTTATTTATGGAAAACGAGGCACATTGACAAAACCGTAAACCATATAAGATGTCTAGGAAATAATAAAGATTAAACACACAAATAAGCAGGTGTTTTAGGAGAGCACATATAAGAGCAAGTTTTAAATGTAAATTTGTGTTTGAATAATATAAAAAATGCCTAGGAATTTCATTATTTTCAAATTTGAACGAAAATGTCTAACAAAAAAAAGACAAAACATTACAAAATAATCTCAATGAAAACGATACATCAGAAAAATACAAGAAAATCTCAATTTTACCACTGATCATCGCCTTATCTTCACAAACCGATGCTTAAGCAATAAAATATTCTCATATCACATAAATAAATGTTTAATCACCTTTTGCATGACCAAGAAAATAATCGGTGCGACAATTGCTGAAGAATGTGACGATATATCATTTTAGATAAAATGCTATTTTAGGCAAGAAAGGCACGCATTCAAAAAGTTTTACCATTTCTTTGGGTGTTCTTTCCATCATTTTCGCTGACAAGTGGAAAATATAAATGTAATCAAGAAACCCAAAATATAAGTTATAATCGTCAGAGTTTTTCTATATATGTATGTGTATATATATAGAATGTGTATGTATTTTAGAGAGCAGAAAAGATAAATCAAATTGATCCAACTTATCTCGTCCATTTCAATATTTACAAAACACAGTGAAGGATTAGTGAACGTTTCTGTCTTGCATCGAGAAGAAATGAACTTTATTGCATCATTTTCCAAAGCTTGATTGAGAGAAGAATTATATATACACTATATATGTATGTAGTGCTAGAGAATTCTCCGTCAGGTGAAAAAAAAGGTCATGACGAACTATTGTTGAGCATGATCGATTTGGATTGTGAATGGATGTCAAAGTGGAGTAGAGACAAGAAGACACACAAAAAGTAGTGTAAGAGTGGAGAAACAAGTAAATTATATCACATGGTATTGCAATATTAGAAGTGAAAACAATATAGTGTTAACAGAACATGAATGTAAAACAATGCAATGACAATTAAATGACGATAATAAAGAGATAGAACATACAAATATTGACATTATTAAGTGGGATTGCACTGCCTTTCGTGACTTCTCAATTATTTCTCATGGCACAGCCATTATTCCGCTGGTAATCCTATCAAAGAGTGCCACAAATACCCTATAATGCTCAATATTCTGACTGTAATCAATAATATGGGCTCTGCTCTTGCTCTCTGCCACTCTCTATGTGAAGCCGGCAGAAACACAAATACGCGAATTAATATCTTAAGAAGCTTTTATTGATATCCCAGCCTCATTTTTCAAGCACTCACTCTCCTCCTCTCATTTCCTGTCATTCTGGAGACAGAGCAACATATAATTTACGCGCCATTTCACTTTCTGTCCTTGTATCCAATGCGACTCCATGGATATACATACAGTTGCTGCCTATGAAATAGGGTACGTAAGATATTAAGGGAAAAATCTCATGGTTACATTTGATTAAAAAGTGTTTTGACCAAAAGCCACACAATGCAGTTCAACGAAACTATTCATTTCTCGGAGTTTGATTTACCACCACTACAAAAGTCTCAAACGAAAAGCGCTTAAAATGTGCTTTATTTCATTAACAAGCACTGTACAACATTATGTAGTCAAGCGCTCAGGCGAAGGATCAATTTTCACAGAGGAGCGATAACAATGTTCTGTAATTGATATTCTAATGTGTCGTTTGCGTCTGAATTCATCGCTATCGAAGCGAAAGGGTTCAATTTGTGGTTCATCCACTGTAAACAAGGCACTGAATAGCACGGGTTTGTCCTCTAAATTCTCTCGCATTTCTAAACATGAATATTACAATTTCTCAGTGTTCAAAAATAAAGTCTTATCTCAATGTCTCTAATTGATTGCTTTCTCTCCGACATTCATAAAACATTTCATTTTCCAATGAGTGCGTATTCGTGAATGACATAGCGAAAAGATATTCCTCTTCCTTTTTCCAGTTCATCAATCATTTGATAAACCACCACACGAAGCGTGTCATTTCCAAATACAATCCAAACATTGTAGAGTCGCACTGTGAAACATGTTCTTGAAGAGCTTTCGCACACTCAATATATTCCTCGTGATTTTCTGTGTGTGTCCTTTTCACGTCAAAAAGTGCAAAAATTACTACGTTATTCGTCAATGTTGGCGTCACATTGCCAATATTCTCATTCAAATCTGCATATTTTCTTCTGCCACCTGTATTTGTGCGTATTTTGGCTACTTCAACACAGAGGATTTCCACACAACATGGAATACAGCGAAAATATCGAAATTTATCAGCTTGGCAGCTCCTTTTCTAATCACTGAAATAAGTCTTCTCGCTACATGCATAACCGCTGTTCAGCATGCGAACCTTTTTCGCAAAATTGACGGAATAGAGAAGCATTTACTCGAGCATTGTGGCATTCAAACTAACTTCGATGGCCTATACAGACAATCCTCTCTTGAGATTGCCTACGCACTCCTTAATCCATTCATTTTGCTCCTCGCCAAGCTGAATGAAATTCCCCACTATTCTCCCTATCAAATATGCCTGCATCTATTACTCACGATAATAGACTTTGACTATCTCTTGATAATGTGTCATTTTTCCTACACCAATCGCAGTTTAAAGGCCTTTTACAGATCCATTCGAATAACTCTTATTGCTAAACATAAAATTTTACCGGATAATGAGTATTCAAAGATACTTAGATCGCTCAATTTCTTCTGCAGAAATATGTTGGATATTCAGAAAATAATTAATAATAGTCTCGGAAGCTTCTTAACTATTAATATTGCATACGATTTCTTTTACTTCACATTCCAAATCTATCTGTACTTTAGATCTCTCGATTCGTGTGATGAGAAGTGTTTAATTTTTGAAATCATTGAAATATGCAGTAAACTCTTCAAAGTGATTTACTTTACTGAACAAGTCATGAGATACTACAGAGAGGTAAGTTAACTTGATCATTAGTGTGTCATAACATTTACAAATACACGAAATACTAGAAAATACTAGAAATTCTTATTCGTGAACAAAATTGACTGAGGAAAAGTACAAGTTTAATCCATAATGTAAAGATTTTGGATTTGAATGACTACCGGAACATTGAATTTATCGAAATTGAGGAAGTATTAATCTAATCATTGAATCTAATCTATATAAAACATTTCATTACCAAATGGACAAGAGCACAATTCTCACCAATTTGGTATTCTCGCGCAAGCCACAAATGCGAGATGTTCCTCGAAAAGTTACACATTTTAAGTTTCTTCTACGCTTTTTGCAGTCTTTGTCCATATGTTGTGAAAAAGTGTAAAAATGACTTTGTTGTCCAACAAAATTTTGCTACCATTTTCAATATTATTTTGCAATCAGTGGTATTCATCGTCGGATCGACTTTTGTTGCTTACAATGCATTTTTCATTCAAGAAGACTTCATGGACAATTGGGATGTTATAAAAACATCTGGTTTTATCATCCATGCATTTCCTATTTTTATCACTGAATTTCATCTTTGGTTCGTTCTCTTCACTTGTCGTGATCATACGACAATTTTTCGCAAAATTGACACTTTGGAAAAAGAATTAAATGTTAGATGTAATATTTATTTCCCCTTCAAGGGAGTTTCGCGACAAACATGGATAGAAATAGTCTGTGCTTGTTTAAATTCCATAATAATTTACTTGGCCAAATTACGAACTGTCTACACAACTAATATGCTTATCATATTATTTAGTGGAATTCTGGTGATGGTTGACTTTTGCTATATTGGAGTTATGTCTTATTTCTCACACTTGAGTCGCAGTCTAACGTCAATGATCAAAACTATTCGAGTGTCTCTTCAGCAAAATGAGACAATGCTCTCCATCAAAGAATATGAGAAAGTGTGCAGAAACCTTGAAAATTTATTCATGGATTACGGAGAGATTAAGATATTGATTGACAAAATATTTGGCACCGTATTCAGTATAGATTTCATTTATGATTTCTGTGTTTTCACCATTTCATGCTACCTTTATGTGACACTGAGTGAGTCTTGCAATAGTGTTTGCCTAACATTAGACAGTGTTGTTATCAGTGGAAAACTCATCAAGATTTTCTATTTCACTGCACAACTTGAAAAATGTCACACAGAGGTAAGAATAGCCAGAAATTTCACATATTTATTTGAATATCCGTCAGACGGTCGAAAAGTTGTCAGACTAACGTCAAACTTACTAATCACCAATATTAAATGATCTAAAATGATTAATTCCGATTGTATCGCCCACCATTTCCTTCTTCATTCATATTACATTTCAATTTGATAATGAACTCATATCCATTACCAAGAACAACACTCTCAAGCAATCCAACAAAGAGAGATGTTCCTCAAAAGTTACCGAATATTAAGTTTTTTATTTGCCTTTTGCTGTAATTCTCCGTTTCACGTGAAAAAGTGCAATAACAACAATTATGTTGTCCATCAAACGTGGCTCCATTACTTTAATATCATACAACAATTGGCAACATTTGTTGTTGGAACATGGATTTGCGCCATTTACGGATACTACAAACTTGATGATTTCAAAAGTGATTGGAATACTGTTAAAACCTCAGCTTTCGTACTACATTTCGCTCCTGTTATCATCACAGAAATCAACATGTATTTTGTTTTGTTTCTGGGACGAGATCATGCAATGCTTTTCCGCAAGATTGACAGTCTTGAGAAAGATCTCTTTGCGCATTTCAACATTTCAATCAACTTTGAGAGTATTTGCAAGCAAACATGGCATGAAATAACCATTGCCGGACTCTATGTCAATGTTCTGCTCTTTGTCAAGCTGAGAGACGTCTATTCAGCTTCTGTATACGTGATTTTCTTCAATTTTATTCTTGCCGTTGTGGATTTAATGTACATTTTCTTGATGAGTCACTTTTCACACTTGACCCGAAGTCTCACCATCATAGTAAAAACACTAAGAATCAGTCTCCAACAGAAAGGATTTTTGCAAGTGAAAGAATACGAAAAATTGCTGAAGAATATGGAGAATTTCTTCAATAAATACGCAACTATTAAGAAACTCTTTGACAAAATATTCGGAAGTGTCTTCAGCATGGATGTATTATATGAATTCTTCGTGCTCACATTTTCATGCTATTTATACGTGAGCCTGAGTGACAATTGCAACAGTATATGTTTCACCCTCGAAGTCACTCTAATTTGCGCTAAACTCATAAAGATCCTCTATTTTACCACACAAGTGGAGAAGTGCTACACAGAGGTAAGATAAATGTTAAATTCTGTCACATGAAAAAGTATAACAAACGAAAACACCAAAAAGAAAGCCAATTAAGTGGTTAGAGAAATAATTAATAACCCATAATACACATAATTATAATCACGAAACATCTCTCAATATAATCATTCGTGACACTCACACTCATGTGAGAGGTCACAAAATGTTCCTTCAAACGTTCTACAAATTCAGCTATTTCCTCGCCTTGTGCTGTGTCTGTCCGTTCATCGTGAAGAAGTACAAAAATGAATATACAGTGATTCGAAGTCGTGTTCATCTTATCAATTTCCTATTTCAAAGCACTTCTTTCTTTGCTGCAACGTGCATTTGTGCCATTTATGGATTTTTCGTGCAGGATGATTTCAAAGACAATTGGGACACCATCAAAACCTCCGGATTCATTGTGCATGCAGCACCAGTTGTGATTTCCGAAATGAATCTCCTCGTGATTCTCCTCACAGGTCGTGAGCATGCAATAATTTATCGGAAAATCCACTGTCTTGAGAAGAATCTCCTCAAGCGTTGCAACATTACTGCTGACCTTTCGGACTCAAGCAGTAAACTACTGTTTGAAATTCTTGTGTCTGCATTTTACGCCATAATCTTGCTATTTGTGAAAGTCCGAAATGTCTATACGAGTTCAGAGTACATTATTATCTTTAACATCACACTCGCTATGATTGACTTAAGTTATATTCTACTTATGTGTCAGTTTTCATTTCTGACCAGAAGCTTGAGAGCCTACATTAGTGCTGTACGTGTCTTCATAGTCGATACACATCCGGTTTTGGCAAGGGAGAAATTCGAGAGGAATTTCAGTCATTTAAAAGAATTCTATAACCAATACATGGACATTAAGCGATTTATGGACAAAACTTATGGCAAAATCTTCAGTATTGACGTCACGTATGACTTCTTCGTGCTCACATTTTCCTGCTATCTCTACCTAAGACTGTACAACACCTGCAATGGCATTTGCCTAACGCTAAACGCAATTATCATTTGCGGGAAGATAATCAAAATCATTTATTTCACTGCACAAGTCGAGAAATGCTACACAGAGGTGAGAAGTGATAGATAACAGGTGTCACAGTGACAGGAAATTGAGTAACTACTTTCAAACTATAAAAGAAAAACGCCCCCCTGAACTTTTCCAATATAACCGACAATCCAATTGAAATAACTCTTTTTTTCTTCCTCTATATTTCAGCTGGAGAAATTGCAGCAAGTTGTGGTGAGGACGAGCACAGAAAGTTCTTCGGCAATTTTGCAAACTTTCCTTCACACACGGAACAAAAAGTACTTCACAGCTGCCGGCTTCTTCGACATCAACTATGCATTGGTGTACCAATTCCTCACCACATGCTTCACCTACATGGTGATACTTTTTCAATTTGAACTGGCCGGCTAAATAAATAGCTTCACTGACGTGTTCTTCAATAAATTATTTTAATTAATTGAAACTCTGGCCTAATTGTGTTACTTCCGCACCAGTTTTTCTCGTCAGTCAACAGTGTGACAATGGAAAAGTTCCTCTCATCATTCAAATGGATAAACTTTTGGCTCTTCATTGGCAACATTTGTCCTTTTCTCACCACCCAGAAAGATGGCAAATGGATTGTGTCGCAGAGAAAGGCGCATTTTTGGGTGATTTTCTTCATCAATTTCATCATTTACAGTGTGCATTTTATCTCTGGCTGTTTTGGCTACATATTAATGGCCCTGATCATGAAGGAAATGAATGTCCAAACGACGCTGACATTCATCAGTCTCGCAACGCCTGTTATTATCTATGAAGCAAACATATTGGCGGTATTCGTGAAAGGTGAAGAACAGGCAGAAGTGTTTCGAACCCTTGGCAAATTCGAAGAGAGACTCAAGAAAAGCCTCGACATAACAGTGAACTTCAGGTCCTGGAAACGTAGAATGTACTGCGAATGGTTCATCACATGCATCTACTGGATCGTCGTGTCCGCACTCAAGGGACAGTATTACTATTACGACAACACCTGGGTGTTCATCTATCACATCAACCTAGCCATCATCGATCTCACATTCCTCCTCATCGTCTGCCACATTCGCTCAACCGTCAGATGCTTGAGGGTCTTTCAGAGGCATCTCATAGAGGCTTCCAGGACAATCAGGGAAGAGAAGAGGCTGAGAACACTAGTGACTCTCTCCCGAGAACTGATTGAGGTGAAGAAGGCAGTGGATAAGACCTTTGGTCCACTCCTGGTCATCAATATTGCCTATGATTTCGTCGCTTTCGTCTTTCAACTCTACTTCTACTTCCACTTCTTGGTCTTCAGGCTATTTGACCTTCAATTGGCCAAAGATTTCTGGCCTCACGTCGCGCAAATCATCAAATTCTCCGGATTAACCTACAAAGCAGTGGCGTTCGTTACGGAAATGGAAGCTTTTTACAGAGAAGTAAGTAAATATGCCAGAAATACTTTAAATTAATTTCTCATGGAAAATTTGTGTTCAACGTCAAGATAGGAAAATGGGGAAAATGTTACTTAATGTCTTGATACAACTTTGCATTTTGGTACCGGAATTATTCCAGGTGCAGGAGCTGAAAGACATCCTGCGGAAGACATCAACCTTCCCACAAGATTTCTTCTACCAGAATCTGCACGAGAGGGACTCTCAATACTTCACGGCTGCCCAACTGTTCGACCTCAACTACGCTCTCGTGAACAACTTCTTTGCCGGCTGCATCACGTACATCATAATAATGTTCCAGCTGGAAATGTACTAAATATGAAGCTCACCTTTCACCTGGATGAGTTTCCCTATGTGCTCGAGGTTGGGAAAAGTCGTGGAGAAGTGTGTGTCCGCGGACGCGGGCAAATTGTGGAGTGTCACAGAGCAGGAGTCCCTTAAAACGTCGGAATCCACCAGGAAGGGATCATGATGCAGAATCTGCTGCTGCACTCTCGTGAGGCTGGCATTCCACTTTCTGCGCTCCTCCCAGGCGTCCTCCTGGAGGCGCTTGAACAGCTCCGGCGCCTCGTGCTGCAGATGGTACATGCTGGACGGGAAAAATGGGCGGAAAATCAAATTGAGGTTACGTTTCAGTGCATTTCCCAACTCACTCCACGAAGATTGTGTAGGAACCCTCGCTTAAATCCGACGCCAGCATGCTTCCGATGTCTCCCTCATAGTGTCTCATCAGGTAATTATCATAAAGCTCCATTTTCACTCGCTTTTACCTACTTTACACTGAGTTTTCCTCGGGAAAATGCAATGAAAACAAATCGCGCACTTTCTTCACTGAGCGATAAACTCACCACACTCTGGATACGCAAATTCACCACCAAGTACACTGCCAAAAATGATGGAATATCACCCCGGCAGCAAAAGTGTGGGAAAAATGGATGGAATTTTGCATGAATATTTTGTAGCAGTGCATCGTGTTGTCAGTTTGTTTTATCAATGCGTGTCCACTCTTTGTTTTCTATTCTTGCCTGCACGAGAAAATGTGAATTTATCCGCGAATTCTGTGTGTCTGAGAAATGTGTGTGAAGCCCTGAAGATGACAGCCGAGCCGCGCCGCGTGTACGACGCCTTCCTGGCACAGCAGCTGAACATCCTCCACGGTGCCGTTCTGAGTAGTGGCAAGGTCACTGAGCAGGAGCTGCTGGAGGCCTACCGAAAGTACCAGGACGACGGGGAAATCCTTGTGCCGCCAGAGGACAACGAGCGCCAAAATCAACGCGTGCGACTCCTCTTCGGCTCGGCCATTCTGCTGTTTGTCCTAATCGCCACGCCACTGATCTGCATCGTCCTGGAGCGCGCCGTCAGCACGCGATGCCTCCTGCCCAACAACTACATGGTGTGGGAAGCCACGCGACCCGTGTCCGATTGCGACTTCTGCCGCGGCGTCCACGCGCCGCTGATCTTTGGCAATTTGTCACAGGAGGAGTTCCAGCCGTACGCGTACACCTCGCGGCCCGTCATCCTGAAGGGCGCCATCGCGCACTGGCCGGCCACCACTCAGCTCAACTACACCTTCCTGCGTGACCTGTACGCCAAGATCCCGGGCGCCTTGGATAGCGTGCCCAGTGACTGTCAATTCCTCCACTTCAAGTCCAACTTCCTCACGCTGCGCGACGTCTTCTCCATGTCGCAGAGCCGCGCGGAGTTTCGCCAGGGCGAAGTGCCCTGGTACGTCGGATGGTGAGTATTCTGCCCTCTTGCGTGACGGCTACATTGTCACTCATCCTATGGCCACTCTTGCAGGAGCAATTGCCATCCGCGCGTGCTGAGTGAACTGCGCAAGCTATATCCGCGGCCGCACTTCCTGCCCGACGACGCCGAGATGCCCAACACGGACTTCATCTTTCTGGGCTACGAGCAGGGCGCCGTGATGCACCTGGACTACATCCCGCGCCTCATGTGGCAGGCACAGGTGCGCGGGAACAAGAGCTGGGTGCTGGCGCCCACGCCAGAGTGTGACTCACAGTGCAAGAGCTTCTCCTTCTACGTGGAGCCCGGAGACGCTGGTAAGTGTGTGCATGCCCAAGATCGCTGAATCCCTTCTCTAACCATCTCCCTTTGCAGTGCTCGTGGACACGCGCCTCTGGTACCACGGAACGTACGTGCCGAAGGGGGAATTCTCCCTGACGATCCAGTCAGAGTACGGCTAGGCTTCCGCCGGTGCGCGCGCGCGCGCCTAAAACCAGTGCCATGATGGATCAGCCCAAAGAGATTACAATGCCATTGACTCCAAAGTAGCTAGAAGACAGGCAGATGTGTGTCCAAATTGTACATTTTATCGATTTTAACCATTTTACCATCCCAATAGAGAGAGTAATTTAACTAGTCATGTAATTAACTCACCCAAATTTATCATGTCTTCGATGATGAGATTGCGTATTAATAAATTGCAAATTGAGAAACAATGTACTTATGTGTTTTTGAACCCAAGGAAAGAAACCTGAAATTTTTCATACACAAAATTACCCATTAATTAAGGGTCGAAAAAGGAGTTTAAGCAAGAAAACAGCACTTTATAATTGTAATACATAATTAGTGGTTTTTTATTGGTCATTAGAATGTTTCCTTTTGCTTCCTGTCCTACAAGATTACAAAGCGAATAGGTAATGTTGCCATTGAACTCGTCTACAAATTGCGAAGAATGTTTTGCCAAAAATTTGTGCGAATTTATTCAACTCTCTTGCGCTCGCCGCAGAGACAAAAAACGAGCGTGTGTGATATGAATTCAATGCGAAATTTGTCCTCAAACAAATCCTCTCTTTCATGATGCTTTTAGATATGCTTCACTCATTTGAACGTTACTGTTAAATTAACATCATGTCTTTGTCGATTCCATTTCTCATATTTGATTGAAGTTATGAATGTGATTAAGTTATGCCATTAATGTTTCATGCTTTTCTTTTTTTTTCCTTTATACTCAACTTCGCATAGGATTATTTAAGATATATTCCATCATCTTTGCCTCTCTTATCATCAAGTTTATAACATCAATTATAGCGTTCGCATTAGCGCAAAAAGCCAAATGCAAGAAAGTTTCGAAAGGGAACCTTGTAAAAAAATGTCACAGGTTTTACAAAGAGTTCTTTTATCATCACACAACAATTAATAAATATATTTTTTATATCAATGTAAGTACTAATATTTCAGTGAATCTTGTTCTCATCCATCTAAAAGTGTTTTTTTTATAGTTAATATCAAATTGGAAAATGCGTGATATTTTTCTCTCTCTCTCTCTCTCTCTCTTTTTCTCACTCACAATTTAAAAGCATAAACGTGTGCTGACGACTTTTCGTTAAGAAGTGCAATTTTTGTGAAAATCCTTTAGCATTTGTCTACACGAACATCAAACTGGAAATTGACTAAACCAAAAAATCTTACTATTGTCTCACCTATTTTTCTTCTTTAGAAATATTGACAATCGTCAATTTAATATTTCCTACTTCTTAATGCAACGTTTTTTTTCTTCTTTTTTGATAAATTTCATTTTAGGTTTCTTCAGTACAAAAAATCGCCACAATGTCAATCAATTTCTCCTCACGCTAGAAGATTTTATGCCATATAAACTTTTCATGTTTGCCTTTGACTCAATTCACTGATTTTCTTAATACATCTTTTACTTCTTACCTATTTTTCATCATCTTTTTTTTTATCTGATTAGCAATATGTGTCTTCATTTCACCCAAATTCATCTTTTGTGTTAGACAACGACTGTTACTTTGATAACCATACAAATCATTTAGTTTTCATCTTTCTATATGTATTATTATTAGGTTTATTACATATGTGGTTACATTATCGCTAGAGAGATTTCCTTTCCTTTTTTGCTTTCTTTCTTCTTCCTTGATGGAGGGACACAGAAGGGATAGTTCAAATGGATTGACAATGTCAAAGAGAAATCATAACAATTTTCGATTAGCCAATGTTAACAGAAAATATCTTTGGTCCATCGAATTCATCTTCATTTCTTTGTGAAATTTACTTGGAGGGCAAATTGGGATGAAAAGCTCTTGTTTAGCGCTCTCAATGGCGTCAGAGTCATGCAGGAAACTGATCGTGTTCAAAGGACATCGCCTTGAGTCATCAAACTATGATGTTGTTTGAATCTCATGCGAGAAAGTTACTTTCTTTAGACGAAGAAATAAGTGTGAAATGCATTGAAAAAACGGTGCGTCAAAAGCATAAAATCTAAAAGGAAATAACAATAATCGCGAAACTTCGTAAAGGAGAGAAAATGTGCTTAAAAGGACAGTCAAATATAAATAAAGGATTGCTTCTGACTAATTTTTTCACACCACTTCGAGAGCCAAAACAGAGCTGAGAGAGTTAGAATTGTCATTCTGCTGGTTAATTGTTTCTGTTTCTAAACACCACATCAAATGTTATTGATTAGTTCCATTAGCTAAATTGTGAATAAATATATAATTATGTTTCTGGCTAAGTTATAGAGTGAATTTTATCAAATAATCATTTTGCAAAATTAATAAACTAACTTGGCAAAAAAAAGAGCTGCTTATTTCGTAATATCACAATCAGTAGCAACAAATTATTTTCAGTATCTTTTTCTTCACTTCCTTCCGCTCTTCACGTCGCTTTTCTAACCAGGGGGTAAATAAAGACATTCAATACATATAAAATATATATATACTACTTTAAAAAAAAATCCAGTTTTACAGCTAAAATAAATTCTACAGAGTTGTTCCTAATCGCCTCTCAGGTTTTTCTTCTTTGTATGATTATAAGCCTAAATTAAATGAATTGCGGAAAATAAATAAACATTTTGTATGGATTTTTAACGCAAAGAATTTATGTCTACCCAACTATTTTCTCCTTTAAACATTATTGTTCCATTTATAGGCACAAACAATGATATCTTTCCGTCATTTTTCCCCCTTTTTTGTCACTCCAGTGATCTGTTTTTTTTTCCTCTTCAACTGATTCATCATCTCACGAAAATCAATGGAAAATAATATCTTTTGAGTTTCATCTTCAGAGACTGTAGAAAAAAGATATACTTTTCCTTTACACACACACACACACCGAAGTGTGTTGTTGTAAAGCAAAAAGCAAACTTGTGAAGCAAAGGGAGAACTGGAAACTCTTTTTCATCTCTTCTCTTAACATGGCCAGAATGTAAACCCTCCAGACGAGTGTTTGAGATTTGCTCTGTTTTCCAAGGTTTTTTTTCTTACATTCATCTCTTCGGGGCGGGAAATATAGTTGTTGAAGTAAAAGAAGGAACATTTTGTCCTCTGCTGTTGACTTCCTTCGTCAGCGCTTCGCGTGTCGTCAAACATTTTTTTTTCTTTTTGTTTCTTCAATCCATATGCAATCTTCCAGCGTGGGCTGACTGTCATACGAAATCCATTTCTGAGCGATTCTTGTACATTCGCCTCTCCATTGAGCGCTCAAACCACTTCTTCAGCTCCGACACAATGAACACAGACGACGTGAGCGAGACGAGGAACAGCAGATCCATGGCCGTGAGTGCCTCCGTCTGGAACACCATCTGCAGTGGCGGGAAGTAGATCACGAGCAGCTGCCCGAGCAGCGAAAAGCCCACCGCGAGCAGGAACATCTTGTTGCTGAACAGCCCAATCTGGAATACACTCTTCGTCTGCGAGCGGCAACTCAGCGCATTGAACATGTCGAACAGCACGAAGCACGTGAATGTCATCGTCGTGTCACGCTTCGTCTTGCCACCCGAGCCGTCCGCCATCTCGCGCTGGAACACCCACAGCGTGCCCAGGATGATGATGCTGGCCGACAGTAACACATTCACAATCACCGAGCGCGTGATCATAGGCTGGCGCACGTTGCGCGGCTTCTGCTTCAGCACATCCTGATCCACCGGCTCCACGCCCAGCGACTGCGCCGGCGGCCCATCCATAATGATGTTGATCCAGAGAATTTGCATAGCGTTCAGAGGATTTGCGATGCCCATGAGCGTGGCCAGAGCGATGAGAGACAGTGCGGCGATGCTCGTGCTCAGCTGGAATCGCACGAAATTGCGAATGTTGTAGAAGATTGCCTTGCCCTCCTCAATTGCAGCACTGCACAAAGCAGAAAAAAAGATAGAATAATATGTAAATGTAAAGTAGAATTGCATTGATTTTCATTTAATAAGAAAAAAACCATTCTAATGAAAACTCACATGATGGTGTGGAAATCATCATCAACGAGTATCATGTCAGCCGCTTCCTTGCACACATCCGTGCCATTTTTGCCCATGGCAATGCCAATGTCCGCCCTCTTGAGTGCCACGCCGTCGTTCACGCCGTCGCCAGTCATGCCCACAATGTTGCCTGTCTGCTGCAGCGCCTTCACGATGGCCAACTTGTGCTTCGGCGTCACTCTGTAGAACACACTCACGTTGTTGATAATCTTCTCCAACTGAATATCACTCAGCTGATCCATTTCTTGACCCGAAATCGCCTGCTGATGCACCACATCCAGTCCAATGAGTGACGCTACAAGACAAGAGGAATTCACATGAAATAAAAACAAGTCACATTTTTCACAGTTTGTCTATCAATTCAATGCATGATTCGAGCGAGTTTGAGGCAAATTCAGTGAATTTCGAAGCAATTTCAAGTCTCAAACATCAATTTGTTTCTCATGAAAAATGGGAATTTTGACCTTTAATGATTTTCAAGGCATCCATCGAAATATTTTGGCAAAAATGTACACAAATCACCCTTGACGAGAATGTTAGAGCAACTTGATGGACGGGAAATTGAGTCTTCTTGTCGTTTACATAAGATTAACCCTCCTTCCACATTTTTTTTTTCTTCCTGCTCCTATAAAAAGCCCTAACATTTCCACTGCCTGTCAACAGTTGATGTTTTGCCTCTTCCAAGTGGAGAATTAAGTCTCTCTCTCACACCCTTAACGAGCTTAAAGATGAATTTCATGGTGAGTATTAGAATTATTTCTTTCATTTTTTCAGTGACTGGACAGAAATAATCCGCTTAAATCCTCTCTCTTTCCAGCTGACTTGTGCACTCTTCGTCCTCACGCTCGCCTCCAGCCTCGCGTCGCACGTGGAGTACATTGACCCACTGCCCGCGCATCGCACAGTGCACGTCGTGAAGACATTGCAGGCGCCCATCGTGCAGTCCGTCCACCATCACGTGAAGGAAGTACCCGTGCCAGTGCCTGTGCCCGTCGAGACGCCCGTTGCCGTTCCCGTCGTGCCCGTGGCACCTGTCGTTCCCGTGGAGCCAGTGGTCGAGGAGTACGACCCCTTCCTCGCCCTGCTGGACTCCGTGAAGGCCAAGCTGTTCGGCAAGCACTTGCTGCGAAAGCGCTCAGTGGACTTCAACAAGAAAATCGCACTGTTGCACAGAAAATACGACCATTTGTCCCATCTCAAGCATGACTGAGGAAATCTCCGAGATCCCAATGTGATTAAATTTTCCCAATTTTTGCCAATCAATTAAGAAATTACTATTAAAAGACAATTTTTCAACACTACTTCTCAATCACTTGAGCTATCTTTTTAGCGGGCAACGCTTGTGATTTTGACAATAACTTCAAACATGAAGATTTTTGAACTTCAATTGCACAAAAAATAATCAAAAATCAATCAAATTAATGTATTTTTTTTAACAAAAGATAGGTCTTGACTAGATTAACTGGATTAACTTCAAAATAATAACGTATAGCAACACAACATTTCTCAATCAACATATTGATTTCTTATCTCGCAACCTATTCAACTCCTTCAATGGCCGTTCAACTCATCGTGACGCACAAACTGTGATAATGCAATAAATCGCAAAGCTCATCGTTTTACTTACCGACGGCAATTGCTGTCTCCTGAGAATCGCCCGTGACCATCTTCACACGCACGCCGCTCCTCATGAGTATCTCAATCGACTCCCGCACGAGTGGTCGCGGCGGATCTGTCAGCCCGACAATGCCCATGAACACGAGGTCCTGGAAGCTTCTGCCCTTGGCCAAGGCCAGCACGCGCAGCCCCTTGCGGCCCACCTCATAGGCCTCCGTCATGAACTCCGCCTCGTTCTTCTTCGTCAGCGGCACCACTTGGCCGCCAAACATGTACTTGGTGCACTGCGGCAGCAGGATCTCCAGGGCGCCCTTCACGAAGAAGATCTCCTCCTTCGCATTGCCATACTTCGGGTACAGCTTCACCGCCATCATCTTCTGCTCAGAGCTGAATGGATACTCCTGCACGCGCACATACTTCTCCGCCGCGGCATACAGGCCGCCCTTCATGGCCACAGCCAGGAGAGCACCCTCCGTCGGCTGTCCGAGCAGCGTTTCACCCTGGATCACAGCATTATTGCACACTGCGCCCACTTCCAGCAAGTTCATGATGCTCTGCTTCGCCTGCTCGTGACTGTTGCAATCGCGAATGTGAATCTCACCGCAGTCATTGTAGCCGGCGCCCGTGACGTCCGCCATGTAGCCATCCGACGTGATGATCACCGTCACGGTCATTTCATTCTTCGTGATGGTGCCCGTCTTGTCCGAGCAGATGACATTCACACACCCCAGAGTCTCCACCGTGGGCAACTTCTTCACGATGCAGCTCCTCTTCGCCATTCGCATCACGCCCAGTGCCAGTGTCACCGTGACAACAATGGGCAGACCCTCGGGAATTGCCGCCACGGCCAAGCTCACGCTGATGTTAAACATCTCCGTGAGCGCCTTGCCCTGCAGCCAACCGAGTAGCATAATCACACCGATGATGCAGAAAGAGTAGAAGCTCAGCTGCGCCCCGAGGATATCCATTGACTTCTGCAGTGGCGTCTTGGGCGCCTCCTCGGCCTGCATCATCTTGAACACCTCGCCGAACTCACTCTTCTCACCCGTGCTCACCACCACACCCTTGCCGCTGCCACAGCGCACAAGGGTGCCCATGAAGGCGATGTTCTTCATCGTCGTGTGATCCTTGTTGTGCATCCCATGATGGAACATCACGTCGGCGGTCTTCTTGGCCGGCTCTGTTTCGCCCGTGAAGCTCGACTCGTCGATGGACAAATCAATCGCCTCATAGATGCGCACATCGGCTGGAACACGATCGCCCACATTGAGATAGACAATGTCGCCGGGCACAAGCTCACGCGCCAAGAAGGTCTCAACACGCCCCTCACGCAGGCTACAAAATCACAAAGGAAAAACACAACATATTAATCTACACAAGACTGCAAGAAAGGAGCAAATTAATGGACGGAGCAAACGAATGAGCGGGGCTTTTTAGAGAACTTTATATTACTGGAAAGGCAAAGAAACCCAAGAAATGTTAACAGAATAGAATAAAGATCTTATTTGAATTCTTTGATCAAAAGAGTAACAATAAAAGACTTATAACAAGTTCTTCAGGGAAATTCTAAGGAGAAAATTATCTTGGCATCTAAAGTGTTTCGCCGAATTGATTTTTAATTTAAATTTATACACCACATCTTATGCTTCGCAGAATCTTGCTTTTAAAACACTCTTCTCTAATGTATATGGCAGAATTATTTCTACACAAAATTCAATTAAACACCAAGAAATGCTTATCTTAAGCACGCCAATGTTCTTCAGTGTCTTGAAAAGTTCACAAAGAGTAACTCAATTTAATGTCATACTGTACAAGTACACTATATACAATCTTATAATATTATCTTCTCAAGACTGAATTCAACTTTACAAATTCAATCATACGCGAGGAATAATATTCCATGAAAATTTTCTGTCAACGTTGGCAAGAGAGAATTTCATTTATGCAAAATTCAATTAATTCCCTCCCAACGTAGAGTTCGGTATGAAGTAAATGAGGTGGAAAAAGGATACTTTGGCTAAATTAAATTGATTTTTTTTTTGACTGAATATTTGACAGAGATAAAATCCACAATAATTTTGCACATCAGCAAATACAGCGGATATTACTAATGGAAAATTCATTGCCACATCCAAGGAGGAGATATTATGATTACTGACTAACAATCAAATTTCACTAGAATATTTCAGAATAAAAAAATGTGTTTTAACGACTAAATGAAAGTACTTCACTATTATCAGCTTTACTCCAAATTACTCATCAAATTACAAATGGTTTTCAAAATGTCTTCGGTTATTTTCATAGTCTTTGTTATCGCGAAAAAAAACTATTCTTCCACTTTAACAAAATCGAGCATTTGTACTAAATGATATGCACGATTATAGAAGCTTATCGTGAAGAAAACAATAAAATAAAAGACGTTTTCTTTACCAATTTCTCAGAATATTGCACTAGATTGAATTTCTAATGGTTTTCTAAACGGTAATAAAATTAAATATACATACATATATATATAATAGCAATTTTAAGCTGATTTTTATAAGCATATCAATTACGAATTATTAATTATTAATCAAATCGTTTAACTTCTTGAAACTTTTATAGTTTATTTCTGATTATTCTAATGAAATGGTTCAAATTAGGACAGAAAAAATCAATTCTCAGAGTCCGAAATGCAAACATTGTGAAGAACGTGATTGGTCAACCCAATAAGAGTGATTTCATTCACATTATCTCCCCCTTTTGGAGTGCTGCATGGCCATATCAAATCACTCACCAATGGCATTCGGGCGGGACTAGTTTTTTCAATTCCTCCAAGCTCTTCTCCGATCTATATTCCTGGATGAAAGCCACAGTGACCACAATGATGATTGCTATTGTAATACTGACTGCGTCATCGAATTGCTTCATGCAAATGCTGACGAGGGCGGAACCTGCAAGTGACAAGTGAATCAGTCAGACGAAATCAGAGCGCAGAAGACGGCTTTTCGCACCCAAAAGCAGAAGAATGAGCGGGTTCTTGAACTGCTGAATGTACTTCTTCCACGTTGGATCATCCTCGGGCGCGTGCAGCTCATTGAAGCCCACTATTTTTGCACGATATGTCGCCTCTGACCAGCGCAGGCCACTCCGCAGGTCCACGTGCAGACGACCGGCCACTTCGCTGGCGGACAGAATGGACGATTCGACCGTGGACAGGAGCATCTCCGGGCCGAGAGCAGTGTTCACGTCAGCCTGCAATTGGAGAGAGAAGGAGAGAGCGAACGTTGCATTAATTGCCCTGGCATTGACATTTTGTCAGTCTCAGTAATTGAATTAACACAGCAGTGTTGATAAGCAAACCACATTCGCCACTGTTAACGCTTTTACTCAATATATCGATTCCCATCAATAAGTGAGAGATGGACAATAAAACACGCGGAGGTAAAAAAATTAGGGTAATACTATGTGTGTTAAATATTAAATTTGATCGACACCAATTAGTCGAAATAAAACAATAGAATAGACACAAAAATTACTCTATTTTGCTCAGTAAAAACCATGAGAAAAAATATAGTTTTTAGCCAGATTAAATGCAATTTTCTTTTCCAATTCTAAATATAACAATTTTTCCAAAACTTTGAATTGAATAAAAGAATTGTAATGAATTATAAATTTGAAAGAAAAGGCAGAAAGAAAGCCATAAAAAGACACATTAGACAAGAATTCATGTCACTTAACTCTGCTGACATTCAAATATTTGCCCAAAACGGTCAATAAACTCTGATTTCTTTCACAACTTCCGCGCCATCCATTCACTCGTCTCCACATCGCTCCTCATAAATAACTTATCAGGCTGCAGACATGCGAGAAAAGCAAGTGGAAAAGAGCCCATTTTCATTCCATATCATGTTAAAAATTTAAGCACCCACTAATTCCCCACTCAACTATCAACAACATTTGAATTACCGCCACAATTGTGCGCACTGAAGAAGGCAAAGGGAAAAAAAACCACCTTATCAGTGTGATTATAAATTTTCCCAATGACACGATACACGTATTAATAGTCAGTCAGATTAATTACAATCAGCACAGTGTGACATGAATAATATTAGCAACCATGCAGAAACTTAATCTTATCTCTCTCTCTTTCTCGCTCTCGCTCTGTTCCTCGAAGGAAAAAAAGCAATCCCGCAAATTGCCAAACAGTTTTTGAGGTGAAGAAATTGAAGGTTTGTTCACGTGAGAAGAGATTTTCATTCATTTTTCAACCACATTTTACGCTCCACTGTCAAGGTGGAGGAGTTTGTCGATGTGGAAATTCAATAATTCACGCTTTTTCATCGACATTGATTGAATTTTGTCGGCGGCAATTCATTCTCCACCGGATGATTTACATTAAAAGCCACAATTCAATTTATCTGCATATCGCAAAAACACCACTGGAAAATCCCTCAGGGAAAATCATCTTGCTCCATTCGTAATTACACTTCTTAAACCTCTTAATTCGCACAAAGGAAATTCTCAGAGCGATTTCGAAGTCGCATCAATTCCACATACTTGAAAATGATGATAAATTGATTTTAATTGGCAAATTGAGTGCTATTTCTTGACTATTTGAACGTAATATTAATCGGCATCTTTCACAAATTTCTAATAATTCTTCAGCGAAATCTCAATACATTCGAAAAAGCAAAAAAATATATATATATGTATGCAAAGATTCCCAATAATGAGACATCAGAGTCAATTATGTGATAGAAACAGGCATTTTAAAGTAAAAAGTATAAAAATGGGCACAAATTTACCTAGAACTTATACTTCAGTAGGGTTGTTTGTAAAGCATTATTGATCTCATAAATAAAGTATTTGTCTGTTTAATTGATTAAATTCCTACTCTCCAGACGAAACTATGGCTACAAATTCGATTTTCTACCCCCATTTTGCACTCTCTGTGTTTATTTTCCACCATAAAACAACCAATAGGACTTTATGATAGTGGAAGAAATCCCCCGAGTTGTGCAAAATGCACGGCGAAGAAATATCCCGGAGGGAAAATATCCAGAAAAGGAACTGAGAAAAAGTGTCTGGCGGAAAGCAACGCTGTTGCTTTTTGCTCTTTTGGGCGGGAGAGAGGGTGGAAAGTGGGTTTTTCCCACCCCCACGGATCGATCGGCGCCCCACTAATTGACTCATAGTGACTCTTGGGGGCGCTTCGGAACGACGCTGTCTAAACTCGCACGGCGTTTCGCGCACGAAAGAGCACAGAAGTGTGTGTGTGCGTGAGATAATTTTTCTCAATCCAGCGTGGGAATTGCATCAGAACCTGGCGAGGGTGGTAAAAGGGCGAAAAGCAGAATTTTCTCACCGCAATCGATTCCTGTCTGTTGCTGCCGCTGCCCCCAAAACACACTTCGCTGTCCTGCTTCACGTCTTGCGGTACTTTCTCATACTTGGAGTAATCGTTGGGGCTTTTGCTCTTTTTCATCTTGCGTCCACGATCACGGAGAACGCGTGGAACTGTCTGGTGCAGAGACACCGCGCGATATCACTCCATTTTCCACCACTTTTCACGGCTTTTCCAGCGCAACACACTTCTGCACCAACAGCGCCGCTCTGCGACCACAAACGAACACGTCATTTTATAGCAAGTGTTGCCAGAGTGCGGGGATGTCAAACACAGCGACTGTGAGGTTATGTTGGACGCAGAATGTAAACAAATAGTATCTTGAGGGTGGAAAAAGGCGAAAATCCTGATTTATTCACATTATGGACGCGGAGGAAGTGTTGAAAATAATGAACAGATGTGAGGAGAATGTAAGAAACGTGATTTTGGCAAAAATTACCAGACACTCAATGAGATATCAATTTGATTTTGCAGAGCACGAATGGAAAACTCTTCTGTCCCTTTGTCAATTGCAATTACAATGGTGATAAGCACTTCCTGCAGCGCAAACACCTAAAGCAGCACCTCCTGAAGGTGCACACGGCGAAGAACTACAAGTGTGATCAGTGCCGGAAAGCATTCTCCACGCAGAACTTCCTCATGGCGCACGTGAGGCAGTGCGGCAAGGAATTCAAGTGTTCCGAGTGCGAATGGGTCTTCAAGTCCCGCGAGGCACTCCTCACGCATGCCCGGCGAAGGGGGCACCGGTTTGAAGAGGTGACAGATGTTAAACTTCCCGAGAAAGTAAAACTCATGCCCAAGGAATCCCCACAAAAAGCTGATCAGTGTGTTCAGACAACATCATCTAATCCCACCAGTCCGGCTGCAAAGCGTAAATTCACCCAAACCACGCAGACGAGCGCAAAGAGAGCCAGGAGTGACAGAAGCCCGCCGGACAGCCCCAAATTGACTGACAACTCATCGCAAACGCCAGAATTATCCGCCTCAATGATGGACTTCTTCGACGACAGTCTCAGCATCTTTCCCGGCCACTTTGACGGCAGTCAGTGCAGCACGGAGACACAAACGGATAGGAGATTGCCATACTCACAGTCCAGTCGCACTTCCGGAGCGGATCCGCTACTCTGTCACATGTACACGCAGACGTGTGATGAAATCCTGTCGGAATTGGGTCTCTCTGATGTCCAGACGCAAACTACGTGGCCGCCGTCCGAGTTCCAGGATTTTCTCGTGTCCACGGAGACGCAGACGAGCTTCACGCAGTGCTTGGAGGAGGAAATTGCTTCGTTCACCACGCAACACACGCAAACATGATTCACGGAGCGCTTAATCGGACTGATAACAGTCGCACGAAACACTGATAAGGCCTCACACGACACGTGCTAACACAACTTCAAAGTCTGTATGAATGATGTATAGTAAATTATTCACTGAAATGATATCCAATTATTTATTTATGAATTGCCTGTTATAAAACTTTTATAGACAAATTCGCCTAACTTCAGTGTGTGAGAATATTTGCGATGCGTGATTTATTACATACGGTAGAAATGTTCGCGATCTAAAAGGAATATTCTACATTTATTACATAATATAATTATTGAATAGAAAGGCTGCGAAATAAGAAAAATGTGAAATTTTCATTCTCTTTTCTGTGCTGTGTGAAAATACGTTGATTTTTATAAATAGCAATGAATGTTAAAGAAAGAATATTCTAAAATCGATCTTATCTTCTTGTATATGGTGAATTTTCTCGTGTAGAAATTGAGCAAATTACTCACAGCTTGTGACGTGCCGTTTATAAGCATTCTCGACACGTCAAACTGCGACCACACTAGAATTTTCTGGAAGTGAGCATTTTGTTTCTGTCGCAGATTTTTCACGGAAAATCCCCCAAATCGATTGGAAAAGCGCGCTCCGCGGCGGGTGACAAGAATAGTGCAGAATGGTGAAGGAAACCACGTATTACGACATCCTGGGCGTGCGTCCGGACGCCTCGGCGGACGACCTGAAGAAGGCATATCGCAAGCTGGCGCTGAAGTACCATCCGGACAAGAATCCCAACGAGGGTGAGAAGTTCAAGCAGATCAGCCAGGCGTACGAGGTGCTGTCGGACGCGGAGAAGCGAAGCATCTACGATGAGGGCGGCGAGGCGGCCATCAAGAAGGGCGGCGCCGGCGGCGGAGGCTTCACCAGTCCCATGGACTTGTTTGACATGTTCTTCGGCGGGGGCTTCGGTGGCGGGCGGCGGCGGGAGCGTCGCGGCAAGGATCTAGTGCACCAGTTGAGCGTGACACTGGAGGAGCTGTACATGGGCGCTGTGCGCAAGTTGGCGCTGCAGAAGAGCGTGATTTGTGATAAGTGCGAGGGCCGCGGCGGCAAGAAGGGCGCCGTGGAGAAGTGCATGACGTGCAGAGGCACTGGCGTGGAGACAAAGATCCAGCAAGTGGGTCCGGGCATTGTGCAGCACTTCGAGCACATGTGTCGCAGCTGTCACGGCCAGGGTGAGCTGATAGCGGCCAAGGATCGCTGCAAAACCTGCAATGGCAAGAAGACCGTGCGCGAGCGCAAGATCCTCGAGGTGCACGTGGAGAAGGGCATGCGCGACAGCCAGAAGATCGTATTCACGGGCGAGGGTGACCAGGAACCTGACCTGCAGCCGGGTGACATCGTGATTGTGCTTGACGAGAAAGAGCATCCGGTGTTCAAGCGCTCCAAGGACGATCTCATCATGACGATGCCGCTCCAGCTCGTGGAGGCGCTGTGCGGCTTCCAGAAGGTCATCAAGACACTGGACGAGCGCGACCTGGTCGTCACGTCGCTGCCTGGTGAGGTGGTGAAGCACGAGGCGCTGAAGTGCGTCCTGGGCGAGGGAATGCCACAGTACAAGAACCCTTTTGAGAAGGGTCGTCTCATCATACAGTTTGTGGTGGTGTTCCCGGACTCTGTGCCGCGCGAATCCATCCAGACGCTGGAGATGAGCCTGCCCGGCCGGCCACAAGTCACCATCCCGATTGACGCCGAGGAGTGCACACTGTCCGAGCTGGAGCCCGACCACGGGCGCGGCCAGCGGCACGACGAGGACGAGGAATACTATTTCCACGGGCCGCGTGTCCAGCAGTGCGCCACTAGCTAAGCGCGCGGCGCGCCGACCTTTGGCCGGATTAGGGGACATGATACTGTTGAATGAAATCTATGAAATTGTGACTCAGAACAGCGATAATGCGTAAAATAAAATTATTCCATGCGCCACAATCAAGTCCTTTTCTCATAGTCACGAATCAAGATTGCGATGACAGACATTTTTGGATGATAAAATGACTATTTTGCAGACACTTTTTGCTATTTGACTAGAGAATTCGACAGAAATTACAGAATCTACAGACGATCGAGAGATGTTGAGCAGAAGCAGATGAAGTGAGAGTCAGCAGCAAGAGTTTTACTGATCCTTTACTATTATCGCACACACATCAGTAATTTTGCCACAAACCCAGGAATTGCAGTCAAGATTTCCCTATTTTGCGATTTTCCAAGTATCGAGACAATTTACTCTCTTTCTCTCTCTTCTGACACAGAAAATAATAAAATCCGGCGCGCGAGACTCTTGGATATGACAAAAGTTAAAAGCCCAAAGTCAATTTGCACAACAAAAAATAAAGGAGGTGAAAGAAAAACGAATTCTACAGCGCTGGCCCAGTGAAGTCCTCATCATCACAATCAGAGAGGAATTCATCCGTCGCGGGATCACAGATTCGGTCCATGTTCTGGATATTCGCCGCCATGATCCTCAAGTTGTCCACGCCGCTCAGCAATTGCCTGCAAAAGAGACAAAGAGTCAGCTTGGCCAGGATTCTCTGCGCTCGTGTTCCTCTTCTCACCTCAGGTTGTTCTCGGCACTCAGGGCGGCCTGCATGAGCTCACGCGAGAGCTGCTGCGATCGTGATACACGCGTGTATGAGCGCACATTTGCCGCGGACCCGCCGCTGCTGCTTCCACCCACAGCGCCCTCCTCCTTCAGCGTCTCATTCTCGCGCCGCAGCGCCTCCACCTCAGCCTGCAAGCAGAGAAACTCACTTAGCGCCCACTCGCAATTGCGATGCATTCGACAAATTCCATGCATCAAAGCTCAACACGCTCAGATAATCATAGATAAAGGGCAGTGGGTGAGGGGATTTGAAGAAACTGTCTTGAGACTGATTCCATCCAGAAAGGAGTCAAGGATCTTTCATTGCCTCTGGATGTGTAAGTGCGGAAACTCACCGTCAATTGCTTCACTTGCTGCTTCAGCTTGTTGGCCAGAGACTGTGCGGCCGCCGCTCTCTTCTACAAAGCAAAAACATCCCGTGACTAAATCGGAATGACTGGTCCAGGGAAACACACTCACATTGCTCCTGTCCAGATTCTCCTCCACCTGCTCCATGCTCTCCGCCAGTGCGGCGCTGTACTGCGTCTCCGTGTGCCGCATGCTCTCCAGCGTGCGCTCCAGCTCGGCGCTGTGGCGCGTTTTGTCTGACAGACGCAGCCTGTTCTCGTCCAGCTCATGGCGCAGACGGTCGTTCTCGAGGCGGAGGCGCGCGATGGTGGTGGCGGCGCCCTCCTCGGGCGAGTCCAGATGCGGCAGGTCACTGGCCACGTCCGCCAGGCGTCCACTGTGGATGGGCCCGTCGGACAGGAAGTCCGGCAGAGTGAGGATCATGTCGGCGGGCGGCTGGCTGGCGCTGCCGAAATCGTGGCGTTCCGTCAGGTCCAGCGGGATGTCCGGCGGTGGCGTGAAGCGGCCGCCCGTGAGATCGAGCGGGATGCTGGCCGCACTGGACGCCGGCAAGTCCAGCGGAATCGTGGGACTATTGCGGTGCAACGGACTCCGGCTGCGCGGCGCGGATGTGAACATGAGGTCAAAGGGCATGTCGGCGTCCGCGCGCGGCGCCTCACTCAGTCCGGGGATCATGTCGAAGTCCACGGAGAGCGGAGACGTGTTGGGCGAACCGCCCAGAGTCGAGTTGTTGTACAGTTGCTCGATGATGAGATGATCCTGCACGAAGTCCGGCAGCGCGGCCGAGAACTCACTGTTGCCCAGGCGGCTGGACGTGGAGCTGCGGCTGGAGGGGACATGAATGGGGCTCTTGTCGCGACGCTCAGGACGCGGCGAGTTGGGACTTTCGATGTCGTAGTTGGAGTACGAGCGCTTGCCGAAGTTCGATGACGTTGTGCCAATGGAGCTTCCTGCAACACAAGAAATCCACTTTCAACTGCTTAAGAAATCAAAGCACAAGTCAAAAAATAATCCTCAAGTTCTTCAAAAACTAAGTTATTGAACTAGAGCATTTTTAGTTTTTCTCTATACTTTCAGTGCCTGATTTTTCTAAATTTTTCTCTCAGTGTCGGAACACTTATAAACAATAGAATCATATCAAATACCAACCATTTGTAAGGTTTCAAGCATTATGAATGAATCTAAGAAGAAAAAATTAATTCTATGAGCGAAAAATCACTTCTTATGGCCGATATTCTCAAGGTAATCCTAAGAAATCTTCCAGAACCGAGGAAGTTGACCGGAAATAATCTCAAAAGCCAGTAAAAGCAACAGTTAACTCACTCAGATCATCCGTATACTCTGTGAGACTGGCTTGGGAGTCGAAGGATGGAAATCGCGGCGATCTCTTCATCTTGGGTATTTCATTGGTGCTGCTGGACTGTAACACCTTCGGCCGGGCGCCTGTGCTGTAATTGCTGCTTGTGCGGCTCGAGGAGCCCGCTGAGGTTCCGCTGTCGCGATTGAGAAAGTGCTTGAAAGAGAATGGATTCTCCTCCTTCTTCGGCGCCTCCGTGAAGCCACCTGCAAGAGTGCCATCAAACAGTGAATTTACATCCACCACAGCGGCCGAGAAGTGCGTGAAAACGAAGAAAAGTGTGGCGTGAAGGGATGTCTACCATTGTTGTCAGCGCTGAGATTTTCACTGTTCTCCTCCTCCGCCGTGCCATTGACCACTTTATCACTGTTGGCCAGGATAGACAAGAGTTCATCGGGGTCTTTGCCACCACTCTCCTTGGCCATACTGTGCAATATCACCCTCTTGTGTTCAACCAAAAAACTGCGTTTATTTCTTCACACTTTGCCAGACAGACGACTATTTTGACGTCCGCGCACTGACAGTTGCCATAAAATGCGCGATGATGATCTTTTCCGCGAGAGGGCGCAAAATTGGCGCGCTCTTTTTCGTTCGCTGAGCAAAGTGCGCAATGCGCCATATATACACACAAAATTGCCTTTTATTGAAGTCAATTTATATTTGCAAAGTGGCTCTCAGTGAATTGTGAACTCTGGTCAATTGAGGAGGTGCTAATTCTGTCTGTGATTAGAAATAATATCCTCAGGGAATACAATGACGATCAGCGGCTTGAGCATCTTTCGAACAAGTAAGGAACTCTAGCACTATCGAATTGCAATCAATCAGGAATTTAGACAGAGTAAAGAGTACTGATAAGATGATTCGCGACGTTATCATTTCACTCTTGGTGGTGATTTACGGCTGGGAGGCACCAGTCAAAGTGCCGGAGTGTTGATAAACACTTGCGCGTTCGCCAATGTTTTGATTAACACAAATCGAGCGCGTACTTATGAAGAGGTCAAAAGGCCACCAAATCCGAAATAATGTCGCGTTTTGTACACAAAGCATAATCTATTTTCCCTCCTGATATTTAACATTCAAGTATTCAGCGGGCAAAGGTAAACTGTAAAGTGTTTGCAATTCTACTCATGGGCGTAGCAGTTGCGTTTTATGCAGACTTATACTTGAATTTAACTTTAAAGAAAACTCACATGAGATCTTTTTATTGTTAGTATGTACCTACTTATTGTACAAAATAATTAGTGCAATCACACTAAAAATTCAACAATTCGTCAGTTAATCAGCCAACAAACCCAACACTGTTACTTTTTAAGGGAACTTTCAAAAGTTTTCTTTTATCGTGTCAAAACATCTTAAAAATGCACAATAATTATATTTTCTATTCCTTTCCAACCGTAGACAATTGAAATATTAAAGAATTGTTATCAATAAAGCTCCCTTAATCTCTATAGATCAGCCGACAATTAACTTCTGATAACATTCGCGAAATCTGGCTGAATCTGGATTAATCATTTATTTGTTATAAAGTTGGTTATATTTAGTAAATTTTAATAACTTTAACTCACCTCTGACTACGCCCATGGAGTGCAGGAAGAGCGCGAATTATTTGGAATTGAGATTATACACACAAACAGAGCGATCTTATCAGCGGCAAATTCTTGCAAATGCTTCAATTACCGAGCAATTAAATCCAGTTTGAAAGTCAATTAGCTTCAATATTGCTTCCGTCAATTTACAAGCGATTTATTGGACAATTGCTCAATCAGGTTCTTTAGCAGCGGTATTGTCTGAATCTCTTGTACACGCTCCTCATCTCAGGTCTGACATTGTAGTCTTCCTGCGTGCAAAGGTGAGCAAGATAGAGCATACGGATGCACATGGTCATGTCAGCGTCCTCAGGCCATCCTGCCGCATCCAGCAGGGGATCCATGGATACGTTGCTATCCACAATCTCGCGCAGAATCTCGAGCAACTGTCTGCCCTCTATGTCGCCGTCATTGTGCACGAGGATCTTCAGCATGGTGACGCCGAAGCTGTGCACGTCCAGCTTCGTGGAGATGTAGTGCGGCCAAGCGATGTACTCTTGCGGATAGTAGTTGGAGAGCGAGTGCAGACGATTTAGGGGTACGGGCGGATCTCTGGCCAGTGGACCTTCGCATGCCAGGGCAAAGTTTGCGATCCTGGCCGACATTCCGCTAGAGAGGTAGATGTTCTCCGGACGGATGTTCATGTGGATCAGCGGTCGTTCGCGATGCGTGTGCAGAAAATTCAGCCCGCGCGCAATTCCGCGGCAAATGTACAATCGCTGCTTAAGCGTCAGGGAATTCTCCACGGGAGGCACCTCGAGGATGTAATGATTGATACTGAGCTCCGCGAGGCCGTAGAGCAAGCACATTTCGTCCATATGGATGCCGAAGGCACACAATTTGGCTATGTTCCGATGGCTGAAGTGCTGCAGATGCACGAGTTCTCGAAGCGCCGTCTCCAGTTGGGCAGTGTTGAGCTCAAAGTGGCCCAGCTGGCCGAAACGGAAGCGCCTCACCTGGAACGTATCGTCGACGATGAAGTGTGTGCTGAAGGAGCCTCTCACGGTGATCAGTGATGCTCTGAACTTCTGCGTCAGACTATTGATCTTCTGGTAGGACAAGTGAATTCTCGGATTGATGTCGTACATATAATCGCTGATGTCCAGCGGGCCGACCCTTCCGCGCTCTTCTGCCCCATCTTCCGGCCTGTAATTTTTTCGGTAGTCATACTCCAGCTGCAATGAGATCTTCTCGAGAAACACTCTGATATTGGCCGTGTTATTGAGCAGAATTCTGTACTTCTCATCCACCAAGTCTTGCAGCAGGTTCATGGCTATTTTGCCTCGTGTTCTGGACAGATACACAAACAAATCCGTAACTGTAAAGCCGGATTCGCATAATTTCATCACCAAATATGCCGATGAAGTCATCCCATCGCGTCTGACTTCCACGGCTCGCGAGATTTCTTCCTCTGGGAACTTCATCACCTGAAACAATGCTCTCCAGTTGCTGTTGAGATCCATGATTCTGATCAGTTCCTCCTTCGTGCGCGCCGGAAGCTGAGCCATCGGAAGATGCACAAATTCTGGTCCTTCTCCAGGGAATTCGAAGGCAATGTCACAAAGTGGAATTTGCATTTCGGCAGAAGATATGTAGTTAAAGACACACAAAACAGAGAATTTCCACAATTCTTGTGGTGGAGAACAGCACAAACTTCTCCTCTTGACAATGGGCACACAGGGACAAAGATGGATAATCGAGAGGGAGTCAGATGATCTGCCCAGAAACGGTAGATTTGCTTTCAGAGAGCGACCATGTTTCTCTCGCTCTCGGGACTTTTGGCGGGAAAATTTCACAGGGTGATTCACGTGATTGATATCTTTAATCCTTGATTCTGAACATAAACAAGTGATAAAGGAATTGGTGGCGAAACGAGTGAGTCCTTATCCTATCAATCTATCGCTGTCATCCTGGTCTTGGTCCTCTGCGTCCTCTGCAACTTCCTCATGTTTGAAGTGTTCACGATTAAATCGCGCTGAATGTGGTCCAGCAAAATGTGGTCTGCCTGGCCTTCCGGGCCGTCCTGGTCTTCCTGGTTTGATATTTATTACTCCGTTTTGGGATTGATCTGTTTCGGCCTAGAAAAAATAACACATGACGCACAAAAAATGGACGATTGATTTATTTCTCACCCTAAAAGTCGGCAGCAGAAGAAAAATCACAATTATTGCAACAAAACCAACAATTGACTTCATTTCAACTTTCTCAAGAGTCTCAACTTCAAGGAATGTGCCTTTGGTAGAACAAGAATGACTTTATAGTGCACAGTGAGTAAAAGAAAGTACACGCGAAACTTTTTTTTATCAACTGATAAGAAGTTCTGCAGTTCGACACTTTTTGCTGAAAACAGAACAGAAATTCTCTAAAACTTATTGTTCTGAATAGACAACAAAAGCACGTTAACGGAAAGGAAATTTTTAATCAACATTTCACGGTCTGCAAGATTTAAGTGAACATAATTCAAATTCACTGTCTTTTTAGAAGCCCCCAGAAATAAACATGAATTTAAGAAGGTTGTAGATCGATCAGCCGGATTTGAATGAAGTTATTAAAACGGCGTTATTAAAAATTTAAGAAGGTTTTCTTGAAAAAGATCTCTCACGCAACAGAACTAATTGAATTGAATTCTCTTTGATGCATAGAACGCTTTTGAAGAGCATTCTTCTCCTTCTTTTGCAGACTTGCGAAGTTTCGCGAGTTTCACTGCCACATCGCAGCTTCCGCCGCTGCCGGCCTGCGACTTCGATGCGCCGCCCTACAGAGGCCCATCTTACGAAAGAGTGGTTGAGCTGCAGAAGACGCGACTGACGCCCAATGTGACACCCTACTATCGGAAGCCGCTGTTAATTCACTCCGGCCGGATGCAGTGGCTATTCGACCACGAGGGCCGGAAGTATCTGGATATGTTCGGCGGCATCGTCACGGTGTCCGTCGGTCACTGCCATCCGAAGGTGAACGCCGCACTGGCGGATCAGATGGACACTCTGTGGCACACCACGAACATCTACATGCACCCAAAGATTCACGAGTACGCTGAGAGACTTACGCAGACGATGCCCGGCAAGCTCAACAGGGTTTACTTCGTCAACTCTGGCAGTGAAGCCAATGATCTGGCCATCTTGCTGGCACGTCTGCACACGGGCAATCACGAGATCATCTCCTTTAGGAATGCCTATCACGGCGCCTCACCACTCACGATGGGCATCACTGCGCACTCCACGTGGCGCTTCCCTCTGCCCGGCGTCAGTAATGGCATCATACACGCCATGAATCCCGATCCCTTCCTCGGCCACTGGGGCGGAAAGCACTGTCGTGACTCTCTGGCGCAGACAATCCGCGATTGCAACTGCACCGAGAAGTGCTGCGAAGCCACGGAAAAGTACTATCACGAGCTGGAACAGATCTTCAGGTTCTCCCTGCCGCGCGGAAGAGTGGCTGGCATGTTCGCCGAGTCGATTCAGGGCGTGGGCGGAACAGTGCAGTATCCCAAGGGCTACATAAAGAAGGCAGCCGAGCTAGTGCGCCTCAACGGAGGTGTCTTCATCTCCGACGAGGTGCAATCGGGCTTCGGTCGCACGGGGGATCATTTCTGGGGATTCCAGGGCCACGGAATCGTGCCGGACATCGTGACGTGTGCCAAGGGCATTGGCAATGGTTTTCCCATTGGCGCTGTGGTGACGACAGAAGAGATCGCGCAGTGTCTGGACAAGGCGCTGCACTTCAACACTTTCGGCGGAAATCCACTGGCCAGCGCCGTGGGAATCGCCGTGCTGGACGTGATTGAGGAGGAGGAGCTCCAGAAGAACTCTCAGATTGTGGGATCAGTTCTCATCAAGGGACTCCTCGAGTTGCAGCAGAAGCATGAGATTATTGGGGATGTCAGAGGAAAGGTGAGTCCATGCACAATATTTTCGATCTTATTATCTTCCTCTTGGTCTAAATGACTTTAAACAAACCCAAAAAAACGATACATATATTTAAGGCTCATGTTTTAAACGGAGAATACTTAGAAAGAGATGTTGGTAACGATAATTGCAGGGTTTGATGATCGGAGTTGAGCTTGTTGAGGATCGCGCAACGAGGAAACCGCTCAGCACGCCTCACGTGGTGGAAATCTGGGAGAAGTGCAAGGATATGGGAGTCCTACTTGGGCGCGGCGGCCTGAATGGCAATGTAAGATACTCTCCAGACACTTTTCTCTCTCTCTCTCTCATCTTTCCAGACAATTTTTTCGGCCAGAAAAAGCACTCAAAATTTCTCACCTACACTTCTTCCTTCTTACTAACAGGTCTTCCGCATTAAACCTCCCATGTGCATTAACACACACGATGTCGAATTCACACTGCAAGTCCTTGGCCATGTGCTGGAGAGCCGAAGCGCATAAACATTCACAGGATTTTTCTCATGGGGTAAATAAGTGTCTTTCACGGTGAAAATTGGCAAATTTGATCGATAAACATTAAAATAAACCAAAAATTAATTTAAACATTCTAAAAATGATTTACAATTGATCATATTCTCATTGTTAAGTTTTCTTGTTAGCCGGGTTTTCATGAGCTCATTATCGCATTAAGAGCATACAATTCTAATGGCGCTAAGAGTTCGAACTTGCAGAGAAATCGGCCATAAGTGTTGGAATATTGATTGAAAATCGACACTCAAGTGAACCGTGATCGTCACAGCTATTTACCCCTTAACTTTTCCTTCTTCTCAGACCCTCAGGATCAAGCCTCCGATGTGCATAAATGTGGACGACGCTCAAATCACACTCGACGTGCTGAACTGCGTCTTGTTGTGGCATTTCAAGAAAAAACGGAGGAATTCATTGAGATAAACTACAATATATATTTTTATCATACTTGTCATTGTAATTGAACATTCTTATTTGTCCTTATCAACATAAATTACGAGGAAATAATATCATGTAAAATGTTTTATACGATTCATTTCATATGAGTGAGAAAAATGCCAAAAATTCGTTAGAAACTTGTTCAGGGCGTCCCAAAAACACATCAAATCACTTGGAATTCTTCTCAATAAAGGTTAACCATAATTCTACAATGAAATTGGCATTAAAATCGTCTCTCTCTCTCCGGAAGAAACTAAATTATTCGCGGATTAATTACTATTGTATTGTCACATTTGTACAATTTCCGCATCCATTTGAGTTTGGAACGTTTCTGAAAAGCATAGAAAATAAATGTGTGTGTGTCGTTTCTCATGTTACGCAATGTTATTTACTATTTTTTTTTAGTGTCCATACCAAAAAAAAACCTCTGCCAAAAAAGCAGTGAGAAAATGCATGAAAATTGAATAAATCATCACCAAACAAGAGGTATGAAATTGTAATTCTCCTCAAGCACAGCGAATTTTCAACATCAGTGTTTACAATGCGCAAATTGGCAGCAAAACATATGTACATTTGGTTGCAAATTATCTTTGGTAGGGAATTTTGGAAGATTTTCCACTGCACTTTCACACACCTGAAATATCATTGTGCTCGCGAGAAAGAAAAACTTGACACAAAATATAATAATAAATGGCAAATGAATCACAAATAATGTCAACAAATAAACTCCCATATTTCTGGTACAATGATTAATGTTAAATGGTGTGTTAAATAGTCATGTTTCCACCCGAAAACTACCTTGTGAAGAGCACGAACATTCCACACTGTTAACCATCGCATAATTGATGTGGTTTTATGTACAAAAATAGCCATATAGTTTATAAAGAGATACAAGAATAAATATGTTTCTCTCCATTAAAATATATATACATATATATCGAGGTGGTTGTGATGTCCTTTCGCACACACACGATATGTGAATGATTTCCGCGCGCAATTCCTGTGAAGGTGGGGGAGGAAAGAGAATAGAGACACGCACCAAAACCGCCACCGAGTGTTAGTCATTGCGTTAGTGGCGCTCATGAAAGCTATACTCATTCCAAGGTATCATCGTCAATCTCTACCAGGAGTTTGTGCTCCACACCCATGTCGCTCAGCAGCGCATTGGACAGCTCCGTGCGCGCCTTCTGCACCACCCACGCCATCAGCAGCACGCCGATCACCGTCTGCACGGCGAAGATGCTGTAGCCCGCCAATGCCGTCTTCTGGTCGTTCAGCACGTCGTGCATCGAGCGCAGCGTCGAGCCCAGGTACACATTGATCGTCTGCGCCGGCAGCAGACCCAAAAGAGTGGCTGTGTGGTAGCTGCGCGGGTTCACGGCGCTCACCTGCACAGGGAGAGAGAGAGAGACACGCTAAGTACGCATCTTGGCGACGCAATACGAATAAAAAGCTCTTTTTCGCATGCTTCCCGCAATATGAGAAAAAATGTTGCACGAAAAACATCGCAAATAACTCTGCTCGTCATTCGGAAAATTATGTTTTCAGCGTAAATTGAGGAAAATTGCCATGTTTTGTATCACAACATGATTTTTTCTCTCATTTCTTCCTATTTTTAAAGACAAAGACCCATAAAATGAATTCATTCTAGCTTATTATTAACCATTTTACGCGTTTAAGTTCCGTTTAATTGCATTTTATACTGCCTAAAATGTTTATCGAAACTTCTCCGCCTCTTGTGTGGGACACACAATACGAGACGCCCTGTTGCAGTCCATTTGCTTATTTCATTTCCCGTGAATAAACTGAATAAACAAGCAGAAACCAGAGATTCTCTTCTTACCCCGAAGATCGTGTTCTGCAGGCCGAAGGGAATCGGCGTGAGTCGACAGAATAGAACGACTTTGAACGCTCTGGGTCCGGAAATCACTCGCAATATTGCACGTCCCGTCTCGTTCTTGATCAATCTGCAAAGAACATTATCATCAGTAGTGGTGTCTAATTAAATTAAAATAACAGCACAATATGTTGGAAAATCCGCACGGAATGTGACGCATGCTTGTACAAATTGATTTCTCGTCACTTTCTAAATATAACGAAACATCAATTGAACTCGTCAGGCATAAAATAGTGCAGCGCGCATAGAATTTGTGCTCTCTGACTGGATCATTAACCCTTTGGAGACCTTTAATCTCTCCTAATCTCACGAGCGCATTCCGGGAATTTTCCGGAGAGAGAAAACTCACTTTTGGACTGGAAGGAATGTCTGGATGCTGCGGATGGTGTTATGGGCTATCGCGACGCCCACATTGGCGCCCAGGATGACCGTGAGCAGGCCCTTAATCAGTCCGAACATGTAGCCACTCGTGATGATGAGCACGAGATAGCCAACTGTGACGGGGAAGCTCACGACAGCGAACAATCCGATGAAGATGAAGAAGACGCACCAGGAGTTCTGGTTCTCTGCCCAGAACAGCAGCGCCTTGAAGGAGTCCTTGAAGAAGTACACCACCAGGATCAGCACCAGCAGCACGGCACTGGGCAGGAGGTAGTTGAGGATGCGATTGTGCGACACGCACCGATGCAGGCGCACGCAGAACTTGTCCGGCACCACGAGCCTCTCCTCGTCCAGATCACCCTCCTCGAGACACTTCTCGTCCATCGCTGCTCACCTGGCAAGGAGACACGCAGAGAGAGAGAGAGAGAGAACGGAACATGAGCCAATCGATCGCGCACTGGTCTTGAGACGCCCTTACATTCTCTCACGGCTGGCCAGAGCACCCATGAACTTGACTCATGGGCAGGAATCGCGCTCACACAGTCGACACTGGACACTCAGGAGCTCTGTGGCTCGCACTGGGCAATCATGTCACACAGCCACTTCGAATTGGGGCCAATTTGCTCAGGCACTTTCCCCAGACCACCTCATTCCCCGGAGAGATTTCAGCGCTGACTGCGCACAAGGCAACCCAGTTGCTGACAGCTGACAAGGTTGCCAAAGGCCAGCGCCGCCAGCCGAGCTGGGATTCTCGTGTTGAGCATGCAGTAATGCAAAAGCCTCTAACTCAGATGGAATTACGTAGTGTAAACATGAACTCTCGAAAACATTCGACTGATGGCCCACGCATGTGTGAATGTTCGAATGCAATAAAGTGTGTAATTTTATCTTTATATCGCGATAAGAAGCGATAGAGTGTTCCAAGAAGCAGTAGAGATAAAGTGAGTGGTGCGAAAGGTCTATAATAATAAAAAGTCCCAGTCGTATATTGCGTTGTTTTGTGAAATAAAAGGAAGAGTTTCACGTTAAAGAAGCACTGTATTTTCTATTTACCTAAATATTCCATCTTATAAATTCTTCTCTAACAGTCATCATGTTGGTGTGCAATTCCACGAAAAAGAACGACGTGATCGAAGAGGTGGAAGAGCAAAGCGGTTGGGGTTCAGCACTGCCTGAACTAATTCTACACAAAATCTTTATGATCGCCACCAAACAGAAAAATAGCGGTGAAGTATTAATGAAATTGGGAAAAGTGTGCTCTTTGTGGCATCGCGTGTCCTTAAATCCTTCACTCTGGCATACGCTAAACCTGAGATGGTGGTATGCAAAATTTTATATGATGCGATTACATTTTGTCGCACTAATTATACTCTTGGTGTTTCGTAACAGGACGGATTTGAAGTGCCACACAGATTATCGTTTGGGAAATTTTCCGGATTCATTAGTGGCTGAGGAGGATTTGACTAAGACAGAAAAGTGCACTCTTATGATGAATCTGCCAATTGTGTTTCCTAAACTTGAAGATCTGACATTGTTCGGATCTTTCGCATATTACGACAGCGAAGGCATGATCAATGATAGTATTAAGAGTATCACAGAGTTGAAACTGAAGAAGTTGAGCTTACGTGATGTGTCCACAATTACAAGCTCATTACTTAGCTACATATTCGAGGAACTCAAAGACAGTCTATTAGAGATTAAAATATATAATGTTGATATAGTCGGCTCGTTATCTCAGATGATCACGGCTGTAGCGGTAGATTTTTATTATTCTTTATGAGTTGAAGTGTTATTGATGACTCTGTTTTACGCAGACCTGTCCAAACCTTACCGTTCTCGACTTCGAATATACTAACCAATCGACCGATCAAGACGATTCAGACTATCCCACACTTGATATACAGAAGCTTCAGTACGGCTGTCCAAAACTCAAGATTCTAAAGTTCGCCGAATCAGATTTTTTATTGGATATGAAAGAAATTGACCAGCAAAGTGTAAGAATCACAGCATATAGGTTTGATGTTATTCTCACGGCACCTTTTTCTCTTCAGACCGTGTCTCCAGGATTTCCGAATCTTGAAACTCTTTATTTAGATCAGATAGAAGATCAATCAATGCTGAACTATTTTATCAGAAGGGTCTTAAATAGGAGTATAAAACTCAAAAAACTGCTTCTGGGCGGTGATTTCCAAATCACTTACGAACTCATGCAGAGTATCCCGGCTAAGGATCTGAGAGATCTGAGTTTATGGAGTGTTTCATGTTCGGCGTGAGTAACTAGTTAACTTTATTTTCCTTGTATTAATTGCATTTTTGATTTTCAGTGTGGACATAAAGCAAATTTTATCCAAGTGGGCGCATAGCCTCGAAAGAGTGGAACTGAAATTCTTTCGACATATACTAATAGATGCAGCATTGGAGGTCTTAGTGGCGCAAAAATCTGCCTCTCGCCTCAAGTACAGAGACATATCTTCAAAATTGGAGAATTTATGCTGACTATCGATCATTTTTTCTGCAGACACTTGAATTTGGAGTCCACAAAGGTTTCCGTGACAGGTGTGCGAAATATTTTGAGAAGCTGTCGTCTCTTGGAGTATTTACGAATTACGATGCCACCTCACTATCTGCACAAAGAATATAGAACATCCGAGGAGATTGCGGAATTGCGACTAGAACTTAATGTGCCACTGCTGTACTAAGGTTTTTATCAGTAAAATCTTTTTTAAACGTCCTAATCTTATAATTTTCCCAGTAAGCAGTTGCTTAGAATCCCCCCATGAAAATGATTCACTCTACGTTCACGTTCAATAGCAATAGCTGTGATCCGAAAGCCTCGGGCGGAAATCATCTGATTGTGACAGTTAGCTTGGAGGCGCGGCGCGGATTCAGCGTAAAATCGCCCACCAAAACAGCAGTGCACAATGACCCAAGAGTCGCATCTGCCCAGGGATCCTGTGGCGGAGCTCTTCTCCAAGAGGTTCACCTTCAGCCGCCAGCCTGAGTGGAATGTGCCCGAGCATCCAGTCATTTTCGTGCAAGACACCTTCAGGGATGAGCGGCTGCAGGAGCTGAAGGAGCGCCTGAACGGAGTGAAGAGTAAGCTGAATGATCTGGAATTGGGCGTCTGGAGCACCCACACATACCACCAGAGTCCCTCATCGGAGATCATCCAACGTATCCGGGAGACTTTTGGCGCGGAATTTGTCACGCAAGCCTGGACGAAGTTCTACGAGTGTCTGGCCACTTTTCCTCTGGTTCCAGTCAGAGGATTGACAGCGCTAAACACTGTACATCTGTGTGAGGCTCCAGGTGCCTTTGTGGTGGCCCTGAATCACTTCCTGCGCACACAGACGGAGATTCAGGAGTGGTTGTGGTGTGCCTCCACACTGAATGTCTACTACGAAGGCAACTCCTTTGGCACCATGATCGCGGACGATCGCTTCATCCACACGACTCTGGAGAACTGGGAGTTTGGCAGTGATCAGACGGGAGACATCACGTGTGCCGAGAATGTGGAGAAACTAGTGGCGAGATGTCGCGCGATGGGATTGATCAATCTAGTCACGGCGGATGGCTCTGTGAACTGTACCAATACTCCGGATTGCCAAGAAGATGTTGTCTCGCATCTGCACTATGCCGAGACTGTGGCAGCGCTGCGCATCCTCTCGCCCGGCGGCTGCTTTGTCCTCAAAATGTTCACCTTCTTCGAGGCGTCCAGCATTTGTCTGATCTACTTTCTCGTCTGCATCTTCAGATGCGTGACTGTGTTCAAGCCCGTGACATCCAAAGGTGGAAACTCCGAAGTCTACGTGATCTGTGAGGGCCTCGAGATGTGTCCAAGTGAAAAGTTCCTCGAAACGGTCTTAAGAAACATATCCAACAAGCAGTCCTGCTTCATCTCGGAGGCAAAGATTCATCCGGACTTCTTTCAGCAACTGTACAAGTGCGCCGAGATGTTTGCCGGCATGCAGATTGATGTGATTGAGCGGAATATTGAGTCTTTTGATACTCAAGACATCAGCAAAGTGTCTCCGGAGATGGAACACTTCAAGCAGGCAGTCTTCCTCGAGTTCTGCCGGCGCTTTCAGCTGCGCAGCTTGCCTGAGAACTACCGCATCACCATTCCCAATGCCGTGCCGAACTTCTGGCGTGATTCGCCGCGCATCAACGAGGGCACGTACACTGAGCGGGTGATGAAGAAGAGCAAGAGTGACCAGGAAATCAAGGAGATGCACTGGAAGCGTTACATGCGCTATGAACCCATCATCACGTGTCCGAATCACGGCCTTCTGCACGTCAATGGCGCCCCAAATCTATGCCCAATCTATGGGAAGCGTTTTCAGCGAATCTCCTGGAGTCTCTTCGTTGCCGGCGGACTACTTCACTATTTCCTGGAGCTGTTGCGAGACACTCCAGCCTCAGATGAAATCTCCACGAATTGCTGGATGAAGAGGCGCGGAAATGTCACTCTAATCGAAATGCAGTCATTCTACAGAGTCAGCGATCATGCCAAGTACATTCGTGATACTGTCAGTGCCCTGAAGACAGCCCTGAATTGCGATGGAGTGGAGAAGATCGTTCTATTAAACTTCTGTCCTCTGGCTCAAGTGTCGGCTGGAGTTTTGTTCCTGTTCGCGCGCGAAAAGCACTCACGCGTTCAGATGAAGTGCCGACGCGCAGAGATTAGCATTGATGTGTACGATAAGCAGCTTCGGGATGAGTACTGTGGAATCCTCGAGAGAGTGGAGAATCTCCTGATGAAGGAAAGTGTGGACAGCATTTTACTGTCGCTGGTGGACATTCGTGATATTTATGCCAATTATGCGTTTATGAAACTCATCAGATGCTTCAACAATCATTTCGTGATGAAAATGTTCCGTGATCTACTGAGCTTAATGTAATTTTTTATCCACCCATCGACAGATTTGTAAATTGTGAGGAGAATACACAAAAATCGTATGATAAATGCGCTGTGGTCTCACGTGTGTGCTGTCTTCCCGCCAAAAGTCCAACTGTGCGAATGTCGAACAGTGCATTTCCCCTCTGACGAAACCCAGCAATTGCACGGCGCGAAGCTTGCCAACACACTCTCAGTGACAGTCCAGTTAGGAGTCGTAGTACTAGTTGTGTTCTCTGCTGTTTCTCTCTTCTCCTGTGCAAAAATTCAAAATTTCGGCTTCCTTCCACTAATTCCTCCTAAAGTAGTGCATAAACAGCAATGAGCAACATCCGACAGATCTCCATCACCCTCAGTGGACACACCAGACCAGTGGTTCACCTGGATTTCAGCGATATCACCGATTCTGGTTATTTTCTCATATCAGCATGCAAAGGTATGCATTCACCCCAGTTTTCCCCACAATTTCCGCCTTTCCCGCCACTTCCGGCCACCTGGAGAGCTCCGTGGGAAGCCCAGTGCTCTGGCGCATCCACTGGAGTCTCGCCACAGCAATTAATTGCAAGTGCAAATGAAAATAATTGACATAACCTTGAATTTGCATACACAAAACAAGAGAGTTTTGGAGGCCAACACACAGTGCGAAAATTCATTTATAATTTAGGTGATTTTTCCTCCTTGCACGCGCGGAAATTGGAGCAAAAAGGCAGTGTGTGTGTGTCAAATGACCAAATTGTCCTTTGTACATACACAGAAAGTGTCTCGTGATTGCGGAGAAACGCGCGAGACGGAAATGATTGAGAGGAAGGTTGAAATTTTTGAAGGCGAACCGGAACAAAAAGTCTCCGGAAGGTCAGGAACTTGTCTCAGCATCAGACTCTCAATCCCAGCGACACAGTAAAATTGCAATCGAAGGCGAAACGCTCGGGCAAATGCTGAATTTTATGCAAAGATAAACTCACGAGCTTGCGGAAAATGCCGCAATGGCGCGGCACTCTGAGAAAATTTTTGCGCTGAGTTTGAAATTTCCAAGTCTCTCTTTTCGTAAGCATAGCAAAATTGCAAGGGATTTAATAAGCTTTATTAGAAGTTAAAGTTAAGAAAAATTTGAAAACAGTTTTATTCTTGGGTTCTTTTTTCCTAACTAGAGAACACTTACATTTGTTTTCCCGTGAACAGAGAATGTTAATTTGTATTTCATTTTTAAGGATAACGCCCAAGATAGGACATTAGGTAAATTACTGAGATAGCTAGAAAGGCTTGAAGTGAAGAAAAGCAACCACAAAGCGATCAATTGCAATACGACGCTTCCATTTGTGCGCGCGCGAGTTCGCGATAATTGCCAATTGATTCGCGCAAACCTTCAGCCGCGCACAGTCAAGGGACGGCTGGTGGTGACGATCACGTAGCGCGGCTCACGTTCCGTCCTCGCTGTCTCTTGCAGATGGGAACCCAATGCTGCGTCAGGGCGACACTGGAGATTGGGTGGGCACCTTCGAGGGCCACAAGGGCGCCGTGTGGGGTGTGGCGCTGAATGGACAGGCTACTCTGGCGGCCTCGGGCGCCGCGGATTTCTCCGGCAAGGTGTGGAACGCCGTGACCGGAGAGCTGATCCACAGCTTCCAACACAAGCACATCGTCAAGTCCGTGTCGTTCGACGCCGGATGTGATCATCTGCTCACCGGCAGCAACGAGAAGCTGCTGCAGGTGTTCGATCTCGCCGATCCCACGGCGGAATCGGAGAAGTTCGCCGGTCACACGGCGGGGATCAAGAAGGCCATCTTCTGCCGCAACGACAAGTGCATCCTCAGCTGCGCTGACGACAAATCCCTGCGACTCTGGGATCGACTCTGTGGCAAGGTGAGATATTGTCCTCTCTTCCACAAAAGGGGCACTCAAGCGAATTGCTGGCATTCAATTGTGCGTGTATCATTTCAGGAGGTGCAGAGAATCGACTTCCCGTCCAATCCGCAGAGTCTCGAACTGTCCAGTGATCGAAGCATCCTCACAGTCACCAGCGGACACACCATCACCTTCCTCGAGAGCGACACACTGAACCTGGTGAAGGAGATCGTGACGCCTTCGCCCCTCGCGTCGGCGAGTCTGCATCCTGAGAAGCACTTTGTCGTCTGCGGCGGAGACGATTTTAAGCTCTACAAATTCGATTTTGTCACTGGAAATGAAATTGGTGAGTCTCTTATGCCGATTTCAGTTCTATTTAAGATAGAAATTCTATATGTTTGAAATCAAGTTAAATGCAGTTTCTAAGCTATTTAAGCTAAAGGAAAGAAATTTTTCATCTTGGAATTTGAATAATATTAATTTTTGGAATTTTCCTGCATTGTGTATCGGATATCAAATTCGATCTCTTGATATCATCAAAATCGAGGTTTTACTCGGGTTTTACTTGTAGTTTAAGGTTGAAATTTTGTAAAATTTATCCTGTCTCAGGCAATGATTAACGGCATTTTCGCAATGTCAGACGCCAAAATTCAGAAATGCTCTCATTTTCCCTCAAAACCTTGATCTCTTTCCTCCCTGAGATAAACTGTCTTCCACTTATCACCTCAATTTCCCACCTGAGGCAACTGATAAGCGAGCAACTTGTGCATGAACTCAGACGGAATGTTGTCTTGCAGACTCCTTCAAGGGCCACTTCGGCCCAGTGCACGCCGTGAAGTTCAGTCCGGACGGAGAGCTCTTCGCCAGTGGCTCCGAGGACGGCACGCTGCGCCTCTGGCAGACGACCGTGGGCAAGACGTACGGCCTGTGGAAGTGCACGGAGCCCACGGAGATCGCGGCAGTCTTCAACGCGGCCAATCGTGAGGTGTCCGCGTCATAGAGACGCGATATTGCTTGCCAGGAAAGCAGCAGCAGCAGAAGCGGAAAATTCGGTGGCAGTGAAAAGTGTTTGGGAAGGTGCGCTTGAACAGAGTGGGAATATTAATCATCATAATTAATATTTTTATTACTTCAATTACTGCTCTTAAGAATTACTTAATTGTCTACCGTTTTCTAAAATGAAATTCTATAGTTTTTCTTCTTCTTCCATCTCTCGGTTTATAATAACCTTAATTTATCAGCAATAAAATTGTAATTTTTACTCATTTTTATCAATCATTTCTCCCCTCTTTTTTATTTTCTTCATGTAATTCACGCTCATCCTATTCTTTAATATATAATTCTTTCTTTATAAATTAAGAAATATTTAGATGTAATTCTTCACCTTTCTTCATTTTTTTTTATATATATATTTATCAATATGTATATTTATATAGATTTTTTTTGATGATCACAACAGAAAATTAATACTATTTACATTTAAAATTTGTTTTCTTCTCTCCTCTTCGCGCAAAAGATTTGGGCGCCTCTTCTGCAATTTTTATACTTCTTGCAATCAAGTTTTATTTGTTTTTTTTTTGGGGAAGAATAATAAATGCAGCCCTCTTTTTGCATCTGCGCATATTCCTTCACCTTTCTTTTCTTCAAATTTCGTGGGTACAAAAAGAGATCATTTTTGGTGTCAAAGAAGCATTTTGTTTTTTCTTTCTTTCTTGTCAAGATCTCTCTGTGGGAAGTATAAAGCAATTCGAGTACATTTTCTCTTATCTCCTCTTCTGTCCACCCAAAAATTTGAGTGTGAAAAATCCTAATGCAAACCTAATTTATTTTATCGAAAAAATTGTGTGCATTTCAATTGATTTTTCCTCAGTGTCAAAAAGGTCAATTGTGTTGAGATTTTGAGAGCAAATCAGCCAATCTGAGATGCTTTATCAAATATGTTTCTTGTTTTTTTTCTTTAATTTTTAATACACAATCTACAATTAAATTATTATTTCACCACTAAAATCTAGGAATATTTACAGGTATTTTTTTACCACGCTAATTGTAGCTTTTGTATGCATTCTCTCTCTCTCTCGCTCTGCCTTTCGTTCCTCCAAGAAGCGCGATTTTAATAGTGTTAATTATACTTTCTGTTGCTCTTTATATATTATTCATATATTATTTTTAATAATAATATTCTTTAAGAGTATATTTTACTTGATGATCTTCCTCATCGGTCCTTTTGTCCATCTCTTCGTCGTCCTTGTCTCAAATTGTGTGTGTGTACGTTTGCACTTCTTTCTCAACACTTTTTCCAGCACTCTCACAAACTCTCTTCAGTTCCTCATCATCAACCATCATCATCTTTTTTGATATCTCTTTCCCTTCTCGAATCTCTTGTCACGCCTCTCGACACTTGAGTCGTCAGACACTCTCTCGCCCTGTCCAGCGACACGCGCGCGCCGCGCTCACTTGGCCGGCGCCGGTGGGAATGGATTAACGACCGCCACGGCGGCTGCTTGCTGGCTGGCAATCACGGCAGCTGGAAAGAGAGTCAAGAGAGTGACGCCCTTGCTCACACGCGCCTCAGTGTCTCTTTTGCTTTTGGCTCTACAGAGGAAATCCTCTGGATCATCTGGAAACATTACCTCCATAAGGAGTGGGATACATGGGATATCCCAGACCCACGTGCGTGTGATGGTGCGTGTGGACGTGCCTCTGCGGCGGCGGACTCCTTCCTGCGGCGCCCTTCTCTTCGCCCGCACTGCCGCCGCCACCCTTCTGACCCGTTGCGCCCGGCGCCGACCCACTCGCCGTGCCGCCCGCTGCCGACGTCACCGCCTGCTGCTGCTGCACCATCGAATTCGGACTAGAGACACAGATCTTGGCGCTGCTTCCGGGCGCACCGCTGGCCGCTCCCGAGCTGCCGCCACCTTGACCGCCGCCGCCTGCTGCGCCGCCCGCCTGCCCGGCGCCGGTCGGTGCACCACTCGTGGGGCTCTTGAGCGCACGCTCACTCAGCTCGTGGATCTTGTGCGAGTTGTAGTACTGCGTCGCCTGGTGCTGCAGCATGTCCATCGCCTTGGGATTGGACGTGCGCGACAGATCCTCAGGCGAGTGGTAGCGCGCCGCCGCGGCCATCTGAATGTGGTGGTATGTCGACGGGTGGTTGTACGGCGCCGCCGGCACCAGCATGTTCCTGTACATTGGGTGCGCCGTGTCGAAGGGGAATGGAGACGGATTGATGTATGGCAAGTAGTATTGCGACGTGGGCGGCGGCGGTGGGCCTTGCGTCTCCATCGTGGGCTTCTGACCCTCCTGCTTGATCGCCTTGCCGTCCTCCGTCTTCATCGGCCTGTCGCCACCCGTGCCGGCGCTGCCAGACGATCCGGAAGCTCCCACGGCTCCACCCTTAGCCGACTGGCCTTGCTGGCCGTTCGCCTGACTACCGTGTGCACTTGGCGGCGGCGCCGGCGGGCCCTGAGCCGTCTGTGATGGTGGCTGCGATGGCTGCCCAGATGGATGACCGTACGGCTCTTCCTTGATGCCACCGCCGGAAGGATTCATCCGTCGGCTGTCCGGATACACGTAGAACCTGCAAAATAGCGTAAATTCAGGTGGATTAGAACATGTGTTGAATTCTATTAGGAAGTCAAGAAAGCTGTGACATTGCAGATTGAGACGAGCGTGTTAAACACACGGATTTAACATCGTTCCTGTACGGAATCGCGTCACTCACCGCTTGAGCTCCTCGTCTCTGGCTGACAGCTGATGGACAGACGGCGGGACAGCGTGCGGCCGTTGACTTTGGTAGGCGGCGGCGGCTGCCACGGCGGCCGCGGAGGGGAAGTGGTTGGGTATGTGCGGGGAAGACTCCTTGGAGTAGCAAGAAAGGTGCGGGTCAGTCAGCTCCTTCGCCCCGGTGTGAGGCTCCGCCTTGATGGATCCCTTCGACGGAGTCGTCTGCAAAGAGCGCCACAATTAAGTACAGCCCACAAAATAAATCCTCTTCGCTCTCTACCTTGATTGCATCATTCGGACTCGACGCCTGCTTGTAGTGACTCTCATCCTTAGCCGGCGGCGTTGACGATCTGTTGCTGTTGTCCTTGTTCTCATCTGACGACGATATCAAGCCAACAGCTCCATAGTTGGAGTCAATATCATACGAATATCCGGACGACATGAAGCTGTAAAAATACAAGATTTGTTCTCAGACTCAGAGAAAAAACTAAATTAAGTCTAGACTAAAAGTAAAAAAATGTTAGACTTAATTTCATCACTTTACAAAGAAAATTACTTCCTTTAAGAAAAGAAAAGAAAGTAAGGCTTCAAAATTCTTGATCTTCTTACACTTTGAAGAGCATAAGTTCTATCAAAATTCATTCAAAAGTATTCTAGTCTAAGGAAACCTTCCCATTGTCCTTAACAATTCATTCACAAACACTCACTTGTATGGATAGAAGTGAGAGAGAACTTTTGCTTGTTGTGCATTGCTTGAGAAGTCCTTCAGGGACATTTGAGGCGGTACCGGACCCGCGCTTCCGCCGCCACTCGCCGGATCCACGGCCTGAGATTTGTTCATGAGATCCACTGGCGGTGGCTGAGACTCTTTGGCCACCTTACCGCCGTAGTCCGCGCCGCCAGCAACACGCGGAGCCCCCGCGGCCGACCCTTTGGCCGCCTGCGCCCTCAAGTGCTCCGGTGACATCATGAAAGACGACTGGCTGTAGAACGGATACATGCCGAAGTTGCCAATGTTAATGGAATTAGAGGAAACCTCAGCGATGGGTTGACGCTCGTCCAAGCCCTTCACCAGGCGCAGTTTCTCTGCAAATGAGAAAGGGAAATTGTCAATTATATTCTCTCAAAACACAAAAGACACGCCAATTAGCGTATCAATTAATGAGCTGCAGCACTCGTAAAAGCTTCTGCGTGAATCGTGCAGACCATAAAAAAGAGTGATGGTAATGCTCACCGGTGCTCTCAGACTCAATGACTGGCGTGGAGTCATCGGAGATATCACTGTAGGCGGGACTCTTGACATCATCTGGCCGACTGACGGACGAGGCATTCTCATTGGCATTGTCAACAATTGACGGCGACTTGCGGTTCTTCTTCTGCTTGCCCAAATAGCCGGACTCTGTGTCATCGGAGGCGCTCGACTGCGAAGTCTGCGCCGTGGTCTCACCCTTTGGTGGACAGATCAGCACGCGCGACTTCTCAGTCAGCTGGCCGCCCTCCTTATCCTCTTCATACAACTTCCCGGTGGGAAAGTGAAGCGGCATATCAGTCTCCGCCTTTGGCGCTTCCGCCAGTGGCCCCCCAGCGACGCCAGCCTTGAGTGGAAAGCTCGACTGTGGCTGCAGCATCAGCGGATTGATCATGTCAGGCTTGACAGTCGTGGCTGTCTTGTCCGCCGCCTCATCGTCCTCCACCGCAAACGTCATCGGCTCTGTGGAACCATTGAGAGCCGCCTTCTTCATATCCACCGCGCCGTCGGTCGTCGCTTGTGGCGATTCCGGCGTCGGCGGCGAATCCTCGTCCAGGGAGACGAAGCCGCCGTGAGCGTGACTCTGATGGTACTTCAGCCCAATCGGATTCTTATACTTCTTGCTGCACTCCTGCTCCGGACACTCCAGCAGCACCGGCGACACGGGGCACCGCGTGATGGTGCACTTCTTCGCGGGAATCTGCACATTGAGGCCCGTGATGGGATTTATGATGTTCTGCGTTGTTTCTGGATTTGTCGCCGTCGTCGCCGCCGGTTCGGCCTCGTCGCGCGATTTGCGCTTGTCATGACGCGACACCGGCGACATTGGCTGACTTACGGAACTGCCAGCGGAGCCGCATGATGTGGACGTGGTCGTTGTGGCGATGGACGCCGCTGTGGTTGAGACTGTGGACACGGGAGATGAATTTGTAGCCGTTGTGGTGGAGAGACGCTGACCACCGCGTCCTTTCGCTCCACAATTGCGCAATTTGCTGTGCACCTGACAAGTAAACAACAACAAACAGCTTTTATTGTCACATCTTCACTCTCAGGCAATATTTTTTTTGTCTCTATCGTGAGAATTGTGGAGCAGAAGACAATAAATTCTAATGCAATTATGCATGAGTTTGGAATAGAAATCAGCGATTTAACTTTCAAATTCCACCTTTAAATGCACTTTTTTTTATATATATGAAGAGATCTTTTTAACATAATTAGCCATACTCATACGCTTAGTTACTCGATTTCGCGACATCAACTTCTTCTATCAATCACACACACGGAAGGCTGAAATTACAGCTTCAAGCACAGAATAAATAAGCAGAAAATGCAGTAGAAACGAGTATTCGGCGGTATAACATTAAATCAGATTTAAATCCCATGTAAATAAATCGCTGTCACTGAACAAATTAAGACACGATATGCAGATACACAAATATACAATGATAGAATTGTGTGGCATTTCGTCAAGAGTCGAAGCACCATTTTCTCAACTCCTCTGATCAGTCAAAACTACAAATTCACTCAATATTGTTTACCCTCTTCAAATAAACTTTCCCGTCGTATTTACTATAGTGAGAGAAGAGGCAAAATTTTGATGCTACAACTTACGGAGCTGCGAGTCTCTGTGAAGTTGCTCAGATCATTGTGTGACGTGTTGGCTGCACTTCGGCCACGCTTTGCCCTGGCCTTTGGCGTCCTCAAATCCAGATCCTCAATAGGAGAGTCACAGAATCTGCAAGTGTAACACTTCCTTAAAGCGCACATTCGCATTTCATTTAATTTAAGGTCACTTCCGCAGGGAATTTCTGCACAAATACGCAGAGAAAATCGATATTAATTTCGAAGACATAAAGAGAAGATATGTTGATGAAGCAGCAAACCATAATAAACACAAACATTCTAGGTAAATTATTAAATTAAACTGAAATTATGACCTTTCTTATGTACAACTGTTATTTACATCTCTAGTTTTATACGGAAAGAAATTTACAATTACCGCTTAAGGTATTTAAATCTTCATAAAACATTTAAAAAAAAAAACTTAATGTCCAATAAAATATAAATTATTTTTACAAGTCGTTTAAGTAATAATCTTGATAACAAAATGCCAAACAACAAATAAAAATTATAATTATCTGATTTAAGCAGTTCTAGTCCGACGAATGGCCGTTCAATTATATAAATTCATTTCCTGTCTTGTTTTTTTTTTCTCAGCGGAAAATGTCGCATAAAAGCATTTTCCAATAAAGAAAATAATCATAAATACACACTTAAAGTCACACCAACAGATTAAGATCCTTTTCACCTCGTCTTTCTCCCTGAATTTAGTAAGGAAAATGTTGTGAAATTACCTCGGCGGCGCCCAATCGTGCTGTGTGCAGTCCAAGAGCGTCCCCACGTACGTCTTGCCGCGCCAGGTGACATTCACCACCAGCACGCCGCCCTCGGTCTCGTGCCACACGATGCCCTCGAGCGTGACGGAAGTCCCAGGCTCGCACGGGCCCAGGCAGTCGGGCTCCGTGATGGTGCCCACGGAAGTACCCACCGACATGTCATGCACTGTCTTTTGATCACATTTCAGCTTCTTCAGCGGCGGCGACTTCAGGCCATCCTCGCGCATCTCCTGCTGCCCGGGCGTCGTGAGGAGCGACAGAACACCGCCACCGCCACCCGACGGCATCATCTTCTCGCCATCGCCCGCGTCCGTTTTCATCGGAATGATTGATGATTGTTGCTCCTTCTTTGTTGCATGATTGTTGCCCACTTCGGCAGACGCCATAGTCACGTCCGCTTGCACGCTGAGCATCTTAGCCGTGTCACTGGCACTCTTGCCGTGCGAACACGCATAGTCCTCACCATCGTCCACCTCCGCACTCTGCTGCTCCAGCAACTCCCGCTGGGCCGCCTTGTCCTTCACCTTGTCACGCCTGTGCGAACTGTTGCGCTTCGAGATCACCGGCGCGGCCGCTGACGGGATTTGCGACATGTGACCGGATCCCCCTTTTTTGTCACCTAAAACACACAAGCCACACATCGTCTTAGTCTCAAGTCACTCTCACTCTCATCGACAAGCAGCACAACTCAGAGATGTGATGTCAAGAGATGTGATAACTCGTTTGCACAGCTGAAAAGCTATTCTTCTTCAGCATCGACAATGCGATAGAACCTTCAAGTGATCATTTCAAATTCTAACTCAAACTGGAATATTCCAAAAAAAAAAAATGATATTTTGCATGCACTATAAAATTGTGATTTTTGATATATGATTTGTTACATTAAAACGTCTCTTACAAAGTGGATATCTTTTACAATATTATAAAATGTGATATTTTTAATACACTTTCCTTTAAGTGAAGCTTAAAAAATATAATTTTCAAAAAATTTCATCCATTCAAGCATTCATAATTCTCTACATTTTCATGTAGTGTGAATTATACTTGAAAATGCCTCTTTTCCTTCGCGTAAGAATTCTTAAAAAATAAATATCAGTGAAACTTGTGAAAGAGAAGCAATTTTGTTTACCTATATTCGTGTCATCCCTCTCGGTTGGAAAACCATTCTGCTCCGACTTAACAATCACGTGCTTGGCTTCGGACGTTTTTGTGCCCGGCTTTGTCCGCTTAATCTTCATCTTGAGGCCCTTCTCGAGTGTCGCCTGATGGTCAATAGCCAATTTCATAGCCTTACTATTGCCAGATCCACTGGACGATGATGACATTGTGACAATTTGTGGTGATTGCAAAGTTTGCGCTTTATCCACGACTACTTTCTCAGTCTTCTCCGTTGATGATGTGTCTTTATTCTCATGGGACGCGTGATGAATGTTCACAAATGAGGATTTCTCAATGTCTGCATCGAGATCGGTGATAAGATCACCAATTCCTGCAAAACACCAAATTCTCATCTCAGTCATTTATTTGTATTTTGGAAGCTCAAAAATTCGATTTCTTAGCATAAAAATCACATGATCGGCAATAAGTTTTTTCAAATGCGATTTTTTAATAGATTTATTCATTAAAAAACGTTCGCTAATAAAATGAGAAAAAAAACCTCAGAAGATGCAAAATTGCATTAGATATATTTCAGTTTATTGTAGTGGAGAAAATAAGAACATTTTGCATCAAGAATACGATTGAGAAATCAAGGAAAATGTTTCTCTCGCTTTTTAACAGCAATTTAAGCTTGAGTGTCTAACTTTTATAGCCAAATTATACCTAATCGCAATAGAAATATTTCCAGAGAAAACTCACCTCTAATATCCCATTCGTGGTCGTCGTACTCAAAGTTGGGCTCTTTTGATTCTGTGGTAATTAAATTTGATTTTGACGTCTCCTTGTGCGATTTACCAAACACCACACTCTTCTCCTTATCCACCTTATTGCTCAATGATTTGCTGCTACTGCTACTGCTGCTGAAACGTTTCTTCGCATCCCAGCTTACAACATTGTTGGAAGCCACCTGCAATGATTTCTGCACACACACATTCCCGGAAGAAGAAAAAACAGAACCAGAAAGGTGTCAACAACATAACAGACTCTGTGCCGCCCCCCTCCTTCGCCACCCTCTTTACCTTTGATTGATGGCGGCAAGCATTGTTCTCCTCACGATTTATTGACTCCATACAGAAAGATCAGCTCGATCGAGTGTCGGAAACCGTCCAAATGCACTCACTCGAGGTAATTTTGCCTGCTCCTGAGTGAGATGTGCCGGATTGTGAGCTGCTCCAAGGGAATTTCGTCCACCACTTAGTTCACATCCGAGGGATTTGACCATTTTGCTGCTGCAAAGAGGCAGAAGAAGGACTCAAATTAATCACAACATTGCGAGATACAATTCTGCAAATATGGAATTCAATGACTGACATTTTGTGTGGTTTTCATCACACTCTCAAATATAAACACATCTCTATTGAATCTCACATTGAGGAATTTCCACAAATCTCTCTCTCTGTCTCCCTTTCTCTCGTGCTTTTTGCAATAGTCATAGCAATTTGCAGAGTTTAAGGAGACAATACGAGATACAAAGTACAGTTCTAATACAGACTAATGAATTAGGAGAAAGCAGAACATTGTCAAAAGCAAGTGTATTGATTGCGCATCCTTGTGTAACTTCATATTCTTATTTCTATTAAAGAAAACACAGTCAATTTCATACTATTTGCATATTCGAGAACATTTTTTTTTATTCTACTTTCTGCCCTTTCACATGAATGCAAAGTAGAAAGAGTTTAATGGTTTTTAAACTCCTGCTGCTTCTGCTCAATATTATTGACATACAATGTATTTTAAATTAGCTGAGATTAGTTTGGAATGGATATTGACTTATTTCCGAAAAAATCCCTAATCTATTCAAAAGTTGATCGCTTTGCACACTTTCTTATTATTGTTACACTTGAAAAGCTACAAGCAGGTTAAAATACAGTGACTTGACATAAAATTAAACAAAGTTATGAATTTATTCCTTTTTTGTACTATATTCTTGTAAAAAAAATAATTTTTTTAAAGAGTTAGAATTGAAAAAAGTGTCTGAGAAGCTTTTTCGCCTGTTTATGCTCCCAAAGACTCGAAATTTTCGAGTAAAAGGTTTTATTTTTGCGCTAAAATATTTTTACATTAAGGAAATGTAAAAAAAATGGAATTTATTAAACACCAAGAACACCCCCAAAGAGAAGATCTTATTAACCCAATGAACTATTTACTTAGATATGAAATTGTGCTCGAAACATCCTCGCTCTTCCCCTATTTTCCTAATCCAAATACAAATTCTCAATAAAACCTGGATTTATGACTAAAATAAGTATTTTATAATATCTTGACTCTTCCACTTATCAACTGCTCTTCGTCATTATCACAAAATCACTGAACCCTTCAATGAGTTGATAGATAAGCTCAGAAAAATTGTATCTATTTTTTCTTCCCCAATTTTTTTTTATTTAACCAACTATTAAACCGCAATCCTTTCGTCCTGCCAACGGCCTTTTCCTCCTTGTTCGCTTTGGGTAAATGTGCACTTCCTCGCACGCTCTTTGTCGAGGATTTGCGCACACACGCATTCCGGGGTGGCGAACATGGGAATCCCATGACACTGGGGAGCCGCGCACCCCATCCACGCGACCACTTCCGTGTCTGTGGGCGGAATGGGGGGCGAAAAGCGGGCTCGCCAGGAGGCCGGCGTGGCGCAAAAGGCGCCGCTCGATGTGAGAAAGCGGCCGCGCTCGGGAACCGCACACAACCCTCTTCCGAGAAAAGATGTCTGACAAAATTGACAAGAGACAATTTACATTGCGCGACTCCCTTTCTGCAATAATGTCCAGTTTTTCCACACTGGCGGGCCATCGGCACCGCCCGTGTGCCCCAAAACACTATCATCGCCACCGTGGAATGTCAATTGAGCACAATATACAGCCGAGAATTGCGTGGTTGAGCGATAAAACCCGCTTCGGTGGTGCTTATTTTGCCCGTGAGAAAAATGGAAATTTTTGTGGCTCCCCGTCATGTCAAAATATGTTTTCAAGCATCGACTTACCACATTTACATGGATTCGCTGGTCTTCCTATTACCACATATCGAGAGAAATATCCATGGCTCAGCCTTTTACACAACTATTTCACCGTCTCCTGCACTATTTGCCGCATAAACACACAAAATAGGGAAAACTCGGGTCAGCCTCTTGTGTTCTTTTCGCTGATTGGCGTTCTGTCCCAATGTGGCCCAAAATTGTGTCAAATCCTGTGACGTCCCACAGCGGCGGCGCTGCACTGCTAGAAAATTGCGCGCCTTCGCACCGGCGCCAGCGCCTCTCGCAGCCACCACTGGCGATGCAGTCCAGTGTTTTGACAAGCGAGAATTGTGATATGGTTTTTATGTGAGTGCTTTTCGGTGTTAATTTAGCCGGAAAATCGCAAAGTCTCCCTCTTGCAGACAATGGAGAGGAACAAGATGCTAGGAAGTGGGCGCATGAGCAAGGGCAAGTGCGCTATGCCGCCGCACAGCAATGAATTGTTCGCCCTGGGAAAAGCCACCCCGACGGCTTCGAAGCCTCTGGAGAGGAAGAGGGATTTGTCCGGGAGTTCCGGCTCGTCGGCGGGACCGCTGACGAAGAAGGGACGCCTCAGCGTGGGAAAGCCTGTGGAGAAGCCGCTGGGTGAGATGGATTTGTGGGAGCAATCGGCATTGGAGTGTGAACCTGTTGAGCTGGTGGCTTCTGTATTCGCGGCGATCGATCTGCAAGACAGCGACACTCTGATCGGGCTGTTGTGTGGTAGTATCAAGCTGATGGCCAGCACACGCCATCAGCCGGACAACATTCTGCTGCTGTCACTACTGTACCTGGCTAAGCTGCGTCCCAATCTCTTCGCCAACGAGATTGTCACGTCAGCTCTGGTGGGTGTGCTGAAGCAGCAGCAGCTGCAGCAGCAACAGCTCCAGAGTCAGGGTCCCAGCTTCATGGAGCGCGCCCGGACGAGCAGCATCGTACAGGTGATGGTGACCAATCTGCTGATGCGCGGCTATCACGACAAGGCGCAGTGGCCGGACAGCTTCATGCATCTGTTCATGGAGGACGCCATCAACGAGAGGATTTGGGTGGACAATGACGATTGCATGTGTTTCGTGGAGAACATCTGTGCGCAGTTTGGCACAAAAGTGCCGCCCAAGAATATTCTGACGTCAGAAATCACCACACTAAATGTGCCCGGCAGTTCGGCTGTCAAGGAGACGCTGAATGTCGACGAGGAATCGTCGGAGTCTATGCAGAGCAATGACATGAGATCCGGCCTGGAGAGCATGAGTGATGTGGTGCGAAAGCCTAGATTCACTAACATTGCCAGCACGATTGAGAAGCTGGTGGTGGACACGGTGAAGGAGACGCTGAATCGGCGACAGTCGCCTGAATCCTCCACGAAGAACTTCCTGCGCTTCCTCGTGTCTGTGTGTGGCATTCCGGAGGTGCGATCGCAGGCCATCTCGCGCCTGGAGTTGTGGATTCACAGTGGGAAACTGCTGAAGCCGGCACAAGAGTTGCTGGCGTACATTTGCTTCAACATCAACGGGAAAATTACGAAAGATCACGAAGTGTTGACGAATCTCGTGAAGATACGCCTGAAGACCAAGCAGTCCATCAATGTGTATCTGCTGTGCATACGCGAGATGGTGAAGCAGCAGCCAGATCTGCTGGCCATTCTGCTGAAGCTCGTGGTGCAGAATGAGCTGTCCAATGCAAGGAATCCCAACAACATGGGCATGCTGGCGAGTCTGTTCCAGGAGAAGCCTAATGCCACGGCCAAGTGCTTGGCTGAAATTTATCAGGAGTTCCTGTTGCAGCGCGAAGACTACTTCCGCACGCTGCGCGTCTTCCTGCGCGAGCTGGTAAAGATTCTGCGCTACGATGTGAACTTGCAGGTGTTCACAAAGTCACTGCTCACATTTCGCGAGGACATTAACTATCAGTTGCGCCACTTTGAGTTCAAAGAGCGCGTGTTGCAGTCAATTGTGGACATCTCCTGTCTCTGCATCTTCCTCTCCGTCTCGCCGCAGATCCGAGAAGTAGTGGCTGCGCTGAGAATTGGCAAGGAGACACAATCAAACTTCAATCCCATCCTGAGTGGATTTTACGAGCACGTGGCGGTAATTCAGCTGGACACGCTGATTTGGATTCACGAAGTGGTGCCGGTGATCTTCAAGCCATCCTCCATTGAGTACACACAGATTCTGCACAAGATCCTCTTCCTGGACGCCCTGGAGCAGTACACGAAAAGTGATCAGTGGCCACCAGAGCCGGACAGAGCGTCTCTGCTGCGACTGGTATCGGAGATTCCAGTGCGCGAGGATGCATTGCTGAGAATCATCTATATTGGCGTGACCAAGGAGATTCCCTTCTCCGTGCCGGACACCATGGAGATCATTGAGCAAATCGTGAAGCGTGCAGCACTGTTCAGATTCACAGACTACGCCACACTAAGTGTGAACAAGCTGGAGATCATTGACTTCCTCTTCAGCATGGCGGAGTATCATCATCCGGACAATATCACGCTGCCGGCGGGCTATGAACCGCCCAAGTTGACCATCAGTGTGCTATTCTGGAAGGCCATAAACATCTTGCTGCTCCTCTCGGCGCACAATCCCGAGTCCATCGGCGCATTCTGTTGGGAACACTATCCACTGATGAGGACACTAATGGAGGTAAGAAGATCGCCAAACATTGAATCCTGCTTGAACTCATCACGCGTCTATCTTTTTTTTAGGTGTGCATCACGAATCAATTTGCCGAGCTGAAGAAGATTGAGGAGAATGCAAAGATTGCTGTGTCAGAGAAGTCACAGATTCTGGAGTTTGAGTCACATCTTGCCGCCGCCACGTCTAAAGTCATCATAACAGAGCAGAACAGTCTGCTGCTCTCTCAGCTGATGCTCATAGATCCGATGGGTGTGTCCAGGAAGCCGCCGAGTGTGGTTCTGGACCAGCTGAAGCAACTCAATGTCACGTACAAACTCGGGCATTTGCTGTGTCGCAGTCGCAAGCCGGACTTCCTACTGGACATCATCCAGCGACACGGCACGACACAATCCATGCCTTGGTTGGCGGATCTGGTGCAGAACAGCGAAGGGGAGTTCAGTCACTTGCCCGTGCAATGTCTCTGTGAATTTCTGCTCTCCAATTCGCAGATCAATTTGGAGAATTTACGTGATCTGGAGTTGGTGTCTTATCTGCAGAATCTCCTAAAAGTGATGAGCGAAGATTCGCCGATTCCGCTCGAAGTGCTGGAGTACTTCCTGCGCCGGCTCGCGTCGACCAGCAAGCAGAACCGCGAGATGTCCATTAGGGGCCTTAAACTCCTGCTGAAGATCTTCGACGATGACAATGCCACTCAATTTGCGCCCAAGGATGAGTTCAGCGATTGGTTGCTCAATCATCTGCCACAGATACCCAACTTCCTGCACGCACGCCAATCTATCATTGTCTTCCTGCGCGCGGCATGTCAAGTGGAGAACTGTCCGCGCTTGATAATGCTGTACATTCAGTTTATTGCCACTCACACACTCGAGGACTCGCTCACGGAGATGATCGAGAATATTGTGGACATGTCGCAACTGATCGTGGAGCGATCAACTGTGCTGTGTCACATCACACCACAGCAGGGCCAGGAGCGCGCACAGACGTTGAACTGTCTTTTCGTGATGTTCAGCACGTACTTCAAGCACCTGAAGGAGCAGAAGCAGACCATCAGCTGGCCAGAGTACCAAGATGTGATCATGGTGCGCTTCTACGATGGCGCAGAACTGCCTATTCATCTCAACATCCTCCATGCGCTTGTCATCCTGCTGACATTCTCAGGTATCTTATCTAAATTTTCAACTTGAGTACTTTATTGTTTCCCTGGTTACTTTTCTTCCTAATGTTTTTCCTTTGCTGAAATTGTACTGTGATCTGAAGATTCACTTTGTATTTCTTCCTCAGGAGCACAGCCAATCAACATGGATGAGATCATCGATTACTGGTTCCCCGTAAATAACTTCATCCCCACCGGCTGGCAAATTGAGACAATGGAAACTGTACAAATTCTGCCCGATTGGCTGAAATTGAAAATGATCAGGAGTTCAGTGGATCGTCTGGTGGACGCTGCTTTGCAGAACCTGACACCAGATCAAGTGCTGCTCTTTCTGCAGAGCTTCGGCACACCGATTCTGTCTATGTCGAAGTTGTTGGCACTGCTGGACAGGATAGTCATTGAGAAGAGTGACTTCGTGCAGTCGGCATCGCTGCATCGCACATACTTGGCGCAATTGATAGAAATTCAGCAGAGTAGAGGCGCCAAGAATGGTCACATTGCTGCACAGGCGTTGCAACTGGGTGCGCCGACGCTCAAGAAGTTACCGCCAAAGTCTAAGATTCCCATGCCGGACGCCACGACGCTTGGCATTGACTACAGACACACGCAATTCGATCTGGCGCGCATTCACAAGTCAGGCGAGATTGATGACATCGTGCGCCAAGTGATTATGAACAATGGAGGCCTGAGGAAGTTCAGGAAGCTGATGCAGCAGCTCATGAGTGGCGATTTGGCAGACAAAGTGTGGTTTAGTGTGGGAAAGATTGCGAAGAATGTTCAGTTGGAGCCACAGAGATGTGCTCATCTCTGTCTCATCTACAGAATTTTGCTGATGAATGAGGGAAAGAGTCACAAGATCACACAGGAAGTTCTCAGGGACAGTCTCAATCAAGTGCTGATGCATCATGAGCCGGAGTCGAAGAAGAAATTGAAGATGGAGAAGAAATCTGGTTAGTTATTCCTTATGTATTTCTGTGATAAATCTTCTAATGGACATTATTTCTTTGCAGATTCCGCTCTCATTACATTCGCGCAGTGTCAACAGGATGGAAATGTGATTAAGTCGTTGATCCGGAAGTTGCGCGAGGAGAAGAGTCGGACGGGAATTCTCGTGGACATGCTCGTTGACCTGGATTCTGAGCTCATCTCCAGTCACTTTGACACACAGATGGAACTTCTGTTCGGCACATCGGAGCACAAGTTCAGATTCTACTTGTTGAGTCTGCTGAGCCACCAGACCAACTGGCGCACGCTGCAGGATGTGCTGATGAAGCTCCTGGACGCGTACACAGAGGCAAATGATGCCGGAGCTGTGCTGAACTTCCTGTCCACCATCATGAACAATCCGAAGCTGTGGCAGGCGAGGGATAACAAGAACCATCGGGACACGGTGGAGAGGATCGTGGAGGTGGACAGTAAGCAGATCCGTGTGCTGGTGGAGTATGTAATCAAGGAGGGTGACACGAAGAAGCTCTGCTCGCGTGTCAATTTGCTGCTAAATTGTGTGCGTCCGGACAACATTCCGCACGTGATTGAGTATCTGCTGAGCGAGGAAAATGAGTCAGTGGTTAGGCGGCAATTTCTGCAGCAATTGTACCTCAAAGTGCCGTTCATCAAATTCCTGGCGGGCGAGGAGAAGCGCTTGCAGATGATTTTCAACAGCAATCTGCAAGAGTTTGGCGAGTGTTCGGCTGATTCCATCACACACTGCATTCTCACGTTCATCTCGAGTTTGTCGGGTGTGAAGGAGCGCCAGGAGGTGCAGGAGAACATTGAGTTGCTGGTGAGAAAGCTGGCAGCCGCGCATCCCACTATTGTCCTCAGGCAGTTGCCAGAGATTGCTGGGCTGCTGAAGGGACGCGCAGAGATGGATTCTTCGGTGTTCCGAGCGGAGAATCACATGATGGTCTTCAACTACTTCTTTGGCGTGCTTGAGCTCATGCAGCCGCACATCTTCGCGCGTGAACATCGCGTAGATCTCAACACAATCCTCACGAGTTATCTGCACACACTGAAGCAACATCATGCGCACAACAAGGAAGTGCTGTCACTCATCTATCGCTTTACGGAGTTCATCGAGGCGTACTTCAACACGAGCAACGGTCAGGCGTTTCAGTTCATCGAGACACACATGAGATTCTTCCAGGAGTTGGCGCAGAAGAACCGCAGCGTGCCCGGATTGGGACAACTGCTGCAGAATGTGTCGCTGCAGCAGCACCAGACGACGAAGGAGGGCGAGAGCGTGGTGGCATCTAGATCGGTGGATCTGGTGCTGAATCAGCCTTCATTCGGCATCTCGCATCACTGGACGAACATCATCAACCAGCGCTCAGACGATGAGACCGTCATTCCCACGCTCATGGAAATGAGCAGCTTGATGATGAAGTCCAGCACGGAGATGTCCGAGGCGTACTTCGAGAAGCTGCTCACGCTGCTGTTCTCACACCTCACGCCGCTGCGCGATACCGGCTACACCCTCCTCATTCGCTACTTGAGGGCCAATCCTGGCCACGCCAAGATTAACACGAGCGCCACGAATGCCTACTTCCGCTGCCTCACATCCGACGATCTGGCCGTCGTCTCGTCAGCGCTGGAAGTGCTCAGTGAGATGGTGACGTGTCTGCAGGAGTCGGCGAAGGACATTCTGCAGTGTGTCTTCGCCATCGGTGTGTCCTCGAAGTTCAACACCTACGCGCCGCTGAAGAGATGCGTCGGCGTGCTGAAGATGCAGCACGCGTGCTGAAACTCCTGGACTTTTGCATTTGTGTGCGAATAAAGAGAAGAGATGTGGAATTTCAAGCAATTCTTTGGTGATCTAAGACATTAATGATCTGTTGGAAAACGCTTTGAAGTGTTGAACAATCCATGCGATTTTCGTGGTTTATACAAAGAAAAAGCTATATTCTTCTGAAACAATCTTATATTTACTGATCCTGTCTTTCTTTACATGTTTGAGAACGGTATTAACAAAAGTGACTGCAACCAGAATTCGCGGTCGAATTGAGGGAGGTGAAATTTTAAACGACGAATTTGGTGAAAGGCGTGGGTGTGTAGCTGGGCTTGAAGACGGTAACTGAGGGCTTGACTGTGGGGAAGACGGGCGACTTGTATTTGAAGTCAGTCGGCTTGTACACCTTGCTCACGGGGACCACGGGCGACACTGTGCTGAACACGGGCGTGACGACGGGCTTAGCGGTCACGACTGGCACGACGGGCACCACGGGCTCGGTGTATTTGTACGTGGGATACTTGTCGTACTTGTACTTGTCCTCCACGGACGGGTGTGAGCGGATCCACTCGATGGCGCGGTACACGTACTCCGGCGTCTCGGGTACGTGACTGCCGGTGGCGACGTAGCCGGCGGCGTCAGCGCGGTAGGTGAATTCCACGGGCGTGCCGTCAGGCGCCACCCAGCGTGCAGTGCCCTCGGCCACTTCGCCGCCCACGCCAGACTCGTGCGCGCTGATGCCGGTGCCTGTGTCATAGGAGTAGGAGTAGGAGCCGTCAGGCTTGATCTCCTGCGACCTGTGCACCAGTTCGCCGGGATACACGGCGGCCGAGGCGACGGCGACGAGGGCGAGTGAAATCAACTGAAAGGAGACAAAACACTCACAATCTCTCACGCACAATCACGCACGGAGCGCTGATGGATAACTTACGAAAGTCTTCATTCTGGTTGCAAAGTGTTTCGGGCGATCCTACTAGCCAAACTGATTAAGTCTGGCGACTATCACTGGTCTTTTATATATGCCTTTCCGGGCGCGACCGGGAAGGATGGCGTGGCGGGAGGAACTTGATTTGTTGTCTCTAATCGTCTTCATTATAATATCATAGAACATAAATTCACAACTTGCTCCATCAAGTGTGGCTTACAATTTTTTGGGATGAATTTCGTCTGCCTTTTTTCGTCTCTTTAAGCTTTTTGGAGCTTTTGACGGGTTTGAATGAGGAGAGAATTCGGGGGAGGCTTTTAGCATAGCAATTGAGATCGCGCCGCGCTAAATTTTATACAGATTACAGCTTACTTTGAATATACAAAGGACTCAAAAGACAAAGTGACTATATTAACCAGAAGATGAGATGTGAATTTATTATAATACTCCTGCAAAAGCCACATTTATTTGCATATTTTCGTACAGAGATTGTACATTTACTTTTCAGTAATAAATTACCCTTATTGTAAAATAAAGTTCTTCTTATTAAAAAAAAAAAATCTTTGCGCAGGAGTCCAAGAATTCTAGCAGAATTTGAGATCATATTTTAGTATATTCCATTGAAATCGAAATATTGCCCTTCGTTCTATAATAAATCTTGGACTTGTTGCTCAATTTTCACAAAATTTAACGTCGCTTCCGAATATTTTCATAAATCTTTTTTTTTTCTTACTTCTCGTGCCTTTTTTCCCTAACTTTTGGACAAATACATTAGAGATTTCAGGTTTATTATGTGAATCTGCTCTGAAATAATAAAAGTCAGAAACTCCCGACGAATCAATTATGTGCCTGAGAAACCTGAATTTTGGGAGGATCCATTAGAAAATCATTTTCTGGAAGGCAAAAGACGAACATAGTGTTTTTTTTTCCTCCAGAGTTCATGGGCAGTTCAAGAGTATATTCGGTATTTTTTACAGCATGGCGAGGGAAAAAGAGAAAAAAGACACGTGTAAGATCTTTGGCAAAAATTGAATGAGTATTTTGTGTGTGTGTGTCACTTTCCTTTTCAAAAACGTCTTCCTTCCGCTGCTGTTGTGCTGTCAAGTGATTTGTCTCTGAGTCCGAGGTTCATTGCTCTCATTCGCTGTTGATTAGAATATAAGACAATATAAAGGGGAAATTAATTAGCCGTCTGCTGTGATAGAACGTGGATCATGGGATGGCATGAGAAGTTATTGAAAAGCCATAAAATTTACATTCACGCTGACCTTCATCAGAATTTAGTGATGAAATCCGTTTTCGATATTTGACCTTTTCACTTTCATGAGAACCATCGCGGGTGAAGAGGTGTGAAATTCGATACTGTGTGCTGATGCAAAAATTCTCAGAATTGGTGTACAACTAACCAGAAGTGCGCTTAAAGTGTTAGGCAGTGATAGTGGGAAAGGAAATGATGAACTTTTCTTTAAATGTCTCAATCTTTTTCACAGAATTTCTGCATTTTTCTAAATCTCTACTAAATTCTTCATAACACATTACGATTTTTAAGCATTCCTTTTTGAGTTCATAAAGTGAATGATAAGAACTTCTTTTACTTTTCTTCTTTTAATTTTCACTAAAAATCTCAGCTTTTCGTGAAATCACAAACAAATTGGCACAATATTGCCATAATGTATAATTGTTTGAATAGAAAATGTAAAGATTTTACTAGCTTTATCCTTTTCATATCTATTTCTGCACTTCTTAATGAATTTAGAAGAAGTAATCGACTATTCGTCGAAAGGTCAATATGCAGAAAGCGTTGGAGGTTTTGTGGGCAAAGAATGAAAGATTTTAGACACCCCTCGAATACATTGACAGAAAGAAAACGTGATTTTGGCACAGTTTTATTAGATCTCCTTCGGCGGATGCGCGCGAATGTAGTCGAGGCTTCGCTGGATGTAGTCCGGGATCTGCGGCACGTGTGATCCCTTCACTCTGTAGCCATCCTTGTCGGCTGTAAATTCGTAGAAGACGTGCGTGCCATCGTCAGCTACCCACTGGCCGTTGCCGGCCGCGAACTGGCCGCCCTGGCCGATCTCCTGGCCGGCGATGCCGTTGTCCGTCTCGTACGAGTACTTGTACTGGCCGCCGCTCATCTCCTGCGTCTGCTGCAGAATCGGCACCGGATGGCCGGCCAGAGCCACTCCCAGCAGCGTCACGAGCAGCAAGAGCTGGAATTTGGGGAGCAAAAAAGACACTCTTGCATAAGTATCTGTTGCTCGGGGACAACCGCTTCTGTCTTTTAGCACAAATGCAAATTGAAAAATATCATCGATATCATAATAATGGGTATTAAATGATCTCGAGGAGAATTCGCACAAAAAAAACACGAGAGAGTCGTCATCCTTTGAATAAAAATCTATGTTTGGGATTTATTGAGGAAATCGAGAAGATAAAATATGAATATTAGTGAACGGAGTTCTGAAAAATGCTTGCTTCCACTGAAAAATCTCACTGTTATAAGAGAAAACTACTAAAATTTGATACTAAATAGAACCTTGTAGATCCTAAAAGCGACTTTCATAATTGTGAAAGAATGCAGAATTAAAAATATCCAAAGTATTTCATAGTTTTATGATTTTAATGTTTTTGTGGGAGATTTTCCTGTATAAAAAAAAACGACAGAACACACTCAAAAAGATGCAATTTGAAGTAAAATTTTATAGGATTTACGACTGAAGAAATTAGGAATCTTTAATTAGTGTAAAAGAGCACAGAAAAAAGGGAAAATGCACTTGTTGCAGCACTCGACAAAAATCCTTCTCACAATTTCTCCAAGTAATATTTTACAATATTTTGATAAGTAATGAATAATTTCTGTTTTTTATTCTGTCTTCTTTGTGTATTTACACATATAATTATATAGTATTTTCCTCCTCAAGTAGTCAACGATGAGAAAGCCTCCACAATAGAAACACACAATTTTCTAATGTTCTTCCTAATAATTGCCACTATAAAATTATTACCATATTCTGTGATCTACGCACTAAAGTCCAAAACTGAGAACTGAGCGAAATGCGCGATGCGTCGGTACATTTTATACAGAAGATATTATCTAATGCAACTTCAACTTCACATAATTATGCTAATTTTTCGTCTCTTTGTGGGTCTTGCAAAGGTGCGTCTCGTTCGTTTGGAACCTTGTCAATTTATTAATGGTGATTGAATAAAGCGAAAAAGACGTCTTCGCGCGCGCACACATTGAGAAAGACCATCTTCGATTACAGAGAGAGATGATCATTTGAAAGTTAAAGGCAAAAAGATATGCATTTGCAGAGCTTATTATTATTATTGAGGTTGAGTAGTTTGTAATAAAAATTCAAATGGTTTTCTTCGCCGCGCGCGCCAATCATTGTCAATTGGCATTCAATCTTGGCGCCAACATCGCCTCCAATTGGTCAGACAGCTTCTTCTGCTCCTCCGTCAGACGAAAGATTTCATCACGCTCCTGCTTTGTGAGTTCTCGGCGCTTCTGTTTCGCCGCAACGACCTTTTTGTACGTTTCAATTATCTGAGGAGAGCAAGAAAACATTAAGACACCCCAAGGAAAATGGAAATCAATGGATTTTACACACCTCTTGGTCCACAGAGTCCAGCTTCCTCTTCAGCTCCAGACGTCGCATCTCATCTTTGGCCAGAGTGTACAACTTCTTCAGCTCATTACTGTTGTACTCCGCAATGGCAGACAATTCCGTGCGCACTCGCTTTATCTCAGACAGAATCTCGTCGTCGCGCGAAAAGTCGTCCGGATCGAGAATTCCCTGCTCAATTAACTCCTTCCGTACGCGCCTCTCGATGCAGATGCCATTCTTCAGTGGCGGCAAAGAGCTACGATTGCTGGCAAAGTCCGAGGATGTGTTGTCAGAACCACTGTTGCTGTTCTCCGCGCTCGTAGTCACATTGTCCGGTATGAGATTCTCCTCCATGAGCGCAGACACGAGCCTTTGAGTCAGCGGCCCCGTGACATTGTCGCCCCTGCAAGAGAACGGTAAATGTGAGCTCGAGTAACTATTTGCTTAAACTCTCACTGGAGGATTGCTTACATGGGCCTCTCGTTCTTTCGCACGATTCCGGGCGCGAGTCTGGACTTGTTCTTGTTGAAGTGCTCATCCTTGAGGTCGTCGATTGACCACTGCTCCGTGAAGTGCGGCCCGAGCTCCGGGATGGGCGGGATGAGGTTGTCTGAGTACTCTTCGATGAGATCGTCCAGCAGCCGGATGTCCTCGTGCGTGAGCGGCATGCAGTACGGCTCCACGGAGAGCCAGAACTTGTTGGGTGTGTCGTTGCGCGGCAACGTGAGCTTTGGATTGTCCTTCTGGTACGACATGCCATCCATGCTGTCGTCCGTGTGCTGGGATGGCGCCGGTGAGTTCTGTGGCTTCAGCTTCGAGATCATCTTCGTCTGGCCGCCAAACATCTTCGCCTGGCCATCGCGTTTGGACTTGTCGTCGAACTTCTTGCGCTTACCCGGTGACGCCGGTGCCTTGTCCATGAACTTGCCCTTCTTGCGCTCCTCCGCCTTATCCAGCGTCTCGTACTCAGCCTTCAGGTGACGATAGCGCAGGGCGACAGTGGACAGGAGATTCTCCAACTCCAGTTGCACACTGTCCAGATCCTCAGTGGGCAGATATGAGTCTTGCGGTCGCGCTAAAGCTGCGTGCAGTTTCGGCAGTATCTTGCTGTTGTCCTGTGTCTTGAGATGGGGCAATAAACATCCGGATTCCGGGGATGGAACAGAAATTGACTTTCCACATAGAGTTCGCCCTTTCGATGTAGACGCTCCGTTTTTCCCTAGCATTTCTCTTCCACAGGGACTTGTTGTGGGGGAAGATGGATTTGTGTGTTCAGTTGGAGTGTTTTTTATAAAAGGAAAATAGATAATTTGACAATAAAAACACAAAATTTCCACTCAACAACGCGCTGTCAAACCATATAAACATTCACATTGTGAGGTTAGGAGCGATTTGTTTAGAAAATCGGACCGATATATATATCGATATTGCAAATATCGCAACGGAAATATCTTTTGCCTTCTGTAAGTGCATAAAATGCTGATGAAATGCTTGTAAATTTCTTATGTAGACATTGAAAGAAAATCAATTACTTTTCTGCTACACGCTTCTAGCCTTTGCAAGCCGTGAAGACCTCATAGTTTTTCCCGCTTTTCCATTGAGGCTTTCTGCAAGAGAAGACTTACAGGGTCGAACTTCCAGAGGGCTCTGGGGTGCGCGAGTGGGCGTTTAAATGTCAGGAGAGAGTCTAGAATTTTGAGTGGAGGAAAAGTGTTCTGCTTCAATATCCGGAAAATTCATCACAAAACCCTTCTTCTTGTGTGTTGAATCCATTAAAAAACTGTGCCAAGTGGAGAGTGCAAGACAAGCAAGTTCCAGGTGAGTTGAGAAAACGTTGCAGGATATGTGAAAAGATTGTGAGAAAATGCTACTGGATAGAAAGTACAATATTGATTTTTCCTTTGCCATCATCCATAGTGCTTTTTTATGAGGAAAATTATTAGGAATGTTCATCACGTTTAGCCAAAGGAAAAAGAGGATGTCCAGGGCATAATTACTTCTATCGATTAGTCAATAAATTAAGAGAATCACGGCAGAGAGCTGCAAACATTTTTCCCGAGCGCCTAAACGCAGGGACACTCGCTCTCGTGGATGGAAGGGCGAAAGCTCTTTGCAGTATGCTCGAGGAGAATTTTGTGAATATTCACTGACATTCATTGTCATCAAATATTCATAGATGATCCAGTTATTAAAACACTTTGTTTGCAAAAATCTCATAATTTATTATGAATATAGGAAAGAGTGGGGCAGTTTTAGGTCAGGAAGAAAAATAAGCGATTAAAAGGAATCTAACAGTTTAATCCAAATACCTAATTATCAGCTACAAATAAGGAAGACCGAGTAAACACTTCATAGAATAGTAAAAAAAAAAGTTCTTACAAACGTAATGAAATAGAAGAGAGATCTAAAATCAATGCGTTTCGATTCATTTTGTATGCTTCTAATTTAGCTCAAATATTTTATTGAAAAATATCCTTATAAATTCTAAAAGATTTTTTAAAATACGACCTTTAAATTTTGATTTAAAATATTAATTTCTGAATTCGTTTCTGGTTTATTTTTTAAAAGAGATTGAATTTGTTGCATAACGCAGTTCATTTCTAAGCTCTTCGGTGCTTTGAACGAGAGTTTCGCATGCGATAAACTGTGCAGACAATGTGGCACATTGACGTTGGCAAGAGGATTGCAGGCCAAGCGAATTGGTTCCTTTTTTCACATTTGAACTGCAATAAATGGTAAAACAGACAATTTGTCTGTTATTATACCGACTTATTTAGCTCAACACGTTCCTCACTGGACTATCACTGCGCGGACGCTGTAATACTTGTACGCGCGACACCGCGAAAAGTCCTCTCTGGAGGGGCGAAAGAGACAGATTGACGTGCTTTATTCTATGTAGCGGAGGTAAAAATCTTCTGGGGCTGTTCTTGAGGTGCGATGAGACAGATGTTCTGGCGTGTATCTCTCTTTCTGCGGCAGAACAACCCCCGCCAGCGTATGTGTACATGAATAAGTGAGCGAGAGGGTTGCAAATCAATAAATTGACGCCGCCTTTTTTGTTTAACAGTGGCGTATTGAGAACAGAATTCACACTATATTCACTATATAATATCAAAGGTTTTGCAGCATGGATTAGTCATCACAGAGTGATTTAGTTTAGTGACAGAAACTTGGGTATTTAGTCAGTTGCATGGGTTAAATTTCTACTGAAAAAAATATGACTTAAATTGTTATTTTATAGTACAATGAAAATGCTATGCTAATAAGTTGTGCTGTTAGAACTAATCCAATGAATGGAGGGACAATTAAATTGGCTTCACCTTTCGCTTGAACTGCAATTATGCCGAGGTAGATAATGTGCTGTGGAGTTTCCTATGTATGCACATGCAGGAGTATGTAAAGGATTTACTTCGAATGCAATTACGTGTTTTTCCCTGTGACGTCATATCTGAACATGGAGTTTTCTCCCTCTCTAGTCGAGACGGCGCGATGTAGATAGTGTTTTCCTTGTCTGCGGCATTGGTTCTCACTATGTGTGGGGAAAAGTGCTCCAGTGAGAACGGAGTTGATTCCAAAATGTCTCTGGCTATTGAATCGCATAGAACATCCTTTTTCCTTAAGGTGTGTTCCTCTTTTTTGTAAATTTCCCTTCTTTCCCAATTGAAAGTGATTCTATTGATAGGCAATGAGTGTAATTTGTTAATTGAGAAGTGAAATGTAGTTGAGTTGTACAGTTTTATAGAAGAGAAAAGTGAGAGAATTGGGTGGAAATTTCGATAGGCGGAGTGACTTTTTTTTCTAATCGCATGAATCATTGATGGATTTTTTGTAGAATAGCACACTTCTACAAGGAAGCAGAGGTGTTTTTTTATCACAAGAACTTGATATACATTGACGTGAGGGAAGAGAGAGAAACTCTTTGGTTATTGAAGGGTTTTAGCATTGAAATATATCCTTCATCAAGGACAAGTTATTTTTTTGCGTGGTAAAATAATTTTCATAAATACGTAAAACACGGAGAAATTGACATTTGTGGCAGAAAATAAAGGGAAAATGTGTGAGTACACTTAAGTTTATATGGCATTGATTAAATATTTTAGCAGTTAACAAGAGTTACAAAATATCGTACAACGAAAAGATGGTACAACTGTGGATGAATATCGATTTTGTGTGGTTTCCTTCATGTTTCATATGTGCGACGTATAAAAAAAATCACTAAGCTGCTCACTGTGTTATATACACGCGAGTATACATATGGGAAACACTTGTAAATACAAAGGGAGTGAACATATAAGTAAGATTTTATTTATTGACTGTGGCTCTCGAAGGCGGTTTTATGCACAAAATTGAGTGGTAAATTGAGTCTTTTGCTGGTTAGAACTTAACTGGACGATTTAAGAGGCCATAATTTGAGAACTTTAATTGACAAAATTATAATCCAACAATTTGCAACACGCTTCACATTTTAATGCTCCCCCAAAAACACGATTAGGCGTTCTTCAAATCCAATTTCGACCCTTCGTGCCTGAATTTAACATGGTGCAAATCTTTATTACTTTTATTGAGGGATAGAAATGGATTTTAATTAATTGAAAAGAATATCTCTACACCGCCTTTATTACATTGTTACGCAGACGCCCCATATTCACCGCACTGCTCTTCATTTGCTAATATTAGGCATTTAGAGGGATGTCTGGTTCTTCCGTCTGAAGGAAATACGGTTATGTGGATAATTTGGTGTTTCCCCGCACTGTTTTACATTGTGTTACATTGTGGTGTAAGAGGGTGATTGAGGGATATTAGGGAGTTCAGCAGAGGCAAGCTGGAATTGCCGAATTGAAGTGTCTACATGAACATTGCCCACTTTTTCTCCCCTTTCCGCACGAGGCACTTTATCTGTGCTCTCGGACTCAATTGTGCTATGTTTATGAAGGTGTTGCAAATTGGGCAGAACCTATAAGATAATGTGTCTTTTTATCCATTGATAAATAAACCTTTAACCTTCTATTCCCTATTTTAATCGACTTCTTGCGCCCTATTTAGACACAATCAAGGGTTTGAAAGTTTAATGAACTTATTGATTTGTATTGTAGTTAATGGGAAGACTGTTTTTCTTGTGTATTCAAATTGTAAATGTACAGAAAAAGATTTGAAAGCTTCTTTTCAGCTTTAAACATATGTAGTAAAAGTGTAGAGGAAAAAAAAGAATAGAGATAAACAGTGAAGGAGAGTTACGAGTAATATTGTATTACGTTTCACTCCAAATCGAAAGTGAGTGGAAGCGGCAGTCAGTAGAAATTACGGAGACGAATGACTCATAGAAATGCCCCCATTCCATTTCATCCCCCATTTTACAACTTGGCTCATGATGTGTGCTGAATATTTTAATAGACGAATGCATTTTGCTAAAAATAGAAATTATGTGGCAAAAAAGTTGGAGGAGTGCAATTAATATTGTCACTCTTGTTTCAGGTAGGACGTGGCTTGGATTTTGAATGTTGTCAGGTGAAATACTGAGTCAATCACCATTGAGCGTGGCTCTGTTGCCGCCACCCTCATTGATAAAAGTCTGCAAAGCTATGGCGACAATCGCCTCTCTGGCAAATCAACAGAACATTGACGATGATGACATCTATTTGGGTAAGTTTGGTGTGTATATATAAATTGTGCAAGTTTGATTGTGACAAATTGTGTGTGTCAATTTTGCAATCTATAAATAGAGAATGGATTATTGAGCTATGAAAATCCGAATTATCACATGGATCCACAGCGCTTAGAGCGAAACTCGCATCTGTATGAGGAGATATTGTCTGAATTGCAGCAACAAAACACACTGAAAGGATCAAATTGTATGGTGAATCGGAAAGATTACAGTCGAATGGATTTGGGATCTCTTGGAATCGATATGAAGGATAATTTTGTGTGAGTATTTTGGTTGAAGAGATAAAACAATGTATTGTCTTGTGTGGATGTGTTTTAATGCAAATATTTTATATTATCAGATCATCAGATAAGAAAGGATTGATAGACTCTTCGCTGTCAGAGGCGAAGCACAAGTCGGATCAAGTGCAGGAGAAGGATGAAGGAAGGTTGATGAAAGAGCAGGGAAATAATGTTGATGCTGATAATACAATTAGGCACATCTCTGGCAACATGAATTCTAATGATTTGTACGCTCTGCCAAATAAGAGGAAAGAAAGCCTTCACGACGAAGCGGCGAAGGCGGTTGAGGAGGTGGCAGAAGATGAGGAGGAGGAAGTGGAGAAGGGCCGCAAGGAGGAGGTCGAAGGAATCGAAGATAAGGATGCCAACAAAGATTTACCACCTGGATGGGAGAAGCACGAAGGTAAGGTTGAATTTATAGTCTCCTGCATAGTGTGTGAATATATGAGAGATTGTCTCTGGCAGATAACGATGGACCATATTATTGGCACATAAAGTCAGGAACAATTCAGCGAGAGCCGCCAGTTTGGCCGAAGGATCCACCAAGGGAGTTGAAAACACCAATTCTGTCCACAAATCCGCAACAATTCCTATCATTTGCTAAGAGCCCAAACAACAATTACTCATTTTCCTCCGCCATGACAAGTTTCTACAACAATAAGGATGGCTTGGGAAATCGAATACAGGTAAATTGCTAATGTGTAATTGCAGAAGAATATTCTACATTTGCTGCTTTTTTTATGTGCTAATTGTAGGAAAGTCAGAGTTTATCTGTAACGAGAAGCAATACCAGTTCGGCGCTCGATCAAGAGGAGGAGCGCAAACGCAAAGAGGATCTTGCATTCAAGTAAGTCATCATGGTTAAACTGAATTAATTTCCTTGCTTAATTTGTCATCGATACAATTATCCGTGCAGGCGGCGAAGTTATCCACTCAAGTCCGAGTCAGATAGACCCATTCGCTTTGCCGTGCGATCGCTTGGCTGGGTGGAGATTGCCGAGGAGGACTTGACACCGGAACGCTCCTCCAAGGCTGTAAATAAGTGTATTGTGGATCTGTCTCTGGGCCGGAATGACTTGCTGGACGTCGTTGGACGCTGGGGCGACGTGAGTGGCTTTCATGAGGTCATGCGATACAAATTTATGACATGCTTGTTTGTCCTTTGCAGGGCAAGGATTTATTTATGGATCTAGACGAAGGTGCTTTAAAACTAATAGACCCGGAAAACTTGACAATACTCAACACGCAACCAATACACACTATTCGAGTTTGGGGTGTTGGCAGAGATAATGGAAGGTAAGATCTTCATGAGTGAATTTATATTGAATAGAAGAATGTACAATCTTGTAATATTGTACTGTTGTTCTCTTTCCAAAAATTTTTCAATATTTATAATATCCTCATGTTAGAGAGAGGTGAGTGAAGCCATTCAGCAATATTCAGTGTTGTAAATTTGATTTGTGGCATGTTTTCTGTGTTGAAGAGTGATTTAATGATTTTTCTATCTACTTTCAGGGATTTCGCTTATGTTGCCAGAGATCGATTGACCAGAATACACATGTGTCACGTCTTTCGCTGTGACACCGCCGCCAGAACCATAGCCAACACGTTGAGGTACAGTTGCTTATAATAACTTTCTTTTAAATTTACGAAAAGTAGATATTTATTAAAGGAAATTAACCTGACCACCTGTGACAATTTCACAGGATTTGATTTGAAAAATTCATTTCTATTTAACACATGACTTTTTCTATGTCACTTGCAGAGACATTTGCAAGCGGATCATGATAGAACGCTCTCTGCAATTGGACGCTAGTGGTACAAACTCGAATGGTGCTCGATCTGCAATACGTCCCACTGATTTACCAACAGAGAATCGTCGCTGGGTGCGACACAGTGAGTGACACAATAGAATTTTTTTTACTCATGATGCAATTGGTAATTGTACTTTCTGTGTGTTGCTTTTCAGCTCAATCTTTCCCAACGCCGATGGAGGAGCCAAAGAAGGTGCTGAAGGCACAGTACTTGGGATCACAAGAAGTCAATCAAGCCACTGGAATGGACGTTCTAAATACTGCCATCCAAACTATATTGCAACAAGGAAATCCGGACTCATTTGAGAATGTGAATGTTTCAGTCGCGCCGAGTATGATAAGTGTTCATTCCGCCGGGGTAAGATTTGTCGCTGTTTTGTGGTGAAAAGAGAGTGTAATAATCCTCTTTCCTGTTTGCAGGATGACTCTCGGTTGCTGGTCGAATGCCGCGTGAGGTATTTAAGCTTTCTGGGAATTGGCAAGAATGTGAAGAATTGTGCATTCATAATGCACACTGCGCAGGATAAATTCATCGTTCATGTCTTTCAATGTGAGCCCTCAAGTGGGGCTCTTTGTAAGACAATCGAAGCGGCGTGCAAGGTAATGAAATAGTGTCAATTGCAGTTTCGCTATAGTACTAAATACTTTCTCTCTCTCTTTCTGTGTTGGATTTTCTGTGCAGTTGCGGTACCAAAAATGTCTCGATGCTCATCCGGAGAGTCGCATGCTAGCTGACACGCAGACACCGAGTAAAGGTTTAGGTGCGACGATAAAAAACTTGATGAATACTTTTTCACTTAAGAAGGACAAGGCTAGTTCCTGAGAAAGAGCTCAATCTCTGCAGGTAGACTAGCTTGTCACATTATCTCTTAAAGAAGAATGATTAAAAGAAATTAGAGGCGCATTTTTGCATAATATTTTCACCTCAAAAAAAAAGAAATGAGAGAAAAGAAGTATGAAAATGTAGCAGCTTTGACAAAAAAAAGAAAAAATTAAGAACACGATAAATTATGACCTTTGCAAGAAGTTATTCGTTTTCTTAATGCTATTTCGTGTGTAAACGCGCTTTCTCTTAATCTTTATAAATGTGCTGACTTAAATTGCGTTGATAAATTATGCAAAAGTTGATATAGAAGAGATGAGCAAGTTTTTGAAGGATTGCAAGTATCGAGAAATACTATATCTTTCTTCGTTCCACGCAATTGTTTCAGGAAATCTGGCCACTTTCTATGGGAACAGAACGTGAAGTAATACCACACAGACACCTGCAGTCACCATTAATTAGTAAGAAGAACTTTGACTATCCTCACAGTCCGTAACAATTGCCTTCTTCTGTTTTTTGGAAAATTTACGATTCTGGCGCAAAACTGCAAATTTTCCTACTTTTTTAAATTGATATGTGTAATATTGAATGCTGAGGAAACTATAATGTGAACTAGTGCAATTTGAGGTAACTTTCTGGTAAGACAACTCAGTCAAAATGAGAAATGATTTACATGGAATTTATAGATTTGTATTTTATTGCATTTGAAGAAGGATTTATCTTCAGTGTGTCAAGATAACATGACAAGAAATAGACTTGGTTAAATTCTTTTTGTAAACAGTATAAATTGTAGTTTTAGGTGATATTGAGCTATGCAAACAACACGCGTATCTTTATAAAATTAGAGTGTGTTGTCTGTTTAAGTTGTATTTTCTGTCAAAAAAGTAAATTGAATTAGTAGAAAATTAAGTTTGGTTAGTTGGAAATGCAAAATGACAGATTTCTCGAAGAGATTAATGCTTGAATGGGCGGAGCTTTCAAATGGGCGTGTCTGTATTCTCTCAAGAAACCATGACATATTGGTTGTTTTTAATTCCTATTTCTAATCAAGCTTTTTTTCTGTTAATCACGAACTTTAGACACATATAAAGTGACTCTCATTTACACATAAAAAAATGAGTTGAATTTGTGTTAATGACGTTGTTTACATCCACAAGAATTCACAATAAAATCCATGAAGAAAAGTAAAATCCATACAATGCATAACACGAAAATACCACAGCTTGGCAGAGCACATCTCAATAACAATATAGACAAGGAGGAAAATGAGCAAATTGACGTGCATATGAAAAAAATAACATTACATATCTATACTGAGGATATTAAAGACAAAGTCCTTGTTTAGTGAACTTCCAAAAGAAGGGGGAAAAATTGCTAGTCATTTTATTGTTCATTTAGAAAGATAAAAAAAATCGATATAATTTTTCTTTGCAACCGCAATAAGACTTGATACATTAGAACCGAATAATATAAAGCAGAATTTAAAGAGGAAAAAAATATAGACAAAACTAAAATGGCAACAACTCACATTATTTTCGAAAATGTATCATGACTCGTAGATGTTAAAGAGGGATACAAAAAAAATATTTAAGGAAATATTTATATATATAAAATGTTAGGCTTTTGCGGTGTTAACAATCCTATTTAAAGAAAAAAAAAACATATATACATATACATATATTTACATCAAACTGAATTGGTATCGCCCTTAATTAGTTTCGGTCTATAATCTCTCATTGGAACATGATTTTGGAAGTAATTATATATTGAAGAAAATTGCATAAAGTATATTTGAAATTGTGGTTATTGAAAAAAAAACATAGAAAAACAAAAAGAAACGCCAAAAATGTTGCTATGGAAAAGCGAAATTTGCACAGGCTGTCCAATTATTATAACGTGAATTAATATTGCAAAAGATAAAAAAAAAATTGAACTTGAGAAAAATAATTGATGCTAAACTGCAGCAAGAATGTAAAAGTCAAAAAATGTGCTCCACTAGTATTTGTGTACCTCGGCTAGCAATTTGTAAAAAAAAGAACATTGAAAAATTATCTAGTATTAAAATGTAAATAATTTCTTGCCTTTGTGAACAAAAAGAGAAAAAAAAGAAAGATATGGAACTAAATAGAGGAAAAAGAAAATACAAGATGGAGAAGAGAAAATAAAACATTTTCCGCATGAAAAGATGGGGAGAAAAATGGAGAATGTGAGAAAAGGGTTTTAATAAGATTAAACACAGATTGGTATTTTACTAAACTATATTAGACGAAAGGAAATGAAGAAGAGGAAGATGAAAAACAGAAATTTTAAAAGAAATGAGGAAGTATTTAAACAATGTAGGAGCTTTTCGTGACGTAATATTGAATTGAATGACAAAATGATGAAAACAAGCTGTACAATCGAGGATAAAAGTTATTTATACACTTACATAGGATATTGTTTTTCAGTAAAATCGTATGCGTACTTAGTCGTTGATTTTAGTTCAGTGTTTGAATAACGATTTTACTCATAATTTATTGAGCAGAAAAATAATTCTCAATTGAATTTTTAACTTACTTTAAGATTATAGAAGAACCTCTTAAACAAACGTCTTAATACTCAGTTATACAACATGTAGTAATTTTCCTTTAAGAATAACAAGCTTTATTTTAAACATAATAGATATATTCATACATTTCCATAAGAGCGATTTAAAAGTATGTTGTTTTTCAGTTTCTCTACTTCTTACATTCATAAGCAAGCTTAATTATTCTGATATTTGTCTACCAAAATTTAGGAAGGACACGATAAATTCTTAATTGGCAAGATTTTTCTAACTGTTATTGTAACAAAAAAAAAAATTAGAAGACAAAGTAACACTTAAGAATCTTGCAAGGTGGAAAACAAAAAAAAATGTAAAATTACTGCTTGCTTTGCACTTGTGCACAATGCGTAAAGAAAAAAAACTTAAAGAAGAAAGAATAGATATATACAATAAGTAAGAATTGAGAATAGACGATTTTGGGTATTCTGTTGTGTTTGTCATGAAAATTTTAATGTGATTTGTTTTGTTCATCAAATCGAATCAAGGATTTTTCTATTCAACTCAAGGAAAAAATTCTACTTGTAATTTTATGTTCGATCATGATTGACAATGGGAAACCAATACATATTTGTATCAGAGATATTATTTGAAAGAAAAAAAAACAGATTGCTACAAAAATAAATGACTGCATTGCTTTTACCCACTAGTTTTAATACAAATATCTGATTTCTCAATTTGGCAAATTTGGAGAATTTTCTTCTAATTTCCTGTCTTCAAGTCTCAAGAAATCAATTCTTAAAGTAAGTTTAAATCTCGGTTCCAATTGTCTGAAGTTTTGACTATCTTTTTAGTCGTTCGAGCAATCCGAGTTGATGTTCAACACTTGAGCAATGAAAGGCCCCTTAGTTTTTTAAATCCCTTCCGCGAATTGGAGAACTTCGCTGAGATGGTTGGTAAGTGGTCATGTTCTCTGGCTGCGCCGAAGACGGCCGAAGTGGCGTGGAGAGTGTGTGCGAGTGTCACAGCGGCCGCGAGAGAGATGCGATGCGGCGGAGAGCGAGAGAGCGCTGGGAGCACAGGTTCGGATGTGTTGGGCGTTCGGCGGAGCACCATAAAGTAGTGAACCCGATTGGAGGGCAGACGCAAGACGCAGCCAGCTGCAAAATTCAGTCTTCTCAGTTCTTTTTGCTCTTGGTGAATTGATGTGATCTTTTTCTTCTCGTTTGTTTAATTCTAAAAGAATTGTGTGACATTAGGCTGATTTTATTATCAAAATACAGTGTTCTGTATTGTTTGTTGAAGTAAAATTTGTCAAATTGCCGAAGAAAGCGCAGCCCACGGAAGCACACAACACACACGGCAAATTGAGTGACTTGGAACAGTGAGATTCTCCATCGTCTTGGATGCATATGGCAGTCTATCGCAAGAAGACATCCCGGTGACCTCTCTCTCTCTCTCACTCTCTGGTGAATATTCCCACTTTGACTCATGTGTGCGCGATTCTGTGGCACAGAAAAAGTTGAAATCAATTTCTGAATGCCCGATGACTAAATCTTGTGTCCACACGAACACAAAGGCAGTGCAATCCCAGTGCATTGGCACACCATTCTCGCTCTCCCCCTCCGGAAGTGCAGCGAAAATGGAGGGCCATCCAGTGATTGCACGGTGTTGCTCGAGTTAAAGACGTGACGATGGGAGAATCGCCTGTTTTTTTTTTCTTCTTCTTCTGCTGCTGCGATCCGGAAGATGAACAGTATGGGTATTCTTATGCGTGAAACAGACCAAGGAATTACACTTTGAAATGAATTAACGCGCGCGAATATCTTGAATGCATTCAACAGAATCCAGCCTTTGTGGGATAAAGTGGAAGAGCATTTTGCTGTAGCGGAAATTCCGCTTCATCTTCTTTTGTGATTTTTGGCCATTGCGAACTTAAAGTAAACTCTCATTTCAAAAACACCACACAAGTGGTGGTCAGTGGAATGGGTCATGATAATGAAAGCCACTTTTTAGGCCTTTCTTCACGGACTTCTGTTCAATCTTGGTTTCATAGTCAATGTTGAAGAAGCGAAACTTCAGTTTGAAATTAATCCTCGATTATTGTGCTGAGTTATAGTGCTGAGTAGAAAATACTTTATTGTTGGGAAATGTTGTGCAAATTTAAATAAACATCTCAAAAACTCGTTAAAAATAATCTAAGCATCGTTTATACAATAAAACGTACATATTTTCTAAACGTAGATATTTTCTGCGCTGGAAAATCGAAGATTCTTTATAATTGGAAGCTAAAGGATGCGAATTATTGAGTTGAGTGGAGAAAAATCACTTGTCACATCCGTCACTTGACGATAATGTCTCGATTCTGACTCACAATGTAGTTGAGCCAACATTCTAATTCAATTAACGTCGTTGAAAAATGTGTTGGTAATTGGTTTGGGCACTTTAATTACTCGAAGTAGAAAGCTAAAAGTCATCAGTGTGCGGGTGTTGAATTTCTTCTCGAAATTCAGACCATTTGATTTCAATTTGCTGAATTTTCAGCAATTTTTCTCCTCAACACAAACGTGGCAAAACTATGTCTTCTTTCTCTCTCCAACCTTGGACAATTTTGGAGGAAATAAAAGAAATATATGTAAAGATTGCTCGATAGCAAGGTCAATGAAGCTTCATCAAAATGGCAATGATGAAAAACAGAGATTTGGAGTTCAGCGATGCAATCAGAAAAGGCAAATGTTGAGCAAACCCGTTATTCAAATGATGATTGTCTTAAGCAAATATTTTGCGTATAATCAAAATGAAGAAAAATGTACACAAAGCTCAATGGAGTGGTGAATGGAAATTTGAGGCAGAAATGTCTTTATATATCCTTGCCTTTCGGGACGAAATATGCTGAAGCGCGTTTCTTTTTATGAGCTGCCATAGCGATGGAATGTCTCGTGAAGACATGCATTATGCTTCATTGGATGTAACGAAATAATGTGAATACTGGTCTAAAATTAGAAAATAGACTCACAATCTGAGGGAAATATAGACTTCACTCTGAAGAGATCTTCTCACATTTTTGTCACATCAGAATTTTCTGCTCCTTTCAGATTGTCTGTGGTGCAAAGTAAGAAGTCTCAAGTGTCTTCTCCATCATTGAATGCGAGGATGATTGCGTCTCTCCCATGAGATTCCGCACCCGTGAATCCATATCTTCAGTTGCATTCTAATGATGGAATTGATTAGATTCTGTGCTATTTGGTGAGTGTGTGGATTCGTTCGTGATGATCCAGTGCAGTTTCTTTTCTCGGCATCTCACAGTGGAGGAGAGAAAAAAGTACTGACAATCAGTGTTTCGTATGAAAGAAGGCACGAGTATTTTAGCATTAAATGGCGAATTGCGCTATTTGGTTCCACATGAGATGATGCTGCTCTACTCCGCTGGACGGTTATAGAGCACCCGCGAGTGTTTTTCCAACATTAATTCATTTCTCTGTGTTATTATTATTATACCAGTATTATAATTTAAAGCATAAAAGCAAAGAAATAGTCGGTATTTCGAAGGTGTTTGTGCTCACTGGTTAGCAAAGTGAAATTATAAATATTTGAGTGCTTCGTGTGGTTAAAAAAGAGAGAAAGATGAATTTTTTTTATTAAAAGAAGATGTGAAATACTGTTAGTTCAACGTTACTGGAGGATAAAAAGTGCGGCGAAGGGAGAGAGAAGAAAGAAGAAGAAGAAAAAAAGAGTTTGTAAAGTGTCTGGTTAACACAAAAATCACTCAAGTGGATTCAACAATCGATAGAGAGAAAACGAATCGCACGGATTTTACACACATCATCAAGGATAATTAACTCTCATCTTTCTCTTTTGTCCACTGGATGTGATATTGACGGATTTTTTCCACCAAATTCTGCTCAAGGTAAGATTTTTTTTCTGTCACATTCACCTTTATCATTGATCCATTCGATTCATTGATGTAATGATGCGAAATTGAGGAAAAAACCATACTGTCTGTCGTCACTTTATGTAATTCTTTTTATGCAAGATGAAATTTTATGATTATTCTTTGTTCAGCTTCTTTGCAAAAGCACCGGAAAGGTCGCATTTCTGCAGTAGCGTAGTAAAACCGAGAATTAACAAAATTTTATGGAAAATAACATAAAAATACGTGTTTTAAAATAGAATTGAATCTTATTGCAACAACTAAAGATTCGTAAAATAAAGTCTTATGACATTCTGAAGGAATATTGTACGACATTCCTTCAGAAATCTGCAGATTTGCCTGAGATGGTGTCAGTATCATTTCCAAGAACAATTTATAAATAAATTAAATGTATACAAACATTTTTCAATGAAATCATTCTGGGAAATGTTTGATATTTGTGTCCTTTGACAATATGAGATTTTCGTATGAGATACCGATGGATTCTTAACAGAGAACTACTATTTTGAGTTATTGTGGTGCAAAACAACACTTATTATGGAAATATTATGTTAAATGATCGCTACTTCACTGCCTTTTATGCTGTCTTTAATTGACCTTTCGATTGCAAGGCATAATAAAATCAGTTGTAGTCGCTAATAAAATAAAATGAATCCATAATGCAGTTAATGTAAATATTACGGCTGATGCTTGGTATTCTTGTGAGATTCGGCGATAGGTCAATGTGTGGTGACTCTGTTAAATGTTTCTCTGCATCACAATTGAATTCGGAATATGACTTGCAAAATGGTAAAATGCAGCCAGCGAAAGAGAATTGACGTGTTGAAATTTTTGCAATTGCTCATTCAGTCATATAAATTGTATACACACGAGCATTAGTCACTATATAAGCATTTTGCATTTGGCTATATGTCCTACGAAGGTGTGTACGTGTAAGAAAATCATTGATGTATGATGAAAGAGAAAAATGATTTTGTGTTTCGCATTGTTGCCAATAAAGCGGAAAATTTTTTTTTTCTCTCTGGCTGAATTATAGCATTTATAACAAAAATTTATTTTGCCCGCGGAGTTCAACATCACACAATTCATGCATCACTTGATCATCCAAGGTTTCTTCTTGTACACATTTGGCGAAATGAAGAAAATTCTGCAATTTCTTCGAATTTCGCAGAGAAAACACAGCCGAATGCAATGGAATCTAAGTGAAGAGATCACATAAAGAACTAATTCAAGCATTGGACAATTTTACACCGGAAAAACAGAGTGACCGCAAACACTTTTTTCCCCGATCGATGTTCTCAACTCGGTGTGTGATGGAAGTTTAGTGTATAGAATTACAACAATTGCACTTTTGTGGCTCGAAAACTTCTTCTCAAATTGTACCCTTTTGCCATTGATGGTGTGAGTGAATGGTTGTTACACCGTGAAATTTGTGATGGTGTTGTTGATGATGGTGATCACAGACCGTAGAACCGGTTAATAATCTTTCCATCGTCATGACTCTCTGAACGCGAAAGATTCCAACACATGAACTAAAACGTGTGGCTCACGAATTTAATCTCATTTCACTATATATTCACTTTGCGCAAAGAACTTCCCCTGAAAATTTTGCGTCCTCAATTCAACATGAAATGTCCATGTTAATAGAGAGGATGCTTAAGTTCGTCGCCACGGGAGAAAGAAGAAGAAGTGAGATGCTAATTGTTGACTTGTATCAATAGAAAATGTGTGTATAGGAAACTCTTCACGCCTTGGCTTCAAAAGTCTCTTCTATAAATATGCACACAAGTCAGTGAGTTTTGACCTAAAATTTGAAAACGATCTAATCACTTATTCACAACTTCTTTTTTGCCCGAATTTTGTGAGTCAATATATAGTCAGCACTTGAAAGACGACACTTGAGCGCGCGGTGCAAATTGTCTTCGCAGCGTCTTCACCACGCGCTTTGTTTGCAAACTCATATGGTTGAATTCTGAAAGCGGTAAAAATCACATGTGAGAGACACACATATGAAATTGTAAATATAATTTGCTATATTCATAATTAAGATGGAAATCATCTCAGTATAAATTACAATAAACTCGCGGGAAGAGTGAATTTGGTGTGAAAAATTCTAGCTGTGCACATAATGTTATTCATAATATGCACGCGGCGAAATGGCTGAAATCATGGAAAGTAGTTTGAAGCTGGAAATTATATATGCAGGTATCACCAGAGACACACTATGTAAATTAGCTGACCAAGATACAATTGCATAACAATTTTCTTTGCACACACACACAGAGTCGCTCTGTCTGCATCTTTTTCACCACGTCGTGCATTAAGCACTACATGGTTTTGTGATTGGCTTTTTCTTCTGGACAAAACCCGCGTTCAGTGTCTGCATTTGTATGCACAATCATACCTGTTGGCTGTGTTGTACACAATTAACGTAGTCATAATAGGATAAATTTACGACTATCTTCCTTGTGACGTGCGCTCAATTTGTAGTGCAATATTTCGATATTGTTCTACAATCGAAGTGTTTGTATTAAAAATATCTCGAAATAACCTTGGCAAGGATTGGAGTTTTGCTGCGCAACATTTGGATTGCATGTTTATTGGAACAAACAGCATGTTCTTCTGTGATTCAGTGATGAAACAAGGGTGAGGGCGACGCGAGCATTTTGTACACGATGTTGTCTGAGGACAAGCCAAAAAAATAACTTTGAAATCACCATGAAAATCTGCATAGATTTATTGATTGTCTTTTAATATTTTACGGCATTTACCAAAAAATACTTTAAGATGTAGAAAGAATAAACGATATGATATAAATTGCATGAATCAATGATTCATAACTTCCATTTCAAGTCAAATAGAGGGAAGAAAAACAAATCTGACATTTGCAGGGCGTTATTTGAGTTTTAATTTATTCACGTCTGTAGAATGTGTCTCGTGAAATGACGTTGATGACTTTAATGAGTTAGAATTGAGAATTAAATATTATGAATTCGTATCATTTCTTGTCTGTGCTGCGGAAGCTAAGATTTGATTAATTTACATAATGGCTAGACTTGATTAGTGAAAATCGAGCGTGTTCTTTGAACGCGTCATTTACGTAGCGAAATGAAATTTCAATGACAGTTTTTTTTTATGGCTTTGCTTTGGCTGCATTTTGAAGAATTCCCTCTCATGTATTTATGTATTTCCCGAAATGATTCATTCTGATTCACCCAAGTCGCTCCAATACGCAATGATATCTTCGCAATGCGTTGTATGCCTAATTCATGTGAATTTGTGGAGTAGAACGAGTGTGTTGTGATCAATTCCCTTTTTCTCTCAGTCACTTGAACAACAAAGCATTAATATGTGATAATGTAATGTTTTTGGGTGAGTTCTTTTTGGGCCAGGCAAGGCTGTTGAAAGCAAGTTTGAAGAGACAGTAAAACGAAAGAAAAATGCCAGCGCAGACACGAATTATGATATGATGATATTATGTGTCACTATTTGTGCGCACTGCTTGACATGTGTTATTTCACTGTGCTCATCCGGAAAATCGCTCCAATTTTCATCCGCATCCCTTTCTTTGGTTATTGATCCATCCCATGTGATGACCTTGATTCGCTCTCTGCGCCTCGCTCTCGCCCTGCGAGTGTGTGTGCGAGAGATTGGGGGACTCGCACGAGAGGGTGGCTGAACTGGCGACGGTCCGGAGGCTGTGACGTCGCCGCAATGCCCCAGAGATGCTCCATATTTAATTGCATTCACGTGTTGGGGCGTTTTTCACGGGGAAGCAAACATCTTCTGCACTTGATTAACTCTTTACTACTAATTCTTCCTCTTTTTCCAATCCTGTCTTTATGATTTATGAGAAGATTGAGGACGAAATACAAAATTTAGGTCAAATATGATCCACAAATTTTCCACCGTTTCTTATTTACTTTCTTGACTTTCTTGCTCAATTTCTTGCAATCGTGAAATGGTTAATATGCAGTAAAACACACATTTTCCGCACTAACCTTCACTGACTTCGAAATTTGCGCAAACAAGACGATTAAAGACACATTATGTAGGTGGTAAGTTGAATTAGACTATGGCAATTTTCTCATTATGACTGATTATTGTCTTTTCGTGTGTGTGTAAGTTAAGCAATTCACGCTATTAAGGAAAGCGATTATGCAATATTGACATTGTTTATAAAATTCCTTTGTCTATCTCTCAATCTGCACAACACAAATTAGGATGAACATTACACATTATATATGATTTATCTTTTCAATGCGAATGAATGTCGTGGAGAAAAAGTATGGGAGACATTTTATTCAGACACAAGTTTTCTTCTTATGTGATCATTGAGAAATATGCTTAATTCCCTCATTTTTCCTGCATTTACACTGCAATTGGCACTTGAAAAATTCACACAGCGTAGCAAAGTACACTTTTCAGTAATCATACAATTACTGCATTCACTTTTTGCCGGTATGTTTTTACCGTTTTGCACATTAGAATTAAGAGAATTGCTGGCGCATTATGTTTTTTACATATATGCGAGAAAAACCATCGCATCTTCCCTTACAGCGCAAAACCATAGAAACCATAATTCATTAATACCTGCCCTTTTACCAATGAATAACACTGGTTAATTTCCGGTGTAAACTTTTATGCTGTGGCTGTGAAAGAACCATTTTCAGTGTCGTGTTCTTCTTTCATGCAAATGCCTATTTGGTTGACAAGTTTGAGGGAAGGCGCAGAATGAATAACGTTGTTAGATAAGTCTCTATAGAAACAACTCATCGTGGTATTGAAATTTCCACAATAGTTACTCAAGGTTTCGTACCTTGTATGCCTTTTATGTGGAGTTCACACTAGAAATTTTAATTGAATTACTCATTTTCTTGTCACACATGCTTGAAGTTATGCCATATATTGAATGTGCGGGGTGGAAAATATTTGCCCTTATACGAGATCTCTTCTATATTTAGAAATTGCAAAACGATGCAAAGAAAGCAAGTGTTTCGTCATTGCCGAAGGCTTCAGGAGTAAATCAATTGTGAGATTGTGTTTTATTGCAATGATTAGTATCAATTAGTAGCAATTCAGAATGATTGTTACATTAATTCAGTGCATAATATGATTGTCAGTTGAGGTCTTGCCAACGGACAACATTTCCATGCATCGACAATTTCGCTCTTGTTAAACCTTCGTCAATGACTTATTCAATCATTTGGAGAAATGAATTTATCAATCGATTAATGATGGGTTTTATTTGATTTGCAGATGTCAACTGGATTAATGTCTTGCGTGCGTGAAAATTCACCTCCTTTGGAAGGTGTTTCAATTCAGCAGGACGATGGAGACGGAGGATTTTCACATTCACCCGAGCCGCCAGGTAATTGATTTACAAAGGAATTCTGTTTGTTGAAATATTGCAAAACATCAGACTTTAATTGTTAAATAACTATTTAACAAACATTCTTATCACAATGGAAGAAAAGTGACGGGAAATCGTTCTCGTGCTGGAGGATGTCAAGTCAGATAGCGAGCGAATTGTTCCACGATAAGACAAAAAGCACTAAGCAGTGTAGATATGTGGATGAGTCATAAATATTTGGATTGTATGCATTTAAATGCCTGAACTATTCATATTCCAATTAATTTTCTTGCCTCAGCGTTTGTTTTGTGCACATAGTCAAGATTCCGCGCCTGACAGCGCGCCGTCTAGTAGATGATAGGTGAAGTAGACAAGAGTGAAATTGCCGGATTTTATGTACACACAGCAGCAAAAGCCCAAGAGTTGTTCGCCCAAGAAAGCATGTGCTTCTCATGGAGAATGCGAAACAATCTAAGCATTACTAAATAAGGAAATTTTTCTAAAGAGCGACAAGTCAACCATGGTCGATGAACTCTCCTCCCTCTCGCCCAATAGCTGCATTCAAAGTGTTGATGTTGTTGATTTTCCTCTTCTTTTCAAATGGACTTTTACTTTTTGCAACACAAAAGTGTGTATGTGTGTTTGTGAATTAAATGGTCAAATTGGCCTCATTTTCTTGCTGGAATTACTTCTTGATGAATTTTCGTAAGAAAAATAGAACAAATTATCTAATCGATTGTCATGCAATCGCGAAACACTTCAAATATTTTTCACAGAAAAAAAGCTACAATGGGAAAAAATCGCGATGAAGTGTGTTAAGAATGGAGTGCCTAAAATTGTCTTTGGACTGTTCATTGTGCCTGATAAGGTTGTCAAAAGAGTTTGGAGATTAAATTCAGGAAGCAATACAGCTTTTCTGCTTTAGGTTTTAGTAATATTGTCAGAACATTTATTGCAATTTACACAAACACTTGTCCTATTCTGCATAGATAACATATCAAATAAGCTTTTCATGACCATCAATTACGCTTGTCTATCAGTGTTTTGACACACATTGCCAATAAATTGCCACAGCTATTGTGATTGATATAAATGATTAATCAGTGGATTAAGACAATTGACCCTTATTGCATCTCAGGGCGTATTTTAAAGCCACAATTTGCAATAAAGTCTTCAAAATGCCACAATAGCATATTGCAATACAATTCAGAGCTTTTTTTTTATCGTTGGCCATATTATGAATCCTCGTCTCGTGAGTCTTATCAGCCTTTCTGGACTTGTTTCTGATATCAGACTTTAACTTCTTTCGACGACGCCAAGTGTCGTAGTTGATTTTTGGCACTTGAAGTGTGAAGTCTTCTTTTGGGGTGCGACAATTGCTTACTGATAAAGTTGTGACTCTTGCAGAAACACACAAACGACGGCGATTCCATCCGCTGAGGAATCTTCGGCGCATCTTCAGGAGACGAACGGTGCCTCGAGGGGACTTTGTGGGTCACGGCGGTGACAATTGTAGCAGCATCCCGAGCGGTGGAACAAGTCAGATGGTGAATTCGTCTGACTCCAGTTCGCCACCCTCAATAGTCGATGTCACGGCGTCGGGATCGGTGACGTCTGGTGGCTACACGACGACCATCTACTTGACCAAGGAAAGACTGGAAGGGAATCTGGACATGCGGAGTGGCCGGATTGCCAAGATGAAGGAGGCTCAGGACGAATTGGATCGTGATATCACGGACTACCAGAGGAGTTTCAGCGAAGGACTACTCGTGGACAGGTGAGATTGCTGTTGATTGCTGAGATGCTTGGGTAGAAATTCGTTATGCAGCTTGTTGATGCACAAATGCAATGCCATAACACTGCACAAGCTCACCATTAAGTCCTCTTGGGAGTAAACAGAGCGATAAATTTCTGAGATATCAAATTTCTAGCAATATTATTACATTTCAACGCCAAGAATGACTGAAATTTGACTTATTTTCAGTGCACTGTGAGAAAATATTATTTAGTTTGAGTATATTTCTCAATTTGAGGGACTTTTTGTCATAATTCGTGTATAATTTTGAATATTGCCTCACTTTTCGCTAAATTTTTGCTTGAAGATTATTACTTTTCATTCATTTCTCTCAGTGTTTGAACCAATTTGTATGATTCTATGCGGAGAGATATAAATTTTTCATTCGATGCACATTTGTATGTGCGTTTTTTCAAACACATTTTGACTTTTAAATAACTTGATGTTCAAACTTGGCGTAATTTATGCAGTGTTTTGTTTGCATATAATTTTAACCACTGCTGTTGGCAGTGATCAATAATTTCATTGCATATTGATTAAACAACAACACGGAAATTGTCATGACAACAGAACATAGCACAACATAAGAGTGTTGCACAGTTTTGCCCAGGAAAAAGGAATTCATTTAAAATATTGACACACGAATAGTGCTGGCCAATTGCAGATTGCTACACATATTTCTCTTGTGCATCTTTTCAGTGGTTACAATCGAGACGCTTTATCACAGTCGCATGATAGTGTTTTCTCAGAATCAGCAACAGCCAGTAGTTTATCAATTGTTCTGAAGGTAAGAAAGTCTGTTATTCTAATTTGGTGGTTTTAGTGTCTGGCTAAAGTTACTCAATCAAAATTGCCTCAGAGAAAAATGTGGTTTTGTAAGGAATTATAATGAAATATTGGGATAGTGAAAGTGAAATTCTTTGTAGTCAATTTTGGTATCACGGATGAGTTAATTCTAAAGTATGTCAAATGGAAATCAAATGCAAATTTAATGCACAAAAAGTAGGAAAATAAACCTTCTGGCGAAAAGTATTGGTTGAATGGTAAAAATTGGAATCTCGTGAATGTGTAAATTGGGATTAAATTCGTTGGAATTTGTATAGTTTTTTCTGTGTTGTTTGCGGCATTATTGCAATGTCAGATGTGTAATCTTATCATTGCTACTTTTCTCTTCCTATTGTGGGTAAATAGGATTGTATATAATATGCATATCAGTGTAATTAATTAATAAGACAACTGATAAAATTCCCTATCAGCATTATCACTCAAGTGGGCATCAGTTATAAGTGTTATTGCACCATTTAACGACTGTTTTTCCATTTTCTGTCCTTGTCTAAAAATACACCCACAATAAAATTAATTGAATTGGTTTTGTCAGATCAATTTTGCCCGAGTTTTGCACAAAATCAGCAATGAAATCGAATTACTTATTTGAGGAGGAATACAATTTATACACGTACTAAATGCGAATTCACATTATGTAAATTTGCCGTGCTTTTTGAATTATTGCGTAAGTGAACTTTTTGTACCTTCCATCGACGATTTCCTATTACAATTTTAATTGTAATACATACTCTTGAATCTTATTGGTGTAAATAATATTCATACAAATACATATACTTCTTTTCCTTTGCGCGATCTCGCTCGGAATTCGACGGCGAGTTATATTCTCCGTTCGCTCTTCTGAATGGAAGCAATTATGAGCTTTCTGGTCATGCACACCTACTGTGACTGTTAAATTCTTATCACAATAACTCCCAGAGCAATTTTATAACTGCCAATTTGTAAGAATTATGGCATTTTGACCACCACTTTTTACCGACATCTTTATCTTTCATGTCCTGGGATTGATTTGGTTCAAACTCCAATTTGTTTTCCTTGAGTGCAAAAAACCTAATAAATTTATTAATTATCACTTCTTACGTAGAATTAGAATCTACAATCTGAATAAAGTTGCTTTTAGAGCATCGCATTTGCATTTGAACAGTCTGCGAAAGCTCTCGGCTTTTGTAGCGCGACTCTTTCAATTTCAGAGTGTACGAAAGAGTTCCCATTATGGTGAATTTGTGGCGTTGTTTCTTTATGCCCTCCTCCCTCCAATTAGACTCTTCGTTCCACTTTGCAACACTCTGCCGCGCTGCAGTCCGCATTTTCCAATTGTATTTCTGGTAGTTTTGCTGCTTGCAAGGATGAACGCAGTTCGCCCATTTGCAGTGCATTTCATTGAGGTGTTTTGCATTTACCAAAATCCCTGCAGCAGAGTGATTAGTAAAATGTGAGTTGGTGGGAAAAAAAAGCTCTCCTCTTTGTGTTGTACATAATCTTGCATTCTCTGTGCTCACACAATTGTTGGTATGCTTTTATATGTAGGTTCACGAGAGTCTCAAGGTTCCCCTTCCACCTCAAAGATAGTTGGCTTCGTCGCGCACTTTGAAGAAAATGTCAGGTCGGGAAACGGCATTTTGCATCATTCTCTGCAGACGAGCCGCGTCTGGCCGCCATTCCTCATCGTCTCTTGAAAAACGCGTTTGCTCTCATAATTCCGACTTGCGATTTTTTTCACCAGTTTACATTTCCTCAATAGTTTGAGTGCCGCGCGCGCAGTTTTCCATTGTGGGCAATTTATTGTGTTTGGTGTTCATCGTGAATTAGAGGTAGAGAATATCAGTGAAATTATACGCAGTTTTATTATGGATTCACAACACACAAATTGGGGGAATTGAAAGAAAAAGGAAATAGTGACACGAAAAGAGAAGATATCGAGAGTAGTGTGTTTGAGGTTGATCTTTGTGGGTTTTTGTGAAAGAGCGATGAAATTGTGCTGAAAAATGGAATTGAATGGAAGAAGATCTGGTGGCAAAAGAAAGACCACAAACTAACGGAATAAATTAAATCTTAACACGTTTTTTTTTCCTCTCGTCTATACTTCTTAAACTGAATATAGTGAAGGAGTGATGAAGAGAGAAATGAGTGAGAGAAATTTGCTTTGTAACACACTCATCGCGGCGGTGTAAAGAAAGAAAAGAGCACTATTGTGATTCGGAATCTGGTGTGATATCGTCTGTTCTTGTGATTTTCACAGAGAGAGAGAGAAACATGATCACAATTGTTAGATCTGTTGGATGTGGAGAATTATATCCACGCAATTTAATAGTTAATTCAGAATCCACCTTTTTTATGTGGCACTGGAAAAAAAAACTCCACTCTTTGATGTGGGTGAAAAGTCACTCTATGTAGGTGGGTTTGTAACGACGATGGCATCATTTGTGTTGCAATATGGTGAATTGCTGGCAAATCAGTGAAGACTATTGCGCGAAGGAGTACTTGAAGAAAAAACCCCAAAGTATTGCATCTTGGGGCATTCCTTGACTGAAAGAAATGTAATTGAACTCTCATCAAATTGTTTAATGTGACGCGTAGAATTTTTGAAGTGTGGAAGAAAAGAAATGCCTTGAACAAAGGTGACAATTTCCGGAAATGAGTTTGTAGATAAAATACTGAAAATAGAAATTGTCGATCAGTTGGAACGATTGCCTTTTCTCTCTCTCTCTCTCTCGCCATGCGATTTTCTGTGCGTAGAAAATTGAGGCATTATTGGATGGTGTAATGTTTGCCATGTTGGATCGTGCATTGTGTTTCGGATGACAATTGTGACTTCCACACTAATTGATATGTACCGCAATTGGTGGTTTACCCTTTCCTATTGTAAGATAAGATTTCCTTTAAACTGGTAGTACAAAACAAAGAGAGGCTCTAATCTGTGCCTTAATCTATGCAACATTATGGGGTACAAAAGCAAATTATATGGTGGAATAATATTAACGCGCGCTTCTGTGGTGCAAATTTAATTAAAGCATGACTTAAATTACAATAATAAACTCACTTTTGTTGGGCAATTTTGCTCATTTGTACAGCAAAACACTTATTTTATTGGTCTATTCTCACTTTTGGGGTGTACTTGAAAAATTAGGTGATTTCAAAATGTTAATTTATTAATGATTGCTAATTCAGAGACTTTATGAATGCATAAACCAGCTGAAATTTGCATAGGTGAGCGCAAAGTTGTTTTGGACTCAATGCCAATGGTGAAGACATAGTTTGCAAATATGTTTATGTCAAAAATTAGTTTTTTAATTGCCAAAGTGAACTGAATTGATTGCAATGCTGGATGTTTTCGCCTCAATTCACCTGTTAATTTCTTTCCCTTTCAGGCTGAACTCGTGGATGTCTTGCGAAAGAGGAGAATTCGCCCAGATGCATCTGACGAGGACTTAGGCTTGCCGCACAGTCCAACAACGCCACAGCGGAAGGACTATCCGTTGAACCACAGCGAAGGATCGCTGAGCCTGCTGAGCATGGTGAGCTCGGACATGGAGCCAGAGCCGTACGCCATCCTGAGTGGCAGCAGTGCGACTGCAAAGCGATCTCTGGACATCTTTCAAGTCTCTGAAGAGCATGGTAAGTGAAGAGTTTTCCACTATCAGTTTGCCACTCTAACCCAGGGAATTGTGTCACTTCAGACTTGAATTTGAGCATTGGATCGAAGCTGAGTCACTCGGCGGCGCGTCATAAGATGGCAGTGCGGCCGAACAAGAAGAAGGGCCCGAGTCGGCATCGCAAGACGATTGAGATGAAGGCGGCCGTGTTGCCGGTGACGCCGGAGCTGAACGAGGACGCGGCCAAGACGGCCTCGCGCGAGGCGCTGGACAAGAAAGTGCGCTCGAAGTCGCTGCCGCCGGGCGTTAATTCGAAGATGATGGAGCAGCAATCATCCAATTGTCTGCAGTCGTCCGGGAACATGTTCACCAGCTCCACTGAGTCATCATCGTCCACGATATATGTGAATCCGCAGTTGTCGAAGAGCTATGCATTTGAGAAGGAGACCTTGGAGAGTGTGTCGTCTGAGGAGCGGCAAGAGGAGATGAAGAAATTGAGTAATGGCAGTATGGAGAATGTGGGCGAGAGAGTGAAGATGCGACAGCCGAGAACAGGAGCGGCGTCGAGGCAGCGCATTCAGCCGAAGGACTTGTCATTCTCTCCAGAAGTGAGCAGGAGTACGAAGATATGCATTGGCGATGGCGCCGAGATGCCCAAAGTGTGTGATTATCTGCCGCGATCCGAACCAAAGATCAGCTCCACTGAGAAGCTCTTCGCCAAGTCTCTCAGTCAGGGAATTTCGGTGAAGTGCCGGGACACCGTGACGCCGATCAGGGGCAATGATGAGGATCCTGACGCCATGGCGCCGCCGCCGAAGGTGGTGTGGCCGGACAGCTGCAAGAGTGACGGCATGGCGAAGACTGTGGACGTGAGGAAGTCACCGAGGCGGAAGAGTGTTGAGAAATCCAAGAGTTTCCGCTTCTATTCGGAAAATGATCCTGACAAGTTGTCTCAAAGTCATCTGCCGAGCTTACCGGATCTCTCCTTGACGGCCTTCGACGATAAGACATCGTTGGGCACACGAAGGAACTCTCTAAAGTACACGCCGAGCATGAAATTTGAGATAAATGACAACAATTTGGTGAAGCCCAAAGAGGAGTTGCATCATTTTGAGGGCAATTCGTGTGGCAAGAACATCATCTTGACGCCCAATAAAATGGGAAATGCCACGAATATTTCGCAAATTGAGGAGAACATTGACAAACTGGTGAAAAGCACGTTCGTCACGGTATTGAAGAAGTCACCGAACAACTGCACTGAAGTGGTCGAGGCCAAAATTCGACACACTTCAGTCAGGGATGCTTCAGATGATGTCGAGAGCGTGGATGCGGTGAAGAATCGCCGCTCTGCGGCATTTGTGACTGAGGATGACCCGAAAGTTCCTGAATTTATGAAAATCCAACTCAATCGTGTGGACTCGACGCGTCCTAAGAGTCATGTAGTGCTCTCGAAGAACGTCAAGGAGGACTCAACCAGACGGCACAGCACTGAGATTCTGGACACCACTAAAGTCCCGGTGGCGACAGCGGAGGAGAAGAAATCCCCGGTGAAAGTGTCTCCGATTGTCTCTCCCACCAAGACTGCGCCCAAGAGGGGCTTCCCTGAGTCTGAGCCTGTGATTGCGCGGACGACAGAGGCGCTGAATGAGGTGAAGACGCTGATAGCAGAGAGGAGACTTTCTGTGTCCGACGAGAAGGCGAAGATCGAGAGGCGGCTGTCCGTGAGTGATGATAGTAAGAATGAGAGGAACACCAGGAAGTCTTCTGAGGATTCTGGCACCATTTGCAGTACTCGCAAGGCGTCGTCAGATGATGAGAACATTGTCGTGCTGCGCAAGAAGTCATCTTCGAGCTCCACGAAGGAAGACAATACGCCAGAATTGATGAAAGTGTTCGCGAGGCGATCACTGAAGCTGAAGGACACGGATGAGATGCAATTGTACGATCAGTTGGAGAAGGGAAGCATCGGGAAGACGCCCAAGTCGGCCAATGTGGACAGTGATAAGGAGAATCAGTCGTCGAGTGAGGAGAAATTGGATCGTTTGGCCAAGGTTGAGCCACAAATTGTGGCAGTGACGAATGGCAATTACACAAAACCACCGTCAGGACGCGAGAAGAGTGGGTCTATTGAGGAGAAAGCTACATCGCCGAAGAAGTGTGCAGAGTCTTGTGATAATTATCGCAAGAGTAGCCTAATAACGCCCAAGCCATTTGCCACAAACAGTCCAAATCGCTTCTCCGGCACTGCTCTCAATTATCGCTCGACGCCAACGACTTTTCACGACATCCGGAAGAGTTTGGGTGTCGCGATGACCACACTTGAGGCGACAAGTCAAGCCAATCAGGCGAACATCAACAACAACAACAACAACAGTATCAGCAATGGTGTGTGCAATAACAACAATCCAACAACCAATGGAAGACACACAATCGCCGCTCCGCAGAGCGTCACGACGGACGAGAACACCGACGCCAGCGAGGAGGACATTTGTGAGTTTAAGGGCATCCTTCAGAGGCGCGCCGAATGGGAGAAACGCGCCAAAGATGCTTGCAAGTAGATTAAGCACTATTTTGTAAACTTCAATTGCTCATCACTAGAAAATTAAATTCTTTAATGACTTTATTCGGTGTTAATTGTTGTCTATAGAGAACAAAGAAAAATCAAATCGTAGAGAAAATATTGTTGACCAGAATTGCTGAGAGCTTGCATATATTTTAGAGAAAAATTGCTTCTATATATTTACTTGAATGTTGACATCACAAAAAAGCGTGTTTAGGTGTTAAAGGAAGTGGAGACAGTAGCGATATCATAACATAACTTCTATGTGATAATTTAAAAATTGAATATTATAGAATATTCTGACATCTTTTGAAATGTATATAGTAAATATTTTACTAAAACGTCATTAGTTATTGCAGATGGAGAAATTGTAAGAAAGAGTGTAACATTAAAATACTGAAAAACTCATAAAATGTTAATAAAAGTATATAATATTCTTAATAAACAAGGAACAACATCAAATATGCTTTATTCAATATGGCTGTACTATAGAGACAAACATCAGCAAAAATACAATATCAAGGTGGAGATATTAAAAAATTTCAACAATTGGAAGTTTAAGTTTGTTGCTTCTAAAAAATCTAATCATAGTATTTTTATTTAATATTTCTCAATGACATTTTCCCCTCCTAGGAAATCAATTCATCTTGATTGCATCTCAGAGTCACTTATAGTGGTAAAATGCGCACACAAATAGTAGGACTACCACTTACAACACTTCCACATAAAACATAGGGACAGTGGAGGAGTGGAAAGCTAAAAAAAATATTAGAATGTGTTGAATATTTGTGTGAAAACACATTTTTTGCGAAACCACAGAAAATTGTGAGTAATCTGACGCTTTTATCTTTGCGTCGACGTCGTCATTGTCATCTCGTGGAGTCGCAATGCTGAACATTCTCAAGCATCATTTCTCGATATTCATACAAATCGTCCAAGTCAGTCTCATTCGGCAACTTTGCCCTGACGGAATGCTGAAAACTCGGACAATTTGTATTTTTACCGTCTCCTGAATCACGCAGCGAAGTCAGTTTTACTCAGTGAATGTGTAATGAAGATAGCATGGTTAATTACTGAGGATAAATTGGGAAAAATTATGTGTATTTTCAAGGTGGAGTGAAAAAGTGAATTTGCAGTTCTTTCATCCATTCAACTTCTCAGTGCAAGTGTACTTTCTTGGCTCTCTCTTGGTTTGATGGACTTGTTCTTGTGATTTAGTATAACTTAAATTTGAAATCAATACATAAGTTATTTGTCTGCCTTGAATCCTTTCATTGACAGAGCAAGAGATTTTTAGGGTACATCCAAAAATAATTCACTATCAAATTTAGATCAAATATTTTTTGCGCAAAGCCTACGATTTTTCACAAATCCACCGTTCAATGGCAATGGCTGGCTTTACACATAGCATATGAAGAAGGAAAAAAGAGATGAGAATTTCAATTTATTTCTGTTTGGTGTGCAGCAAACTCACCAAATCAACATATGTTTGTTTATATCTTCCACCAATCCAATCAAACTGTCGACCAAGAGCAGTCAGAGAACATCAGCAAGAAGGCAAGATGTTAATAATGCGAGCAAGAAACTCTTTGAACAGTCAAAATAACTATTGAGCTTCCTTTCAAAAATCACTTAAATAAATAACATATTGCAAAGGCAAATGCAGTATTGAAAAGTCTCAAGAATCGCTCTATTAACAGAACAATTTATTGTCTGTGAAATGATATCTTCATTACATCGAAGGCTTTCCGAGATAAATTTGTGTTGATGTAGTGAAAATGCTACACTCATTAAATGAATTATTGAGTAAATCCATGGGAAATAGTATGTATTTTACAGAGGCGTAGCTAGAATTTTATAGATATTTAATGATTTTCCAAATAATTCAATTCAAGTCAAATGCTATTGAATGAAGGGAGGAGCGATTTTCTAATACCGAATATCTTTTAGTTTAAAATCATCCAAGCTAAGTTGCGAAATGTTGTGCTCTTGTGATATGTCGAAATGGAGAAATACAAAATTGCGGTGAAAGTGAGATAAGGATTTGCATAGTGAATTAGAGATAATTAGGACTGCTAATAATTGTCGCAATGGAGGCGCCGAAGACACCAGCGTCGCCGTCAATGTCCGCCGGCGGATTGCGGCGACCCAATCGGCCTCGAATCACCATCACAATCCCGCCGCAGCACCAGCAGACGCCGCCCGTGCGCCACTCGCCGTACGGACCCTCCACGGCCGCCACGATGCCGCCCTCGGCGATGGTTGGCGACGCCAACATGCGGCGGCCCTCGTTCTTCGACCCGTTCGGCACAGACCAGCCAAAGTACGGCGACTTCATGTCCAAGCAGTTCGAGGGCATCAAGGACTTCACGAAACTGGGCCTGGGACATGGCGAGAAGGTCGCGCTGTGGGTGTACGAGAAGTTCAGCAGCTGGTCCAAGAAGTGGTTCACGCACCTCTTCCTCGCCTTCGTGCTGCTCCTTTACAGCTTAGCTGGCGCGTCGCTCTTCAAAGCCATCGAGGGTGAGTCTTTTCATTCAGCGGCGAAAGCCTTTCAGCATTCCACATCTCATTGCTCACGTTGCTGCAAGGGGGAGATAGTGTGAAGATCCGGATGCTTACAGCTCTCTTAACTTATAAATGAAAATAAATCGTGTTTAAGTGTGTAATAATTGATAATTTTGGCAGCTATTTAGTCACTGAATCTGTCTTGTATCAGTCGGCAAATCGCACAAGATCTGAAAAAAGCAATTGAATAAAATTCGTTCTTATCCGTGAAATTATGCAAAGAAATTTGACTTCTTAAGATCTTCACTGAGCTTTGCGCCAATTACGCTAATCATATCTCCTCCTTGCATTGTTATGTACAAGCAGATAATAACAGACAATGATAAAGTTGGCCACAGGCCAAATTAGTGCTTTGAGATTATTCAGAAGTCTAACGAAAGCACTCGTGGACGCCCTCATGAAATAATTCTCACACAAAATGGGGTATTTTGAGACTTTGCATTCCTCTCAGGTCACACTATTTCATTTGGGATTAGCATCTTTGTGGCCCAATGTTATCTAATGATGGAAAGTGCGTAAACAGTGTCTGACAATGAAATCTTCTTCTCCGTAGGATCTCATGAAGATAGACTTATTATGGACGTTAGGAAGGAAAGCTTCGCCATTGCAAAAGCGATAAGAGAACTTAGCTTTAATCCCCGACTAACACGCGTAAGTATTAATGATAGTTTCATCACAATTTCCGGGATATTGGATGATTGTTTTGACTTGAATTTTCTTTATATAACAGGATCAAGAGCAATGGGAAGACGCTATTGTAGAGAAATTGGACGATTTCCGTCAGAGTCTCTTCCAGTACTACAAGAACGGCTATAACAATTCGCCGGAGAAAGTGTGGTCCTTCTGGAATGCGGTCTTCTATTGCGGCACTATTTACACCACAATTGGTAAGATGAGATATTGAAAAATATGCCTTGGAAGTTGAGCAATTTTGTTGAACACATAAAATGGATATTCATCCTTGCTCTATTCTGCGTCTGGTGATTCACAAAACTGCGGGTGATTTAGTGACACCAAACGCCACGTCACAAAGACACTCATTTGCACGCAAAGGACGCCGAGACTCTCTTTGGTTGACTGCCAAAAATACAAGATGACACTAACAAGTTTTTCGCAATTTTAATTTCATCTTCTCCCATTCTCTTATCTCATTCAAACGAAATGAGAATGTATGATATATATATATATATATAGCGCCATAATTTACCCTCTGTTTTTCTCGAAAGTTGTGTGAAAAATTTCTTGGGAAATTTGGCAAAAATATTCCATGTTGGATGATGACACACAGGATTTCGAAAAACGATTGTAGAAGAATTCGTTGAAGACACAAAAAGAACAATATTTCATTTGATTCGGCTAAGATTGGAATTAATATGATAACTGCCAGGAAAGAGAGCATTTTTAGTCAATAGGTATAATTTTGTAAATTGATAAAGTTGAGGATTTGTGTAATTTCTTAGAGAAAATTCATGATCCTCTTGAAAGTAACCTCGATGTCCTCTCTTAAGTCAGAGAAATACTTTTTTAGCAAATAATTATTGATATTTCTCATATTCCTTCATAAACTGAAAAAATATTAACGAAATACACTTTCATCCAATGTTTTAGTTGTTTTTTTTTGTCTAATAATTGAAATCTGTGACCAGACATTCTTTGAAGACTTGACAGATTCTTTAGGATCACAGAACTCGACTTAACATTCTTCTCCTTTTCCCTAAATTTATAACTGTTCCAATTTGAACTTAACATATTTATGAGATTTCTGGCCTATTTCGATGTGCACAGAATTAATTGCTATGCTAAATCGCTCCTTGTCAGCTGGAACGGGTTCGAGATTGTGAAGAAAAGTGGAAGAGCTTCGAAGATAGAGTTAATGCGAAGATGAAAATAGCTTCACAGACATTTAATGATAATTTCTCGTTGATATTTTGTAGCAAATCACTTGTAATTGCCCGAATATATGTACAATATATATGTGTAACATCCTCTACTATTTATTTAATTGACTTGTTCGCTAATGCCTTGAATATAGTTATTTCGCAATCGTGTTTGGCGAATTAAATTATATATATACACACTGAAATTGAACGAGAGAATGTTTTCAATACAATGACTGATCGCGTTGTCTATTTATATAAATTGATTTCGTGTTATATTTAGTCACTCGCGACAGAGAATTTATAAATGAATTCACGCCACTTTGATCTTGTCAACCTGTTAAATTAACATTCCTGCGGTGGAGTTCAAATTCGAGTGTTTGCACTCAGCGCGATGATCTAATGAAAGTCTCAATGAACTCACTTCCTTCCCAATTGGCGATGGGTTTGAGTCTCCACGGCGCGCGAGCTTTCTACTCGGACGTCATCTGCACAGAGTTTGCTGATCTCACCACGGGCCAGAGAGTGGTCCAAAATAGAATGTGTGTGTGAGAAGGAAAAATATCGGCATTTCCACACCATATGTTGTATTTTTAGCTCCTCGGCACTTTTCGCGCTGTGAAAATCACTCACCGCGCACTTTCCGCACAAGTTTCCAACATGGCGCACAGCTTTGGCCACCGTTCCAAATGGTCTGCGTGAAAAAGCTCGCAGAACGGTGGAAAAGGGTGTTTGTCTGGAGATGCGAGAGTGCCCAGTGATTGTCGTGATTGTCTCTGTGATTGGTGACGGCGTGAGAAATGGCGGATGGCGGCCGAGATGTGCCTTGTGTTGTGCGTAGGCGACGCAAGCTGAATCGCCAGCATCACGGCCAAACGGCCGAGGGCAGTCGCTTGGGTCAGAGGTGCTCGTCAGACGAGGAGGACAATGTGCACGCTGGCCAGCAGGAGGCTCGCGGGGGTGTGTCGGCGTATCGATCGAAGATCTTGGGTCGCCGCGATCGCAAGATCGCGAGCACAAGAAGTCAGAGCACGCCGAGAGTGGATCCTGCGAGTAATACAGCCGAAGTTGCGTCCCTCATGCGGACGGCGAGAAGGAGTTTGTCATCGCCCAGGCATAAGGAAGAAGCCGTGGAGAGACATGGAAAAGACAGTGAGACAGCGAAAACGACGTCCTCAAACAAGGTGCAGGAGAATCTGAGGCGATTTGAGGAGGAGAGAAAACGCTTGGAGGGTGAGAGACGCAAGTTCGAGCAGGAGAAGCGTGATCTTGATCGCTTGAGAGTCAGGAGACTAGAGGAATCGGACAGGAAGCGCATCACAGAAGGATACAATCAGTTCAAGAAGTCACAAATACCGCGCTTGGGAGCGAAGAAGGTGGCCGAAGAGAAGGAGAATTTGATTGAGAACTTCAACAAGGCACAGAAGATGTCCAACCAGGAAAGTGTACCGTCTGAAGCGGTGTTCGTGGAGAAACCAAGTCAAATACCGCAAAGATCGCACTCCTTCAAGGAACCGAGAAAGACATCTCTCGATCCTGTGGACTTTGAATCGTCAACAGTCTCATGCACATCAACTGAGGAAGATGTTGGGGATGAAGACACGAAAGACAGCTCAAGGAAGAGTTCCCTGGAGCAGAAGGAAGAGCAGCAGGAGAAACCAGCGAAGCCCAATGGGGTCCAAGCAAAGCCGAAGGAAAAGGACAAAGAGAAGAAAGTAGACAAGCCGCTATTGGCAAAACCGGCAAAACCAACAAAGTTAGAGTTATGGAAACAGTTCAAGGCTGCTAACAGTGAAGAAGTGAAGAGAATATGTCTGTTGAGGAATCGGTGCTTCTCGAATCTCATCATCTTGATCATTTTCTGCGGAATTGGTGGGATCATCTTCAGATTCGTCGAAGGAGCGTTCGAGAACTTCTACAAGTGTGGCGTGAAGCGAGTCAAGCGAGACTTTGTCGATCAACTTTGGCTTTCCAGTCACAGTCTTAGGTATATAGTTTAGGGTCAGATTTGAGTTGTTTCTAAGTATTTTGGGCGTTTTGAGATTAAAATTCTCCTATTGTTGCGATCAGAGAGGAAGACTGGAAAGCTCTGGCGCGCTCTAGGCTGCGCAAATTCGAGGAGGAACTGCACACAGCCCATGAGGCTGGAATGACGAGTTACAGTGGTCAGAAAGCATGGTCGTTTCTCAATGGTTGGGCTTATTGTCTAACAGTTGTCACAACTATTGGTAATCACACTCACTCACAAGTTTTCGCAATAATTGAAACACGCTCTTTTCCGTGTCTTTTTCAGGATATGGACACATCTCACCGGCAACAACCACAGGAAGGGCCATCACGATTGTCTACGCCGTCATTGGCATACCGATCTTCCTCATTCTGCTGGCAGATTTCGGAAAACTCTTCACGAGAGGCATCAAATTCCTCTGGTCGTTCGTGAGGCGACTCTACTATACAGGATCATGTCGTAAAGTGAGAAAACAAGCTCAAGTTCAGGTCTGTAATTCAATGTTTCTGAGATGCGCTTTGGTTTTGACAATAGCCAGCAGATTGAGTAGTTTTGGGTAGTTTTTTCACAAGTATTTTAAATTGTTTATTTTTAATTGTTGTCTGTGTTTTTTTTTAAACTAACTCATTTTTGTAAACCTTTTGCCTTTTATTTCTTCTGCTCAGAAAATTATGGCGTCAACCGAAGGGGAAAATATTCTGTGACTACCAATAAAATAAAGCGAATTTATTAACTAATGTTTAATGTTCCAGACCCTGAAATGTTTAGCAAAGTATGTAGCATGATTACTAAAGCTTCTATTCTGGCCTGGGCTTTAAAAACACTTCAAAATCTTTGAAATTTGGCTTTTCGAACTGAATTTTTCACTTTCCTGGACATTTCTTGTCTATGTCATAATTTATTTACCAATAAGACTCTTAAAACTAGAAGATCACTTAAAATTCAAGCATGTCCAAGAGCAATATTTGCAAAAAGCGTGAAACTTACATGAATTTGGTAATGATTGAACTTCTCTAACAGGACATGATGCGCGGCATCAACATGGCGTACGAAATAGCCACCTTCAGGCGTCCCAGCATGTTCACGAAGGAGGAGGAGGACGCGAAGAGCGCCCAGGACAGCAATTCGACGAATCTGCACTTGTCACCATCACAGCAGGATCTCGGCACGCCGCAGACGCCGATGCCGTCGGAGATTGAGATCGACGACGAGTTTAACTTGCCGATTTCGCTGGCGTTCTTCATTCTCATCACGTACATCCTGATCGGCGCCAGCATCTACAGCATGTGGGAGGAGTGGTCGTTCTTCGAGTCCTTCTACTTCGTCTTCATCTCCATGTCCACCATTGGCTTCGGTGACTTCGTGCCTAACCACCCGATGTACATGATGGCTAGCATTGTCTACCTCATGTTCGGCCTGTCGCTCACGTCCATGTGCATCAATGTGGTGCAGGTGAAGCTCAGTGACAGCTTCAAGCACGCCAGCGCCAAGATCGGCGCCACCATTGGCCTGAAGATGGCCGAGGAAGCGTCACTGAAGAACTCGCAGAACGGATCGCCAGTCGACTTGGCGTCCGTGCACTCCACCAGTCCCAAAATAGAGATCAGCTCAGACACACAATCGGCCGCGGAGAGCTAAAGTCTTAAGGACAATGGTTTTTTTTTGTATATTCCAGAACGAATTCTCTGTACAATAGTGAGAACACAAAAGCTGTTGAAGTGGAATTATAACAATGGAATTTAATGCTGGATCGCATCTCTTCTCGCGTGTGTTAAATTTAATACAAAAAAAGTTTATCGAGCTCTCTAATTTTTCCTGTTCATGCCTTTTATCGTTGACCCGTATAGATTGTTTCACTTATAAAAGCTTTATCCACTGTTATTTGATAAGAAATGTCCTGATTCAGTGAACATTGTGTGACTGAAGGAGTGGAAGTTTATCAATTAAAAATAAAAATACTGAAAATATCGAGTAAAATTATTTGTTGACCAGAAAATGAAACACTTCAAGAGATAAAGTTTTACACCTTTTATTTCTCTCAAATAATCCCAAGAGAATACAAATAATTTGCCTTATATTCTCTCCGTGTGATTACAGTATTTCTATTTGTTGTGTTTCCTCAAATTACGGACATTTTTTCATCATCATCATCAATCGCATCCAGAAAACAGCAATTATAATTTTAGATATATTTGTTTTTACAGAATACAGACAATTTTTTTCTTTTTCATTCTTTTGCAATTTGAGAAGAAATGGAATGAAGCAATTATTAGTGCAATTAGTCAGTTACTTGAACGTTTTCTTGGGTCTTCAAGTTTTACACAAGAAGGACTGCAATCAATTGAAAGAAAAAAAAAACACTTTTTCTTTGCTATTTTTTTCATTCTCCTCCAATCATTCTTCATCACTAAGAAAATGATATTTATCTAATAGATTTATACTAGTTTTGCATCATTGTTAGCGAATGAAGTTCGTCTATTCAATCTTTTCACTCCTTTTCTCAAAAAAAGCTACCCTTCTGCTAGATTTGCGAACATCAGACTGAATATTAAGAGTTTTTTTTTCTCTGTGTGACCAAAGAAATGAACATTACTAGGATTAGAGATGAACTGGAAAACTATTTCAAATGTGTTCATGTGTGTGTTTTTTTACACTTCATTACGCATATCAATTCAATTACTCTCCACAATCAATCAATCTCAATCATCAAGAAACCAAAGTACTTTGAATTAATTTAGAGACATTAAGCAATTATCTTCCCCTCAAGTAAGTGTTTTCTCTCATGGTGATTCTAATCTATGTCCATTGTGTCCTCGTTGGCGTGTTTTGGCTGATGCGATTGTTTGTCGTCACTGCTCTCGTGATTCTGCTGTTGCTGTTCATGATTCTGGCCGCCCTCCGCCGTGCCGTTGTCCGGCGGCGGTGCCTGAGGCTTTGGCTTCGGACGACTAAGTACAGAATTCACGCACGTCGTCAGTGTCTGATACTCGTGCTGAATGTCCAGAATCTTCACGGGCGGATCCTTCGTCTTCGGCGTCACCACCAACTTCGCCCTGGCGTCCTCCAGCCACTTGAGCGTCTTCTCCGCCGTCTCGCTGATGTTCAGCATGTCCGTCTCCAGCAAATGATCGTACTTCGCGTCACCACTGCGATACTCATTGATCACCTTGTGCGCCAGCTGCACGGCATGGCCGAGCTCATTCAGCGCACCCGGCTGCGCCTCGTACTCCGCGCAGCGCCCCTTGATCGGATCAATGCTGCCACGCAGACCCGTCAGCTTGTTGCGATACACATCCTTCGGACAATCCTCGCCCTCCTCGTACAACCAATTCTCCAGATTGTTCAGCTGACTCACGAGACTCTCGCGCTCGTTTGCCATCACGTACGCACTGAGCGGACCGTCCTCCTGCAACTTGTCGCGCATCTCGTAGACAAACTCCTCCAGCGCATTCCTGGCGTCCACTCGCTCCTTCTCGTCCACATCATTGGAGATCATGTTGCTCTGAAAAGACATCACAACATTCATTATTATTCAATGTATGTGGTTTAACTGCTTAAATTGTGAAATCTTATTCAAAATCGCATTTGATTTTAAATTAAGACAAATTGTAAATCGAATCCTTCTACAGGATTTTCAACTTACCTCCTGATGAACATAGTTAGACAAGTCTGTCGATGAGAATCCATGAGTCTGCACATCAATAGGAAGTTCCACAATTTTAATGCCGGACTTCTTCTTCTCCTTCTTCCCTTCTCCACTGTTATCCTGTTGGTTGTTATATATATATATGGAGAGAGAAGAAATAGAGACGAATTAGCGCATTGTATCTTTCAAGCAAACTCTATCAAATCTATAATCTCGGCCAGCCTGAATGCTCTCCACATGCCCCCAACAAAAGCCTATTATAGAATGCACACACGCAACAATGAGAAAAGAAGGAAACAGAAGAGAATGACAATCGTATGTTGCGATGTACTTAGAATGATTACAAACTAATATATGTATATATAGGAACACAAACCTAAAATACTCAATAATATTAACATAAATACAGAAAATAAACGCATAATTACCATGCAAACCATACAGAAAGTGGGTTTAAAAGCCGAAGCAACTAAGGTTTAACGCACAATCTCTCTCTTTCTCTCCGACAAAACGCCCCTGTTTCTTCTTTTTTTTTCACCACACACAATGCATGTTCAATTAATCTCATTATCACCCTCTATTATCACACTCTGTGGCACTGTGGAGCAGGGCAGGCAGGCGGCTGATGGTAATATTGTATAGTTTGACTCTGTGATTACTCAAGATTTTTTTTTTAGAACATTTTGAGCGCCAATCATCCAAATTTCTGCTCATTCTTTTTTCCTTTGGATGACCAATGATTCTTCTGGCTCTCATCATCGTGTCTGGACATGGAAAATTTGCTAGGGACAAACAACACGTACCGAGGTAAACCATCCTTTTACCCGCTGCGCCCACCCTGGTCCTGATGCCGATGGCGATCTCATGTCTCTCGCATCACACTTCTCATCCTCATTGTCACTGCAATCCTGTGCATTATGCAATGTTTCATCAATTTATCCCAAGAGAAGAATTTACAAAAGCCTACAAACTACATTCATTTTCTTAGAAGCTGCTGCTCTTCTTCCAGAATTGTTTCTCTTTCTCCTTCCAACGAATTTGGACCATTTTCTACTACTTTGAGTGCTTCCTCTTACTCAGTGTATAAAATAATGGGACGCAAATTTGCATGCTTCTCGAATGCAGTGTTAGTCATAGGAAGAGACAAAACAGTTTGTTGGCCTATAAGGATGGAATAGTAACACTGCATGCAAATAGATTCTTAATCATAAATTCATAAAATGTTAACTTGAACTTTTCTGGTTAATTCTAAATCTAACAGACTACGATTTCTTGGAGTTTAATTCATCTGATGAGCAATTGACAATACAATTCAAGATAAAATAAACTAAATTATACTCAAAAATACTTAGTCAAACTCTCAAGCGATATGTTATGTCAAAGTTAATCCAACTTAAGGGTATCGAGGTACATTTTTTGATGATGAAATGATTAAAATTACATGGTAAAGAATATAAGATATGATTGTATGAACTTTATATTCGTATTTTTCCAAATAATTTTATTTGAAAAGCTACAACATATTAAATTTCCTTCTCTTATGCTTCAACACACAAACTATTGAGAAAAAGCAATTTGGAAGGTGACTAAATATTGAATGGTTTGCATTTTCTTGATTGACCTTAGAACTATAAGTCTTTTCCTATTCTTAGTTTCTCAATTTCACACCATTACACCTCTTACATAAAAATTCCATTGCCAATTAATCATTTCTACCAAAATTTTCTTTTTTTTTTGCTGAGTCACTATTAATCAGGAATTTTCTTTAATGGTAAAATTGTATTTCAGTGTATAGAATTCTCATTTATATTGCCTTTCACTTCATCTCTTCTATCATAGATTTTCCACCACATTTTTCACGCGATATGGAAAGAAATATGTATATTAATGATGAAATGTAATGGTGAAGAGTTAAAGCGCAATCGCGAAATATTTTTCCATAACGCACACATTGTGTCAAAATCCGGTGAAAGTTGAAAAAGAGACAATTGTGGAATCTTATGTATGTAAAAATTTCTTTCTTAACAGCCGAGAGAAATAAAAACATATTCTACTTGCCACCTCTTTATCACATGGCCAGAGAAAGGATTGCAGAGTGTACTGACCTCAGGCGTGACGTCCATCTCCTCCTGATTCTGCGGCGATTGCTGCTTCTGCTCCTGCTGCGCCTCAGCACTGTTGTCCGGACTCGCCTCACTGGCCTCACTCGGATCCTTCTTCTCCGTCAACGTGGCACTCGTGATGGAAATAATGCCATTTTGATTGATGCGAATCTTCACCTTCACCTCCTGAGATTCCCCAGCGCTGTTGGGCTTTATGTCACGAATCACCCAGCGCCCGATGTAGTGATCGGGATAAGGCGCGTCACCATAGTAGATCTCCATGGCAAATGCCTCGCGGCGGAACAGCGTCAACATGCGCGAGAAAGGCGCCGCGTGCAGGGCCGGAAACACTTCCATGCGATTCTCCATATTCGGATCGCCATCCCAGCTCACGTGCACCGGATAATTCTGGATGTCCTGCACCTTGAAGTCACGCACGCGAACGGCCGGCGACATGATCGCACACTGAAGTGCCGCACCACGTGACACAGCCTCGTCCTGATTCAGTGTCGTGCTAGCCTGCTTGCCGAACACCTTCTCAATGCTCGACTTGATGGCCGGAATTCGCGTGCTGCCGCCAACAATCTCAACCGAGTGGATGTCATCCAGCTGAAGTTCTGCAGAGGAGCATAATTAAGTGTGTTATAAAGAAATGTACAAGCAGACTATCAAGAGCATTTGTGAATAGAAATCATTTTACTCACTTGAATCCTTGAGACACTTCCTCATCGTCTCCTCAATGCGCTTGAAAAGATGCCCAGACATGTCCTCAAAACTGGATCTCTGCAATTTCGACGACACATCAATGTCATTCATAAAGCACTCAATGTTGAATGGCAGAAGTGTGCTGTTGGCCGACATCTGCTTCTTCAGCTTCTCCACTTCGGCCAGGAGTCTCAAGTACGCCCTCGCGTTCGTGCGCGGATCAATTTTGTACTTGGAAATGAACTCCTCGCTGAAGTGATTTGCCAGGATCTCATCGAAATCACGTCCGCCAATCTGCTCGCACGCACTCGTCACCATTCGCAGCTTTCCCTTGTTGAATGCACAAATCGAGACTTGCAGCGACGCGTGGCCGCAGTCCACGAACGCCACGTAGCGCGACTTCTCCTCAGGCACCGGCAGATCCTGCTTGTAGAAGCCGTACGAGAGTGCCGTGGCTGTCGTCTCGTTCAGCAGGCGCAGCACATTGAGGCCCGCAATCGCCGCGGCATCGAGCAACGCCTTGCGCTCAGCATTCGTGAAGTACCACGGCACGGCGATGACGCAGTCATTCACCTGGGCGCCGCCCAAGGCGCTCGTGGACGTCTCCTTGAGCTTGGTGAAGAGCATGGCGAGGATCTGCTCAGGCGTGAACACGTGCTCCTTGTCCAAATAGTTCACGCGAATGCCAATCGAGTTGTTCTGCAGCGATTCCACGCGGAAAGGCAACTTCTTCAGCTCATTCTGCACGTGTGGATCGTTGAATTTGCGCCCCAAAAGCCTCTTGAAGCCAAAAATCGTGTTCTTCAAGTTCGTCACCATTTGATTCTTCGCCGCCACTCCCAATATTCGCTTCTTTCCAGCAAAAGCGACACAAGATCTGCAACGATAACAATAATACAAAACATTCAGTCAAAATCCAATCAAATTTTTTGGACATTTTGCTGTTTCCTGGGTGATTAGAGAATGGGATTTTGTGAATCAAGCTTAGATTTCACATTACAAAAAATACAAAATACAATGCGTCAGCTTGAGAAGTTCTATTTGCTCGCGACTTTGCTGAAGTCCGCGAGTTTCCATTAAAGGTATAATTCTACACATCTCTCTCGCTCTCGCATTGCTCACTCTCTCTTTCCTTCATCTCATGATCGCGCTTCTCTCTCTCTCTCTCTCGCTCTCCACGTTTTCTGCCACCTTCTCTGGCCAAATTTAGGTTGAGAATTGTCTCATCGCGCTGCAGAAGCAGCAAAATTTGGGAAATTGCGTGAAATCTCGCGGATAAAAATAAAACGATGAATGATATTTGATAAAAATTGCGACACCACGTGTTGCTAGTCTCGCTGGCTTTGGATTCCTGTCGCATTGGGCTTCAGATGATGAAGACACGCTCCAGATGGTTGCCAATTAGCAATGACTCAAAGGTCAGAGTGAGAGGCAAGACGGCTGGAGAGCTTCGCATGCCCGGAAAGTGTGACTGTGTGAAGCGAAGTTTCCATTAGACACTTCCAGGCGATTCCGGAGAGGCGCACTGGAAGTTTCTGGAAAATTCCTAGGCGCAATCAAAGCTGGCCTTGACATAATAGCGCATCGCGTGCAATTTTCCCACACAGCATAACCTCAACTTTCGCCCCTCAATTACAAAGAAAAACCCCAGCCAATTTCGATTGGCTTTTTGGGCTTTTCGCCCACCCAAGGAAGAAACGAACTGATAAGAAGAACAATTTCTTCGGGGAAAAATCACTAATCGTAGTGCCATGGAAACAGTTGAAGAACACATTTTCCGGGCACGCAAGGAATTTTCAGTGGAATCCCGATCAATGAGTGTCAACGTAAAGTTACAATTTCTGCACTTACGGAGTGGCCCTGAGGCTGTAATCGTTGGCCAGAGTCTCAATACCGCCGGCCTTTGCGGCGGCCACATAACACGACTCATTCCCCAAATCGATACCGATCACAGACATCTTTTCTCACTGCGTTCTCGCCACTGTGCTCTCAATATATCGCCAAAAAACACACTCTTCCGCTACTCCGCACACACGCACTGCAATTGCCGTGACGCTCAGGCCAATTACGCTCGTGAATAACTGAAAAATCAGCGTCCACAAGGCGCAACACACCGCAAAACTATTGGATAAATTTGGAAGATTCGAGAACAGAGAGCTTTCAATGTGATGTCTGACATATATGAAGTTCCGGTGTCACCCGCTCACTGCTCTGCGCGCACCTGGCGGAATTTCATCGCAAACACTCTTGTCCGGGAAGAAAAAATTTATTTTTCAACACCTTCTACTATAATTTAGCTTTTTATATGTAGTTTTCCTATTCATCATTCGCGTAATCAGCAGGATTCTTGCGATTGATCTGCGTGTGCATCGTCTCCACGTAATCGTACACCAAATATCCAATGATGAATGGCGGCAGAACACGGAAGATGTTTGAGCGAATCCTCCGCAGCGTATTGGGGACACCGTTGCTTATCACACCGGCGAATGCCCTCTGCTCGAATGGGGAGAGTTTGTACGTGACAATGCCATGCACTTTCGCCAATTCTCCAAAGTGCTTTCCCATCTTTTGGCCGCGCTTCTGGTCGCCTGAAAATCCAAACAAGATTACATAATCCAATTTCCAAGCAGAAATTCAACGTAACATCACAATTATCACTTTATCAGTTGAACGAGGGATTGTTTTACATGTTTTGATCCAATTTCTCGGCCAAATTGCGTTGCAAATTTAAGAAAATTGGGAAATTTACTCACCTTTCCGTAAATTTTCACTGACAGCCCGACAATATGACCTTCAGTGCTGCCAACTGAGGATGTCAAAAAGGCCTATGATTCGAATAGCCTGCGCACGTTCTGCGGGCGGCTGTCAAAACAAGAAATCCCCAAAGAATCGCGCTAATCTTACTTTTCCTGCTCAAAAAGTATGTCGACGCGGTGGTATCCAATTTATCAGAGAGGCAATCCTCAGTTGAGAGTCTTCCTGCCCAATTTCTGGATGAAAATTGTGCGACCTGAACTCAAACAGCCGAAGAATGTCGTCCAATTTTCCTGCTCTCTGGAAATGACCAAACACGATATCCGGAATTACCTGGAGAAGATCTACAAAATCCCAGTTGTGGACGTGAGGACAAGAATAGCAATGGGGAAGACCAGTGAGGATCCCGACTTTGGCTTCGTGAAGAAAGCTGAGGATCAGAGACTTGTTTATGTGACTTTGGTAAGGCATTTTTCTTCCCTTGTTCACCAAGATTTTAACTAATTGTGCTCTTCCAGCCAAAAGACATGACCTTCGAGTTCCCGAATATCTTCCCGGAAGAGAAGAAGGACAAGTTGAAGGAGGAAAAGTCCCTGGATGAGGCCAAGAATAATCACAAGAAGTTCCTGGAGAGAAACAAATCGCGGCCTTCTGTTCCTGGATGGTATTCAATTTAGGCGCGAATCGCTTTAGAATCTTCATCAAATCATAGTAGTTTTTCAATAAACATTCAGTCAAGTTGTGATTAAGGCAAAGAATTTTTGTGGTGTCCAGAAAAATACTTAACATGCGGGGGTAGCAAAGAAGAAGGTAAAATTGGTGGCTCTTGAGGTTGTCTGGACAACTAAAGGATTGTTTTCTCTCTATCGATTCTCCCCAATTAACTTTTGTCACTGCAAAAATATCCCACGACAATGGCTCATGATTCTAAACGTGTCACCACAAATCTGGCCACGATGTACGGCAGGTGAGTAGATTCCCATCATCATCCTCAAGAGTCTCTGCAAGAGGATTTGCTTGTGCACAGAATCGCGCCGTCCGGGAATCACGAGAAGATCAAAATCTACTTCTGCACGGATCTGGACAAGTCGGTGCTGATCAACAACTTCGAGAAGCGCGGCTGGGTGCAAGTGGCGGCCGATGATGACTGGAACTTCTACTGGGCAGGAACGCAGACGTGTCGCAACATCTTCAGCGTGGACAGCGGCTACAGGATGCACGACAACCAGATCATCAACCACTTCCCCAATCACTACGAGCTGTCGCGCAAGGATTTGCTTGTGAAGAACATCAAGAGGTACCGGAAGGATCTGGAGCGCGACGGAAGTCCGTTGGCTGAGAAGACGGAAACCAATCAAACAGGTTTGCATGAAATGTTTCATGTGTGTTGCGCGTTTCACGCAATTGAATACAGTTTGTAATCTATCAACTCAACGTATCTTTTCCATTCTCAGGCGGAACGAAGTATCTCTACTTGGACTTCATTCCCGTTACCTTCGTCCTTCCGGCCGACTACAACATGTTCGTGGAGGAGTACAGGAAGAATCCGTCCAGCACGTGGATCATGAAGCCGTGCGGCAAGTCGCAAGGTGCCGGAATATTCCTCATCAACAAACTGTCGAAGCTGAAGAAGTGGTCACGCGAGGCTAAGACGGCCTTCCATCCGCAGATCGGCAAGGAGAGTTACGTGATCTCGCGCTACATCGACAATCCACTGCTGATCGGTGGCAAGAAGTTCGATCTCCGCCTCTACGTGCTCGTCACGTCTTTCCGCCCACTGAAGGCGTACCAGTTCAAGTTGGGCTTCTGCCGCTTCTGCACCGTGAAGTACGACACGAGTGTCACGGAGCTGGACAACATGTACGTGCATCTGACGAACGTGAGCGTGCAGAAGCACGGCGGCGAGTACAACAATCTGCACGGCGGCAAGTGGAGTGTGCAGAATCTAAGGCTGTACTTGGAGGGCACGCGCGGCAAGGAGGTGACGGACAAGCTGTTCGGCTCCATCACGTGGCTGATCGTGCACTCACTGCGCGCCGTGTCGCCCGTGATGGCCAGCGACAGGCATTGCTTCGAGTGCTACGGATACGACATCATCATCGACAACACGCTGAAGCCTTGGCTGGTGGAGGTCAACGCGTCGCCTTCGCTCACCTCCACGACAGTCAACGACAGGATCCTCAAATACAAGCTGATCGACAACATCCTGTCCGTGGTTCTGCCGCCCGATGGAATTCCAGAGTGAGTGTTTTTTGCAGTCTTCTTGGCTTTGCAATCTCGGAAGATTCTTGCTTCAAAGGGAAGATAAAATGGCAATCTGTCCAAATAATTCTTACCATACGACATAATATAATAGAATTGAATGTCCAAAGTGTCCAAGAGTTTATGCTGTTTAATCTTATAGAACAAGTGATTTACTTCACTTGATTGCTTCTTGATTTATTTAATTGCTTAGAAAAGCAAGAGTTTTTGTGCAAAAAGTTTATAGATGAATTTAAGTCAGTGAAACCGACTTTCTTTGGTATATAATAACATATTGGCAGATTTTTGTTTTCAGATAAAAGCGTAATATAACTTTTTAAATTGTCACAAGTGAAATTTGCAGATTACTATCATTCTCTTTGCCACTCTGTTCTCTTTATGAATGCTGCTGCATTGCCTTATTGTTCATATTTCCATATAAATTTTTCAGTGTGCGCTGGAATAAAATACCCAATCAAGAGGCTTTGGGAAACTTCGAATTGCTGCTGGACGAGGAAATTGCCGCTCAAGATGAAAATTCGTCAATTGTGAGCAAGAAGCACAACGGAAATCGCTGGAAATGACCTTAAAGTCACTCTGTGTGCGAGATCTTCATGCATTTACTTTTACCGAAGCACTTAAATATTCAATAGTTATGTCGGCAAAGAAGCATCAATCATCAGCTGATCATCAATCACGCGCGCAGGAGGATCACTTATAATGCACTCTCACGCCTAATGACTAAGTGGATATGGGAAAATTGCAATATATTGCGAGTGAATAGTTTGGATTGTCAATGGTCGTGTTGACGCTTGTGTTCGTGTGTGAATGTGCACGCGCGCGAAAGGAGTTCTGCAACTTTGCAATTTTCTTTATGTGCTTTTTTTACCTGCCTCTCCTTCAGCTGGGGAGTTTTTCACGAGCGGAGAGGGAGAGTGAGCGACAAGCCAAGGCAATGAACGAGGAAAGTCTCCTCAGACGCGGTGGACTTCTGAGCACTCTTGAGAGACACCTCAACAGTGTTGGGCGATTTATTACCTTCATTTAATTGTTAACATGGTTAGAAATGCTTTTCTTTACACACGATATTGTTACATGCATCCGAAATCATTAGGAAAACATCATTTTCATAACTGAAAAATGTAGGAATACAAAATAAAGCCTGTGAATGTTAAAAATACAGATTAAGCTTTAAATTAAAGTCTTTGAATGTTCTGATTGTTGAGCATATAAATCAATATTGTAGGTAAATTTTTGCTTATTTTTCACTTCAGAATCTTTAAAGTGATTTTCTTTAAAAGGGCATTTTTTGCAATAAAAATTGAAAAATGTCTGAAATGCAGGATGAATTTTTTACCACGAAAAAGCACAACTCTTTTTAGGAGACATACAATGTATTTTGTGTGCTGAAAAAGGAGGAAAAAAAAGTGGCGGAGGCTCGGGAAGGGGAGGAGGAGACAGTGAAAAAGTTGCACAGTTCACTTACCGTTTCGCGAAGTGAATTTTTACCATCCACGCTGAGTTTTGAGGCAGGCATTGAAGTCTTTCGCGCGCCGCATGTGATTCAGTTCAGTTGAAACTGTGCGGACAGTCGGTTGGGCAACTTGAGCCGCAACTTCTTTCGTGCCTTCTCTTCCACCTATTCCTTTAGTCCAATAGTTGTGTGCTATTATAGTTATTACACCTTTGATCGCATTAAGTGAGTGGTGCTGTGAGTGGAATTTTATATTTGGTGGGCACGAGGAGAAGAAAAAAAGAAATGTTGTGAGAGAGAGAAAAAGAAAGTAAATCGATTTTTATGTTTATATGAGAGAAGAGAGGAGGAGGAGGAAAGAAAAAGGGTCCAAAAAGAGCTGGCCGAAAAGGCGTTACGGGAAAAAAAAATTCAGCTGAGAAAGTGAACATTATGGATTTATTCTAAATTTTCCACTAAAAAGACTCTCGAAAAGTGGTAGAGATTGTAAGCGCCAAAAAGGAAGATTGGAAAAGCTGTAGGTAAAAGAGTGGATTTGTGATCACAAGAGGCCGAGAGCAATGTGGATTATATTGTGAAATTGAGAGGAAAATCCAGTGGAAACTTCGAGTGCTGTGATATGAGAGTTCAGCGACACTGCATGACCACATTTGTCCAGCGTGGAGTAATTGAGAGGAAGTGAAGCAAATTGCACAGTGTCTAAAGCACCATCATTGAGATCATCAGCGTTGTTTAATCTCAAGGTGAGACTTTCATAAGCATTCATCATTTCCCAGCATTAAATGATCATTTCATGCGATTTCTCGATCATTCCATCTGATTTAACAATTATTTCACGATGTAATAAGACAAGCGGGTGTCTTTTGAACATTTTTCATCAATTCAAATCCGTTAAGATATGAATTTAATATGATGTATTTTCAATTTTTGCATTCATTGTCAGCAAGAGTGAAAGACATATGAAAAGGTGGCGGTTTGATGAGGTATTTGTCTGGTGGTGGAATTTAGGAGAGTTTTGGGCAGAGAATTTGTAGTTAAATAAGTCAATATTGATGTTACAAATTATTGAATTTGGAAAAGGAAGACACTGAAAAAGTATTATAAATCGTGTTTGTTGCATTTTATACTGAATTATTAGTAGAACAATTAACACAAATTGATCCTTTAGTACATTTTCACTGGAAATTCTTGGAATTAACAACAAATTATCTTGCCTATCCATTAACCTCTAAAAATTGAAAGTTGTTCTTAATTAATTCTCATATTCTAAAGATTGCAATACTGATTGAAAAACCGCCAAAACTGACCCGCTCTTCACCTACAAACATGTGTATATATGTATATATTTTGCACGAAGCACATGAAAAAAAGAGCGTGCGAAGGCGCGTAAAAAATACTATCGAAAGTAGGAAATTCAGTTATACACATAGGCGATGGGTGTTTTATGGACTCTGACTATGGTTCCGGCTATTGAACCATCGAATTAAAGGAGAGGAAAAAATGTTCCGTTTCTTTTCACCAATGTTTTTATTATTTAATATATAAAATTTTGTTGAAAAAAAAACTCTTGCCGCACGAAAGACGGATAAAAAGTGATCTCTTATGCCTGTTTTTCACGTAAAAAGAATGTTGGATAGCAAATTATATTATGGTTTTGTTTGATATAATGTTATAAATGCGGAGAAAAGGGTATAATTTTTTTCTGTCACATAATTTATGCTTGCAGGCAAACATTTTGCCATAGTGCCTTGTCTGCTCTTGTTTCACATAAGCATTGTCAAGCACATTCGATCAAATTATTCTATAAAGAGAAATAAATCGGGCAACAATTGATACGGATTCAATTGAAAATGGTGTGTTATTAATTTGTGAAAGCGAAATTGGCATAATAATTGCACTTAACATCATACAAAATACATTTAAGCATATAATTTATATGGTAATATATTCCAATGGTGAAGTGATGGTGCTGAAGAGGAAATGTGTGTGAGCTCATGAAAGCTCTGATGGCGAAAAGTTTTTTGAGATCTCTCACATGAGTGAAAGAGAAAATGAGAGGCGTTGAAACGTCCTTAAGCTCTCATATTATACAGATTATTAATGAGGTGAATTCTCAAATTTTGACGCACATTTCTATTTACTTCAATAAACTTTCAACACTTGGTGCTCATTAGAAAGGAAAATCACATATTGCAGAATATAATTTATGTCTGTGTGTGGAATTGCTTCATTGGCAAAGTGGAATTTTTCTATAACAATTTGCCATTGAAGAATTTAGACTGAAAATGTTTGAATGTGAGCAATATTTAGAGTAGAGTAACGGAGAAGAAAAAGTATGTCTTATTTCAGAGTTCCTTATTTGCACTGAACATCAGTTTGTCTAATTGTGATGATAGTAAAATGTAGCAAAACCACACACTAAACATGCTCATTAAAGAAAGCGTGCGCAATATAAAGTAAACACACCATTAAGTACATCGCTAATTGTTTGTATAATGAAGGGATTCTCGGTGAATCTTGTTCAGTGTTTCTCTTCATTCAACTTCCTCGATTCACTTTTGTCTGGCACGTGAGACAAACGCGAGTGTGTTGCAAGAATGCTAAATGGCATTTGAGCAATTCGTGCATGATAATGGTAAAATGGTAAATCCTCCAGTTGTTGCATGATCTTCACAGTTGATCTTGAGGTTTTGTGTGTGCATTTGTCTATTTTCTCCATGGCTAAGATTGTGTGAGATTCCCGCCACGTGCCAACAATTGAATCATGATTGTTCTCCTCGACATTGATTCACATTAATTCATGCGTTTGCTTTTCACGTCTATTTCTAGGTGAACATTACACCATGAGACTGATCCACCTCCTACTGGTCGTTGCACTCCTCAGTCTCGTCCGGATTGTCAATGTGAGTGGCATTTTATTTCACCTGTGATTTTATCACCAATCACCAAAAACTATCGGGAAATTTGCATATATTTGTCATTCAACTAAAAACTTTCCTATTTCAACATCAACACTTTTTTTTCTTCCTAGAGTTTTACTCTATTTCTGTGGCAAAATGCATTTTATGTAAGACAGATGTGAACGAATGGGGGAAAAAGTCTCGGCTACACTTAGAATAACTCTTAATTGGCTATAAAAATAGCCCAGAGTAAGACAAATTAAATAATGTTAATCTGGTTTCTATTTCGTGCAGTGATTTGCATTATGTATTTACAGTGAAAACGCTTGTTTTCGCTGTTTAAAAGTAAAATGTATGTGTTAGCAAAAATGTTTATAATCATTAGAAAATTATGATTATGATTATTTTGAGAATATTCGTAAATTCCAGAGTTGCAGATTTTTAATCGTTTTGTATGGAGTGTTTTTGTGTGAGTTCTTTTAGATAAACAAACACATCAAATGATACTTAAAATGTATGCGTTTCAGGTTCTCCTTTCTATTTACAAGCAAGATATCATTGACGTTTCATTGCTCACATGAATAGCAGCGCGATGTGTAATTTTATCATGATAATATACCTAATTTGGACATATAAAACTTTCTTCCACATCTTTCTTTTCCACCCATTAAAGACAATCAAGAGGGCTAAATTTGTGATTTTTCGCTCAATTTTCTCCCGAGTCATGAGAGATGTGTGTCAAATGTGAAATTGAACTGAAAAAAGATCTACTTACGCAAAGGCAGATGAGATGTGGCGAGGAATGGAGAAGAAAATGCCTTAGTTAGTTTCATTAAAGAGATGTTGTAAAATGGAAATTATGCAGAAAGAGGCAAGATTATTACAGTAATTTGTCACAGCTTTTTCACTTTTCGTGTGAAGAAACACCAAATTTTGGGAATATCTTTTTTCCGTTGTTGTTCATTGCGATGAGCTTTTGACTTGTGTTTTAGAGATTAGTATTTGTATACTCGTTGAGAGCCTGTGTTAATCCGGTTCCACGGGTAAAAGCGAAAGTATGGAGCCTTAATGATTAAATCAGTTTGAATCACAATCACGTCATTGTGCAGTTTTCACTCCACAATATATACACGCATGTAGAATAGGAAGAATTATATGGTTTGCAGTAGACGACAAAAGGTGACATGGAAGATTACACATTCCACTGTTATTACCAAAAAATAGAGCACAGTTCATGAGGTGACAAAGTCATTTTGTTCTCTAAATCCTAAACTAATAATACGTGCAAACGTGAGGATATTAATTTGTGAGCTGAGATGTTGATTGTGTGGAATTACACCAAGAAAAGGGGAAATTTCACAATGAAGCACTCAACATTATGGGATCTCAGCTAGACAACCTTTCGATCGTGCTGCAATTATTTCCACTCATTTTGTATGTACGCAAAATACGTCTTCTTTCATCTCTTGTACTTGCAAGACATGAACACGTTGTGTATTTTAATGCATTCGACATAATGCGTATTCTGCAGATAGTAATAATCACTATTGTTGCTTGCTCTCTGGCATTTTCATACACATTTTCTCGGATGTTCATAGCAAATGTACATACAAAAAAAGAGAGCAAATACCTTAATAATCTTGCAGTAATATAAATTGTATCATTTTTTCTATACTGATGATTATATAATTTGAAATTTACCAGCATGGAATATAAATGACAAAAGTGTCCAATATATGAAAATAATAAATGCGTTACATATCACTATTTCGAAATGAATATCGGCAGATTGTTATGAATTTGTGGATCATGTAGCATTTTAGTTGTGGAAAGACAATAGAAAAGTTCACTTTTATTTCAATGTTAGCTTTATCGCGCACCTTAATCAAGTGTGTTTCTTGGATTAAAGCATGTATGAAATTTATGATTTATGAATGACAATATCCAAGAGAAAATTGTCAACTAAAGTGAAGGGAAAATGAATTTAAAACAATTAATCTTGTTGACTATGCGACGTGTTTTTGAGGAGTTTCAAAAGAAGAAAGTAATCACTCAAATGCGAGTTTCTTTTCTTCTTGAAACTTTAGTGTACAGAACAAAATTTATATCACAATATATTGTAGATATTCTGCTCTGGACTTCATAAGATCGATGAGGTAACATAACGCAAAATTTCTGTATTTATCCGTGTCCGTGTTACTACAATGATATTGCATGCCGGCAAGAGAGTGTGTTCGATTACAGTCCAAATTAACCAATTCATCTGTTACAATTACATCGGATTTCAAAGAAAATTTGATCATTTCTAACGCAATTTTTCTTGCTTTCGATTAGAGTATAATTCACCTTTTTCGTGTTATTACTCGTCAATTGCAATGAAATGTTATGAAAAAGTTAAACTGTGTCTTGAATCAGAATGTCATTAACTAATAGGCAAAATATGTGAATATACGTGTCTTTCATTCAATCCACCAGTGAAATGAAAAGATACAAATATTTATTTGTTTATTTGAAAATACTTTCATTGTACAATAATTGAGTTCTTCAATGCAATGAAGTTGATGGTTTTCTCTTTGAAAAGAAAAAGAATATGAAATTGAAAAGAAAAGCCGTTGAGCTTCAGTGAAAATGATGAATGTTGAGCGTTTTATAAATAAAAATACATCAATGTCGCTTTAATTGCTACTTATTTGTAGATTTGGCAGTTTATGCATGGCGAAGACTCTTAATTTAAGATCGTGTTGAATGTGAAATGAAAGCAGTGAGAATTTCTAAATAAAATATTGCAATCATTCAAGTGCAAAATACTTAATGGAAAAATGTATTTATCGCTAATATTTCTTGCTAATTAAACAAATTTTTTACTCCAAAATTAATTACCCTAAATTGCAGCAATGTTTGCTATGTAGGAATATGCAGAGAAATTTTTCGTCAAATCGTGAAATATGGAAAAATTCGTATGAATACAAATGGTGAGAAGGAGAAAAAAAGGAGCAGAAAATGCTTGTCTTGATATATATGTTAAAAAGAATGCGGCAACCCAAAAATGAAAGTTAATTTGTGCTCGCGTTGGATTTTTATGTAATTCTGCAAACACCCAGAAGAAATAAGAGCATTGAAAATGATAAAAGTCACAAGAAATTAAAGAGCAAGGTGACTCCGTTTCTCAATGATTATGGACAAGAAGGATTGCATTAATAGGAGTCAACCTTTTTTGTGAATGTTGATTTGACGTTGTCCGGAATCTTGATGGCATTTAAAGTTTAAGAAGTGCTGAAGTTGATCATTTCGAGATCGACCGGTTTATCATGCAATAAATTGAGTTCCGTGATTATATTTTTTTACTATTTGGAACACTTTTTTGTAGAATCATTCAACAGGACAAAGAACCAAAGACTCTCAATTGCCTCACAATCACACTTTCGCATATTCACTTGGTTATATTAATTGCTGAATAAGCCCAACAATAAAAGAACAGACAAGTGAAAACAAGGTCGTTTGAGTGTTTTATAAAAAATTATTCACTATGCGCTCAAGTATTAAATATATGTACATGATCTTGGGTGATTTTGGTCTCCGACTAATCAACATTTTACTCACTTTACAATCTCTTATGTACATATTTTGCCTGGTTTGCTGCAAAGTAAATTGCAATACGATCTCGTTCGTTCATAATAGAGGAATGAAAAAAAACAATAACGACTTGAATGGAATCGTGTGCAAATTGGATCAAATCATTTGAACAGCCGCGAAAATGAACTCTGTTATATGCGTTCAAGTGCTGCGAATAAAAAAAAAAGTGCGCCTCTAAGACTTGAAGGCATATTTTCTCTCGCCGTCACACGGAAAACATGAAATTTTACGGAAAATAAATTTCCTGATGTACCACTTTTGCACAATAATTTCACTTTTATCCACACTCATTGAGATCCAAGTGACAGTCATGGAAATAATTATTAATTCACGCTATTTCGCTGTGACATGCCCAAATATCAAACGGGTTCAAACACTTGGAGAATTACGCAAGATGATTTTGTGTGTGCGGAGGAGAAAAAAAACCTCTCGATCTTGTGCGACAGTTGAGTTATTGAAAGAGTATGCTTTCGTGTGGATGAGGTTAATCAGGGTATGAAAATTACACATCTCAATTCTCCTGATGGTTAATATCAGTTATAATGAGTACAAATTATGGAATTATACGAGTGTATTTATAAACCTTCCCTCAACTGTCGATGGCGAGTCTTTTGACTGGATGAAGTGATCTTACAATTTAATTACGCTGCTCAATGTGCTCCAGATACCGGTTTCACGAGTCTCTCGCACTCTCCATTTCATTTGCAGCTCTTGTTCTTTTTACGCGCGAGATATAATATTTACAAAATGGGAAAAGAAAGTGGGTGATAACACTTTGTCCGCAGTCAATGATCGCGAAATTGTATACAATGCATTACGGGGAGTTTCTTTGATTTATCATTTCTATCTATGGCTTCAAAAATGTCTTATTATCAGTAAAAGATTCTATTATTACTTGAAAGTGTTATTTATTAATTGAAACGAAGTGCATACAAAGAAGAATAAAAGGTACCGAAAAAGAAGGAAAGCACTGAATTTTTGATATTCTTCCCAAGTATTACCTAAAACACCCACAAGATAATATTTTAAAAAGTGATTTGATCGACAGTTGAGTTTTTTCTAATATTTTCCACTATTTTCGTACTGTGGTACAACGCTTTGTTATCGTAATTATTCATTTCTTCTTCTAAAAGTTCTTTAAATGAATTTCTTTCTTGTTGATGATTTTTATTAATTCCTTTTAATCCGAATGGAGTATCTTAACACTCGATTTTATGGCATTATTTATTAAGAGATCCGGATTAGCTGGGCGTTAAGCCAGTTTTTTTGACATGTGAGGAAACCACAAAGAATGTCGAAGGAATGCCTTGTCATCGTCACACTCAAAGTCTTTTCATCCTGATGCACTGGAGGTGTAATGAAATTACCTAAAGCCGATAATACAGTGCTTCTCTGCTGCGGTTTTGCAGCACTTTCTTCTTGTGTCCGCGAAAGAAACAAAAAAAAAGAAGAGATAAAAACCACGCGAGAAATAAAACCATTAAGTGAAATGAGATGGCAAAGTCTCGTGTCTTTTTCTCGGAAATTGCTGAAAGTTTCACGGCGACTCACCACAGAAGGACAATGTTAATCAAAATTAATTCGTCACAAAAAGTGTGTTCATGAAAGTGAATGTGTGGGAGTAATCAAAAATATATATGTAGTTTGAGATTGTCCCACGATTGAAGATGAAATTGTGGGCCGAAATTAGAGATGAGCCGTAAAACATGTGTGTGTATTTTTGACAAAATCCGTGATTAATGTGTGAATTTTCAAAACTATAATGACTATCGGATTCCCTCAAATGCCAACAGAAAGTACAAATGATGAGCACTAAAGGGAGAAAAGGTTCATTTCCAAGAAGATAGCCAGATTAAAATCAATGAGAAATTTCAAGGTGTTAAATTAATATTGCTTTTCATGTCCAAATTTTGGTTTACCTCTAATATGTTGTTTCTTTTGCTTTTCCTCATTACTTCATCGCAATACAAAGAGTTGAATACATTACGATATACGATCAGTTTGTGCTCCACACGCACCTCGCGATCAGTTTTACTTTCTACCGTCTTCGCGACTTCTTCTTTTTCATGACTAATCGCTTTTCTGCAACGTTACATTGAGACTTACACCTCGATGGACTCCGCGGTGATTACGTGCCTCAGCGATTAGGTGTTTGCAGTTAACCTGCACGATTTTTTTCAACATGACCAGAGAGAGAAAAAAAAGATTGGAAAGAAGTTATGAAATTGATAATGAGTGCCACTTTTTCTACCTGTACAAGCTTCTGAATGATCGCACGACTTGTTACTTTATAATGCTGTGCTTTATTTGAAGATGAGGCATTATTGCGCTTATTAATGAAGAAGTGCGAAAATGCAGCAAATGAAAAAAATGTGGCGCGGAAAAACATGATTTAGGAGGAGATTATTTCGTGGCATGCGAAAAACGATCAATCAGTAAAGTCGATGGCGAAGAACATTTTCAACATTATGCAACACTTGATGGAAGACATCCAAAAGTCTGATTTATTGAGTTCTCCTCATTAATACCTCGAATCTGCACTTTCGGTAGTTTTGCTGATGCATAATGAAGGTTGTATTGTAATTGAACATGTGGAAAAAACAACGAGGAAGTTGGTGAAATTGTGCGGATATTTTAGTATATTTTAAAAACTCTTTAATGTGTTTCTTCAATAATTTCCATGTCGATGACTTGAGAGTGCGTTTTTCGGGTGAAAAAGAAAAACCACCCGAAAAAGCACATTAGCTGAAAACAACAGCCAATTTACAATTGAAATCCACTGTAATTTCATCCAATTGAACTTTCTTCTTTTCTGCCTTAATGATTGCGATGTATGTCTTGTGTTTTTTCGGTCATTTTCCCTTTCTTCGCCATTGTACTCTTTCTTTCTCCCTTTGTCGTCAAAAGTTGACCATTTTCTTGTGACAATTTGACAAAAAAGAATAAAAAATACATTTTTGACGCATTGCATTTTTTAAATTTCTGACTGAATGCTATTTTGTGGTGTCTTTGCAGTCACAGCAGCGAAGATCATTGCACAGTAGCTGGGATGAATTCGACGGAGACGAGGATCCTGTTTACATTCCAGAGTACGAAGATGAGGATGTGTATGAGAAAGTGGTGGATATCAGAGCTGTTCGTGGATATTCGCCAACAGCAAAATTTACAAAGAAGAGTGACGAAGCCAAAGTGTCGGAAGACAAAGAGAATCGAACGAGTGCAGGAGTGAAAGTGAGAGGCAGAAGTCGGTTTCAGCCCTCATCGCCGAGATCTGAGACAACAACGACAAGAGGCACTGACACCACATCCAAAGTGTCTAAGTACACGCGACAGCGACAAGTCAATACACCCAGGCGACCTTACACAACAACACAGAAGCCACGAAACTCGCCAGCGAGCACACCAGACAGTCAGTACAGCTGGCGAAAGGACATTGTTTATGGGAAGAATGACGAGGATCAGAAGAATCCGCCGAGAAGATATGAATCTCGCAATAGAACAATGACGAAAATTCTGTCCGAAGTCACACCGCGAGGAGAGTCAGACAGTCCACCGGCGAGAACAACTCAGGACTTCACAACGAAGATCAGTAGCAGGACGAGGGATCCGAAGAAGAGTTCTGAGACGAAAGAGGAGAAGCGCAGATATAATCCTGTGCAGAGAGAGAGTCGCAGAGGAAGAATAATCACGACGACAGAATCAACAGCAACGACAGCGGTCAAATTTGTGCCAACGACAACAACACGACCAACAACAACGACACAAGAAGTTCCGTCGACGACTGCAAAGAAGATTGTCAACTACCCGACAACAACGTCATTGCCAACGACAAGACTTCTTATCACGACTAAACTGCCAACAACGACAACAAAACTCTTTACAAGGCCTGCAATTGTCACAAAAGCATCGACAACGACTACAGAGACTCCATCCAAAGTGAGCAGCTTCACGAGAGTGTCTCTAGAGAGTGCAGCAGATCAGTCGAAGCCAGAATCAACCAAGGAGTCCACAAGATCCTCACCGCCTTCGCGAGGCAATGCATACTCGTTTTCGAAGTACTCGCCAAACTCATCGGCATCAGATGACAGTGACGAAGAGGAGAACTATCCGGAGCACTTCAAGAAGATGCTGAGGCAGATGCAGGAGAAGGAGAAGGGCGCATCAGTGGTTTCGACCACGGAAAAGCCCCGCCGAGTGGAACCAACGAGACCGCGATTCATTCCGCGCGAGAGGCCAACGCCATCGACAACTTCAACGTCCACCAGCAGTGGATTGGGGACGAAAGTGAAATATGGTGGCAGAGACAATGCAGATTTGCCGCTTAAACAGGCGAAACGTGTGAAATTACTGGAGAATTTTAAGTCGGCAAATGATGGTGATAATTCGATACCTCACACTTTTCCCACCACTTCAACCACAACAACTCAAGAGACGCCGAGTTTCGTGCCGGCGCCGAAGAGATCAAAAGTTGTTGTGCAGGAGAGCTACTCAAAGATAAGCACTCAGAGTTCTGTCGAGAGGCGAAAACCAGCCAAGGCGAAGGACACGCAATCCGATTGGCGATCGCACATGCGAAAGCCACCATCGACAGTGGTTCCAGTGACGTCAACGACACCCAGCACAACTCATGACATTCCCGTGACCACGGCGAAATACGTGCAGAGCTTCAAGAGTCACTTCAATCCTTTCCCGAAGGATTTTGATGACTTCGGCACATTCTCGCAGCAATTCAGCGGGCGAACGACGTCCGAGCCGCAGCATCAAAATGCAATTCAGGGGAATTATGTAAATTTCCACCTTCCCACAGTGAGTATAGATAGAGTTTCAACTTTCATTTGTGATCTCGATCGCACCATGATCTTTCCCATGCAAATTATATAGTGGTCCATATATTTTAACGACAATTTTTATTTCTCGCTTTTTATACCGCAAGCTTTTTTTTTCTTATATATTGGTTTGGGGTTAGGAATGTCCAAATATCTATTCGGTCGTGTGAATATCATAAAATATTTATTGCGATTGCATACAAGAGAGATAACATCAAAATACGGATGAAAATGGCAGATGCGAAAGATGATATTTAAATGAGGAATATAGTTATGAGTATTTATTTTTTTTAGTATTTTGGTGTAGAAAGAATTCCTTTCATCACAATTTTGTGATTCAGTTCTTTGATCTTACCTGGTTTAATTGTGAATTTTGCAGATATTCCTTCAGTTTTGAATTTCAGATTAACCAACTATTACAGAATCATATATAATTTAGTACACTCTTTATTTTTATAGTAGTCTAATGCCACACCATCCCCTATTTTATGACTTTGATTGGACAATTTGTAATCTGTGATGGTGCATTTTCAGGTGTCGTACTCCTCGTCAACCGTATCGTCGCAACTACCAACGACGACATCACGCTACAGCTCGCGCTACCGGAACATTTACAGGGCTCCAGCGAGCTCCTTCGTGTCCCAGAGGCACGGTCCGTCGGCAGCCATTGGCCATCCCGTTTACATTCCCACAATTCCATCCATACGCACCACCCATTCCACAACACAACAACCGGTACGTTTTCTCTATGTGACTGGCTCTAAAAATGCCGCTGTACACTCTCTAATGAAGTATTTGCATAAGTTGCGACAGCGCGTAATGGTCACGGTGGTCAAGGCGTTTGCTGACGCCTCCGCCACGGATAAGGCGCTTTTTGGCAGCGGCGCCGCTAAAGCCAAGGTCACCTTTGGTGATCGCAAGATAAAGAAAGCCAAACATTGGTGAAATTTATATGAAATTACTATTATCCAATTGAACCTCTCTTTCTGTCTTCTCTCCTTATGTTTGACCAAAAAGCGAATGGCATCATCATCCAATTAATTGACAAAAACGCATAATATGAATTTTCTCCCAAAGAAAAAGAAAAAAATGGGAGAAGCGACAGAAGACGAAAGTATAAATGCTCATTTAAAATTCATTTTCATTCTCATACACATTGGACTTCATCATTCACCTTCTTCTCTCTGTCATTTCCCCTATTTTTTACATACCGACTTTTCTCTACCTCTGATATTTTCTCTCTTTCTCTCTCTCTCTCTCTCTTTCTGATTCCTTTTCACACCCACACACAGAGTTTGTTATCCCACCTCACAATCACCTGTTTTTTTGTTGTTGTTGTTAGTTTTGTTATTAGCTGTGCAAACTTTGAGGTATATTCGCATACGAAACAGTACCTTCTATGCAAATAAGTAGTTGAATACACCAAATCACAATTTTAGTTCATAAGTAAATGGTTCAATTTAGTTAGAGAGACACTTAGAAGAGTTTTGAGTGCTCCTTTTACTAGTTGCTCACCTCACGCAATCTCAAAAGATATTAGTATAGGTAATCTTGAGATTATTTGCACAGTGTTTCTTAGCGTGTGTTTGTGTTGTTTTTCATTAAGTTTTTTTTTGTTGTTGAGACTTTTGTTGTGTGGGAAAAGTAAAGAAAATCCTTTTTGTGTGCTCTCTTTTTTCTCTCTGCAAAGGTATTTCAGTGGGAATGGTCTATAATTCATCCACCGGTGAGGATCAACGATTTGCATAGCGAACCGCAGTGGAGCCTGTTTTCCAGTCCCCTCCCGACTCATCGGTGGAACGCGGGTGGACCGTTTAGGGATGGTTATTTCTTTATATGAATCATCTACTCCTGTTTCATGTGCGTAGTCGCACAAATGTTGCTCTTGAGATGCTCTCTCCTTTGCCAAAAAAAAGATAAGAAAGACAGACGACCAGACCAAAAACCAACCATACAAATCATCAATCATCCTGTTTGTTTTGTTATCATTGTTAATTTGCATATTATCTTGTTGATTTCCCCTCATCATAAAATTAACCTCTAGTGCACCATATCGACTCTAACAAACTCGTTTTTAGTAGTGTAGTTGCATTGTATTCATACATATAAATATCATATGGTCATGTGGAATATGAATTGTTTTCTTTATGCCAATCTCATTGCGTTTTACTCATAACTTGATCATTTGTGTGTCTCTTGTACTGTGTTTATAGGAGGAATGCTGAATCCATTGCAAAAAGGACATGGCTTCTCGTAGTTGTTTCATGCTTCAAAAAGTCAAGAATATCCTAAGCAACTTTGCTTTCAATGTATAGCTTTTCATATATTAAGAGGTTGTTGGGACTTTTTTGCTTTATTCCTTTATTGAAATTTTTCATTCTCATCTATTTATGCAAATTTCATTCATTCATTGGACGAAATTGAGTGAAGTTCCTTTATTGTTCACAAAATATTGACTCGATGAATTCGCCGATGTTTGGCTTTTTGAAGTGATGAAGCGAATTTTCTTTTTCCCGTTTTTCTTTCGAAAATGTTTCTTTTCGACTTATTCAGCTTTACAAAACAAGCACGAAAATCAAGATTAGGATGACTAACGAAATCCTTTCTAGATTATGAATCGTCAAAATCTTCAAAAGGACAAAAATTACAATTTGGTTTTGTAAATTTGGTATTTGTTGACATCTTCTTGAAATCTGGATTTTTGATGCTTATGTTTCTCCTTTTTTTCGTTCACCTTTTGTGTGCTTTACCCTAAACCGTGTGCAGCAAATTTTCTAGAGATCACAGATGTTTTTCCTCTTTCCCCTCTCCCTCAAATTTCCCCCTTTTGGTGTATGAAAAGACAAAAGAACCGAACAAATTTTCAGGAATCTGCTGTAGGAATGCGCGGACCGCGAGGTGGACTCAATACAGATTCGCACGATGATTATGACTCTGACTTTGCTGACCATCACAGTGAGCAGCTGCCGTACAGCAGTGGTCTGACGCAGAGTCAGATCAACGTCGAGACGTCCAATCATTCGCCATCGGTGACGGTGTCGATCTTCAGTGCACTCGCGGACATTCTCTCCCAGACAACAGAAAGTATTGAAATGTCGTCTAGCTCCACGGAAAATCCTGCCGCCATTGGCGATAGTACAGATAAGCGTAAGGGTAGAGATGAGACCACCACTTCAGCGGTTACTTCACCTACTTCTACCACCACAACAACGCCTAGCACGACAACCACCCAAAGCACAACCACCACAACCACAACAACCACTACGACCACAGTATCTACGACTTCTGTGGCTAGTGAAACCACCACAGAACAGGTAGTGGACATGACCAGTTCCGTTCCAAGTCTCCTTGTACATAGCCGTGGGTTTGGCCAACACACTGAGGATGAAAATGAAGTGTCGAGTGATGTGTACACAACGCAAACTCCCACAATTATTGCCGTCACAGAACCCATTCCAACCACGACCGTTCCCGTGGAGGACGAAGTCCTCAGTACACTCCCTCCAGGCACAACACTCCATCCCACAACCCAGAGCACAGACACCCCCGCTGAAACTAACACATACTCACTAATTCAAACTAGTATTACTACCACTACCACAATGACACCAGCGGAAACACAGAGCGCGGGAACAGAAGTCGATGGCGAGCAAACTGAGACCACGGTTGATGATACCACTTTGATCACTCAAGCTTACAGCAGTACAGAGCCCAGCAGCATTCCCTCTCGCTTCGGCGACTACCAACTACCTCCCCTGCCACTCGGCAGCATCCTCACCACCAGGAGCATGCCACCGACGACGCCACCAACACTGACCACAACTGCCCAGACGACAAGCGCCAAGCCAGCTGCAGTTCACGCCCCACGACGTCGCGACTACGTCGTATTCGGCATCCTGCCTAACAACACAGTGGTGGCGCGGTATCCAGAGGAGGAAGTGGTGCGAGAGCAGCAAAGCAGCGACTCTCTGGTGGTGTATGGCATTTACCCGAACAACACGGTGGTGCGAAAGTATCCCAACGGCACGATCGTTCCGGAGGGCACTAAAAATCAAGTACTAATTACTGATATTGACCCGAAGAGTCTCACAGATCCCAATAGCGATTTCCATCGGCTCCTTAGTGATTCCCAGAGTGCCACCACGGTAACTAATTCAGGGATATTATCTTTATATCTATATGTATACGCCCTCCTTGGACGGAGGGAAATACTAACCACCGACTAACTGCTTCTTTGTCGATTTATCTCCTCACAAGAGTCCCCTTAACACTCCTCAATTTTCTGCCACTCTGATGCGGTTGAGGTGCTTTTTTCCGTAGTTGTGTTATGTGATACTATGTAAATGGCATCCCTATTGGCTGTACGATCCCACTCCCCAACTGTATACAGAAAGTATATAATTAGTGAATGGTAGAAGCTGGAGAAGTGGTGTGTAGAGGAACAAGAAGAGATGTTATGAGAGAAATTTGCATCCCCTATGAATTAGCTGAAAACATTCCCCCAGAGATCAATGAGTAAAGGTTTCTGTGTAGCTAAACACAATCGCCACGCGAGACTTTTTCGGTGGATTTGTGTCCTATGTACGACTATTGCAGAATTCACCGCAAATCTTCCATCTGCTGAAGAGACTGAACCAATCTGAAGAGGCGCACGCCAAGGGTGACCACATCATCAGTCTCGTGCCCGGCAGGACAGGGCAAATGGACACAACGTCCTCGAGTGGATTCTCCACTACGGCAGCGCCAACAACGAGATTTGTCAGTCCGGAGACGCAAACGCCAAACAAATATCTCACATTGGACATCGATCCAGTGGTGAGTGCAGAAATGCATTTATTTCAAAAGTCTAATCTTTGAATGGAAATAAGACGAAAAGAGGCGGGACTCACAAGTGGGCGTGTTTTATGTATGAATTGTGGTCTTTGTCAAGTTTACAGGTGAATTGCCAACTTTTTTTTAATAAGTTCATATCATTTCACGGTCTCTGTCTTACGAGAAACGTGGTAATTAGGCAGAAAGAAATTTTAATATTTATATTCATATACTTTTTAAGTCATGCATTGAAGCACAAAGTTGAACTTTCTACACTTTCGTGAATTGTGTCAAAGTCTTTTCCGGGAAATTGGAGCTCTTTTGCTTATTATTTGAATAACATATGATTGAGAGATATATTTCGAGTCATGTGCAGAGATTCATGAAATTCCTCTGTTATCGAAATTGGATTCACCCGAGTGCAAAGCAAATTACACCTTGCACTTCATTCGCTTCATTTTTCAGAGTGCGCCTAAATCACTTTCGTTGAGCGATTTGCACACTTCCTCTTATAAATTCAGCTACCATTTGATTCCTATGGGATTTTCACTTTCAAAATTATAAATAAATACTTGTTGGCTCGTTATAAGAGCACTTTATTGCATAACACACCTGTGCACAATGAAGCGAGAGAAAATTTACGTGAAAATTGTAAACAGACCTTTGCAATTGCATGAGTGGAATCGTGTTATTTTTTTATTGTCTTTACAGACAAATCAAGTGCGAACAGGAGCTGATACAAAGTTGGATGGAACCATTTACAATTGGAAGCCCGTGACGACGACAAATTTGCCGCAAGAGACTAAAGTCACGGCTGAGATGAATACCGAAGTATCAACAGGAGGAAATACAGTTGTGCAATCCTTGACGACGATAAAGTCTCGTTTTGGCAACACTGTCACTGAAGCTCCTAAAGATCGGGACAATTTGATTTTCGACGAGGAAACAACATTGCTGACGACAGTGGGACGAACAGTGACGCCTAAACCAAGCACAACGACGCAGCGAACAACGACGAAGAAGGAGACAACGAGACGAAAAACAACGACGACCAGACCAACTCTGAGTGAAGAAGAAGAGCGAAGAACTCTTGAGAAGAATCTGGGATACTTACAGGAGCTCCTAGGATTGGTAACTCCACAGCCAGGAACGAAGAAGCCAACCATAGTCACGCCGAGTAAGACGACAACCACTACAACGACTCCAACAACTACAACGCCTCTGACTACGACTACAACTTCAACCACAACTACAACAACCACGACCACTACTCCGAAGCCCACCACAACTTCAACTACGACAACCACAACGACCGAATCGACAACAACTAAGGCTAGAAGTACGACTAAACAACCAACTAGAACAACAACAGTACATTCTGACTTTGAAGATCTGGCCTTTCTAAATAGGCTGGTAAGTAGAAGCTTAAGATCTGTACGTTGGTTAATTCTATTCCACTGACTGTGAATTTGTTTACAGCGACAGATCTTTCAAGTAGTCACAACGACACCGCGTCAGAAGGCGAAGAAGACAACTAGTAAAACAACAACAACCACCACCACAACGACAACAGAGGAACCAACAACATCGAAAACGCACAATTTGGAGCTTTTACTGAACCTCAACGAGGTTACTGCCAGCACAAGCGCTCCTTCTAGGATACCAACAGTTCACACAGACGAAGAGGACATTGAATTCCTAAACAGTTTGGTAAGATGATCATTTTTGGGATCAACGCATCTGGAAGGAAGCTTATTTATTTATTTCTTATTGTAGCGAAACTACGCCAACATAATTAGTACGCCAGGACCTGGAAAAGGATCAACTTTGGCACACAGAATTGTAGAATTAGCAGTGAATCGAACGGGCAAAGCGGCAAGTTCATATCCTCGAGATTCCATTGCGACAACGCCAATCGTGCCGACGAAGGCAACCTCGGCCAAGAGCACGACTAAGGCGAGTGCGGACACCGTTCAGGAGGACTTGCAGTCAGTGTCAAAGGACTTGGACTTGCTGTCTCAACTGCTCGGTCGTCCTGTTTCCCTGTCAGACTTGCCGACGCTCACGAAGGAGTTTCCTTCGTCAACCCGAGCCGCCGTTGCCACGATGACGTCCTTGCGGAGCACAACCGACACTTCGGGCAACATAGATGTTCGGCCGACGGACTATGGCAAGACTGATGACGCCATCCTGGCAGCTGTGCTCAAGCAGAGAGGCATCGGGCCGTCGCACAACAGTGTTCCCGTCGAGGAGCTCTTCGTGCCGCCACGCACGACGTCGCGACCCAGGTTGCTGCCGCCGCCCACGGCCAGACGGCCCATCCTCGACGGCCTCACGTGGCTGTGGCGCACGTGGCAGGACACGGCGCCGCGGTCCAACAGACAACAGCCGGCGCCAAGTCGGCCGGTTCTTCAAATTTCCGGTTTCCAAGCCTATCAGACGCAGGATAACGATAGTCCCGATAATGGCGGCATCGATCAAGATGCGATTCCGGTGAGTTTCACCACTTTCAACAGTTCTTAAAATCCTCCAGTATCACCTAAACTTATTAAAGCTGCAAAGTTTATTTGCTGTTCAACAATTCGTGATGCCAATTAGTTTTATTTACTTGTATATTCTTTCGTCCACAGAGACCTTTGGATGCAAACTATGACTCGAACGCCGGTCCAGGATTTGGCGTGGGTGGACAATTATTGAATGCAGCAATTGGCGTGACTCAGGCCGTGACGCAATTTCTGGGAGTCGCGTTTCAGGTGAGAACACCTTACGAATGGCAGACGATTGTGCTCGTTTAACACTGTGAATTCTCTTCAGGGTGCAACGAGATCGTTCCAGAACGCCTTCAGCAGCAATCCAACTGACGATCGTTATTACCGATTAAGTGGAAGATGATGAACTTCCACGAATCCTCTCCTAATCTCTACGTCATTAGCTTTTTAAGGTCTGTGCAAGAGTTTGTGGTATAACTGAGATGCAATTTCTGTGCCGCCACGTGAATGCGCCTTACTCGATTTTTTTTTCTCGCTGATATTTAAATGTTAGATAAATGATAACGAAGAATTTCAATGTGTAAATATACGATTAAGAAATAAGCGGAACTGAGATAATATGAAATTAGAGAGAGAGAGTTTTGTAGATCAGTTGAAATTGACATAATTTAATATGTTTACGTCATGTTAAGATGCCATTAGATTTAGAGGAGGACAAAAGAGAGAGAGAGAGAGAGAAATGTATCAAATTAGCTGTACATTTGTGAGCTGTTCTTGCCTGCAGACAATTAAAATAAGTACACAAATTGCAAGGTTCTTTTTATTGGGATAGATTGTCTTATTGCAGAAGGTAAGTAAAATTGCTGTGTTTCCAAAACACAGCTTGCTTAAAATGTGTGCTTAGCAGAGACACTTTAGCTGAGAACTGAGCGACAACCAAGCGTCTCCACTGCACATAAATTCTGTGCATGAGAAGCGAAAGCTCGCCAAAGTGAAACTCCTTATTTTCAATATATTCAATTGATATTTATTATTTTTCAAGTATGTTACTTAATTCGAGTAATACCAAAACATGTCCTTAAAACGACTACAACGCTATGAAATAAGTTTAATTATAGTCAAATATTTCACTATTTATCTCTAGTTTATTATCGTCTTATAATTAACAAGTGTTTTAACAACTATTGGCAGTATTAATAAGTTTAGGTTTCATCATTTATCCAGAATGTTTTTGATTCCATAAATATTTCCACTTTGTCTGTTAATTTTATACTTTGCAAATTGGTTTCGGGTGACTCTCTTTATTTAACACTACAAATAATTTTCTTTCTTCTTAAAGATCAGAGAAACTGACATCATTTAATTTTTTTCCTTTTGTTGCTATTTGCTTTGTCCGTTGCTTTTTTTGGTGTATTGTTTATATCAAAATATACATTTTTTCTTCTTCTTCTGTATTCTGTGTTTTCTATTTAGAGGCAAAATTCCGTCACGATTTCTGTTCCAGTGTTTCTTTTTTTCCACTTCTTTAAACGTTTACACACCTTGTGTATTTGGAAAAAATCCTTTTGTGAAAAAATATGTTTTCTGTATTTTCTTCTCTCCATTCTTTTTTAATATGATAATTTTTTTTTCATTCCGTTATCCAAAATATATTATCAGCATATTTTTTTCTTTCTAGAGCTTATATATTTTTTAAAATTATTTTTTTTATCTGTTTTGTTGCATATTTCTTGTATTGTTTTCAATTCTAATTCTCACCTTTACCTTCAAACCACTGAAAAATGATGTCAGCAAAATTTCTCTCTGTCACAATGTGACTTTTACAATGAGAATCGAAATTGTTTTTTATTATATATGATGTGAAAGCTTAAATTGTTAATTTAACCACAGGCTAAAATTATCGTAAATGCATAGAATGTAAAAAATGGTCAAAAATGCAAATCAAAAATCATCTTCAAAACGTGAACCACATATGATAAAAGCCACCATTTACTTGCGAGACGGTCTTAGGCTAATGTTACAATGCAATCCGAACCACAGAGTTTCTATGACATGTTTATCCATTTAGTTTCTAAAATCGTGTCGATCCTACAATTTGAGATTACTCTGTTACCATTTAGGAATACTCTTAATCATTACACCATGTTTATATGTATTTCTTCAAATGGCAAAATGCACAAATATATTTTAGCTGCATATTTATATCATCAAAGACATTTTTCATCAAAAAATTTTTTTTATATGACTATTTCTTTCTTTCTTTTACAGTAGCATTTCGCTCTTCGTGTGGTAATTATTTTCCATAGCTATTTTGCACAAATTGATGTTGACGATTTTTTTCCCCGCTTGGGCAAAATGAAGGGAAAAAATGCTGTAAATCAGACAAACGCGCAGTAAATTTATGATTTACCTGCACAATTTTCTTGGCTAAAATGTCAAAAAGGCCTCAAAATTCAAACTCTTTATCATAATAATTTACAAGCATGACTGCAAAAATTCATGTGGACCAATTTCGATGTCTGAACATTTGGTCAGAAAGTTGGTGTTTGAGTCAACATCAATTTTTCATACCACTTTTTACCCATAATGCAATATTACACTGTAAATATGATAAAATATGTTTAAGTACTCACAAGTAAAAAACGACGATATATAATTTCCAATGGGTTCCGATAAAAAAAAGGCAATAAAGAGAGAAAAATTCACTTATAAAACCATTTTAGCAAGAATAAAACCAGAAAAAAATAAAAGGAAAAGATAATTTTCAGCTCAGTAAGTAATTTAATAGAAAAAAAAAATATATTCATTATAATTCTAATTAAATCGTAAAAATAGTTTGTGTGTTTCAATAAAACATGAAAACAAACATCAATTATGCACTATAAAATGTTATTTTAATCATAAAAAGTTCCACATTTATTCTCAGATTTTCTCATAACTCTTCACCTCTTTTTTTTCACGAGTTTAATTTTATGTATATCACACGTTTCCTCAATAGGTTTGGTCTCACCATTCAAAAAGAAATTTTCAAATTTTCCATAGTATTTCTTTATCCGTTTCTTTTTCTTCATATAATCTCTCTCTTTTTCTGTACTACCATTTATAGATTCATCCCTTTTTCACACTCTTTCTCCACTAAAATGTTTATTTTTTTCACGTTTTGAAAGAAGTTTCTCATATCACAATTGCACAGTTATACATTCAGTGTTCATAAAATGTATTTCTCATTATATTTTCATTATATCGTTAATCATAGTGATTATATTGTTAATAAGTTTTTTTTCTAATATTTAATGTTCTTTTGAAACTTTTTTTCGGGTGGTGAAAAAAGGACTCCAATTAAGGGTAAAGTCAGAATACAAAAAAAAAAAAAATCTTTTACCAAAAATTTTTCAATTTTCATATCTTCAAGAAAAATTTGCGTTATAAAATAAACACAAGTTTAAAAAAAAAAACTTAAAAATTGCATTGATTTCTTGTTCATTGAAATTCACGTAATAATTCCACCATTGTCAGTTACTTTCCCAGCATCAATTCTTAATAATCTTTCCTCTTTCTTGCGTCCTAACATTCATTATCACATAAATTCTAACTTCTTTATCATCCCACAGAGAAATTCAAGTTATTCACAATAAGAAATATAAAATAGCTTTTCTGCTTTACTCTCAAGAATACAACTATATAGGCTGAATAAGAAATAGGGTGCAAAGTCTCTCTTTCGCACTTTCTTAAAGTTAATACGCATAGCCTGTCGAGATAACACTACAATATTCAGCAATTTCCTCTATTTTCCTTCTCATTTTTAATTTAAGAAAAGTGATATATATATTCTTCGCAAAGGGAATTTTCTGATGTTTTGCTAACATTTAAAATTTGCTCTTGTGTCCTTTAAGGTTTGCTGTTTTATCTGCATAACGAGATAATATTCACTATTCTATTTCCATGCTTAATATAATTCTCTTCCCATCTTAAGAGTGTTGGTAGTGGTTTTTGCTGTTTATTTGCATATTTTTCTTCTTGTTGTTTATTTATCCATTTATTAAGAGCGACTTTATTTGGCAGTTTTCATAGATTAATGTATATAATATATTTAATCTTCTTTTCTTCATCTAAAAATATTTGTATCTGTTGTTGTTGTCCTTCCATCTTTCTCTTTCCAAGAATTTATTGATATTTTGACATGATAAAGAAAAAAGTCATAAATATTCATGACAACAAAAGTCGTTGTTGAATCTTGTTTTCTTTAATGCATTATTCTCATTTGTTCTTACTCTTGAAAAAGCTTTTATTTCTTCAAATTTTGTATGTAATATTTTTTATACATTAGTTCATGATTTTTTTTTCTTCATTAAATTTCATTCTCTCGACACAAGTTTGAAGAATAAAATTTAACATTGAGGTTATTATGGTAGAAAAATAAGCGCAGAAAAGACATTTGCAAAAGTTGACCAAAAAAACGGGGAAATGACAGCGAAACGGCGGAACAAGAATTCTTACTGCCAGTGATTTTATTCCTCCTGAATTCCAATCCTGTGTCATTCCTTATTCATGAACATTTTTCACAACTTAAAGCTGATAGATTTCTTTGAGCACTTTTTACTGAGGAAAAACAGAACTTTAAACTCAATATAGAAGAGAATTGCAAATCGTGTCTAAATTCACATTCTTCATTCTCTTACTAATAATTCGCAACACTTTTCCGTCTATTTTGCCACCTAATATTATAGTGTTTCATTTATCCAATTTTTTTTACCTTTTTACATTTACATTATACTTTTGAAACGCTTGATGTAAAAGATAGAGCAAAAATTTAAACTAAAACGATGCAATTTCCGGAAAAAATTTCGCCATTTCCAGAAATTTCATTTATTTATCAGTCTATACAAAGTGTTTGAAGTTTATATAATGAATAATTTCATCATCTCACCATTCGGCGTTCTTGCCATTCGCAATTTTCCTGGATTGTTTCCACAGAGAGTTGAAAATTGAATGGAATTTTGAAGAACAGAGTCAAACTTATTACGGATACATTTTATCTCCTCCCTTTTTTCCATCATCTCATCAATTATAATATTGTCAATACCAGAGAAGTCAACTGAAAAGTCGCGCTTGTCAGATTTCTTTAAAAAAAAAAAACATCATAAACATCTCTCTTGCTTACAAGGTCCCCTTCTTCCACAATCTCTCTTTATCCTTTTCTTAAATAGAATAACCACCATCGCGCGGAATGCCAGAGAATCTGCCCTCCAAAGTCTTCCAGCATCGTTTGCACATCACACAGTCCGTGGAGAGATTCTATGGCATGCCAAATGTAATGAACATTTCCATCAATATCCATTTTGAACACAGAAGAGCAATGATGTGTGTGTGCTGTTCCAAATGGGAAAAGAGGCTGTCTCGCAGACAGTTCATCAGGACGTCAAAGTGTGTGTGTGTGTGTGTATGTGTCTGAAGCAACAATCCCCATCTCCAAAGACTGCGTCCTTCTCCCCCTGCCGCCGCGAAAAGAGGGCGCTTCTTCTGCAAATCACACGCACTCACTCTCACTGCATCGGATAAATTTGCGTGGGTTGATTGGATTCAGCCACGAAGCGGCCACTCGTCGATCAATCCCAGCCATTCTCCTTAATCATGTGTGCCAATTCGATTATATACTTGCCCTCCTTGTACTTCTGACTCGACTCGAATGCATGCTCCTGCGGAGAGAGGATATTTGCGTTAGCCAAATCTCACTGTCGCCCCAAACAGCGCACCAATGTGTCTTACGTATTTCCATCCGAGGGGCGTTTTGCAGCACTCACAGTAGATGTCAGCCACTGCATGGAGTCCCGTCAGTAATACTCTCTCCTCTGCCTGGCCACAGGCGACATTAACTCTGCCGATGAAGATAAACCAGGTGGTTTTCAGTAAGAGCGTCTTTTAAGTTAAAAAGGCGGAGCATGAAATGGGGCGGAGCTTCAAAAAGACTTTTTATTTAAGACCAACTCGGCTTTAGAAATAAACTCTTCCTTCAATGACTTTTTGTCATTAAAGCAAAATCATTCAAATATTCATCACTTGTGCCACTGCAATTTCCAATCAACGACTTGTGAATATGAGTTCGATAAACTTCATCTTAATAGCCCCACATGGAGTTTGACTAAATATCACACGCGAAAAAATAAAAGAGAAAAGCACAAGAATCGTGGAGAGAATACAGTCGTGTTTAACGAGATTAAAGTCAAGATCAAAATCATACAGGCTCGCCTTTTGCCAGTGTTGTGACTCGTGGACGAATGATAGAGCGGAGGAGATGAGAAAGAAGCAACAATGAAACTTACACGGAATTGAATAAATAGGCTCGTCCTTGACTCCCTTGGAACGACTGAAAATAGAGAAATTGAGAATCATCGCGGTGCTTGAACTCGATATTGGAGGCAAACATGTGAATACTGAAGTGTGTGCGTTGGAGGAGTTAAAGTATCCATCTCTCACTCACTCACCTTCGATATCAGCTCATCGTGACTAGCTAAATGGGCCCGGCAGTGGACGCAGGAGTAAGTTCTGTTTGTCGGTGGTAGATATGCTTGGAACGTCTTCACCATTGTGCCACCGTTGGCGCTATTTGTTGAATTTGTGGTCCCACCGTTTGCGTGTCCGCCGTTTGTGGACGCCGCCGCCTCCTTTCCCCGCACGTCGGTTGATTGGTATCAAAATTTTGGGAAGGACAAATAGTTTAGTAGACAATAAGAAGTGCGCACGCCTTCTCATGCAAATAAGGGTGAAACTAAAGTGGGAAAAAATAAGAGAATTTGATAGACAAATTAATAAAAACTTATAATTCTCTAAGTGGAAATTCCATCAATTCGATAAATTTACTAAATTCATAAATCAACACCAACAAATGGATGAACAAACGTCAATAAATAAAACATTTCAGCTAATGAAAATATTAGCTAATGAAGATATTATGGTCAGAAGTGGAATTTAGATTTCGACCATATTATCTTCCCCTTGGATCGATAGTCAGCTGATATAAATTCACAAAATATATAGAGTTCTACTCACTTGACTTTCCCTATCGATGTCCAGTCCGAAAAACTAAATATTCCTCTTCCCAAAAAGAAGAAATTGTCCAGCAATGACAAGTGATTGAAGAACTCCCACAGCTTTAGCACCCTTCGGACAGTGGTAATTTCCCTCCTCAGCAATTCAAATGAGACTCCCAACGATGTGTGATGCCGCTGCTGCCGGCCGAAGGCGTGTGTCACAGCCGTGAAATCTACAAAGACGAAAAAAAATAGACATGAGCGAGTTGAAAATAAAAACAATTTAAAGCAACATCTCAAAATGTCAATGACTCCTATTGATTCCCTCACAATTTTATCGATACGGCTTCAATCAACACAGAGTGTTTATTAGGGAATTTTCCCACTCAATTCGAGTGTCTTTTCAGATTGATTTTCGGCAGAAGGGTGAGTGAGCATCGTGAGTGAGAGAAATTAGGTCAGACGCCGGAGCACAATGTCAACACCTGACTTCTGCCCACTCTGACACCAGGAAATTCACCACGCAAATATTAATTATGGCCAAGGGGGAGATATTATGCTAGGAAATAGTGTAAAGCTCACAATAACATCAAAATTGATGGGATATTTGACTGAATATAAAACCCCTTCTTCAGAAGGAATTTCATTATGGAAAATACAGAAAATGTTGTAGAGATTTCAGCTATATCACCTCCCCCTTGATTATTACCCACATATTGACAGCAATTGTGCTCGCGACACTTTGTGTGTGCGTCCAATGGCGACTGAATGAACCACACGGGCAGGCACTGATAATTTCACTGCCGCGATGTGTGAGGAAAATTGATAATCGATAAGTGGATGAAAAACAAAACACAATTAACATCTTGTCATCCAGCTGTCAAGACTATAAATATAACACCGCGCGAGCTTCAACAGTTTGCCAATATAAAATCTGCGCATTTTCTCTTATCATCTCGCCACACATATTAAAGCTCATACACACTAATCTCCCTTCCCAAGCACATCAGAGGAATAGAAAAAAAAAACGCTTCGCGGAGGTTTGTTTGCAAACTTCAAAACATATTACAGAGAAAAACAACAACACACATACAGAGTGTGTTGTCAAAGGAAGGCTTAATGGCAATGCTTGGAGGAAAAAGTGTGGCTACTGATTTATTAAAACTAAACACGTGTTTACAAAGTTGTAATCTCTTTCATGTCGTTATCTCACTGGAAACCAAAACACACGAGAAGACAGTAATTGAATAAAAATCACCATAAACTTGACTATGAAAGGCTGATAAAGTTGGATTAAGGGAGCAAGAACGAATTTATAGAACTTGTTCAATTTGAACTTCATCAATCCCGGAACAAGGAAGGATTTTCGTAACAATAACAAACTGTCTTTATAATTTGTAAATGCGCACAAAGCTTTTTGGTACAATTTTTTACAATTTTCCATTCATTATTTATCAATTCTTCTCAAGTTTCTGTACCTCAAAATATCTCATCAAGTGATTTTCTGCAAAAAGTCGGTCAAATTTGGCGGAAAGTTCACACACTGGACGAGAACTGATAAAGCGCGAAAACTGTTTTATTATTTATTTGATAACGCGACAGAGCTTATATTTAGGGTGTTAATGTATTGCTGTGGCACATTTAAAAACACTCTGAACCTGATAAGGAGACAGACATTATCAGTTGCTCAATATATTGGGCAGGAAATAAAAATCTAACCAACGTAAATTCTGTGCTATAAAGATATAAATTGTGTCAACAGTGCACGCTTGATCCTGAAAAGATTCAATTTACAATATTGACAAATTGCTGGCCTGAATAAAACCTCGTCAGACAGATAAATTGCACTTTTCTTTTATTTCCCAATTAAAACACAGGTTTTCAGCATGGATTTTAGCAAATTGATCCAGAATTATTGCATTTTCATCGAGTTTCGCTTCGCTGGTGAATTCCATTTGACAAGCGAGAGAAAAATTGCAAATGACAAAATGATTCCACACAATTTCATAATAATTGAATTCTGTCTGAATGATATTGAAAATTCATCGAGTTTTCCAAGCTGAATTATTAGCATTATTTGACGCTCGACAGTACAAATTGTATTTCGGTGAATTTGAGGACTTAATAAAATCGATTTTGTGCAACTCAAGGGGGAAATAGGAAGGTTAATATCAGTACACCACTTCCTGACACTTCAACCATTCCTAAGTAAAATCCCTAACACTTCTCAGGAGTCTCAGAATAGACTTTTTTTTAAATAAAATAATTAATGAGGTAAGAATCGAGGAGAATCTTCGAAAAAACCTGTTAATTTAGATTTTATCACTCTGATAATTGACTTATAGCTTAAGAATTGAAGTTTTCAGATCATATTTATTGGTGTTTATCGTGTAATTAATTGTACTCTTCACTTATGTTTGACTTCTACTAATAAGTAATTTCTCGTACTTCTGCTGACCTTTACACACAACTTCTGACCACAATATCTCCCCCTCGGTGCAACACATTTGTTGGATTTTCACGTGATATATAAATAGACATCCACTCAATGGTCAGAAGGTGTCATTTGCAGTGAAATGCTGTGGAAATTCTCTAATAATTTTCAGACAAGATCGCGGTTGAACTTGACCCCCGCCTGCGAATGTATATTGTTTTCCCTGCTGCTGAAGGCTTCGTGGGCGGGAAAGCAAAGGTGTAATTGGTCAAAGCTCTAATAGCAGCTTTCATTGCAAAGAGTGACATTAAATTATATCGATTTTCAATTGCTTCCATCCACTATTTTCAATTGCTCTGCATATATAAGCTCCCACACGATGGTAAACTGCCTATTATCGACTCCCTTTAGCTTCTCCCATTTTAAAGTTCTCCCTACAAAATTCACGAAGCGCAAACTTTATGTTTACCCTCCCATTTACCTGATGATGAAAATTGCTGTGATGATTTTATTTTATGCATAACTTTGAAATATAACAATTTGAAGGCTTTCCATAAAGCATTTTGTGTGGAGTTTAGCAATTTTGCCGATTTAATTGTTGCTCCAAAACAATCAATTTAGCATTATTTTCACTCTTACGCTAACCTTCAATAACTTAGAGAAAACATGATGATTTTTCATGTCCTTGACTTAGATGTTGCGTCGCTCAATTGATATAAAAATAGACTTTATTCTGTTGTTATGACAAGTTCTGCATTGAAAGAAGATACATAAGAAGCCATTTTTTTTTATTGAAAAAAATCATCAAACCAAAACAATATCTAAAGGTTCTCTTCATGGACTTCTAAGTGGAGTTTATTTGAGGAATTTCCTGGTAAAATGTGTGTATTTATCACTGACTTATAAATGTACACACATAAAATAAAATGAAATCATTGAACTTCATGGATATTTCAATTGTAAACTCGATGACTTGGAATTTTGTAAATATTTTACTTGCAACATTATCATTTTGCGTGCAGCGTTTGAAATTTATTTATATTAATCTTCACATATTTGAATCTTCAAGGATATTTCCGAAATTTCACAACTTTTCTTCTAAACATACACAGTTCAACAATTCCCGGGGTTGAATTTCATTCACACAACACATAAATTAGCGTGCTCAAGAGAGTCACTAAACTAATTTTCATATCTCCTCAAAAATTTCTTTAGTCATAATCACATGATTCACTCTTTGTAATGACAAATCCGTTAGTTCTACCGACGGAGAGAAAAAAATCGCTCTTCTCCTCTGACCTCATTATTATAACCGAACTATACTTAATGTGCTTTCATATATGAAAACACAAAAAAGTCGAGAGTGAAGAAAAAAAATCAAAGAACCGCAAGACGGTGAAAAAGACCAAGAAACTCAGCACAACGCAACAGGAAAGAATTAACGAAATTGCGAATTGCGCCACAATTCTGAAGGGTATATTTGTGAGATTACCACACATTTCATAATTCCATGTCCGCTATTTCAGCTGACATCCCGAAGAAATATATGTTCTTCTGTGTGCTCAGCACAGAACTTTTGTACATTATGTATACAGAAGATTCACAGCGAAAGAAAGATTCTCCTCTAAGCATCTCACCAATCCACGATCTTTAGGCGAAATAGAAGAAAATGCCAGAGAGCGAATTTTAGAAACGCACGTGAATTGAGAATGTATAATAAGTCTCGATTGGGGATTAAAGTGTATTTGTTGGATTCTCAGTTTTCTCGTGGCGTCTCATGTGTGTATTTTGCGCAGTGATCTTCCACCCATTGTGAAGAGACTTTTGCGGTGTTCAAATGGTCAATGCACTTTGTGTATCTCGCTCTCACTCTTTGGCGATCCAATGTCTGACACGATCGTGTCAGAGAATCTTTCTCCACCAGCACCAAATATATTTTATCGATTTTTTCCCATAACCACACACTTCTCGCCACTTTGTGTGATTCACTCCGATCCGACACAGTTCCTTCAACTCTTCCTTCAGACCATCCATTTCGCAATAACAGCTCATCTCAGTCCTCAAGTGGACAATCTCTGTAGCGTCTCATCAGGATTTTACCGACTAGTAATCTCGAAATGGAACTTACAAGCACTTTCGCCATCTTAAATGGCCAAAAGTCACTTTGTTTTCTCAGCAATATTTGAGGAAATCTCTCTGCAATTCACTCGCGTCTGAAATCTTTGTGCTTCTTTTGATGAAAATTCATGCCGTCACACCAACATTTCCTGTTTGTCATACGGGACAATAAGTGTGTGGAAGACACAGAAAAAGTGTATAGAAACTAAGTACAATTAGAGGTTTTATCAGGGAATTATGACTAAACTTTACTACGTTGTTGCAAATTACAAACACCCAAAGTCTGATGGCGAAACGACAAGAAAATACACTGCAAGACTTCCCTTTGTTTCTCGAGACCAACAAAGATCTCTCGTGCAACAAAGAAGTGCATCATATCCAAAAATGTGCGACATAAATATTGAGAAAGGCTGCCAATACGCAATTGAAGGGTTTGAGTAATGGGAAAAGTTTCTAAGAAGGGGAGAGTCTTAAAAGTCTGGATGGAAAGTTGTTCAAGTGTAAAACAAAGGGAAATTCTATTTGATGTTCCCAAAGTCTGGATGGCTCGAGTTTTCTCACACCCAAACACACACACACACACACAGGCGGATCCTTGTCAGTGACATACGGAAAATCCCGACCTACGAGAACAATGAAAACGTTCACCTCGCGTCTGTACCACTAAACATCCGATGGCGT